GCCTGGTGGTTCTGTTCCAGTTCGTTGTACCCCCTCTTACCCTCGCTTTGTGCTTTTTTTATTCCGCTTATGCTTGTTTCTTTTGTTTCTTTTTCTTCTATTTTTGCCGGCGGACCGTGCTGGATCCTGATTCGCCAAGGAATGATGGCATAAATGAACTCAACCTGAGATCCGAGTGAGGCAACGCAGGTACCTCGCTTGTTTTGTATAAAACCTTGGTTGGGGGCCCACAGGAGGAGGATACCTTAGTCTTGGTCATATAATAACATAGAACACTTTCTCTCTCTGTTTGCAGTGATAGCATAACTTACCTAGCATTCATTCATTTTGACTTTTTGACTTCTCACCATGATTGAGCCAACATCAGTTTCCTCTTCGAGGTCGGGCAGCCCCCAAAGGTCCGATTTAAGCAGTCCTGTGCACTCTCCTATCGCAGTGGACACACCGGCGACAGAGACTGGAGACCCATTCGACAATCTCCATGACTTGTTGCGCAGACTCCCTTTGCAGAGCCACATTCTTGTCACTGGCGGCCTCGGTTTCATTGGCAGTCACACCACGCTTGAGCTGCTCAAGGCAAACTATAACGTCATTGTGATCGACAACCTCAGCAATGCATTTGAGAATGTTTTCGACCGTATCAGCCTATTGGCCAAAAGGCATCATGAAGAGAATGGCACGAAGATGCCGTCTCTGCGGTTGCATGCACACGATTATCGCGACACCGAAGCTCTTCACCGGCTGCTTGAAGAGTACCAGCTTTCATCCCGGTGGGGAACTCCCAAATCGAGAATCGCCGGAGTCATCCACTTTGCAGCTTATAAAGCCGTGGAGGAGAGCATCCGGAAGCCACTGAAGTATTACTCCAACAATGTCAGCGGGCTCGTCGACTTTGCCACAACACTTGGAGACTTCGGCATCAAGACCTTCATCTTCTCATCTTCCGCCACGGTATATGGATCCCTCGCAACCTCGGGTCTTCCATTGAAAGAGGAACTGTGTGTTCACAAGGAGGAGTTGTACACAGACAACCAAGGCTCCCAACAATCCATCCAACCTGGATGCACCGGAATCACCAACCCATACGGACGCACGAAATGGATGTGTGAAACCATCCTAGCTGACCTGGCCGCATCAGACCCCGAATGGACCATTGTTGCACTCCGCTATTTCAACCCCGTTGGCTGTGATTCTTCCGGTCTTTTGGGCGAAGACCCAAGGCAGGCACCAACAAACCTGCTTCCCGTCGTTGTCAAAGTCATGACTGGCCAGTATTCCGAACTTTCGATGTTTGGGACAGATTGGGAAACCGAGGATGGCACTGCCGTACGTGACTTCATCCACGTTAGTGATCTGGCCCGTGGACATATTGCCGCGCTTAGTTCGGCCAACGAGGGCAAGCTGACAGAGAATTTCCGCACATTCAACCTCGGAACTGGAAAAGGGAATTCCGTGATGGATGTGGTCAGCACTATGGAGTCTGTTACTGAGAAGCGCATTCCTCGGCGTGCCGCACCACGTCGCGAAGGTGACGTTGGAGCCTGCGTTGCGGTCGTCGATCGGTCGACGGAAGAGCTTCAGTGGAAGACAGAAAAGAGCTTAAAGGATGCTTGCCGGGACATCTGCAACTTCCTGGATGTCAGTGGGCTGTCTTCGTAGCGCGGTCGTCATACTCTTGGTCCAATATGACAGTTATGTTTCGTTTTGTCTTTTTCGTCTGTTTCTAATATACCTGCTCACCGGAATGAGGGCCCTTTCGTGGCATGTTATTTAGTATAATTACTGTCTTTTTTCTGTCTGGTTTAGCATGTTGATTAGAGTTGCATGACTCGGTCAATCTTTGTGACCTTTCCCTTTTGCATGGACAGAGTCGTTTATATAGGTCGCTCTCTCGCTATATCTGAATTAACAAAAAGTCGCCATTTGATCTCGGATGTTTTAGCAGGTATTATCAACGAACACAGGTAATCGAGGACTGATCCACAGATGTTGATGGGTGTGGAGATGTGGGATGCACGTGATCTCACAAATTACATCTGGGCAGAACCGGTTGGATGACGAGGTTAGGACTAGAAATGTCGATGGTCAATGCATAGCGAGGATATTCATTTGCGACACGTCTAATCAATGAACAGACTAGAGCCTCGTAGCGAGAGATGAAGTTGTCCAGCGTTGTTCGCCATATTTGTTTGTCAGTCACGTGACAATCTCCGCCTTGGCATCAAATATGGCCGCAGTTTTCTGCGACAGCTCTGTCTCCGCGCGTGTCTTATTGCATCTTCAACGCAATTAGGATTCCTTGTCGTCCAGGGCCCTCTGTTGAACCCTTTAATATTGCCCTGTCTATTCTCCATCTTTCTTTGATCTATTCCGCCACAATGATCTGCAAAAGCTGCCGCACAACGATGCTGTCCCGATTCAACCAACAGCCAGTGACCCGAACGGCTTCAGCATGTGCGCGCCAGCTCCCCATAGTTCGCAGCCAATTCCGCTCGTACAGCAGTGATAACAACCCTCCTGTGGCTGCTACTCCTTCTCCGCCCTCTCCCCGCCAACCCACGGTCGGCGACCTCACAACCCCGTCCGCCATCTCCTCCGCTACCCCCGGTGTTTCTCAGCCTTTGAGCACCCCCGAAGGTGTTCACACCGATGCCAACCCGGGAGCTTCCACAAAACCCACCGCCGAGCGCCCACCGAGCAGCTGCCCGGCCGGAACCAAACTGAACGGTCTCAACTACTTCAAGAACAAGCCGGATGTGTTCGCCAAGGAGGACTCCGAGTACCCGGATTGGCTATGGAACCTCTTGGGAGATTCCTCCAAGGACGCAAAGACTAAGAAGGGCGGTGTTGACCCAAGCAGTAAGATTTCTCCTGGATTTCCTATTTTTCATATGCTTACTCTGCCGCAGCCTTGAACAAGAAGCAACGAAAGCGTTATGAAAAGAAGCTGGCCGCTCGTACTGGCCCCCTCGCCGCTAAGATTCCTGCTCACCACCACGCTCACGATATCACCCCCGCACCCTACAACCGTGACGCACCTTCAGCCGATCCCATGACCGATGCCACCGAGGGCTTCGAGCAGCGCTCGGAGATTATTAAGAGTGCACGCGATGCCAGACGGAAGGCCATCAAGGAGTCCAACTTCCTGCGCGGTCTGTAAGCTTGTTCCATTTCAAATGGAACACACGAAAGCGATTGTACTTTTCTTGTTGGGGTTGTGTCGCAGGCGCGCAGAACTGCCTCGATATTGCATTGGATATTGGATAGACCGGACCCTTTGGAGCATCCGGGATGTATTATTACATTGATTTGTTTTTCGCTTGTGCTATATATCAAATGATACTTGTCTCAGATCTAAGCCGCCGCAGAATATCCCGAACAGTCCCAAACAGCCACCTCTATCGCCGAGAAAGTCGACGTATATAACTTACTGGGGCATCGGCCAGTCCTTCTCCTCACCCTGCCCTTCAATCCAGGGCAAACAAGCTTCATAAAGTGCTTTTAACTCTCCATCTCCAAGAACAAGGATCTTCTCAAAGGTCCCCCGGTCAAAACGCTCGAAGAAAGCCAAAAGCGAAGCGAGAATAATATCCGCGAAGCCGGCCTTCTCACCCTCCAAAAACGGGCCCTTCTTCCCATCCTTGCCCTTCAACATCTTAATCAGCGGCTCCGTCTCCTTCTCAATAAGCTGCCACAGAGCAAGCAACTCCCCTTCATCCGTCGGCTTGACCTCAGAAAGCGGCTTCCCGAAAGCCTCCGTGCGCGTCCGGATAAAGTACTCCCGTCCACGCTCATCCAGTCCAGATGGAACGTTGGGAATAACCAGAGCCACCATACTCGGTCTGATCAAGCTCACTATCTTCTGCACGGCAACCATGAGCGAGTAGCTTGCATCGCCGGAGGGGAAGAGCGGGGGCGACGGGTACAGCTTGTCGATGTACATGGCGATCGGCTCGGAGTCCATAAGCAAACCGGCTGGGTTGCTTGTTATTCCACCTTTGTGGCTGATTGCCGGGAGTGTGTAATGAATTGGTGAGTTGGCAGGTAGGATGCTCGACTTGGCAGGTGGGACGCCATGGGCCTTGAGTAAAGGTTCAATGTCGGGGTATGAGACCCAGCTTTGGGTGTAGGGGATCCCTTTGAAGTTAAGGACCATTCTGGTCTTCAGAGTGTTGGGAGACCATGACTTAGAAGGGCCTGGTTAAGTTAGTGGTCTGTTTGAGTCATCTAAAGGTTTGGTTCGTACCGGGTAGGACCGATGTAATGTCGAAGAAATGGATGTTGGACTCGGTCATTGTGTAAAATATGTAGATCGTATATTGGATCTAGAGTTGAAGTTCAAATGAGTCATGGGTAGTAGTTCTACCTAGGTACTTTTATATACAGGAGGACCTTCCGAGGTCGGGAGCGGGGCTTTGATTTATCAGCTGGTTTTCACTTTCTAACCTTGGAGGGTTAGACGAAACTTGGAATATATAACGTCGATGGTCAAGAGGGTCTTCGGTTTTCGCTAATAGGCTTGATATTAATCTGATACATTCATGACTTCGAAGCTGCACAGCTGCGCAGCTGTGAAGCAAGGTAGTATGGAATGAATCCATATTCTATGTACAAGCCACGCTTAAAGGAAATATACCTGAATTCAATCCGAGCAGTTGGAAGTGAAAAGTCAAAAGTCGCCTTTCATCTATCGACGATATACAGAGAGAGGCGCGCCACGTTGGCAGTGGGGAGACGCACGGGTCACATTGGGATTTTCTCACATGGCATGCCATTTCTACAGAGTACATGTATACCAACATATACAGCATATATCATACATCCATGTTCTATTCAACCTAAAGTCACAGATACTCGACACTTGACACAGCCCCCTGAAATAAGCGGGGCAACTCTTTGCCAATCAGCCTACCCCTCCAGCTGCCCAACAACCATAAGGTGCATCTTCTATATGGCGTACTCCCACTGGAACAGAATAACTAACAATATACCAGTGCAAAATGGAGAAAGTCGAAGATCTGGTTGACCGTGCTAAGCACCTAGTACTCCACGAACCACCCGAGTCACTGTCACACACCGTGGAGAAATTCCATCCATCCTTGGACGATCATATCCAGAAGATCTACGAGTCTGTCCATGCATATGCTCCAACTACGAACTATTTCCTTAAGGAAATCCAACATGACCCTACCCTCGAAGACTCTCCCGAGCCAGTCGATGCTTTGGCTTCTCTGGATGCCTTCCGTGAATACATGAAAGATGGGAACTCATCTGCGATGGGACCAGAAAAAGCCCTGGATCTTTCCGCGCCTCTTTCGGATTACTTCATCTCGTCGAGCCACAACACCTATTTGACGGGTAACCAGCTGTACAGCGATGCTGCTTCTAGTGCCTATACATCCGTGAGTTCATGTTTTGCAGAATAGTCCTACCATTTCCGCCCCTGGATGTTAGACTCCCGCGATCAAGGACTTGCGACTTACTCATGCCCGAGCAGGTCCTCCTCCGCGGCTGCAGGTCCGTCGAGATTGATGTCTGGGATGGGGAATTGGACAGCGACAGCGAGACAAGCAGCAGCAGCAGCGATTCAGAGACGGAAGAAGGGGGTGTTGGGAGCAAGCTGAAAGAAAAGAAGGCGAAGAAAAGTGGCCAGGAAGGACAGAAAAAATCATTCTCGTCCAAATTGGAAGCTAAACTTGGTGGTGTCCTTCGTCGGAAATCCGCCAAATCGCCCCAGCAACCATCGGGAGAAGAGACTGCGACGAGCCATATGCCTGTTCCTGTTGAGCCTCGTGTTCTGCATGGCCATACACTAACGAAGGGCACTACATTCCGTGAAATCTGCCACGCAATCCGTGACAGTGCATTTGTTGCCAGTGACCTTCCGCTGGTCGTTAGTCTCGAGGTACATGCGTCTCTCGAGCAGCAACAGACTATGGTCGATATCATGTTGGAGGTGTGGAAAGGATTTCTCGTGGAGGCTTCTCCGGATGAGGGGAAGCTTCCCTCGCTCGCCGATCTGAAGAGGAAGATCTTGATCAAGAGCAAATGCGTTCCATTCAGCGGGGAGGAGGAGAAACCCGAAGGAGAAGATCTGACGCCGCAGAAATCCGATGATAAGTCGGGGCAGCAGGCGCCGAAGCCATCAAAGATTCTTGATGCTCTGGCTAAGCTGGCTGTTTACACTCGCGCGTATAAGTTCAGTCATTTTGATCAACCCGGTATGCATCATCATTGTAGATACAGCCATGAAGGCAATGCTAATTTGATCGACAGAGGCCAAAGTACCTCTCCATGTGTTCTCGCTCTCGGAGAAAGCAGCACGAGAAGCCCACGCCAACCAGCGCGATGCCTTGTTCGAGCACAACCGAACATCTCTGATGCGAATCTACCCGTACGCATTCCGGGTCAACTCGTCGAACCTTGATCCGACATTTTACTGGCGACGTGGCGCTCAGCTAGTAGCACTGAACTGGCAGAACACAGACAAAGGCATGATGCTCAATCATGGGATGTTTGTCGGATCCCACGGCTGGCGACTGAAGCCCCCCCGGCTACCGAAGTAGCAAGTCTCCGACGGAGGTTATCGAGCGCCGCAACCTAACCCTCTCAATCGAGATATACGCCGCGCAAGATCTGTCTCTGCCTCCGGGCGACCACAGCGAGAGGGGATTCAAACCCTATGTGAACTGCCAACTGCACGTCGAAGAACCCGGAAGCGATGTTTCCCTGGACCAGGACGACGGCAGCTCCGACGCAGAGAAGAGCAGCTACAGGCGGTGCACGAAGAGTTCTTCAGGTCGGAACCCGGACTTCAAGGGCCAGAAATTGGAGTTCCCGACCGTGACGGGGATAATTGAGGAGTTGAGTTTCCTACGGTCAGTGTCTCTCTTCGATTTCTTGCTTACATTGATTTTTCGAGTCGTTTACCTCGTGCTTTGTCCTCTTTCTCATTCTGCAAGAATTCCCCCTGCTGCATTTGCACCTCCCATCACATGAATTCGTTTTCGAGTATGCAGGCATGAACCCTGCATTGTGATACCCGTCAAAGAACATATGCACTTGCCCGCACCGCATAAACATGACGACTGGGCTTGGTATTTGCTTCTTCCTGGCTTCCCCGTTGGTGACACGATGCATTGTCTGTGCTTAGGCTTAGCAGGGCGACCTGTAGCTTTCCTCAGCATCACCTCCACCATCATGCACACTGCCCAATAACTCGTTTCACATTCGGAGATGCAAGCACTACGTACAAACAAGCCACTGACTTAATTCTGCTTTCTTTCTTTAGGTTCAAGATCAAGGATGACGAGCTCGGTCGGGACCCGTTGGCTGCGTGGGCTTGCATCCGACTCGACCGGCTGCGGGAGGGCTACCGGCTTGTTCATCTCCATGAATGCGCCGGCGAGAAGACTGGGGGTGTCTTGCTGGTTAATATTGTGAAACGGGTTACTTAACTACCCAGGATATTTTGTCGAAGTGAATTCAACATTAGTAGTATAGTGCAATGTATCAAATTGTGACGTCGTACAAAACAAGGGCCCTTCGGAAGAAACACCGTGCCAGAAAGGTTGTCTTTGGGCAGGGCTTGGGCAGCACGTCGTACAGCGCATTTCCACATTAGGGAGCCAGGAACAAAAAGGTTGCAGAAACACATAGCATCTGACAAATGTGACTAGTCTTTTGAAGGTTCGGCATGTGTATCACAAACTCATTTCGAGCTCATTTCGACATGGCCAAAAGCGACAGGCTACAGATTAGCGATTGCGATTGTGAGATGCAATTATGCCAGTCAGCGTACATATATGCATCTGTTTCGAGGACGTTACACAGAAACGATGACATTTCATTTGAACTCTTCGGGCTTTTTCGGGCTGCGTTGTGCAGAGTCGTGGACACAGCAGTTTCGCGGGTGGCAGAAGATAGTCGTTAGAAACAAGCCCGCCTCGCCGAGGGTGTCTGAATAAAGGAATAATGACCGAGCTTAGGGTAGATCATATCTTGTTTTAGCTAGGCGGCTCCGTTGGCATATGAAGTGGAGGTGCCTCCTCCGCTGTATGCAGTGTCGTGCCGGTGGCATATATCACTTTATAGCGCATCGAAGTATTAGCCGCATGATATGCACTTTGCCGATGCCGTGCATGGGGTATAGCGGAAAAGGGTCCAATATGTTGTATGCTGATTTTCCGAAGAGCGCTAAGGGAGATATGCATATCGTAATCTATGACTTGGATGATATCTGAAAAGGGTTCGCTTTGATTTTGCTAAATTGGCTATGTGAGTACTTACTACCAGGACTCGAGGAGAGAGAAAAAGTAGCCGTGACAGGCCAAACGGAGTACAAGCCTAACGGGTGGTAAGCAGAGAAGATTGTTAGCAAGACATGCGTAAGAACGTGGGGTACGGAGTAGAGTGCTTGGTCTTCGGGACATGTTAACGTATGTACAGATAGCACGGAGTACGTAGGTGAACCAAAAATTCTTGCATGCTGCGAGCCATAACCCCGACCGTGGGGCTCATATCATATAGAGGAAGATCGGTGAGACCGAGGGTCAAATCACTACAATATGACCTTAAAAGGAATAGCCTCAAGAGCGATCAACGCGCCAAGCGACATGCATCAGATTGATCAACATGGCTAGTGGGGACTAACAGATAAGTCAAGTTGACCGGTAAATCGCCCGATAGAGTTGTGGAAGCTGATCACACGTCTAAAGAATCGCAATATGAGACGTCTACATCTGTCTCACGTGGAGTCTTAGGGCTTCTACTCCGTACGGGGTAGTGAATCAACAAACTCGATGTGGTACTTCAGATCCACCCTCTGTGTTTGGCATTTGACAGATCCTAGTGGAGGGGTTCATGCGTCACCTCCATAAAATTTGCGTGCATAAAAGGGTGAAATGATGCCTTCAAGAACAAATGGGCCACAACGATGTAGCCAATGATCTGACCGGATCATTGTTTGAGGAATGGAGAGGACCCATGTTTACTATTACCAGCCAATCAGAGCACAAGAATGGCCGAGGATGGCCGAGCACTAGACCTATCTTGGATATGCTATGGTTCTGGGGTTGATACGTCAACTCCTAAATGTGCTGAGAGTTGAATTCTAATTTCCCCTTTTTCTTCCAGGTACTCCGTATCGGTGAATTGATGCAAGTTGCCGGTGAACTCTAGACGCAGTTCTTTGTCTGATCCCTCGAGTCATTGATCCTTTGGGCTTGAGGAAGCAAACATCAACGCACAAGGTCCGGAGGCCTCGGGAGGTACCGAGGACGTTGCTGTGATTGGCTTAAGTGGGCTAGTGGCGTACAAAAGAGGTCGTGATGACTCTGTTTTTGGCTCTTTTTTTTTGTGGCTCTGATGCCTGTGCAGCAAAGCCAAGCCGTCAGGACGAACGTCCATCTACTTGGCTGATATCATTGGGGGAAACAAATGATTGACCGAGCTGAGCGGGAACTACCGAGACTGCTAAGGTTTTGATATTAATTTTGAGATTACGATTTTACTTTTTTTATTTTGTTTTAATTTTTTAATTTCTTTGATCCATTTCCCTTTAGCGAGTGTGAGCTGGTTCTATTCTTCTCTTCCGGTCTCTTTCCTTGCATTCCAGACCTTATAAGGACCCCTCCTCGTCCTATCCCCATGACCTCTTCTTCAGACTTCCAATTAAGAGAAATCTAAACTACCGCTATCCTCGTCCTTCGGCAAACAACTGTATTCATCCCCTTCTCTATCCTTTCCTGTCCGACATACCAACCAAAATACCATGGCTTCTTCTTCTAAATGTGCCGCACCGGTGTGCTCAAACTCCGCTACCACCAGCAAGGTTCGTACTCTTATAGTCACCATCGATGTGGTACTTCCAATACCCCCATAAATACATACTAACCATCCAACAGATGCCAGGTGTGCGATGCCCCAACTGCCAAGCTCAGGGGAAAGAAGTTTGGGTTATCCCAGGCAAAAACTGTCACATCTGCCACACACCTTGTGCATGATAGGCTCAATGTTCTATGTTGCACATCTATCATGGGGATGAAGATTGTGTGCAGTCATATGCGCCCATGCTATCCGGTTATGATCTGATTCCTCCACAGCATAACCTCTTCCATCATATGGAGACTCCTGAATCTCGAGAATGAATTCAACACGTCCTAACACACGAAAGGCCTGCGAATATCTTGGAGATCGGCAACTCGCCTTTATTTGGCACAGGGTAAACCTCAGGCGAAAGGAGCAGGAGGGTTTCGGCCATGGCGCTCGGTTTTTGGTTCCCTTTTTTCTTTAGCGTTTTCTTATAATGAGATATACGACCTTTTTGCTGTTCACCAGTCGATATAGTGTTTACAATATCGAGCTAACTTACTATTGGGTCGAACTTGATTAGACCGGCGAGAAGTACAACTCGCCTTAAATTGGGCTTCATCGAATACCTTTGGCCAGCATATAAAATATGTGCATACGAAGTAGTAGATAGCCCCACGTGTGCGAAGGGGCATAGTTAACTAACTAGTTAGTTAACTAACGGCCAAAGGTTAAGTGCCAGACTTTTCAGGCTTGATGCCTCAAATGGCTGGTTTATGTCTGATTTTAGACCGCTTTTGGCACCGCTCTATAACTATATTGTACGAGATACCGCCTTCTATACCGCCTCCCTTTAAATATACTACTATAAGAATAAATAGTCGGCCGCTTATACGGCCGTAGTCTTCTTAGTGGTCTTCTTAGGTAGTCTACTCCGATAGTCTTTTCATATGTCTTTTTAGTGGTCTTTTTAAGCAGTCTCTTTAGGTATATACCTTTAACTACTAACCCTTAGTGCTAGGTCACGTGCCTACACGCTAACTTTATTAGGAGTTTTAGTCTAGCAGAAGCGGCAGAATTAGAGGGCGGTATATCTAGGTATGTATAACTCTAGGGCCCGGGGCTGTGCCTTAACTAGTTACTTATTAAGAGTCTGTCATAGTAATTCAGGTATCTTAATTTTCTGCCAGTCTAAAATCAGGCGAAAACCAGGCATTTGACCTTTGGCCGTTATGCCCCTTCGCACGCGTGAGAGTTCGAAGGTTCTATCGCATCGTTCGCGCTTACAGTCTACATAGAGTGCATCTACGAACAACTCTACGGAGTAACTCATACATATACTAAATATAATCACAATATGTATTGAGCTTCCTTTAGCGACTTGGCCTCTCTGATTTGACCCGAGGGTATTTTGGTGAAGTTCATGTATGGCGCAGCCTGATCTAAGTACATCGTCGGGCAGACCTGGAAGTGACAAAGCTGTCCAGGGTTAGCCATATCCCCTAGCCTCGTTTGATATAATCTTTCTATAGCATCCTCTTCTAGACAAGACCAGCAAATCTGTACTTCAATCGGCTTTAGTAAAGCGGCAAGAGATAATCCCTAAAGCGGAAAGGGACAAGCTCCGAGTGCCTTGGCATTTATCCACATACTCGCATTAGCATCCATCTTCCGTTATTATATTTCATTGCATCCACAAAAAAGTGGCCTCAAAGATCCTAAGTCAAACCACCGTGATGGAAAAATACCCCATCGGAACACGCGCTGAGAGCGAGCGTCTTGTCCGCGAGTGGGGGTTTCGACATATCTTCACCTGGACAGATGGGAGGTACGTAGATTGTTTTTCCCTGCAGATGAAACATCCAAAATGGGAGAACGAATTGCATCACTGGTAGCAGATCGGTCTCACTCTCATCTGCAGATGCATGTACGGATGCTGACCTCGCCCTCAGCAACGCCCATTATTCCCCGCACTCGCATGGCGGTCTGACAACACACCTTATCCGCCGTGGCTCTCTGACAATCACTTACCCTGATGATAATGCTAGATTGCATAATGGGGAAGTTAAAAAGGAGACGTTTGGAGTTGGAGAGAGGGTTGATGTTCCTGCTGGAAAGGTTCATGAGGTTTGGATCGGGGATGAGGGATGTGAGTATGTGATTGGGGAGTAGGAAGAATGCAGCTTTTGTCTTCGCTCGATGAATTCTTACTTCTGTTGAAATTCATTGAATATCTTGACCTTCATGGTACATAAGCTCAGCTCATTGGTTTGTTCTATTTGATGTTTAAGTCTAGTCAATAATGTCTCTATAATCTAATCACATATGTACCAGACAATGTAGTCATGTCTAATGCAAAAATCTGAAATCAACTCTGTAGCGCGGTCGTTAGCATTCAGTTGAACAAGAGACAAGAGACAACTCGTAGACATACCTCTTGTTTCCAAGATCTTTGTTTTCAACGACATATCGCGACCGCTCTTCACTAGACATTTTATCCCAGATAGCAGCATTTTGTCTAGAAGCAATTATTAGCGAAAGCAATTCAACCGATCAAGAATGCACGGGTTGACATACTTGTTGCGCCTCACGTAGTATATCTTGGCAATGATGAATATCGCCATACTCCACACCGAAAGAGCCATAAGAACCCTATTTCCGGTGTGATAATACGGCTTATCCTCGGTGCGGTAGATCTGGACATGATTGTTAGTTGTGATATCTTGAGCACACAAGAACACTGGAAGTACTCACGTTGTTACCAATGATGCTACTGGCCTGCACCATCATGTTATACACCGCAGTAGCAACCGTTCGCGTCCTCACAGAGCCTGCATTACGCGATGTAATCGCAACAACAATAGCGTGCACGTAAGGCATACCAATCAGCATGATGAGCAGAACCCAACGCACCCAAGGACTAGCATCCTCAGAAATAGTTTCCAACGCAATTAACAGGATCAGAGCCCAAAGCTCAGCACCGACACCAAGAAGCAGTCGTTGATTAAACCGCTCTGACACCCAAGTCCACACTAGCAGATTGACAATAAAAATGATATAGGCCGGGATAGTAAGCAGGTTCGTGTTGAAAGTGCTGAAACCGAGCGACTTCAGTTGCAGACTGATGTACGACGTAGCCGGCGTGTTGGGAATCATCCAAGTGAGGCCGAGCAGGTAGATGAGCCACATATCGTAGTCCTTCAGTGCCTGCCAGAGCAGCCTGGGCGTAACAGCCTGACGATTATGCATAGATCCCTTGCTCGGGTCATCGCGCAGCACGCGATTAACCATTATTTTCTCTTCGTGCTCATTGAACCAGCCAGTCTTACCGCGGAACCGGCCCGCGGTCTGCGTAGGCGAGGGCGGCATCCAGAACGCAGCGACAATACCGATCAAACCGGTGATCAAGCCTTCCAGGGCAAACAGGTATCGCCAGCCACCGGTGCCATCCGATTGGCGAATGTGGAGGAAGCCAAAGGCAAGGAAGGCGCTGATAATTGCGGTTGCTTCATATGTCACCCAGAAGTAGCTGAGCCGGATAGGCAATTCCTTGGACTTGTACCAGAATGATAGGAAGAGGATGGTGTCTGGAATGAAGCCGCCCTCGAGAAGACCGAGCATGGCGCGGGTCGCGAAGAACCCGCTCCTGTTCTGGATAAATGCCTGGCATGAGGCGATGAGACTCCAGCTTATCATTTGTACGGGAATCCAGCGATCCGGGCCGACCCATTTCGATATAAGCTGAGAGGGCAGCTCGGCGAAGAGAAAACATAGGTAGAAGATTGTTTGGCCAGTGTTGTAGTCGTTAGTGGTCATGCCAAGATCGTCCAGCATGTTGTCTGACGTGGCTTGGACGACATTTCCACGGTCTAGCTGGAGCGCAAAGAAAGTCACACAAGCAAATGTGCAAACACGCCAGTCAATCTGGGAAACGGGTCAGTTACTACGAGTGCGATATACGATAGCATGAGTAACTTGTACCTTTTTTAACAACGGCTTTCTCTTCTTGCTCTGTCCACTCAAAGTCCGGGTCCCAGCGATGGGCACCCTCATATTCAGGAATGGGCTTGTAGAACCGCGGGTCTTCGGTAGTATCGAAAGCGCAGTCGGTCTGCTTTGCTCGAGGGCCGTCATATGTTGATGAAGATGAAGACTCTGCGGATGAGACTCTCGGAGTCGCCTTAGAGTCAAAGCGCTCGGCATCGGAGGCCGTTTTATTGGCTTCTTCAACCGCCATCTCGCGGTAGCTGGGATCGGAAGTCGGATCGTGGATAGAATAATAGAACCATCTCTTGGGTTGGATGGGCATTAACTGATATAAAGGCAGCAAGACGACATTGACTTTTACTTATCACGCCATATTTAGCAGATGTCTCGCTTCGGTCTCTGCATATGTGTGGGCCAGGCGAAACGGCAAAGGTGTCAATCCGAACATTGACAACAGAAATAATTGCCGAGTATGGTGTGCATGTGTGATTCAGAGTCCCAATTGCGAACTAGTAGGGCTGACTGGGTTGAATCAGGGAGGCCTAGACTGGAAGTCGGAAGGGGTTTCCGAGGGATTGTGCATATCAGATAGCAACATCTCTAGATAAAAGAGATTCCATGCAATTAGCGATTAGCACTTGAAAGTAAACGAAGAGCCCACGGATGTTGTCTAGTTAGGTGTTGGCTTGGCTGGATCACGCAAGTGTAGTGGGAGTGACGTTAGAGTCAACGAGTTGGCGGGGCTAAATTAAGCAGGGGTGCTTCGCAGAATCTAACCTGTTTCATGAAGATCTACATGATACTCAAAGTAAACGTGGTATTGCATGGGGTGCGGAGTAGTCTATGCTATATTAGCTGTATACAATGTGGAGTACCTATTATACCTTAGAATATGTTATATTTCCACTTAAAGATTTGCTATATGCAAGTTATTCCATGCGATATAACATTTAAGTAAAGCCTAAGCTAAAAAGCAACAATATCCAAGAAGCTGTTAAAATGTTGCGCGAGGGGAGTTGAATATCACGCCATAAGTGGATTTTGACACGAATCGTATATCCCGTAGCACATCAATATAGAGCCAACGAGTGATTCGTACTCTACTCAGATCACGGTAATTGTCAGTGTACGCACGCCATCCATCTATCACGTCATCCTCATACAATGCTAAGGGGACTATCCTATCGTATACAACATACTATGCAATACTCAGTGTACCTTCCACCTCGCACAACCCCGCAGGCTCGTCGGCTCGCTCGCTATGATCACGGAAAGTTGACATTGGCTTATTATCATTTCGTGGAACCCGCAAACCCCCGCAATGATGGCGCAATTCCTGTTCTCGGTTTGATCGTGCCGAAATGGTTATATATTGGCAGTGTTAACCCTTCATGGTACGGGGAAAGATACCGAGAAAACATAACTGATCGCAAGGGGACATACACATATACATTATCAGACTCAATCCTAGAACATGGCTCCCTCACTTACTGAGACAGTGGGCCTTCGCGCCCCGCCTGTTGCGCTTCCGCTGAAGTCAGACGGCGGCCACAACAAGGAGAACTTGATTGGATACAAGATTGAAAAAGAGGTTGAGATCAAGGGCACAGACAAGGTGCCTCCTGTATCCTATCCAGAATATCTGCCCGTCTGGGATAACGAAACAGAAAGGTATGACTATACCATGGCTAATGCCGCCCGCGTCCCCATGAATAGCATATGTAATAGACGTCCAGATATCCTCCTCTGCAGCATTTTGAGCACTATGACCACGGCAAAGACGCCGACCCCTCTTTCCCGGACTTGTTGCCCAAGGGTCGAGTCGAGGTCGACGAGATCACTCCATTCATTGGCTCTGAGATCCACGGCGTGCAACTAAGCCAACTCTCTGACAAGGGCAAGGACCAATTGGCCCTCTATGTTGCCCAGCGACGAGTCGTCGGTACGTGACGGGAGACATTTTAATCCCGATCCGTCCTCTAAGCATCAGTCTAACAAACCTATACAGCCTTCCGCGACCAAGACTTCGCATCCCGCCCGATTCAAGAGGTTGTCGACTATGCCGGCTATTTTGGCCGACACCACATCCACCAGACCTCAGGAGCCCCCAAGGGCTTCCCAGAGATTCACCTTGTCTTCCGCGGTGCTGACGACCGCACCGGCGAGACCTTCCTGAAGGAGCGCACGAATACTATTACATGGCACTCAGATGTCACCTTTGAGAAGCAGCCCCCGGGCACGACTTTCTTGTATGTGCTCGACGGTCCCAGCACAGGCGGCGACACCCTGTTCGCCGACATGGTCCAGGCTTATAAGCGGCTGTCGCCTGGCTTCCGGGAACGACTCCACGGCTTGAAGGCCGTGCACTCCGGCCTCGAGCAAATTAATGCCAGTTTGAACGGCGGCGGTATTGCCCGCCGGGATCCTGTTACATCGGAGCACCCCATTGTCCGAACTCACCCGGTAACTGGCGAGAAGGCACTTTACGTGAACCCGCAGTGTAAGTCCGAATAAACACATTTGGCGCAAGATTTAGAACGCTGACATGTCTTGTTCTTGTGTAGTCACCCGCTACATTGTTGGATACAAGAAAGAGGAATCAGACCATCTCCTCAAGTTCCTGTACGATCACATCGCCTTGTCGCAGGACCTTCAGGCTCGTATTCGCTGGAAGGCTGGTACGGTCGTTGTCTGGGATGTAAGTTATAGCACCAACCTGTTCTTTATTCAATGTGAGAAAAGACCCTGACCTTCACAGAACCGCCTGGCTTGCCACTCTGCCGTTTTCGACTGGGAGGATGGCCAGCGCCGACACATCGCTCGTCTCACACCCCAGGCCGAGCCTCCCTATGAGACACCCTTTGATGGTTAGATGGGGCGCTGGGAGTCTTCAAATTCAAAATGACATGTAGCTACGATAATCTCAGCAATTGAGAAGAAACATGAATAACAATGAATAATTTAAGCATCATGCATTATCAGCGTGGATCTGATCGTCGGCTTCATTCCTTTGTATCATACAGAACCAACAGCTCAAGCTTTCTCACGCCTGAAACGGCTCAAAAGCCCAACCTCCCACTCGTTAAACCTCCTAGCAGAGAGCGGGAGCATTTCATTACTCTTAGTCAACGCCTGCGACATTGCTTCAAATATCATAGTCGGTAACTCCAACTCTTCCACGGACAAAGGCGAGGGATGTCCAATTTCGGGATGGAGCAGCTCATCCACATCGGGAGACGTTTGGTAGAATACCTTCATCGCTTGTTGAGCCATGATAGCACAGCCTGCACTAGAATTCGAGTATCGCATGTCCGGATTGAAGACCCAAAGCTGCCAAGTACAAATATTCGTTAGCGGGTGTCAGTTGTAGATTTGGTAGTCTGCAATGATCGAATGCGCAGGAACTTTATATGGAATGGAATAATACTTACCACGAGACCGCTCTTCTGGCCACAGTGAACGACGAATCGCCGGGCGCTTTCTCTCTCGATCAATTCAAGTAACTGTGCAGCAACAATTGTTTCTGTTGGGTGAACCTCCCACTTTGAAACGTCTACCTCACAGCTGGGTGACTTGATATTCAGGGATACGCTGGCCTTCAGGAGTCGCCATCCCTTGGCGACCGGATCTTCCATGCCGATTATGGCATTGCAGTTTGCGCAGTCCAGAGTTCGTTGTGTTGAGGCTTCAGTGTTGCGTATTTGCTCTTCATCATTTCCCTGAATTGCATTGCTTGTCAGTAAATTATGCTTATAACGGGAATTTGAACTATTGCGCCGGATAAAATACTTGGAAGCGAACGGGAACGCATTGCATTTAAGCTCATATATAGATATTACCCACATCACATCACGCAAGGAGAATAATATAATGTAACTCTTATAATCACGCCCGCTACATTGCTCAGATAGCCGGCGCTGAAAATAGAGAACACTCTGAGTCACAAAACAGGGAAAAAGCGGCTCACACAAGTCCAGTATCGCAAACGCAAAGAGCGAAATCCATCTCCGGAAAGAGGATAACTACTCTTCTAGTTCGTGATCCTGTTCCTGTGAGAGGACCACCTTCACCCTGGATTGCAAGTACACAAAGTGCATTTCGTCCATCTTGGGCAATTGTATCGGAGGCCACCCCACCGAGAACTGAGTGGCCCCCTTCTAAGTTGCCCGGTTCCGGGGTAAAAGATAGGATAAAAGGATCGCGGGAATAAGAGAGAGATGTAAAAGTCTTACCTTTTTCAACCCCGTGCAGTCTGTTTCAGCCACAAGGAAAGTGGCAACATCAACAAAGACCGTCCCGGAAACAGCCACAACGTGGCTATCCGCTCCATATCCTTTAGTCTGTGCGGTCTGATCCTCCTTCTCGAGCGCAGAGTCTTTCTCGTCTTTCTCGTGGCCTTCATGGGGGTCAGGTTTGTGGCAGTGCCAGAAATCCATCATTTCAGCCCAGTTCCCACTTGGAAGGTCTTTCCAGATCCATCCCGGTGTACGGCTTTCGCCTGGTCCCTGATCAACCGACTCGGATATTAACGAGGAGTTGAGGAATGCATGTTCACATTGTCGACAACGAATACGAGTCGAGGGCGACATTTCCTCTGCTGTCCAGGGCGCATATTCATCTATTAGTTCATCCCGAGACGAGAGCGCCTCTTCATCGGGATCGACCTGCATGCGGAAAGAAAAATCGTAGCTGGGATCACCAGTGCCATTGGGGTCTGATTTTGATGCTGTTCCAGAGGTAGTTTTCAACGCGCGCCGAGACCCTTCGCTAACACGTGCTGGCAGTTTAATTGTTTCTGTGACATATTGAAATGGTTTTGATAAGGAGACTGTGACTGCTTTTCTTGATTCTGAAAGTTGGATATCTGGTCTGATTCCGTCGAAGTTTGCCGTCCCGGGAAGCGACACATAAAGGGTTATCTGGCGAATATTCGGTAGGAATTCTGCGTGTAGGTAGAGGGGTACATCGGCATCCTGCATTGTGGAAGTCGAATGTGTCCCAGGCTGTGTCCCAGGCAGGAATGTTGTTTGATGACTGGCGGTGTTGGATGCTTCGAGGTCAGAAGAATAAGGGGAATAGGGGGAGTAACCGGGGTGACTATCTAGCAATCACGCGGATCTGAATATTCTGACTTTTCAAGATCCTGAGAAACATGTCGCGTTTAGGTTAGTTGATGTTGGCGGTGACCTCGGCCACGATGATGCGCGTTTCTCTAATGCAAACAGTGCAAAGATTCAACACGTCAATATTTACACGTGACCGCATCCATCCTATCAACTATTCACTTCCCTCGTAGTCAAGGACTGGCCGTCAATCAATAAATTTTCTTCATATTCATTAAATCGTATACAAATTTGAGCTGAGTTGAGTGAAAAACATATGAGTAAAACCTACAGCTCATATCCGACGAAGTTACCCCGCCAATGCTTGAACTCGGTCACAAATCGCACAGCAGCCTTCAAGAAAAAGCTATCAGAATCACCCCAAGTCGAAGCCAGTTCCTTCAGTGCTCGAGTGGTCCTGACGAAGTGTACATTGGACGAGAATTCACCATTGACAGCATTCTCAGCAACCCATTCCCAGTCCTTTCCATTCAGATCATAATCCCGGATTTGGTCCATTCTGATCTCAGGGCGCAGTTGCGCGACGTAGATGCCAACACAGATTAACCACCATTGTCGAAGAAGAGAAATTTGGAACTGAGGAGGTATGAAAGGTAGCACGACACGGACCGCGTGGCTGGTCGCAAGGTTCAAAGCGAAGAACCAATCGTAATGCCCGGGCGAATCATCTGCAGCTGTTCCAACTAGCAAGGCAGCTGCAAGCTCTTGGCTCTCGCGGAACTGTTCAACTGGATTCTCGATCTTCCATGCCTTCCAGTGGTTGAGAAGCGCGGTGTTGCGGCTGACGAAAAGGGTATCGAGGTTGTCGCTGCCGGGAGTGGGGAAGAGGCCATCTAGGTCTTCATCTTTCCGGGCCAAGTCGAGAATTTCAAAGAGTGACTTTGATTCATATGGCGCCTTATTTTCCAAGTGCTTAGGGCCCTCCAGGGACTTGTATATGTCATTGTGGCACGTTGCTGCAAGCGCGAGTGCTTCCATTCCGATTTCACGGCTGTCCATTTCAAAGGCGTACGCAAGATGGATCAACGGCAATCCGACTAGGAAGTCTGTTAGCGCGTGCAAAGTGAAGCCGGCCTTTCTCAGGAAGCATGAAAAACATACGAGAAGCCATTATAGAATCAAACATGGGCTCCTTGTCGGCAAACAGGTACTCGGCCACAACTTCCTTCCAGTCATAGCTGAGGCGGACCATTTCATCTTCAAAGAAATCCACAAACGCTCGATCAAATCTGCTTGGTATTAGCAAGGAGACTCAAGTGGAAGAAAAGTTCAGACAGGGCCAGCAACTCACTTTCGACATCCCAGGTGGCCTCGCCAGTCAAGAATAGTTATTTCCGCTGGTGATTCCTTCCATTTAACCAGATCAGACACTTCCTTCTCGTATATCCGGCCTAATGTATCGGCGTCTGCGCCTTGCAGAAAGGAGGAGCCCAAGAGCTGCTAGTAGGTCAATGACATGGACTAATGACAAGGAATGCATACATAGAAAGCTCGTATCACTAAAGCAATGCAATCCACTTACATGTATTAACTGGTTAGGGAAGTTCCGAGAGTCGAACAGTGAGTTCTCAACATGGTTCAATTTCAATAGGTGCTTGAATGCCCGGGCTGGCTTATCTTGAGCGGTCTCGGTTTCATGGACGTGAACCGGGGGCAAATCGATCGCCTGCGCGGGCGAGGATGAGAACAAGCCAAGCGATGGCAATGATGGCCACCGAACATTAAACATCGTGGTGATGAGTGAGCTGTGTGTAGTAGGCGTTTGGATGAATTGTTGGGAAATTGTCACGTGAAGTAGAAGTTGATATCGATGGATGACGTATGAAATTTGGGGTTATCAATCTAGTCACATGATAACCTAATTAATTCGGTTGGGAGCGCCCGACTTCTCACTACTTAGCTTGTTAGAGAAATATGCAAATATGGAAACCACCCTTTTGATGGAGAACAAAGGCTGTGTTAGTTGGATATTGTCAGTTTAAGGGAGAACCATGTTCTAACGGTTGCCAAAATTCCAAATATAATAACTTGGTACCATTTTGCGGCGTACACATAATTTCTATCGGATAGTGAGAGAGAGCTGCCTGGATTGTGGGAGAGGATTGTGGGAGATTCCATATAAGCTTCTAGGTCTTGCACCATCAAGGTACATTGCATGTAATATATCCTGGCATTTGAAAGTCTAATCCTTATGCTGTTCAACCACTGGAATCGGCTGCTCTGGCTGAGCACCAACCTCTCCATTGAAGACTTCCACTTGGATACGGGGCCCGACGAAATTCTTCCGTCCATCTACAAACCACTGGATGACGGAGATGACAAAAACAATACCAAATGCCGCAACACAGTAATCTGTCACATTTAATTAACTTTGTGCTTTGGCATCACAGAAAAAGGAAATTCAACTCACTCATGTTGCTACCAGTGGCAGGTAGCTCAGGGGGGAAGAGAAAGAGGACAGTAGTCAGGGCGATATAGATCAACGAAACCTGCGAAGTTTTGCGTCAGTAATAACTTCAGTGGAACTGCAGGGAAAGATATCATACGATGTTGAGGGTCCAGCCGAGAATTTCTGGCAGGACGAATGAGCGCTCCGGTAGCATTCTTCTTCCTCGACAGCAGTTTACTGCAATTGGCATTCCATATGAGATACCAAGCAGCACCACTGACGCTGAGACAATAGCACTGAAAGCACTTGGAGATGTTAGCAATATCCAGGATAAAATGTTATCCATAAGCTTACCTGGATGAGCCCAAGAAGATACAACCGAAGATAGTCACGAGAGCCAGATTGAGATAAAGCGAGTTCAAGGGGACATTTAGCGTGGGGTGAACTCGAGAGAAGAACGGAGACGCAGGGAGGCCGCCATCACTATAACTACTATCAGTATAATGACTAATTTCCAGATGTTGAATGCCCATAATAACGTACCGTGCGAAGGCATACACCATGCGACTGCTAGTGGTCATAATAGCGGTTGCAGCGAACAGAGCGCAGACTAGGGGGGAAGCTTGGGAGTGTGTCAGTACAACAAGTAATCGACGGCGGAGCAGTGAGGCCTACATCAAGAGACAGATCGCGCCTGCATTGCTTGAAGTGGCATTCTTCAAGATCGCAAGGAGCGGAGTTGCTGCAGAATCAATGATTTTGTTGATATCGCCAGCCACGAAAAGCAGCACAACAAGGAAGATTGCTCCAGTGACAGTGCCGATACCGACGCAAGCAATCATGATCTTGGGTCCCTCGACCGAGGGGTTGGGAATTTCTGTACTCCATTAGCCTCAGGTCCATGATTATGCGCAACCTTTTGAAAGTTACCTTCAATCATGTGGGCGACGCCATCAAAGCCTGTGACACCAAGACCGCCTTGCAGAAGCTATGAATATGTTAGATATGCCCATGAATATTTCCAATAGACGACATACCCCGAGCAACCACGCCACTCCATCAGGCCCTACAAGAGTCAGTCCAAGAAACATATAAGAATAGTCAGGGGAAACTTACATCCTGTTTTGTTGATGAAATCGGTGAAGACAAATCTGTCGGTTGTCAGTCTTTAGTTCCATAGAATTGTCGACCAGATAAGACGTACTCTCCGGAGTTATAGTTTGGCGAAGCACATGAAAGTACGGTGATGCAAATGACGGCAAATCCTGTCAGAGACCAGATGACTGTGGGAATTAGTAGAAGATCTCGGACAGCTTGATATAGGGTGTCTCACAAGCGCCCTTGGTGACATAAGGCATGATATCGTTCATAAAGGCGTTAATGAGGAAGGCAACGATGTTGTAGGCAAAGTAGATTAGGAATTGGTGCCAGCGCTGGGGGTTGTAGCTCTGGACCGGAACATCAGTCAGATATATCAATCTTGAAGCCGAGGAGTTCACAATAACGTACCGGGTTCATGAGAGAGATCACACCCTGGATGAGCTCACTGCCCAAAAGACCAGCAGTCGCGACCAGCGCAACCCAGCCAGAGCAGTTGATCCAGCCCGTAATCCAGGAAAGAATTGGCATCCATTTGCTCCATGAAGTCACAGCGACCCAATGATACTGGCCACCGGCGGTGGGGTATGCAGAAAGGAACTCAGCTAGAGAAGTGGCCATGCACAAATTACAGATTCCTGCCGTAATAAGACCTGTCGAGACTCGTGTCAGCTCTAGATCGTGAGGATTAGACAGAGAACCAAGCCGATACATACCCCAGACGATACTAACGCTGCCTCCCGAGGGCAAACTGAGCCCCAGACTTGCCGACAAAGCGGTCCACGACTATCCAGTGTCAATTGTTGATTCTTATAGAATCTGATAAGCTGCCGGTCGCATCACATACATTTAGAATGGCAAAAGCAAGACCCAGCATTGAGCTTCAAGAACGAACAGAGAGGTTAGCACGATCCAGGAATGTGTTTCAACTGTAGCACATACATCAGCGAGAAGTTTCGCTTCAGCTCAGACTTATGGCCCATCTGGGCCAGCTGAGCATCATCACTATTGTATTCTTCTTTGTCCATGGCGAGTATGTACCACAGGCAACAAGTGAAGAAAAGAAAAAGATCAGACAAGGAGAAACAGGGATCTTAAGCAGACCCCGGATGAAACGACATGACGACAGATTTTCGTATATCAATTCATATTCGCAGTCTACTTCTCCGCTACCATTGTCTCCCCGCGGGGGAAGCGAGTACGGAGAAGTGTTAGGTAACGGATTTGGGGTATAAGACCTCGGGACTGAGGGATATGATAACCAGCCGTGTCTGTGACTGGTCCGGCTGACCGAGAGCGGCAACTTCAGCCAGTTACAATGCTGCAAGATTATCGGGCCACCAAGGCCCTTGATAGTCGCGGACCGACGATCCATGGCTTGCGGCGGCAGCCCCAGTGCTTATGCCTTATTTGACGTATTATTGGTCGACCTTGGACCCACAGGCCGACTAGCGGGAAGCAATGCAACTGGGGGAAGTGGACGATCTTTGGAGGCGGATAAATGCGAAATACAGTGTGCAATATGCAGGATAAATGAAGGTATATTGTTTCAAGGTCTTGGCCAGCAGCCTTGGCTTTACTGTTTTTGTATGTTGTAGGCTTGTACGGCATTTGTCCTTGCTTCAGTGAATTGGACCGAGACGTTCAGGGAAGCGAGTCAATGTGGAGCGGTGGGCCGCAAACCTTCCAAGGTTGCTATCTCCTGTGCTATCTCTGGAGACAAATACTCCTATGTAATGTGCACATTTTGTACATACTTGATTTCCTCTGCTACTCCTTGGCGTTCCCATTCTGTTTTAGTGCTTATATTGTAGGCCTTGCCGTTTTTTGCCCACTAAGACTGAGCAGAACCTGACCACGCAGAAACACCACCAAACAAAATAGAGCAAGCGTCAAACATGACAGACAGACCTTCCCGCTCTCAAGACACTGGTCAAATGTAATGCCAACTCGTGCATAACAATATCTGGCCGTAACTAATAGTGTTTGCTATTTCGTGATTCGCCGCTGCTGTTTCATGATTTGTCTTCGCAATAATGCCGGGCGTCTACCCCTAGTGGGAGGCCAGTCGCTGCAAACAATCAAGAATGCCTGGTTTAAGATTAGCCAACATCACCTCTCATAGAATGACGAGACTCACCTGTCACTCCATGCGTCAACATCGTCTTAGCCTCAGAGCCTTGTGAGCCTATTGTCGCTGTCATGGAGTAATTGACTTCACCGGCGCTCTCCATCTCATTGGCCCACCTAAACAAATCCTCATCCTCACGGTCACCACCAATGATCAACAAGAAGTCCGGCTTCCAATTGTTGGAGCTTTCCGCGTAGCGCCACGCCACTTCCGCCGCGGGACGCTTGTTTGTATCAATAGGCTCAGCTATCACAGCAGACTCATAGATAACAGCGTGAATGCCCTGGTTGGCACAGGCATCGTTAATCTGGTCTGCGCACTCAGCTGCGAGACGCTTGGCCATTGCTCTGTCGGCCACCGAACCGAAGTGGAAGACGATCGAAAAGTGGCGCATTTCAACCCAGCTACCTTCCATTCGTTCCTGGAAGTACCCAAGGATACAGGATACCCCTTCTCTCCATGTATCCGTGTGCCCTTCGCCCACCAACTTCTTCCATTCAGTGGCATGCGGCTCACGCAAAAAGCACCCATTTTCGGCAATCAATCCCACTCCGGCAATATGGCTGAAGCGTCTCTCCTGTTCCTCCAGTGTTCGCGAGCTTACCACGTAAACGACGTTGAGTGGATCGTCTGTCAGGTCGGTCAAGGTCGTTACTGCACGTTGGGGCGTGGCGAGAAAGAAGACGCCACTTGGGGGTCTCCAGGGTGCTAATGTGCCTTCGTATTGGATAAATATCATGCGGCGGCACGCCTGTCGGTATTCCTCTTTTAAACTGTCGACGGAAAGACACGGCAATGTGCACCTTCGGTGCGATAACTGCTCGCTGCAGACAAGAGACAGCCTTTCTTTAAAGGACTTGACCCAATTTGTTGCTGAATTATCCAATAGTGATCTGTGAAGCTGCTCCCAAGCCTTCTTTCGCTCTTCCCGGTTCCGAACTAATGCCATATGTATTGCATTTGCGCACTGACGGAAGTCCCAAGGATTGACTAGGAGCGCATGGTCACCAAATATAGATGCACTGCCCGTGAACTCGCTGAGAATCAATGATCCATACGCCTTATTACTATAGAGCCCGTCTTGGCAGTAAACGAACTCGTGGCTGGTCAGATTCATTCCTTCTCGAAGGCTGGTGACTATCAGCACGTCTGCGACCGTGATAAGTGCGACGTACTGCGGAGATAAGAGGTCCTGCCTGAGAAATACTAAGGGCTGATGTTCAAGGGTCGTATAGGCAGAATTTATTCGTAGAGCAATGTCGGATATAGTCGCTTCCAGGTCGGGCTGCCGTATAGTGCTAGTAACTAATTGTATCAAAACAATATCGTTCGCCCATTCCCGGTGTGTGTTAAGGAAATGTTCATAGCTTAACAGCTTCTGGCGGATCCCTCCGATAGTGTCCATCTTGTCGTGGGAGATGATGATACGCTTACCCCGGTACCGAGCCGAGATAGTGTCGATCAAGAGCCTAATATCGGCTGGTTGTCTTCGCCGGTCCCATAAGGTTGGATCAATGCCAATCGGGAATGTGCCCACGTTGACAAAGCGGTCGTTTAACTGAATCCCTTCGTCGGTAGCTTCCACGGAAAGGATTCTGCTGCAAGTCCGTAGAAAATGACCGGAGTACTCGTCGATCTGGAAGCCGATCAAGTCGGCACCCAGCAGACCTCTAAGTAGCTCCTTACCCGGGGCCAAGCACCTGAAAACTTCGGAGGACGGGAAAGCAGTATGAAGAAAAAATCCAATCCGGAGGTCGGGAAGCATCTTTCGGAGCATGGCTGGGACCAGCATCAAGTGGTAATCCTGTACCCAAACCGAATCGTCTCTCTTGCAATGTTTCGCAATGTGTTCCGCAAAAGCCTGGTTGACTCTCACATAGTAGTCCCAGGAGCAGTCCTCGTAGGCTTTACTTTTGGGGCTATCGGGAACCTGGTAATGGAAGATCGGCCAGAGGATGGTCTTGCAGTGCGTGCAGTGTCCTTCGAAGTCACGGTCGCATACAAATACGGGCAAGGACCGATACTCGTCCTTGAGTTTTTGCTCAATGGCCATCCGATCAGAGTCCTCCATTGTATCCGTTTGTGTTCCGAGCGTGCCCACCCACGTTGTGTCCTTGAGATAGCCGACATCCTCAGCGGAACGTATAGCGCTTTCTAAGCCATCGTTGACTTTTGTTGCAGGAATAACGCGCCATTGGGACGCGCCTTTTGTAGGTGACCGACCATTTGACTGCGGTTTCGAGGGAAACGGATAACCCGTACCCTTCCTTGGTGGAAAGGGTGAATCGGAAGCAAATATGTGCTTGTGGTTTGCGGTGGCATCAGGGGTCAAGTCATTGCCATGCAGTGCCTCATTGCTGAATTCGCCATTGCCTCTACTCGGTGGTGAATTAAGGCTCTGAGGCAGGAGGGGAGCTGGTGATGGAATTTTAGAGCTGCATGAGTTTTGGCGGGTCACAGTGTAAGGGAGAATACTAGATGATTCGTATCAGATATGTATGCGAGGAAACCCATGACCACATACAGAGACGCGACGAAAATCGTCATATCGAATACTTCAAGCCAGAATCCAACATATGTACGAAGGTCGCAAGTATTCACAACCTGTACAGGTTAAATATATCCATAGCCTCCCGAGGTCGAATCAATGCGATCTTGGGATTTTATAACTTTTGGGACCCGACGTCATCTTCCGGAGTTACATCATTATCAAACTAAGATAATACAAGCACTTCCTAGTTTAATATCTATCTCTGACCTGTTTTAGAGTCCTTTGTTCTAGATGGCTATTTCTACTGTTTTGGATTGGTGAATATATGTTGTACACTCGATCATCGGTTGTGCAAACCACGAATCATCAGTAAATTTATGAAATTTGTACCCGAACTAAACTGAAACTCGAAATATCACCTTTACGAATTAGTTCATGTGATCTAATATGCACATAATTCTTTCTATAGAGCGAGAGCAGATTTTGTTCATCCAACTTCCCCAACTTGGAAACATTGAGTCCTATAGTCCTCATGCACTGCAATACACGATTACGCCACGTGAAGGGCTTGACTACATGCTTTCGCGTATACAGTTCGATGAGCGAGTTATCTAATTAGAATTAGTATTGACCGTTCATAACATCCTGTTACAATACTAGTTTTCATGGCCTTAAAGCTTTGAGACACCAAAATTCGACATTGGACTATCTCGAGCCGCTGACACTTAGGAACTATCCCGATCATAAGATAGGAGTCGTCGGTCATCGGCGATAAACATGAGTTCTCATACCGACAAATCAAGCGTTCTCGTTGAGCAGCCGCTACTTACGGCCTATGATCTCACAATTTGATCGCAATAGTTGATGCAGCCCTCGATAGCTTGTGGCCCATGACTTCACTTGACATCACCCTCCGTTCTTGAGCATAGCGATGTATATTTGCCAGCAGGCTTTGAATTACATATTCCATGGGTCACAATAGTTGGAAACAAGTAGCACGACCAACCTCTGGTCATGCAATGACTGGTTTGACAACAGGTTTTCCATCCAACAAATGTTATATATTCTGGACACGTCTTCCTCATTTTTTGGGGTTATTGATTAAATTTTGAAATTTTGAAATTTTCCACACAATCTACTCCAGCCACAAGATGTCGAACCGTGCCGAGAGAGTCGCAGAAGATAACTACGAGAGGCAGAACGATCCATCGCCCGTGACCGGTAACTTCAGAGATGACTCCTATGCCAAAGAGACCAACCCGAACTTGAGAGGTCAAGTCCCTGTTCAGGGACAAAATCAGCAATATGATGATCCAATGCAACCTCCTTATTCCAATACTGATCAGCAGCTTGGTAAGTTGACGTTGTGTCAAACCAATTATATAGTAATCAGAAGGCCACTAACATCGTCTAGAGGAAGACGAACAAGAGGCGATCGATAAGTCCAATATCTTGAGGGGAGACCGTCTCCGTCATGCAAAGCCTCAAACCTCGAACAAGTACAACGAGGGTCCAGATGAGGAAGATCTGCCGTGATTTGCTTTTTCCACTACTTTGAATGGGATAACCGAATTACTGTTGTGGTCTGAGGCTTAGGTCGATAGTCGGGTGCCCTGGTCCACCCCTTAGTGTGCTAGTTTGAAGCTCGCTCTCTTTACTCTCTCTCTATACAACTTTACAAGTCTCTTCTTCTGTACTTCGGTCTCCGCAGTGCATAGTGCCTTAATACAGGGTGGTCTACTAGTATCCAAGAAACTTATACTCCTAGGAAATTAAAAGACAGAACTTGAGGTCAGCGTCTAGAGAAGGAACCTTGATCTGTGGAAACGTCAATAATGCTGGAAAGACCACATTATGAGATCTGTTGGTGAAGGTCCTATAACTATAGACGTAGAACACTACTAACGACACTCTTCGTTACCGCCATCTATTGCTAGCAACATAATCTAAGAATGGGTGGTTAGATGAACCTACAACCAGTCACCCTTGTTCATCCTTTTACTTGGTTAGTGTCTGAAAACGTATTGCCGCTCATGGTCTCCGGCTAAAGATTGACCGTCATATGACGCTTGAGATCCATCTTCAAACCGAACCTAAGATTATTGCTTGTACAAAACCATCATCAAACGTAATGCAGCAAACATCATTTCCCCTAACTTTGCGTCAATTGTCGCGGGTCAAACCGGCAACGCGAGCCATAGGAAGCACATAGAAAACCGGTCAGTCGCACAATCCATGCATCTATTGTTCCATGCTTTTTGGCCCTTCCATCGGTCGGCCTATGGCAATCTCCAGAACGAACTGTATGTAACTCATAGTGACGTGGCGTTTATACAAGACAAGTTTTGCGAGCTAAGCAAGAGACTAGAAAACTTGGCATTGACATTGCCTCATCAAGCACACACCCGCTCTGCCCTGCTGCATCTGTGCCTCTGAAGTCATTGAGAGTGATGCGTTTTGTATGTGGAGATGGAAATATCCAATCCAAGTAAACTGACGTCAAAGGTGACTTCAGATCATGAACAGCTCAAGCTTGGCGACACACATAAATAAGCAGTCAAAATACCCCTCAGATGACTTCTTGAACCTTCAAGCTATATTACAATTATACAAGCAATCGCACAACACTACCAAACACTACCAAACACTACCTTCACGATGTCCGACAACCCCAACCCTGGTAATTTCGCCAACCGACCTCACGAAGAGGTTGAGAATATTGCTCGCAAGGGTGGGCAGTCTAGCCACCAGAGCGGATTTGCTTCTATGGATCCAAACAAGCAGGTTCGTAAAAGCACCTACTAAATCATATGATATGTACGATAACAGACTGACACTATCCCAGAGGGACATCGCCTCACAAGGCGGTCAGGCTTCAGGAGGAAGCTTCCAGCCTGGAGACCCGAGAGCTAAGGAAGCAGGCCGGAAAGGAGGTCAATCATCTGGGCAGCCTGATGAGTAGGGTGATTACATTATCTTATTATTTGGGTCATATTCGTTGTCACGGATGGCGAGTTGCTAGCACTCTTGGATGGGAAACGATAGGGGAAGGACAGATGAACTTTCAGTAGTAATACATTCGTTTTATAAGTTTACTGGGGGCTTCCAGCCCATCGTTTTGTATGGAAGCTATCGTATCCTTTAGGTCAGTCCACTCACACAAAGTGAGACGTAGGTCAAAAAGGAGACGAGAATCAAAGGGTCCATTTACATAAAATGAAGAAAAAATACTTGCGCAAACTTGCCATCGGTCATGTACTTTTATTGTCCTATGTAGGAAGCCCAAAGTACACTCATTGTTCGCCCAACCCAACCCGGGTTTTCATAATCCATTGAAATGAAATCCTTGAATCCTCCAACGCCCCAAACGCCCCCAAGAGTCACCCCTGATCTGATTCTTCTCCAGCTCCCCCGTCCACCACTGGCTGTCATCACTTCTTGCAGCCAGGGCGATAGAGCAACTCAGAACTGCTGGTATCGAGCCTCGAAATACAGCAAGATCCAACCCGCAATGCATTCGGCTCGAATATGCTCAATCAACTCCTCCTTAGTCCACACACGAAAGGCGCGACGGAAGAGCTGGAACGAGCGTTCATACTTGTCGAGCTCAGGGTCAAGTCGCATCAGCCGCATGTTGGTGTCGGAGATTCGTTCACCCTTGTTGTAGGTGAGCATGGCAGTGCAACCACGGCAGGAGTAATGGGTTTGGCGTGTATTGTCGCGGTTGACAACAGGGACCCGGCAGGAAACTTCATGGTGGTGAGCGGTTCGGTGGTAGTTCCCCAACGACACGAGCAAACGCATTCTGACAGGGGTCGGCGAGTGGAGCTTAGCGGCGCGATAAATGTCATGTTGGTTTTCAACCTCGAATTCCTCGTCATCGGGGTTGGCGTACTTTCGGGCTCCAGGGATTGGCGTCTTACCCTCCACAGCACGCTTGATGCCCTCACGGGTACCGTACATCTCCAGGGCTTTGGTTAGCGCCAGCTTGATAGGGACAACCCAAGCGCCAAGGTCCGTGTAGTCAAAGTCAATCTTGCTCAGCTGTGGCAGATACATAGTTTGGGGGTGAACGAGATCGGGTATGTCGAGGCCAAAGATTAGGGCTGCCTGTTCAACGGGGAGACACCAGAATGCGTGGTTGTCGTGCACGCATGGGTGGCAGATACGCTCCATGGTGGGGAGGTAGAGTTGAACTGACTGCTCGCCGCAAACCACGCAATTCACACGGAGGATTGCCTCTTTGAGCTGAAGAATGTTCCAGTACAAATGGATCTGGGACCGTCTGAGCATCTTCGGCATGCCGGGGGCCCACTGCCGCAGAAACGACATCGGGCTTTGCTGCACAAAGTGGTTGGCGAGCCGGTTGACGTGTGAGAACTTGTTAGCACTCATGATGTCCAGTTTGTTGACAATCATATCAACGACCTCGTTCGGGAGGCAGCTCATAGCCCCCCAAGTCCTTCACGGGCTCTCCCTTGGGCTCTATAGCCACGGGCACGGGTCTGACTTCGATGTCAACGATTCCGGTATTCAGGGAACGCGGGCTATTTCCGAGGATTTCTATCATCTTGGAGGGCTCCCGGGTGTTGGCAAAAGCCTGTCCCCAGGATATATGCTCCGGGACAAGGTTGAGACTCATTGTAACGGGACAACGCGCAAATCACGCGAATGGCGAATGTGAAATTGAACGTGTCAACCCGCTATTGTAGAACGCGTTCAATGAATGAGAATACCCTATCAGTGTTTGGTCAGCGGATGAGATGGTAAACACTACGCATATCACCTAGGTAACACATACCTTCGTGTTGCGAAAGGATGGAAGATGGATGCGAAGCAATCGAGAAGGGAGGAAGATGTGAAAGGGAACGAAACGAATAATAAGGACCGACAATTGTTGAGGAAACGCAGTTGAAAAGTGCGACTGCGGCCTGGCGCAAACGTATTGCCTGTGCCCTTATGGCATACTACATTGGTTACGCGCGACGCTGTAGATTAGCTCATCGTAGATAGCAAACTGCAGGTCGTTCTCCACCATTGCGCCTTTCATACGCTCTATCACTATGCGAATGGGGCATATCTAGAGTGCTTGAATGGGTGTGAGCCAACACGGGCTCATGGAATACTGCCACTTGATCTGGAGTCACAGACGAAGAGGAGAGGAAGGTTATAAGATACTCTATACAATGTTGTCATTTCCATTGTGCCGCTCTACGAATAAGCTTAGACAATCTAGTTGCTTGCGTTTCCTGAAGCAGTGGGTGCTAGGGATGCTGAAGATTACCCTGAGACTGCTATACTGCGAGAGACGGGGTGTATTTGTCTTACTAAAGGTGAGTACACTGAGGAGATGGGCGCAAAAGTAAATCAACTGTTACTGTTAAAGAATAATTAAGCTGCCAGAGCTCCAAAAAGAGCCGAAACGGAAATCTAGCCAATGTCTTATCAAAACAGAATTCCTGAGTATGTATGTACTGCATAGTTTCAAGGTAATCTTGGCTGCAGTGAATGCAGCTAATAACTGCAGTACAAACTATCCCAAAATGTGCCAGTCCTCAAACATCCTCTTCGTCATTATAACTAATGTCTAAGTGGTAGCATGTAGCATCCCATGTCCCAGGGCATAGTCGCTCTCAAACACATAGTTCATAAGCGCCTAGGAGCAGGGGCATTCACACCGGATATGCTTTATCATATCGGAGTTGGAGCGCCAACGAAAAATGCGACGGTACGTGACGCAAGATAATCGATCTTCTGGTCGATGCGCTCGGGGGTTGCAGTTGACAAATAAATCCGATGATGGGTTCGCTGTTCTGAGACGACAAGGATGACTCCCTGTCAGTATCAATGTTAGTGGGTGATTTCATGAAGATTGTATATACTAACCGTGGGATTTAGAAATTCTAAGCTTTGAAGTATATCATGAGATTGACCGTTTTGTGCGAATGGGGAAATACTATATCAACTCGGAAACCTCAAACTTCTGTACGGATTGTAGTCCAGGATATGTGGAGTTCGAAGTTCGACCTGCGAAGACTGTCAAGGGGCAGTATGATGTTGAGAGGTAGGAGAACCTTGAAGAAGCGATTGGGATGATAGGACGATATAGTACGATGGATGGGATACGGCGTCAAAAGGAAAAGGCAAGGCCGATAGCAATGAATGGTCCCTCATCGCATTCGCTCATCCGCTATGATGACGAGCGTTTTGGAATCTTGAAGAAAGGACAGGAGAGACTAAGGAGGCCTATGTTGAGACAATATCACGGAAATGATGTACGGAAGAAAGAGGAAGAAGCACACTAGGAAGTCTATACGCCCATGAGAAGAGGGAAATCAACTAGTACGGCGTTAGGCGACTAAGCAATTGTGGTCATTATGTACGATCCGAGGTCTCGTTTGAATCCTCGCAAAATTTACGTCGCAATCGAGATTTCTTACGGAAAAGCCTAGAAGTATCCATGGATCCATGGTACTGTTCGTAGACGGTAATGGTGGCTCAACTGACGCGCGACAGCACATGCGATGACACACTTGGGATAGGCACACTTGCGACAGGCACGCTTGCGACAGGTACACTTGCGACGACAGGCACATGCGACGTGGCAGCAAACTACTTCAAGTTGTTGAGAGTTCATGTACTCCGGCACCGCAGCGTAGACACACGATGGTGATACAAGGCTACGGAAGTAGTAACAGCAGTAAAGGGAATCAGAAATGTACAGACAAACAAGAGGTATATAAATCAGCATAGTAGATACAAAGGCCTGCTTGGCCCGGTGAACAGTACCGGCACGTTAAAATATACGGACAGTGCCATACGTTCTATTCAACCTCCTCCATGGGGTTTCTCAAGTGATCAGTCCGGACAACGTAATCCTCATCTTCATCCTCTTTGGAATCGGCATCTGCCATATCCTCATCATCACCATCAACAGATCCATCAGATTCCGCACCGGTGCGGGACTTGCCCTTCTTGCTGACGCTCTTTCCTTTGCCTTTGCTGCTGGTTGTTGACTGGCCGCTGGTGCTGCGGACAAGGTTTCCTGGCCATTTGTTCAGGCCTTTGATACGGCCGTGAATACCCCCAGGCGTGTGGCTGTCGCCATTGATGGTAGGTGCCTCTTCCGGTATGGCCGAGCCGCCCAGGCTGAATGCCTCCATCGCCTCGGCGATTGTCTGTGGTGCGGCTGCGGCGGGGTCTTGCTTTGACTTGTCCACTGCTTCGAATGTCTGACGGATGCGCTCGAAGTGCTCCAGTTCCTTGGCACTGCGAGGGGTTAGTATCATGGTATGTCACCAGAAGAAGGTTGAATGGAACGGGTGAGTGGAGTGGACACATACCTAACACTTGGCACAAGGTCTCCTTGAGCAGACAGGAAATCCTCCTCGGTTACCATCACATTCACATCCTCCTTCGTGGCCAGGTGGTCAAAGAACCAAGCAGTGCTGACGGGACCATTTGGCAGAGCCTTGATCTTCTCGTCGACCGCAGTGGCCTTTCGAGTGATAGCTTTTAGCATGGCATCAGAGCAGAGCGCATACAAATCAGCACCAGTGTAAGTCAAAGGAAGCTGCTCCGCAACGCGGTCAAGCGAGACATCGGGGTGGAGAGCGAACTTCCGCGTCAGAGCCTCAAGGATAGTCGCCTGCTTCCTATGTGTATCTGACACGCCCAGGTAGAGCATCTTGTCGAAGCGACCAGGGCGGAGAAGAGCAGTGTCAAGCAGATCGGGACGGTTAGTCGCACCAATGACGAAAACTCCGCCGCTATTCTCCTCGCCGCCGTTCATTCCATCCAGCTCTGCGAGCAGCTGACTGACGATACGATCCATAACACCACCACTGTCTCCCTGGTTACCACGCTTGGGCGCAACAGAGTCCAGCTCATCAAAGAAGACAACGCAGGGACGAGCGTCCCGAGCGCGTTGGAATACCCGGCGCACGTTCGCCTCGGATTCACCAATATACATGTTAAGCAGTTCGGGGCCCTTGACAGAGAAGAAGTTGAGCGAGAACTCGGTGGCAATGGCCTTGGCAAGTAGGGTCTTGCCCGTGCCGGGTGGGCCATAGAACAAGATACCACTGCGCTTCTTCATGCCCTTGGCGAAGAGCTCGGGCCTTTCGAGTGGCAGCTGAATGGTCTCGACCAAGGCATCCTTAACATTAGTCAATCCACCAACATCGTCCCAGCCAACGTTGGGAATCTTAGGTGCACCGATCGAATCGGCGAAGTTCTTGCGCGCAGCTTCGACAGCAGCGTCAAAGTCTGCCTTGGTAACACCGCGTGCACCGTCGCCTCCTGCCAGCAGGACGTCTCTCACAAAGACCTCCGAGCCGGAAAGCTTCTTGCTAGCCTCGGCCAAACTTTCGAGACGAGCTGTTCTCGCTCCGGCAGCTCGTTCCACGACGTCAACCAGATCTCCTGCAACAAGAGCTGCGGTCTTCAAAGCAATGCTGCCAAGATCCACGTCCGCAGACAGTCTGATACCGCGCTCTGCGACGGCATTTTGCAGAATGCCTTCACGCTCTTTCTCCTCCGGGGCACCCATCTCGAACTCATGGGTGATGAGGCTGCGGATACCTTCAGGGATAGTTTCAACATCAGTGGTGGTGGCAATGACAACTCTGGCGTCGTTCAAGATATCGCTCATTGCTGTGACAATGCGATCAGCGGTTAGAACCTCGATATGTCTGATCAGCAGTGCGGTGCAGTGTGCTCCGCAGTGGAAGGCCCGTTCTGCTCGGGCTTTGAGATATGCCTCGGTCTTGACATCGCCACCATTCGCGCCGCCTTCTGTCAAGATATCGTACGCATCGATAGGGAATGTGTGGAGGCCGATATCCGAGCACGCCCGAGTCGCGACGGTTGCCTTGCCGATATGTCTTTGCTGCGATCTGAGGAGAATGAAGACGGGTTTCATTCCTAGTTGAATAGCCCGCGGGCTTGTGGCAGCAGACATCAGATCACGGATCCGCTGCTGCAATGGAGGGATAAAGGACTGAGGTGGATCGGCAACAATTCCATGAGGGGTTGGGGCATCATGGACGCTCTTTGGGATCGTCTTGACGCCCAGCCAATACTCCCACCCGTTGCCCAACACGCCGGGAACCCGGCTCACGTCGCTTCCAGCCTGTACCATGCGCGTAGTCGCCGGGTCAAGTACAGCGACTCCACCCCACTGATCTTCGCCTGTCTCCTCCAGCTCCTCTAGTGTAGTCGGGGCTACCTGCCCGACACGGAACCAAGCGACGCCGATTTTGCGGGTTCCGGCATTATTGGCATTGGCACCTTGACCTAGCCGGATAGTAATGTCTTCCTCCTGACTGGCACTGTCACCGCCAGCGGTGCCAGAGAACACCGCTCTGCCGAGTCCTTCGTCCACACTAATTCCGACCAAATCACCACTTTTAAGGATACGCCGGCGTGACTCGAAGTACTGCTTCAATCCTGCGAATAGCGCTGGTTGAAGAACCCGATCCATTGAGAGAGGAGTGGAAACCTTGAGCAACGTAACCTCTTTCGCCAAAGGCGGGTTTTTAGCAGCAGTGTTCTTCATGTGTTGCAAAATCCCAGGTTTGGAGGATCCATTAGGGGTAGCAAAGGTCATAGGAGAGATCCGCAGGTACTTGGGATTTTCAATATTACCAAGAAGCAACGGGGGAACGAAAACCGAAGGGGTCAAGCGGGTGGGTGGACGTTGCGAAATACTGGGCCGGCGTTCACCTGTGTGGTTAATGGCATACCGGGGTTTGGAGGACGGAAGACCCGAAAGACCAAAAATCTTAACTGGGCGCCAATCGCCTGAGTCTTCAGGAGAGTCGTTAAAACTTCCAAATTTGAGCGAGGCGAACATGTTCAGCTGGGGCTCCTCGGCAGCTTCGATTCTAACCCAATCGCCGGAGAAGCATCCGATCTTGGCGAGGGTGCTGATATCTACAAAGACAAAGGAGTCGACGTCTTCATCGTCACGAGGCCGGGGGTGCAGCACTTCATTTGGGACTTGCTGCAGGAGACCTTCTACCTTAAAGGTCTTCCTCCGCCCCGGCCAGGGCGCATGGTAGCCGCTGTGAAATTCGATGCGACCGAACCCGGAGTATGAATTCCGTCTGATCGTCGACCGCCGGCTCTAGGAGTCGCCGAAGTCAAGGAAGACATCACCCCCGATGGTGGTTGTGGCAGTTCAGGCGCACTAAGAGAAATCATGTCCTCCAAAGAATCATCTGAGGAGTCACTCATGGACCCTGCTGAGCCCTCTGTTTCTGACTCCTCGGCAGCTGATGTTACCTCCATTTCTGTCCCACTTTCGCCAGGTTTATCCTCAGCCGCAGAATAGAATTGTTCGTTCGAAGTATCGTCGGCTTCGTCTTCGGCCACTTGCTTCAGAAGCGCAGACCTCGAAGGCACAGTTTGTTGAGGACGGAATCCTTGAGGCCGGGCCTGGACAAGCACGATCTTTGTCGTCGACATCAGCAAGCCTTGCGAAACAGGCTCGCAGAATGAGATCCGCGCCGGGGGTGGAGGCGCATAAGTTATGGGATGAGAAGGGAGTGGAAGGGGCAGCACGTCTCCAGTATGCACAATACGCTGAGCTCCCAATGCTTCACGAACTGCTGCAGTGAGACGTTGTTCAGCATCGGCTGCAGCCCTTTTCGAGTACTTCTTGGCTTCTACCGACTTCCCCGCCTTCCCCCAGAGTCCATTCGGCCCCTGCGCATTCGTGAATCCACCACCAAATTTGGTCTGAACATCGTCATGATTGCGAAGGAGATGTCGCTCAACGGTCACAAAGATTGTATCTAGCTGAATCGGGGCGACGTCCAAAATCCGAATCTCTACGGAACGGTGTGCCTGTAGGGAGTTGCGCGACGAGTCGACTTTCCCCAAGGCCTGAAGGAAAGGCTGGAGTGAGTCTGCTGATTCAGGAAACAGCACTGTCGAGTGTGACATTGCAACTGGCGATCTCTCTGTGGGCTGAATGCGCACTGGGAGTATCGTCCAGGCCTGATCTTCCACGGAGGTATAAGTCGGCGTATGTGGGGCGATTGCAACATAGAGCACTCCATCGTCGGAAGTCGTAACATCTGGTCAGAACAAAGACGAGTCAGTTAACATTCTTATTAGAACCACTCGAGGGGGCTTCACAACTCACCTTGGAGAGCCTGCTGCTGGAAGAGGTCATTCGCTAGATCCTCGGATAAGATGCCGACCTTCCCGCGCAGCTGGGGGTCCAGTGCTAAACGTGCTGCGATGGGTGCCTTATTGTTCAATCGCCGCTTTCCGGCTCTTCTTCTCCGTTGTCGAGGCTGCTGGGAGCTCTGCCCATACTGTTCGAAGTCCATGGGTGCGGTGTCTTGTCCGGTTGCCGTCGGCAAACGAAGCGGGGGAGGTAGGAGAAGATGTGAACGGAATGCAATCACCAAATCATTTAACGAGCGCCCCTGGGAAGATGTCCTACAGAATCTCCAGATTTAGCGAACTACTGGGGGAAGACGAGGTTCGGACCCAGAATCCGGGGGAAATCAACACGCGGGCATCTCGGCACCGCCCGCCATTCTGCCATACCCCGAAGCCGAGGTCCAATCGGGGAGTATGGCTTTCCGTTTTAGTGCTGAGACCTTGCCGCTTTTAGCTCAAATCCTAAAGCGCCCTGGGCTCACTACGTATTATATAAGCACTCATAAGCCACGGGGCCCTGGAGGGTCTACCGAGGTATGTAGGTATCATGAGACTATGTTGTATAAAATTAGCTGTACGATGACGCTTGTCTGATCACAGGCTTGTTTGTACAGGTAACCAACTCTCATTTCTCAACATGAAAAAATACATATTAGACATATATCGCATCTCACGAGTGCGACGTTTTTGTGTTATTTCTTCAAAGCTGGAAGGTTAAGTGCGAAGCTCGACTTCTCTGATCACTGGGCGAGCTGCTTGTGGGCAAGGCTGGCCCGGTGAACAAGGTCGTCCATTCCTATAACCAGAAGGAATCTTAGAAACGCGAATTTCATGAGAAAGGAAAGAGTATATACGCACCTGGTGGAGGATCAACCGGCGGACGCGCTGAGACTTTCCGGTATCTGACAGACCCTTCCAGACCGGGACCTTCGCTCTTGTTAGGTTATATCCAAGAGAAGGATATAGGGAAATGCTTACATTTTTTGCGTCGATTTCCGCGTATACCTGATCTGCTATGGTCTTGATATATTGCACCTTCCTTAATAAATGGGACTTTTGCGGTGAAACTCCAAGTAAAGGGAGGCGGTATTTCGCGCGTATTTTCCTCCAGCTGTACCATTTGACGGACGAAGATGAGATGGTATAGTTGTTGTCTGCAAGCCAGCATATCAACTCCATATGCGCGTAGGCTAGAAGCAAGCCACGGTTGGCACATTGAGGGGTGTCTTCCCTCGAAGCATTAATGAGTCGGCCATCGGACGCAGCGCGGTCAGCGTAATCGCAAAGATATTTCCGGAAGCTCCTCCTATCGAGTCTATTGGCTCCCAGGTTGATTGCGATCGTATTGACGGTGGCTCCTACATTATCTAGTAATTCAAGTGCGGTGGAAATTTCTTGGGAAATAGGGAGTGTCATGTTCAAGGGTATTGAAAAGATGTTGTCGGATTTAGGTGCAATAACGTCTTTTTACCTGGAATTTGAGACAAGATTCAGCACATAAATCATCGATACCAAGCGGCGAATTATAAAACCGAAATCCTGTTCTTCTTCATCCATCTCATGGATTGTCGGGTTGTGGCTTGGCACCCTCAACAGGAATCACACGACATTGACGTTGGAAACGGTATCAAGTTATTGGACAACGCTTTTATTATGACGCATCGAGATCCTTATAATATCTTGCTTTCAACAAATGATAATTATCTCTTTCCCGCGCTCTTCTATGTCATGCCTAGACCTAATCCATGGATGATGACATAGTTGCGTAGTAAAAGATGCGTGAAAAATAACCACCTTTCATGGACATGAAAAAGACCTAGGATAATTTATGATCTCTACTCTAACGCCCAGGACCTTATACACTCTTTTTCCGGTTTTCGTCTGTCTCCATAAGTGGGCGGAAGTGATAAAGTGATAAAGCTTGGTCGCAGGGTGATCTTTGGAGAGGGCCCTGATGCAAGGGGTTGAGTTCATCGTTGCTTAGAAAACCAATGGATCTGTCTTTACGATCGGACTGGTTAGATAGTCTGGACAAGTTTTTTCGAGAGGGCCTGCTCAACTATTAGAGATAGTGTGATGATCAATATAGTGCAGGATCGTTGGGTCGTGCGCAGCCTCTTCGAGCTTAACCGCAATTATAGCACACGAGAAGAACAGCCATTAGGATTAGACTCTTTCCCCTGTGGACATCCACGCGATCCTAAAATATACAGCGCAGCCAAGCTCCATAACAGCCATGCACTACTAAATATACTATCAAGGCCATCTCTATACTAACTTTGTTCCATCCTATGAGTTTGCAATGTAAAATTGCGGAGCCCGCTGTCAGTACAGACCAGTATACTGCCTATTTAGCCAAGATAAGCCTTCTGTCATTGTGAGGGCATCTATTCCTCTATGATATGTAATTTTATCAATACAAGGCGGCAAGACACCATAGTATTGTACTAGTGAATCAAGAATCTTTGTATGATTGGTGGATCAAGGATCTGATCAAGGATCAAGGATCTGAGCAAGTATTTGTGTATGATCAACGTATACTTAGATATACTTAAACCTTAGGACATGATTCTCACTTGACCAACTCCGGTAAAATCAGTGGGGTTGTTCGACCAAGAACCTGGATCGTGACGTCGATGCTTTTTGTATAATGCGTGCGACCAAGTTCCTACATATGCTGTTGTTGTGTAGGTGAAATGACGACATACGTACTTTCAGCTAGGGGAAAGGCTGGCTATACATAACATCGTTTATATATGGTACTTCAATGCGGCTACCAACCAATATCATTTAAATAACCATGCACATCTTGCCCTGGTTCCCTCCCACTGTGGCTACGCGATTAAAGCACAATGATTCTCATCCAAGGAACAACCAAACTTCTGCGCCTTGGGGTCTTTCGGCAGCCGGCTGTGCAGCCTACTGTGCAGATGGCAAGACGGCTGGCTACCAATGCTGGTATCAAACAAACATTGCCGACGGAACCACTTCAACAGACGGATCAACGATTTCAGTCATTTCAACTTCGTGGGAAAGTCTTTGCGGTGACTGGTGGAGGGCGCGGGCTAGGCCTAACAATGGCGGAAGCATTAGTGGAAGCAGGGGCAGAAGGTATGTTATATTCTAATTTATAACTCTTGATCTATTGACTAACCATGAGTGAACGGTGGATATAGTGCATTGTCTAGATCGACTACCTGAGCCCCACGAAGAGTTCTATACTGCACAAGTACGGGCCAATCCCCAATTTGGGGGCTCTTTGCATTATCACCCATTAGATGTTCGCGACAAAGACAGCACGAACCAGATAATGTCTTCGATCGCCGACGGTAAGAACCGGCTAGATGGCTTAGTCGCGGCGGCTGGGGTAAACCATGTCGAGACTGCGGTTAATCACTCCGCTGCCGATATTGAACGGATAATCAGTATCAATTATACTGGTGCTTTCACATCTGCAACTGCTGCTGCAACACAAATGCTGAACAAGCAATGTCGAGGATCAATACTACTGGTTTCCAGTATGAGTGGGATGATTGCAAACAAAGGAATGAAATCGTCTATCTATAACTCATCCAAAGCCGCTGTGATCCAACTCACTAGAAGCTTTGCTATGGAATGGAGCAACATCGATAGGGAAGGCAGAGGGGAATACGAGTGAACTGCCTTTGTCCAGGACACGTAGTCACGCCTATGGCCAAGATGGCCATGGATAAGACGCCGGGGGCAAAGGAGATATGGGAATCTGAGAATATGTTGGGACGGTTGGCACGGCCAGAAGAATTCCGTGGTATTACCTTGTTGCTTATGAGTAATGCGAGCAGCTTCATGACTGGGAGTACAATAGTAGCCGATGGAGGGCATACGGCATGGTGAAGGCTTCAGTATACGTGAAGGTCTTTAAACCCTTGTTTTTTCATTGCAATTGATACTACCTAGGTAGTATACGTCCTACTCCCCAAACAGTCAGTTGACCAGCTGCGTAGATACTTTGTATATTAGCTCGCGTCTACTTATATATAGATCTACCTAGCTTTCTCTCTATTTCTCCTTATCCTATTCCTCGCCTATACTATTTTTATCTCGATTACTAAAAGAGGCACAAGTCTTTGAGGCTTTGCTCCTTGTGTCTCCACAAAAATTAGTAGCTTATTTACTAGCCGTGATTCTTTCAACAATCATTTACCTCGACCCATCGCTGAGTGGGAACCCTGGATTGTGAGCTCATGTTTCAGTTGGAAGCGTCTCGGCCATTACGATATCATTTAGGCTCCAACAGGTTAGTAGATCTTCCGCTGGGCTGAACAACGCGAAAGCCTGTTTCTCGCATCCCTGAGACATGTGTGATACGTCAATTGGTTCATTATGACTTAAGTTACAAAGTGACCTCAAATCATTGTATCTGCTCATTTTAACCAAGCTTCATCCAACCCGTAATCAGGCCTTACATCGAAAATGACGTAACTTAAGCAAACTTGATTGGAGCGCAATAATTGCAATGTTCTACCCCAGCACGTATATAAGAGCACATACCTGACACAGGAGACGTAGTATTGTGACAGACCATCCATCTGACGCATTGTTTGCTAGCTAGTATATTACCTACCCTCTTGCAGAAAGAGAATTAATCCTTCCTCTTCTCTCTCCCCTTCTGGCCCTTGCTGTCAGATCAAGTATCCATCCGTCGACAAATCTATTTCCAATACTTTCGAATACGTATCAGAAATATGTCTGCTCAAGAAAGCAACCGGAGCTTCAAGCTCGAAACCCTTTTCAACCTGAAGGACAGAGGTGAGTTACTAGTATTCTCGACTGGTTTTCTGGCGTTGCTAACCCAGTGGGTAGTCGCTCTTGTCACAGGAGGAGGGTCGGGCATCGGTTTGATGGCCACTCAAGCCCTCGCCGTCAACGGTGCTAAAGTCTACATCACCGGTCGCACAAAGGAGAAACTGGACCGTGTCGCAGAGTTATACTCGAAGGACATTCCAGGCCAGATTATCCCGATCGCCGCAGACGTCACCTCAAAGGAGTCCATTAAGAAGCTAGTCAACGAGATTTCCGCCAAGGAGTCGAAACTACATATCTTGATCAACAATGCCGGCATTAGCTCTCCAACACAGAACACAGATCCAGCGGACCCGAAAGCATTGCAGGAGGAGCTGTTCAACAACCAGAGCACGACTCAAGAATGGGAAGAAGTCATGCGCACCAATGTCACGCAGCTTTTCTTCACGACCACTGCTTTCCTGCCCCTGCTGAATAAGGGAACAGAGGACGAGCACGCCTGGTCTAGTACCGTTGTCAACATCTCGTCGATTTCCGGCCTTGTCAAATCTGCCCAGCATCACTTCGCCTACAATGCTAGTAAGGCGGCTGCTGTTCATCTCACTAAAATGTTGGCCCATGAGATTGCTTCCTCGCAACTCAAAATTCGTGTCAACAATATCGCGCCCGGGGTCTTCCCGTCCGAAATGACGGCTGAGGGTAGTGACGAGAAGCAAAAGAGCACGCTCCCCAAAGAGAAGTTCGAGGGAAAAGTCCCCGCCGGACGCCCAGGGAAGGACGAGGACATGGGAAGTGCTGTGTTGTTTACTGTCTCGAACCAATACCTCAATGGACAAACTATTGTCGTGGACGGTGGATACCTGCTGGCAGCGGGTACACTCTAAGCTACTAGCGTCGGAACAATCATTCCATGTACACAGAAAAGGTCACACTGGCATATCTACATAGGTAGTGGTGAATTGAAAGTCATATTCTTCTAGTCAAACTCGATTCAAGCTCCTGTTTAATGCTCCTTGAATCTGTTCATTACGTTTCCCTTTAGGTCAATTCCAGTGGCGTTCGACCTCTGCATAATTTGAAGGATGATTTAGCAAGCAATGTAGACTATGTTCTCCATTCACATCTAATTCCTCATAGGGATGTGGCGCCTGCGTAGATCCCTAATCAGGTCATTCAGGGTAATTGCCTGCGTTAGCTCGCCAAACAGGAAAAACGAGGCGAAACCTGATATTTCAGTTTTCCGTTCGGGTTTACTGTTTACCTGCCTGTCTATGGAACTAACAAGATCGTTGGCAAATTTTCTTATTAAGATGGCATTATTCAAATGGACAATAACAGAATCAGTGACTGAACGAAAAAATATTCACCTGGCTCTGCACTTTTTTTTGAACAAATTACCAAATTACCAGTCCAATGCCGAGCTGAGACCGTCCAGTTCACGCTGGTAGTTCCGGTGCTGAGAAACCTGATAGAAGAATTGGCCTACAAAGTCCTTCGCCGCCTTAGCAACTTCGAACCCCTCCTTGAAGCTCTCTGGCTTCGGCGTGGCAGCAGTAACAACTCCGTACCATTCCACGGTCTCTGCTGAGGTAGGCGATGCAAGCCTGACATCCAACGCTTTACCTAGCACTTGCTTAATGAAATCGCAAGCTTCGCCAGTAGCTCCAATAGCTTTTAGATGCCCGAAGCTCTCCACAATCCAGAACCGCAATTGGCCATTCTTTGACAAGGTAGTAATATGGGAACCACCCGGCACGAAGGTAGCGTCAAACATAGTTGAGCGCTGTCCATCATACATGTGATCTGCAACCACACCATCCGAGGTCTCCGGAGATTCTCCCTGGGCGTATATCGGAGATCGTTTGGTGCCGATCACGAAGGGTAGTGCTCCTGCGGCCTTGATGGCGACCTTCATACCTGTAAAGGCAACTTGGTCGTATCCGTCGCCGATGAGAATAGCAATACGACGACTCTCAATAGTAGGCTTTTCGGGCGGAAACTCGGTCTGCGATAGACCCTTTGCGCGGCGGCCATGGTTTGGCTTGAGTTGCTTGTCAGGAATAGGGGCTCCGACTAGCTCGGCGACTCGCTGAGCAAGTTGCAAGTCGATCTCGGCAAGCCGAGTCCCCGCGAGACGCTCGTATACAATAGGGTCATCGCAATGGTCGAGTTCAAATGTGAATGCCTTCATCATGTGCGACTTTTCATGCTCAGACATTGAGTTGTAGAACGTCTGTGCTTGGGTGTGATGGTCACGGAACTTCTCACTGAGCGCGCGGTTTTTGATACCGGAAACTTTCTCAGGGTACGAGACAAATCCACCATCTTCCGCTTTGGCTGGTGGTAGTGCCTCGAACCTATTCGGCCAGTAGTTGACCTTACCCTTGCTGATTCGGTGGCGCATTGCGCCATCGCGATTGAAGTTCATCATCGGGCAGACAGGTCGGTTAATTGGTAGCTCTTCCCAATTGATGCCTAGCCGACTGATCTGAGTGTCGAAGTAGGAGAAATTTCGGCCTTGGAGGAGTGGATCGTCCGAGAAATCAACACCAGGGATAATATGACTAGTACAGAATGCAACCTGCTCGGTTTGCGGGAAAAACTCGTCCACATTCCTATTGAGCTCGAGTTTTCCAATACGGCGAAGAGGGACGAGCTCCTCCGGCCAAACCTTGGTCGCATCAAGGATATCGAAGTCGAAATCATGTTCCTTTTCCTCAGGGATTGTTTGAATAGCGAAGTCCCACTGAGGGTACGCGCCATTATCAATCGCTTCCATTAGGTCCTTGCGATGGAAGTCGGGATCTTGGCCTGCAAGCTTGAGAGCTTCATCCCATACAAGGGAGTGAACGCCGAGCTTAGGTATAAAGTGGAACTTGACGAAATGTCGTTTACCCTCTTTGTTGATCAAGGTATAGGTATTGACGCCAAAGCCTTGCATCATGCGGTATGAGCGAGGGATCGCTCGATCGGACATGGCCCACATAAACATATGGGTTGCCTCAGGGTGAAGATAGACAAAGTCCCAGAAGTTGTTGTGCGCAGTTTGAGCCTGCGGGACTTCGTTGTGTGGCTCAGGTTTGACAGCATGCACTATTCGTCATGTCAGCTTAGTATCAACCAGATCTAGGCAAGTAAACATACCAAAGTCCGGGAACTTGATCGAATCTTGGATGAAAAAGACAGGCATATTGTTTCCAACAATGTCCCAGTTCCCCTCATCAGTGTAGAACTTGACGGCGAAGCCTCTCACGTCTCTCACGGTGTCCGCGCTACCTCTGCTACCCTGTACTGTTGAAAAGCGAACGAATACCGGGGTATTACGGGACGTGTCAGTAAGAATGCCAGCATGGCTCACATCCTCGGCACTTTCATAGAGTGTGAAATTGCCAAATGCACCTGTCCCACGCGCATGGACGACGCGCTCAGGGATCCGCTCATGATCGAAACGGTGAATCTGCACGTGTATATTAGGAGAAATCCGGAATTGGTGTTAGGTGAAATTTACCTTCTCCCTTGCGATGTGGTCCTCTAGCAAAGATGGACCAGTCTTGCGGTCAGATGCAACCTTGAGCCAGTTGTCGGGATTCTGAATGCGAATACCATGGTCGGTCGTCTGTGGCATGCTGGTGTGAGCGTCGACAGTGTCACGGGAAAGGTCCACCGTCTTTTTGCTCCCAGAGGATGCAGAGTGAATTGCTTGCTGGGCCTTTTCCAGCCCTGAAGCGATAGTGGTAGTCATTTTCCCAGGAAGTGAAAAGTGAAATAAATGAAATTGTTGAATATTTGAAGAAATTTCGAAGCCCAAAATAATACGGCAATAACTTAAGGTTGTCACCTTTATAGAAGCATTCCGTGACTGGCCGTTGAGAGAGCTTAGGTTGTCCGCGTCACTTTTTCGTCAACGCCAGGGAACAGGACTTTTGAAATACTCATGATCTGGTTGGCTGTCAATTTGAAGCTGGAAGGAAATACAAGTTTTGGCTCGCATTGGTTATTTCGAATTCACCTCGTTTTCTCGATGCTTTCAGATCACGCCTGAAGTCATAATGACATCAGTATCAGCTTCGTTTGATATGTTCAAAACTAGTATTCTACCTTCACTATCAAATTGGCAGGTGAATACGACTTTGCAATTATGGACGACAAATCCTGCTTTTTAAACGTAGAGACAAAAATCTGCCGACAATGGATCTCAGTTTACACCATTATGATTCATGTATAATGCCTGCATATTGGTAGATGGATTTAATGACCATCCCGAACTCCAGTCCCTAATTCTTAATTTTGTGAACATTATTCTTGATATACCAGATCCAAAATGACGCAAAAGCACAAGGTTGTTGTAATCGGATCCGGGAACTGGTAAGTCATCTTTGGTTCTATAGCATAATGAGCACAGTAGCTCACTAACCACATATGAAGGGGTTCCACCATTGGGAAAATCCTTGCTGAAAATACTAGGGAGCACTCTGATATATTCGAAGAGGATGTATCGATGTGGGTGTTTGAGGAAGACGTCGACGTCCCCGATGACAGAACGCTTCGAGACCAATTGGGCGACAAACCCGTGAAGCTCACACATGCCATTAATACAACACACCAGAATGTCAAGTATCTTCCCGGCATCAAGCTTCCAGACAATCTCGTTGCCAATCCCGACCTCCAGGACACAGTCAGCGGAGCAACTATCCTTGTCTTCAATCTTCCTCACCAATTTATGTCCAAAACGCTAGAGCAAATCAAGGGTAACCATCTCCCTTATGCTCGAGCTATATCGTGTGTCAAGGGGGGTCGATATCTCAGAAGGAACTGTGAAGCTCTACTCCGAGTTGATTATGGAGAAACTAGGAATTTACTGCGGCTCTTTGTCTGGTGCCAACATTGCATCCGAGGTAGCCGCGGAGAATTTGTGTGAAACCACTATTGGATACGACGGGCCTCCGATGGATTACAAGGAGCCGGATGGCTCATCTCGAGACAATTTGATTAAAGTGGACAAACAGCGCCAGAGCAAATCAGATCCCAGCCAACTTACGCTGCATCGAGTGCCTCAAACTTATCCTCATGTCGATTCCGCCCTTTTAGAGAAGCTTTTTGGTCGGCCGTATTTCAATGTTCAGGTTGTGCGAGATGTCTCTGGTGTCGCCCTTGGTGGTGCGCTGAAGAATATCATTGCACTGGCTGCTGGCTTCGTTGCAGGAAAGGGTTGGGGTGAGAACACAAAGGCAGCGGTAATTCGAATCGGTATCCTCGAGATGGTGCGATTCGGCTGCCTTTGGTTCCCTCAATCTGTTGACGAGAGGACATTTACAAAGGAGAGTGCCGGCATAGCTGATGTGATAGCATCAACCAGTGCGGGAAGGAATTTCAACTCTGCACGTCACGCTGTGGAACAAGGTGTCACTGTGGATGAGATTGAGAAGAAGGAACTAGGGGGACAGAAACTACAAGGAACGTCCACTACTCGTGCGGTCTATGAGTTCCTTGAGAAACAGGGACAGCTCGAGAAATTCCCCTTATTTGTGTTCGTACACGGTGAGTACTTAGTCCTTTGATATTATGTACGACGCTGAGTAAAAATAAACAGATATTCTGGAGGAGCGCACGACGATGGATGCTCTCCCAGGACTTCTGAAAAAGGGGTCAAAGGTGATGGCATAGTGGTTTTGCCAAAAGATGCAGGCCAAGGGCCGAGCGAGTGAAGTGTGAGGGAACCATCCGCGCGTCTTGGTGAGGTCTATCACCTGGAAAGCTTTAGCGCCCAGTCTTCAGGTTGTTGCGCTATAGATCACAGGCGAAAATACGAGCTATGCAATATGTTGATAGCCATCAGTGGCAGATAGTCGTCATTAGGATGGATAGTGCTTGTTGTTCTAACTTATCAGTAACAAAAATCTCGGTCCTAGGCATGCCGCTTTTATAGGTCTGCCGACAGCAGGCTTGGTGCTATAGCTGTAGGAGTTCATACGTCGAGAAGCTTACCACCTTACCGTGTCATGTAGTGATATCCTTCCTAGAGGGGCATAAGGACTACTTCTTCTTAGGCAGCCTCATCTTGACAGGTTCCTAGGCCCATAACAGGGACCTGAGCACTAGTGGAGATTTTGAAGATTCTTTGAGCGTTGCTTCAGATGGGTACGGGGAAATAGAGTCCACTACCGTATTATCTGCTTTGTAGGCAACCTTGGAAACTCTCCCAGCTCTTCCAAGGTTATACTGATGACGAGGTCTGAATGACGTCAAATACCTTATCTTATCTATTTGGAAAGTATAGTACAACGGAAACCAGACTGTCACTCATAATATCTTCATGGAAATAAATGACTATCATACACGTAGCGAATCATAGATATCATGGGGCAGTGGTCTTGTGCATCTCCTTTCCATCAACGCGGGCGCTGCTGCTTGCAGCTGCACCCTCGCGTAGGCCACTGTTATCGGGAGGGAACTCGAAGCGTCCAGAGCCAACATCAGTGGTACGCTGGTCAAGGGAATTGAAGTCACTGGCGACTGGGGGTTGGTCGGGCAGAGGCAGGTTGGCCTTGGTCTTCTCGATTTCGGCGGGCTTGTTGGTGTTTTGGTCGACGACGGACTACGAAGATCATGTCAGAGGTCTGTTTTATACTTGGTGATCTTTCATTGCAGATAACCCACCTTCATCTTTGAGACGTCGGAGTCTGCTGGGGGGTTGCCATGATGGGACTGGGCAACCTTGGACTCAGCCTTGCGGGTGTCCTGGGTAGTGGTGTGGAAGGTAGAGTCAGACATGGTGATAGTTTGTGAGCGTGGTATTTAGGAGCAATATTGTGATAGGCAGATATTTTGAATTTGAAGGAGTGTTTAGTAGGCAAGGCAAATGGGTTATATATCCTCTTCATCGGTGCCAACCTTGCAAGCTGTGAGGACTACTATGACGCCATGGCATCCAGGACCATGGATATTCCCTATGGAAACCGGTTGGAAGTACTGCGGTTCAGCCGATCACGGCGCAGGCAATACTTCAATTTCTGCCATTTCAGCATCTTCATTTTGATCTAAGAAAGAGAAAAAAGAAAGGAAATTGAAAGGTTTTGATCGTGTCCGAAGTAGCTGTGACAATAACATTATTGGCTGTTGTCTGCTTGTGATAGTCCGGAGAACCAAAAGCTTCCCCAGCTCCAAGTGACTGACATCATTCGGTAGAACCCAATTGACTCTGAGGCTATGACGGATCAGGAAGGCGGTCTGAGGTTGTCTATAAAAGACCCTTTCCCTAAGCATCTAGTTAGCCAATTCATCCTTTTGGGCTTAAGGCCCCTAAGATTATTGTTCCTCACAAGGTCTAGTGTGAATGAACAATTGAGTTTATTATTGGGAGCTTATTTCTACCTTTTCCGGTAGTTGGAACAACTAGCCAAATCGGGTTCCTTTCGGGGAAATATATATTTGTCGACTCTCGCCACGGCCAAGGCAGATTCAATATAGTTAGCATATATTGCTCGAGATCATATAATAGACCTATTAGGCAGTTGCATGTCGACTTAATATCGAGTTAATAATATCGTAGCCTGAAGTAGTCAGGCTGGAGACGGGTGATTGCGCCAAAGGTGATGTAGATGAGACACTTTCCGGGGTGAAAAATGCTGTTGACTGATTGATTTCCCCGAATGATTTACCAGCAGAATTGACTTCCATACCCATGGCCTGGAACCATTGCGAAGTGTGCCCAGGTAGTCAGCTACCTAGGTACAACGTAATAGTATAGCCATAGATGTCCACGGGTGGTTGGCATTCGGTCATTGCGGATATGACAACTATTAGTTTTAGATAGAGTGTTGTAAAGTTAAGGACTTTACAAAAACCCAGCTCAAGCAAAAATCGTCCTCTTTGGACATCTGGAGCTTTTTGACGGACTGAGAGGTGGGCTGTGCACGGGGAAGAGGAGTCAGACAAGGGCGGAGCAGAGGGGTCGATACGAGCAGAGCGTCTGGTCCGTCCGATCAGCATCATAGGAAGAAAACGGTTCCCAACGGCCTCCGACAGACAGAGGCTGAGCAGGACCAACCCTTAGACTATTATTGGGCCGGGCAAGTACAACAAGCGGTGACAGGAGGCTCAAATGCGCATGTACAGCTCAGCTCGTATTTGAGAAATCAATAAACCGGCCAGTATTATTGGTCTAGAACGACTCCTTTGGTGAGCTGGCAGATCTTAAAAAAAAATAGTTGTTCACTTTTCGTTGGCTGTGGGACCGTTTGCCGGTCAATTGGGGGCCAAGACCCTGTTGCTCCATAGTAAGCGTGACCCTGGTGATTTTCGCCCAGATTTTTCATGGCATGATCCTGGTAACAGGTGACGTAGGCAAGTGAGAATTAAAATGTTGACTACTCCGGGTTTGGCCGTCCTCAATAGGAATTCACAAAAGCTCCCAGAATCGTTGATCTTTTGGGTCTTGGAAGGACGCGCATGAAAAAAAAAAATGCTGCCTGGGTTCCCGTGAGGCTGAACGGAATTCTGATCTTTCCGGGTTCCGAGTTTCCATTTTAAGAATCCAGTGGAACCAGTGGAACTAGTGGAGAAACGGTACGAATACCCGCTGAGAGCCACGAGGGGAGCCACATACAAGGCTGTGTTGTTTAATTACCGTTATTGGTTTACCATACAAACGCTCTCTAGGACCAATCACAGATTGCAGAATGTGCTCAGCCTTCGCATTCTATACCATTTCGGTCTTAGCGTATTCGTCTATCAGGCAGACATCCAACACGCAATGAGCCTCTCCGGTCCCTTCTCTTCTTTGATCCGCTTACTCCCCCATTCTGTGTTCGGGTTTATTCTTCATTTTCAATCCTATTTTGTGTTCTGTTCTTCATCGCTGCCTTCAGTCTAAGGATTCTACAGATTTCGTATTTAGTGGGGCTCCTTGGAAACCCATCTTGGACGTTATATCTCAGGAGCATTGGAATCCCACCGCTTCGAATCCGGGGAATTCATTTCATCTTTGGATATCAATATCGTTGAAAAACAATCTGAGCTGGTGTTCTTGATCCTCTCTGTGTCGAACCCCGCTTGGAAGTTTTCCGACCCCCGCGATACGTTGAATTAGGAGTGCATGTTCATCCAGAGACCATCATACGATCGCTATCGTGATAGATCCTCAGGGCCACATACCGATTCAACTGTGTCGATTTTAATCAGGCTTGGTCGATATCCAAGAGAAGCGGTGCTGTTATATACTAAAGAACGGAGATAATCCACATCAAATCGAGCCTTGCATCTCTGACTCGACTGTACGTCACTTCTCGAATCATCTGGACAACTCTCCTGTGAGTCATGGGATGGGCCAATCAGCTGCAATGCACCGGTTCTTTCCTGTCCGAACAGATATGCTAACTTTTGGTCGAAACAGTACTACGCCCAATAATGTCTGCTGTCCAGACTGAGCCATCGCGGGTGCACCCGCGTCGTCGGCCCGTCTTAAACACCGCCCTTCCCACCCTGTCGAACGACTCGCCTGACTCAAAGATGCCTCTGAAGAAAGGAGAGACTTTTCATACTCCCACTTCTCCTCCCTCGAGCGACCGCGACCCTGTCTTGAACTTTCGCTCCCTACCTCATCGCTCGCCCACTTCGTTGGAAGCCATCGCTGTTGCTGAAGAGCGGATGACTTCTATTCTAGGCCGTTTGACTCTGGAACCTACCCAAGACCAGAGTTCGGAGGTTGCTGGAGGCGAGAGTCCTCTGGATAGTGGGTTAGCGCGCAATAACTCCAAGTCTATGCCTGACTCCCCGCGTTCCTCAAAGGAAGACGGTCGCAGCATTCCTATTCCACTAGATGAGAAAAAGGCCCGGCAGCAGCATAGCCACGAATCCGACAGTGGACTAGGAACCTCTGTTAGTAGTGAAGAGGGGCTCGCTGACTCGAAAAATAAAGGTGGGTGTCACATGCCACAAGAATGCATTGTTTGCTCTTTGTTCTTATTGTTTCCTATTTGAGTCCTAACAATGAATAGTGAATGATGGTATTCATGACAATCAGTCTGCCATTACAAGCTCGATTTCGGCCTTTGATACTGGCTCATCGCCAAAACGTCAATTGGGCCCAGCCGCCTGCAAACAGATTGAACGTTTTGTGCTTGTCCCTATTTTGAAAGAGCCCCGCTTGAAACCATTCCACCAACTGGTCCGAAGCGTCCCCCAGCGCATTATCAATAAGCAGATTGTGTGTTTGCGTGACCTCGAGAAAACCCTATTGTGGTTGGCACCGGTAAGTCAATGCATTGTTCTATTCAATGGGTCTATGGAGTTCGGGTTAGCTTATTTTTTTTCTTGACGTTATTTAAGAACTCCGCCACTTCTCGGAATTCGTATCTCAACTTCTGCGAGTTTACAATCCAGTGCTTGCATACTTCGGCTTCGCACCTCAACGATCGTGATCAACGACTACCAGCCGATCGACCTTACACTAACGGATACTTCCTTGACCTTGTTTCACAGGTTCGACGATACGCAGCAATGGTTCGTGCTGAACGCGAGCGAGTCCAGGCGACTCAGGGCTCCGAGTCTAACAAGGAATCTAAATCTCCCATGTATGTGACATCACATTGGATTTGTACAACTGAACCTAACCAATTCGATGCAGCATCCCGAAGGCTACCCTGGAAGGTGGTCTATCCCAGAATGGGAAGTCTGCCGAACTTGTAGTTATGCAAGACGGAAAGCCAATATCCATGGCCACTGGAAAGCCCTACGAGGCAGATGTTCCTGGTGTTGCCAAGCGTACTATCTGCCTCGACGATGCGGTCGATGAGGGCGTTGAGCGCTCTATGGCCCGCCGCAAGAAGGATGCTCCTCCCATGAACATCAATCAAAAGTGCGCCGACTGCGACAAGGTCTTCAAGCGCCCTTGTGACTTGACGTAAGTTCCATTGGATCGGAGTAACAGAATTGAAGTGCTAACCCATTCATAGGAAACACGAGAAGACACACACTCGCCCTTGGAAGTGCGAGTATACGGACTGCAATTACCACACCAAAGGTTGGCCCACGGAGAAAGAACGTGATCGTCACATGAACGACAGACACTCGGACAAGCCCACCTTGTACAAGTGTCAATTCCACAAGTGCCCCTATGCTTCGAAGCGTGCCAGCAACTGCAAGCAGCACATGGAAAAATCCCATGGCTGGGTTTACGTTCGATCCAAGAACAATGGCCGCAATGGCAGTAAGCGAGGCTCCTCTTCTCAGGCCACCCCTCAGACACCCAGCGTGTCTACCCCTGCTTCGAAGACAACCGACTTCGCCTCTCCAATTCCTGGCCCCAGTCCTTCTCCTAGCGACCAGAACTACAACTGGCCTGAGAATCCCCAGTTCAACTTCGCTGATCCTCCTCCGCTTGCCCATGGGGAGGATTTCCCCTTATTCGGAGAAGCGTCGCCCTATCTGATGACCGATGTCAACTCGTTCCCAACCTCGGTGAACCTGAACGGCTTCCAGAGCCAATTCGAAGCTGGCGACCCGAACGGCTTGATTCCGGCCCTGGAAATGCACCGCCAGTCCATGAACTCCATGTCTATCCCATCTGCTGAATCGGTTCCCGACCTGATGGGACCTGTGTCCTTTGACGGATCCCCGCTCACCGGCACTGAAAGCATCAACTTCGACCTAGATTGGAGCAACCTGGAATACCCAACCAACGAGGACTACACTGCAATGGCTGCACAGCTCCCACAGGGCCATTCCCTTGAGGTGATGAAGGGTTATTCGAATGATTACGAGCAAATGAACCTCAATCACATTTCCTACGATGCCTCTGGAAAGGCCTCTGGCCTCTCTCCTGGTGCGCAGGGCAACGCCATGTTGTACTCACCGGACTCTTGTAACGTCGGCGACACTCTTTCTGAGCGCTACGAATATGGCCTCCAGGCCCAGGCGGCCAACGACTTTACCCTTTACAACCAGAGCGCCCAGATGGGTCGCGGCGCTCATCCCATGATGCAAACTCCCAGCGACCACTCAGCTCAATACCATCCACCTCAGCAGCAGATGTTCCCTTCTCTTGAGCACGAGCGCGCTATGCAGGGCATGCAGCCCTGGAATGGCCAACAGCCCCAGGGACACTACCTGCCTCGCGACATGGATCTGGAATTCATGAAGTAAAAAGGTGGGATTCCTAGGGGTATTTGCAAATACTCTTCTCAATGCTTTGTTTTCTGAAGCGAATTTTATGTTCTCAGCGATGGAAATCCGGGTTTTTCTTTTATCTTTTTCAAATCTGATCTTAGCTTAATCTTTCTACTCCAAATAACATGATCTAAGTCCTGATTATTATGCTTCCCTCTTTCATATCTAGTATAGTAGTGCCTGTATTACTCCCACATATAATCTAAGCGCTGTGGATAGATCGTCAGATCCAAAGGAAGCGATCCGAGCCCTGTTCCCAATAGTTTTTCCCCCAATCCGAGTAAAGGAGATGTTCTAGTTCCCTCACTTGGTTCTCCAGAATGCATAATGATAGCCCGATGACACTGCCGAGAATCTACGCCTCGTAAGGCGCAGACCTAGTATGGGGTACAATATAGGCAACACTATAACCAGCCTTGGCGCACGAGACCTATGGCCTTTCGTGATGAACTTCGTCAAGTGGCAATGTCGATCAAAATAGGTTGGGGGCGGAGTTGGATAAAAAATAGTACATATAGCAGCCTTATAATAATATATAATATATAATAATATCCTTATATATAGCTTGTCAGGTACCTCCAGGGCTATATCGTAGGATAAACATTAAAGCTATCGGGTGACGACATCATTTTCTCTCCCGACTTCTGCTCCGCTGCCCCCCTCCCCCCATTACTTTTGTTCCCACATCTTCCAAACATCGTGAGACCCATATTCTGGACTGTTCTTGTCTAGCCTTTATTTATTGCAGCGCTGTTCTTTCTAGGCAGACACATTCTGTGCTTTCCTACAATTTCCCTCACATCACCTGGACACTGGCCGTGCGATTCTATCTCATAGGGACTCAGCTTCCCTCTCAAGCGAGCAGGAGAATTACCGCTCAACATGCCGGAAACACAATCGCCTGATTCCGCATTCTCTAGCGGCAAGGGAGATGCGGGCACAACCCCGCCAACAGGCCAGGTCTTGACGGGAAAGCAAGAACACTGTAAGCTAGAGGATATGATGGTCATATTCTGATTCGGCAGTCGCTGACATGTAGATAACCTGCGCAGACCTCAAGCGCGAACTCATCGCCCGCGAAGTCCGAGGCGAAATCTTCGAATTAAATTCCCCTACTGCGCTCCAGCGATTCGGCGCCCCTTTTAGATCGGAATTCGGTGAGGTCGCACCGGTCGACTCTGAGCTGCCTATTCTTCGGTATATTTTTGTTCACCACGTTCGCAATTTCCCGTTTCTTGACCAAGCGCGCGAAAAGGAGTTTTGGCAGGATAAGCTACAAATCGTGGGTGTTTCGCGTCCCGATAGGAACAAATCGTGGCGGTACAGAGTGTGACTGACGGGGATATAGTTCTTGGAATCGTTTGCCAATAAACATGTCTCGTCTTCAGAGGATCGACTGGAGGAGACGAAGCGCCGGAAGTTGGCTCGGAAGTGCGAGAAGCTCGTGGAGCTGATGATGGTTTCGGGTGTGCCGACCGCGTCGGGGTATGAGGAGCGCATTCAGTTCTCAGAGATGGAGATCGTCGAGCGTGGTGCTCAGGAGTCAGGGCTGTTGGCTAATATGCCCGAGGGTAATTCAATCCATGGTTGGGATGTGAATGTGGCCGCTGTTCGGACAACCTCTGTCAAGCGGACAGTGCGATACCATCAACATGCAGTAAGTTTCATGGTTCTGTTGATCGCCTTTTGTTGCTGGGCTTTTTTTGCTGACCACATCCGTCGTAGGAATTCATCATTCGAGTTCGTCACCACGACAAGCAGGAGATTCATATTGGGAGGAGATATGGAGAGTTTGTCAAGCTTCACAAGAGACTGAGGACCGAGCTGCCAGGGAAACTGCTCCCTCCTCTTCCTCGTAAGAACAAGACTTCTTCTACCTCGAGCTGGTGGGGCTCTAGTGTAGATGATGACGCTTCGTCTCTTTCATCCCTCTCCACGCAGGACACGAGTGTTGCCGAGGACCGGCTTTCTGCACCAACCCTTTCCGCAGGGGACCTCCGGCGATCGATCTCCCGAGGATCATTGCGATCCACGAAGTCACCGCGTGCATCAACGAGCGACGTCTCGAGGGCAACTGTGTTGTACCGGGAGGAGCAGCGTGTGTCGCTGCGCGCGTTCCTGCGCACTATATTGCAGAACAAGCGTATCGCAGAATCTAAGGCCATGGAAGAATTCTTGACTGCTCGCCCCATCGAGTTGAATGAGGAAGAGTTGATTGATGTTCAGAAGCGGAAGGACATGGATGCTGTGAGAATAGAGGAACAGAAGAGGTTCTATGAGATTGCTAGGCAACGGGCGGCCGAGCTGGATGTGTACATGGAGCGCTTCCGGCGGGATATTGTGGAGAGCAGTAAGTCGCGAGCTCCTTCCCGAATTCCAGCACAATATGGGTTGCTAATCTCACTTGCGTTCCAGATGGATTGACAAAGCTCTTTGCCGAGATTCGGGAGAAGCCCACAATTGCAGACCTCAGCCCGCAATATCAGAAATTTGCTGAGTGGCTCCGCATTGAGTATGTTGTCTGATTTCCTGAGTGTTTCACCCTACTAACATTCAATAGGGTTGCTGCAACAATATACCATCTGTTCCTCGCCGAGGATAACTCCCCTGAATTGTTTGCGCAGGCGAAGAGAATCCAGGGCCTGGTTCCCTACACGCTAATGAAGAATGTGATTCGTATCGCCAACCCTGCTGCAGTCATGTCTGGTGTTCTAGACCTTTTCATGGCCCAGCCCTTCGGCTCGCGGTCACTTTTGCAACGCATCTTCTCATTAACACTAAACGAAAGCATCAAAGATTTCCAGAAATCGATTGATTCTCTGGCTTCGAAGGTTGAAGATACTGTTCTTACTCAGAAGCTGAAGAGCTTCGCGGATGCCGAGGAAGACATCAAGAACGACATCCGAGCGGAGGCTGTTGCTGACGATGTCGACATCATTGTGGCCATCCTTCGCTCCGAACTACTGTCACCCGAACTCACCTCGGACCAGGTTGGCAAGGTGTTCAACGGCTACGTGGCTTGGAACAATGCCGTGGAGCATGTAGATCTGGAAATGCAACAGGGTGCCCAATGGTTCGCTCACATGAAGCAGCTCCTGAAGCTTTACACCCGCCAGCGCGACAAGGCGATGATGTTGAGCATTGTTGAGGAGCCGGTCACATTGCAGCTCTTCCGCGACCTCTTCACTATCTTCTATGAGCCGCTCGTCCGAGTTTACAAATCTGCCAACGTGTACAACAGCATTACCGACTTCGCTCTCTTTGCCGACGATGCTATTAGTGTGATTGAGAGTGCCCAGCGCCAGGATGCTTCTGCCGATCCGAACCAAACGGTGCAGGCTTTCATCGACCTGTGCGCTCGCCACGAGGCCAACTTCTACAAGTTCATCCACGAAGTGCACCAGCACGATAACGGCCTATTCCAGTCTCTAATGGGTTGGATTGAAGAGATTCTCGATTTCCTGCGCAATGGCCCCGCCGGAGGCAAAATGGACATCAATGCTTTGTTCCAAGGAGCTGTTGGAGTGGGCCAAATCGACAAAGACCTTGCTCTCACGGAAATCAACCAGCTAATCAAGTGGCACGAAGACCGGAAACGCTGGCATCTGAATAAGACTCGCCAGAAGATGGCCGCTGAAGGTACATCTGCGGAGACTATTCCGGGAGCTGCAACTTTCAGGGGTAGTGATTTCGGTCTTGATGAGGTATGTGTTTTCCGCCACAGCTCTGGAAATGGATTTGGATTTTAAGGCTAACCCGGGTTTACAGGCTGATCTGGAGGACCTCACTATCTCGGATGAAGCATCTGATGCCTCTGACGAAGACTCTGGAGATGAGGACATGGACGATCCTATCGCCGTGGAGCGCCGCCGGCGGATAAAGAAGCAGGACCAACTTCGCCGTACCGCGGGTGAACCCGTCAAGCCCGTGGTTACGGAGATTCTCAAGCTGGCTGATCCGTTCGGTATCATGTTGCGGCATGTGCTTGCTGATTAGATGCCGATGTTAGAATTGTTTTGCGACATTCGTGATACCGCCATAGATATGGCTTCTCCCGTTTGATTCCCACTGCCTGATTTTGTTTCATACACCGACCCGTTGCTCGCTTGCTTCTACTTGCTGGCTCGCTCGTGGCTTTGCCGAGGGGCTGCAAGGTCTAGATAGATATAGCGCATGAGAGGGACCGCATGCTAGATGGGTCATGATAATTGAGACTAGAATATTCATGATGGGCTGCCTATGTATCTCTGCAGCACCTCCACTACCTCCTGATTGCCATTCTCCGCTGCCACCTGTAACGCGGTGTTCCCATCTGTATTACGCAGCTGTGGATCAATCCCACGAGCCTCGAGAAGTAGCTTCACAACACCTGTGTGACCGAAATACGCAGCAGCAAACAGCGGTGTCTGACCATTCTCATCACGAGCATTGGGATCAGCCTGCCTAGGCCCAGTCAGCAACCGCCTAACAACCCCCTCGTGGTTGTTTTCCGCCGCAACTCCCAACGGTGTATTCCCATGCATATCACCAATCTCCAGGCCAACCCTCTCACATCCAACCAACAACTCCACGACCTCCTCGTGTCCATTCTCCGCAGCAAAAAACAAAGGCGTCTGCTTCTTCCAATGCGTCTGCAAATTCAGGATCCGTAACCTCCCACCCTAGCAAAAACCGTACAACATCCACCCGCTGCGCGGAAGCCGCAATTGAAAACGCCCCTCGCCCATACTGCTGTCCCTCAGCATTAGGATCGAGCTTATCCCCAAAATAATTCACCAAATACCGCACGATATCAACATGTCCCATGATAGCCGCATAGAAAAACACATGCTGACAATGCACAGCGCCATCATCCCCCTCAAGAATCAGACGTAAATGCTTAGCAAGCAGCAAACCCACATCCCCATCAACCTCGCGCGCAGCACGGCTGAGCGGCGTCCATCCCTGCCGATTCGGCACGCGCGGATCCGCCCCGCCACAGAGAAGCAGCGTCATCATCCTGGGCTGGTGATTAACGGCAATCATAAGCGCCGTATCGCCCGTCTTATCTTGCAAGTTGACGTCTGTACGGTCGTCGTCCAGCAGGGTCTGCACTATAGCCGAGTGACCCTCTTTGACGGCCCAGGACAGCGGCGGACGGATCCATTTTCTGTCGCGGGTGTTGGGGTTTGCTTCGTCGTTTAGCAGGAGCAGTTTCAGTACTGATATGCTATTGTGCAATGATGCTAGCATTATTGGGGTGCAGCCTTTTAATCGTGGGTCTGTGTCTGTTTTTGATTGGATGTTGAAGCCTGCGGAGAGGGATTTTAGGGCTGTTGAGGGGGTGTTGGTTGTTGAGGCCCAGAAGAGGGATTTTGGGTTTGCGGAGGTCGCATCGCGTTTGTAGAGGGTTTTGTTTAGGAGATTGTAGGTTGTTGTGTTGGTGCGTGTGAAGGCGTTTAGGTCTGATGGTGCGAGGAAATCGGATATTGTGAGGTATAGTTCTTTAGGGAGGGTTGAGAAGGGTCCTTGTGGGTTTATGCATTGTGTATGCATTTGCGGCGTTTAAAAGAGTATCGAAGTATGAGCGGTTGATCATGGGGATGGTTGGAGGAGTGTATAATTGAAGAACTGACTCGACGTGGGGTTAAGCTTCTTTATAAGAGAACGGCGTTGGGTCCATGTGTGGAGATCCGATAGCCTCAACGGTAGATAAGGTCATCTGTGGTTGGAACCAAGATGTGAAAGTAGACGAGATTGTCTCGGATCATTCTCCATATCTTATAATTCTATTCATAGCACAGTTCTAATCCACCTGGGGACTCCAAATATCTTAAACCTGCCAAGAGCTCGTGGGGTCTCGATAAGATAAGCAGGTTTCCATGGCGACGGCACCGTCTGACATCGTTCATCTTCCTTGAACATCTGGGGAGAAACTGTTCACGGGTCGAAAATGTCCTCCCCTCAGAAATACCCAGGCTCGCCAGTAAGTATGGCGCGTTTGCATCCCGGCCTCTTCAAAGATGGTCTTTGGCGTTGTAACTGCCCAGATCGGCCAGTTGCCGTCCGTCGCGAAACTAAGAAGAAGGGACCAAACGTCGGGAAATGGTGTATGTCGAATCTTGCTTCCGGGGCTTTCGGGGATGGTGCTTGGAAAACATCTTTATATAAATCACAGACTGACATAAAAATAGTCTGGACTTGCGCGCAGCCTCCACATCTCAAATGCAGCTTCTTCCTATGGGCAGATGACGCCACAATACGTGAGCAAGCAACCGTTCTTGCCAACTCGCGATCCGAACTCGACCCTATCTCGCTCACCCCACAAAGGCGCACCCCAGGGCGTATGAACAACGGACTACTCACTCCACAGACCGAGCGCAGGTTTATCGATACCCCACAGCGCAACTTCAAGTCACCCCCCCAAGACAGCTAAGGCCAGAATGATCTCCGAAGCGTCAGACAATTTTGGCTGGAACGATGACTCGGACGAGAATGATGAACTTTTCAACGCACTCTCTTCCAGCCAAACAGAGAGCTTCATCTCGCAACCAAACTTCAATCCCGAATCCCCGTTCAAGACCCCCCCGCACCTCTGCGGTGACCTCACCCGGCAAGCGCAAATTGGCAGAAGTCGGAAATGATAATGCTTCCTTCGACCAGGCTGCGCCGGCGACGCCTTTTTCATCCCGCTCCTCTCGCACCGATACGTTCCCTCCTCGTCTGCCGAATTATGCATGACGCCCACGCCTAGCAAATACAACGATGTACTCTCCGCAGACTCGAAGTTTGATACCTCGGATCTTGCAAAGAGTCTACTCGATATTCTGGAGAAACATAGTGTTGTGTTGCCGAACAAGGCGCAGGACGAGGTGGTCTCGATGCTTAATCGGCAGGAGTTGAAGACGCAGGGGATTATTCGTGGGCGGGATATGACGCGCCTGGCATTAAAGAAGAAGGATGGAGAGATTAAGAAGCTGCAAGACCGTGTTTCTAATCTGGAAGCTCAGAGGGAACTGGACCGTTCTCTTATTGAGGGGATGAAACCGCATTGAAGGGACAACTTTGGAATTGGGTTGCACATCCGGTGGACACTACCAATGTTGATTTGAGAGTGAAATTCGGATGTCTTAGTATACGTTTGGCTCAGCGCGGGCCGTCTATCTTACGAACTGTTACGATGATATGGTTGTTTTGGATTTGTGATTATTGTGTTATCGTCTGAACATTCTGGAAAGCAGGGAAAACCTGACCCTGTTTCATTAATAGGCAAAACCAGTATGCTCAATTGATAACTGTCTAGTAAAAATAAGTTGACCAAATGCTAGAGGGTTGTTTGGGATATGTCCTTGGATATAAAGTACTTTGGCGTAGGGGAGAGATACAGACAAATACTACATACTCAGTGAGCCACATCTCCCTATCCGCTCGGATATTCCTCATATTAGCCATGGAAATAATATCGACGCTTATTTAACACATTTTCTGACACATTTTCTTCTATAATTCACATGTACTCCTCAGCCCTGGAGGATATAGATCTAGATAAGAACGTCACGTGGCTGATAAGAAATAAATTATCGCGCCGCAATGCGCCTCGAGCTTCGAACAAGGAGACAATATCCAACAGCCCAAAATTAAACACTCTCTACCTCCAATGAAACCGACAGGTCCAGCTTCCGAGCAGGCCACTCTTCACGAGAACCCCGCCATGTTCAGGCCCCCTGTGAACCGTGCCATGCGCACACTCGACCGGTCATTTTTCCGGAGAAACGTGCCCCTCTCCGTCGCGCAGGTTTTTAAACAAAGCGATATTTCGAACGTGCGGAAGGATTTGGTCAAGAGCCACGACCTCCTGGTCTTGCCACGTATTAGCTCTATCCGTGAGGTGAAGGATCAAGATGGCAAGGTGTTGAAGGCCATGTTGTTGCGCGAAGACCTGAAGGTGGATGGTAGGTTTATTGGGCTTGGATCGGCCCTAACGTTGATGGATATGGTCCTGAATATGAGTTTATAGATAAGGCAACATGGTCGCCTACTATCAACGAGCTCGTAAATAAGGGAACGGTCGCATTGGGACCTTATGAATTGGCATTGGACTATGACCATTGGTCATACGGTATGCTTGCGATCATGTTTTCTCCTCAGCCAAGTATTCCACGCTAACATTGTCATAGCTGAGATCATCTCATCAATTCTACCCGAGGACCTGATGGAAGAGATCCCTCAAGGCTTCACTCAAGTGGGGCATGTCTGTATGTTCGTCTGAGTCACTGGCTAAAACCGCAATACTGACGAAGCAGTGCATTTAAATCTCCGCGCCCAATACTTGCCATATAAGCACATACTTGCCGAGGTTCTTAAGGACAAGAACCCGACCGTTCGCACCGTCATCAATAAGACCGAAGACGTCGGCTCACACAGCCAGTTCCGCACCTTCCCATTCGAACTGCTGACAGGCGAGAATGATCTTAACGTCATCCAGCACGAGCAGGACTGTGAGTTCCGGTTCGACTACGCCCGTGTCTACTGGAACAGCCGCTTGGAGACCGAGCACCGCCGCCTGGTCGAAAAATTCGAGCCCGGCGAAATGGTCTGCGACGTGATGGCCGGCGTCGGCCCGTTCGCTGTGCCAGCCGGCCGGAAGAAGATCTTCGTCTGGGCCAATGATCTCAATCCGCATGGATTTGAAGTTATGCAAGACGCTATCCCCCGTAATAAGGTGCAAGACTTCGTTACCCCCTTCAACAAGGATGGTCGGGAGTTTATCCGTTCCTCGAGTCGGTTGTTGCTGAACGCGAAGCCTCTTACCGTTACTATTCACCCCAAGGTGGGCAGAGAGAAGCAGCGTAAGGTCGCGCAAGGCAAAGGGTCCCGCTACCCGCGCCGAAGATATACACTCGTCCTACTGTTGTCAACCACTATGTCATGAACCTGCCTGCTACGGCCATTGAATTCCTTGATGCCTTCCCCGGGCTCTATGCTGGCGAGGAACACATCTTTGCACCTAACACGGAGCAAAAACTGCCCATGATTCACGTTTACTGTTTCTCGGGACACTCAGATAACGAGGTGGATGATCACATCGATATCTGCGAGAGAATCTCCGAGCGTATTGGGCACAAGATCACTATCGACGACTGTGTGGGAGGCAAGGGCAACCAGGAATTGGAACTCGCCATTCACAATGTGAGGCTGGTTAGTCCTAAGAAGCAGATGTTCTGTGCTAGCTTCCGCCTGCCGCGGGAGGTAGCTTTTCGGAAGGTATAGATTTGCTGTATAGCTGCATGTGAGGCGTTTGGGACTTGCTCCAAGGACAAAAGAATAAGACTCTGGTACCGTATGAGACAACACCTATATACCATCGCTAGTAATAAATAAGTATTGGCATCCCATATCGGATTTTATTATTATACTTCTTGATATAGTAGGCGGTAACAGAGTCACCGCCTTGAAATGCCGGATGTGAAACTGCAGAGATCAACGTCGCGCCGAAGAAGTCACCTCATCTTCTTTGCGGCAGAAACACGGCATCGACGAAGTAGCTTTGGACAAGTTATTTTCGCCAATACATTCGATTGAGAGTGACTAGGCTACATACCCGGAACTACGGAATCTTGCCCCTCACATTTCACAATGAGCGTCCCACTCCCCCCACCTACGCACCGCAAGCGCGCGCTGCCCCAAGGCGAGCTCGAAGCTGCCTCCACGCTCAAGCTGGGCGCTGACCAACACACGCACACACTCTCACTTTCGGAAGCACGACTCGTTATCCACAAGGTGTTGGAGAATAAGCGACGCGGGGGCAACAAATACGAAGAGCCGGAGTAAGGGCACCACAAACTACCCGGTGTCGAGGTCGAATACTTACCTGTGATGTTCTTTTTACAGGAACTTGACCAAGACGTTGGATTACTTGGACGTATTTGCCCGGTTCAAGGATGAGGAGAACATCAAGGCAGTCGAACGCCTTTTGAACTCTCATACAGAGCTGGAGATGTTCGAACGGTCGCAGCTGGGTGAGTATTGATTTGCACTGCCCCTTCACCCATCGGCCAAGACCTCCAATTTAAGGCACATGCGCCTGCATAGCGTTGGAAGGAAGATTTGATAATGGATTTACTGACTTTGGTCTTCCCCTGCACAGGTAGTCTGTGCTGCGACAATGCTGAGGAGGCCAAATCTCTCATCCCAAGTCTCCAGAACAAGATTTCCGACGGAGACTTGCAAGAATTGCTGGATGAGCTGACCAAGCTGCGCAACTTTACCGAGTAAAAAAAATCGCCACAAGCCGATCGCATTTTCTCATTTTTAGGAGCATGGAGTTTTGAGGGCGTTATTTTTTTCTTTTGCAGGATTTCCAAGCGAAGATCCTCGCATCAAATGTCAACCCTTGGATGAACAGGCCATAGGTACAGATGGGGAGATTGATGATTCATAATAGAAACCTTCCCGGGCCAACCATCATTTCTTATTACCTACATACCTAGGTACGTTGTAGGTACCTAGGCACCTAGCAATTTGGCCAAGTCCGTGCTCTTCCGTTTGCCACCGGGAATAGTAATTTAGCATGTGCCGGGGAACGTGTCCTTGACTCCGGGGTGTTCCACTCCGGGAGCATTTGAAGCTAAAACATCATGTTTCGGGGAATGTATTACATATTAGATTGCACAGCGGTCAAGAGAATACAGCGAGTCAGGTACAGTTAACACTAGAGGTGCATTAGCATAGAAATGCACCGAGTACATACATTAGGCTCTTAGGCTCTTAGGCTTTTCCCTCCACACTCCATTTCACCCCACAGTTTATGATTGCAGAGTTTCTCGGGCGCTACTGCGACTTTAGTATGGGACAAGCTGTGATTGGCCGGGTGGAAAGCCGTTATCACTGGTTGCTGATTGGTCCGGGATAACTCTGACTCGACCAGTCAGAAAGCCAAGTCATGCAGGAAGACAATCGGGAGAAGGGAAAAAGGGGAGATTTAAATAGATTTAGATAGATTTGAATATTTTAAATATTTTAAATAGATTTTAAATCAGATCGGGCCATTCAAAGGGTTCTTATTATCTAACTATTTGATCTATATCCCCCCTCTCTCTGTAAGAACTCGAGAGATGATGACCTAAGGATATTCAGTACGTAATGCAATGTCTGCTTTCAGAACCAATCAGCAAGGGACAGCTTATCTTTGACAATTAAAGTGTCATAATTGTCAGTCACTTGCTTAACTTGATGGGGGTTTTTGTTACGAGAGGAAAAAGCTGATCTTCTGGTACTCGGGAAACTAAATAATAATTTTGATTTTAGAGAGTTTATATTACCTATTAGATCGATCGATGTCATCATATTCTTTCTTTTCTTTCTCTCTTCTCCTTCACTTGATTTCAGATCTGTAGTATCTGTAGTAGGAATGACGGAGCGAACTATTCGGCATCTCATCCTGCTACAATCACTTGCAGGCTCATCTCCCTGATATATATATATCCCTTTTTTTGAATCTCCGGTGCCGGCTTTGGATTATCGTGAACTTATTTCGGAGATAACCAACTTTTTTTTTTCTTTCTGATAAGCGTATGTGTCTCTCTTATCACCATGATCTTATCCAATGACTGACTCTGTATATTTCAGAAAATAAGAGATCTCGAACTAGATCCCTAGATTGCGGAGTTATACCTCTGGAGTACACTCCGTGAAGACCCTATCAACCTCTTTCTATCTCCGTTCCTATTTGCCCGATTATCCTACCTACAGGGCTAGTTCCGGTCCACATGGCTACTGTTATCACCATCCAGCCTTCGGGCTATTCCCAAACCCATTCCCCTGATCTCCGCCGAAAGACCGGCTCGACCCCAACGCTCTCTCCATCCCCCATCTCCATCAACTCGACCCTTCCCCGCGTACGGAATGGAGCTAGCTGTGACGCTTGTCTCCGCAGGAAGAGCAGGTGTGCCATGAACGAAATGGTCAATAAGTGCTACTCATGCGATTTTCATCGCCAGGAGTGTACCTTTACCCTCACAGCCCAATCCGAGGTTCCATCCAAGAAGAGGAAATTGGACGAGGGCCTGGAGCCCACCGAAGGAATTAAGCGGTATGGGATCCCAACCGGCTGGGGATATACTTCAGCTTCGCATATAGAGAGAAATTGTTCCCTAACAATACCCAGACCCTCTACAATCCAACCGGCCCAATCTATCCCGGAGACCGAGTCTCACCCGCTATCAGTGAACATGATTCGCCCCGGGTTCTTTAACCAGACTACTCAGCATATCGGCATGACCACTGAGCTGGAGCCAACCTTACTAGAATATCTTCCGCTGGACCAATACGACGAATGTACCGTCTCGAACTCACGTGTGCGGAGATGTGCCGACGACGGCACTTTCATGCGCGTCGTCGACACCGTGCCTGGCGGTGACTCACAGGCCCTATCACTCGATGCTATTGAGAGCATGGTCGCTCCCTACGGCTCAACACTGATCGAGAAGTTCTTCGACCATGTACACCCTTCGTTCCCAATTTTGATAGAGGAAGTTTTCCGCCAATCATACCGTGAGCGCCGCGGCCTCTCACCGCTACTACTCGCCGCAGTCTATGTCTTGACATTGAAGTTCGTCGACGTCGGTGCCAACTCGCAAACTGCGCGCAAACCCGATGCCGCACGGCTAGAGGCTTCGGCCTTGAAGCTGCTGATGGATTCTTTGCAATTCCCCAGTGTGTCGACTATCCAAGCCGGGCTTCTGCTGACACAGAAGTCGACGCTAGCTACGGCATCATTAAATGGTCAACTGGTCACGGCCGCTTTCGAGCTGGGCCTGCATCAGGACTGCACGAACTGGCGCATGGAGACGTGGGAGAAGGGCCTGCGGAAACGCCTCGCGTGGGCTTTGTATATGCAGGATAAATGGTCGTCGCTGGTGCACGGCCGACCCTCGCATATTTTCGCCTTCAACTGGACGGTCAAGGATCTCGTGGAGCAGGACTTCTCGGACGCCTTTGCCTCCGGCACTGACTCCTCGCACGATGAAACTGCCGTTGGCCACGGCCCTCTTCTTTTCTGCCACATGGTCGCACTAACAACCATCCTCTCCGACATTCTCGACCGTTTCTACACATTGCACGCCATCGAAGAGTTCTCTGCCGCCGGAAACCAGCGCACACGCATGATCTTAGAAAAGGCCAAACCAGCCCAGATCCGGCTCAAAGACTGGTTCTCCTCCCTCCCACCATCCCTCAAGATGGAAACCTCCACCGGTGAACTCGTCGAAACAATAACAGACGAACACGCCCGCAACGGTGCCCTCCACCTTGCCTACTTCGCCACCGAAATCACCCTCCACCGCTGCATCGTCCGCTCCCTCCTCGCCGAAGGCACAGACCAGTACCTCGCGCACATCTGCCGCTCCGCCGCGAAGACTCGCCTGATCTCCGCAATGGACTTTGTCAACCGCCTCCGCCCTGCCCACCTCCGCTCTTTCTGGCCCGCCTCCGCACGCACTAACTTCTCCCTCATCGGCTCATTTGGCATGCTCCTTCGCATCACCGCCCCGACAAGCGAAGAGGCAGACTTCTACCGCGTCCGGTTGTGTGAATACCGCTGGACTCTAGGCGTCAGCCACAAGAACGCCGAATTCATGGGCTTCGCCCTGCAAAGTCTCGATAATGCCACCGCGCTACACAAGCACGTCCCCGCGAAGCCGGGGATCGAAGAGCTGATGGCGTCAGCTAACAAGAATGCGCCACCACGCATGCCGACTACGGCGCTCGGCTCTTACGATGAGGCTATGATGGATGCCGGCACGGCGGCTTCGAGCTCGGTTATGTCGGGTCTTGCCTCGCCCGCTACCTCTGTTAGTGATATGGAGGATGGGGAGGCCTCTATGGCGCCCCTGTGATCATGTCCACCTCTTTTCCATCTCTTCTCGTCATCTTAGCTTCATATATTTCTCGACTCCGCCTCGACCTCGCATCCTACCTCATTTCTAGCCTTTTGACTCTGACGTCTTCTCATGACTCCCTTTCTGCTACGGCGTTTTCTCGGGAATTTGCTCTTGATTTTCTGGGAGCGCTTGATTTATTTGATATTATTACCCCATGTCCCCGAGTACGCTTACAGCAGTGGACTGCAACCTGTTACCTTTGTGAAGGAATTACCGTTTGGAATATCTGGATTGGACCGGATTACGCTTCGTGCATGCCTTTTGGTTTTCCCTTTGACCAATGTTATAGACAGGAATTATGTGTATAGATTGGATAATGAATTATGATTTATTCTTTTGATTATGGTGGCCCTATGTATTCAAGGACGACAGTGTAGTAGTAATTCTGAAAGCAATGTCGGTTTCAACTTTGAAATTGGGATGATGTTTGACGTCTATAGTAGTCTATGTAGTGGATAAATAGGTTGTCCAAGTCAAGACACATCTGACAAGCTTGGGGCGTTTGATTGAGCATATCCATATCTACATCCATGCATGTATCCGTGGACCTTCATATCCCTTTATTAAAGGCATCAAATTGAGAGTCTTTGGATATTCTTTCAGTTTCTTTCACGATATTTTTGTTGGAATATCATGATAGATGGATGTATAAATATATCCATAAATATTCCAAGGTTGTTATACTCATCATTTTTCATCACAGAGGCTCAGGAAGGTGCGCCTCGTCCAGTCCTACATGCACATTCTTCCTTCCACTTAACTCTCACTTATTCCTCAATCTCACTCATCCATGTCACCATTCCAAGGTTCTTCCTACGTCACTCTCTCACAACTATCTTAAAGAGGTGATCGGAATGTCCTCTTTCATTAGGAGGAGTCCTAAAGGACCACTTCGCACAGTATCTACCGGAGAGTGCGTCTCAACCAAGGTATCTGAATCCGGATATGATGAATCAGACATGTGAGGAGTGGATCACAGTGGAATCAGACAACACGATCAAGATCCCTGATAAATTGAACGACCTAGACCAAAAAGCTGACCGACATGGCCGTGATGGGCCTATTCCAGGGCTTGGTGAAGCCCTGCCCAACTTGTCGGCTTTTACTGATCATCCCAAACCAGCCCGCCGACTAAAGAAGAAGGCCAATTCTTTCCAATGATTCAAGAAAGTTTCGTTTGTCTTCGAGGCTAACGACTGGGAAGGAAAGCTTGGATATCCGGGAAGAATGTTGAGGATACCCCAGAAGACGTCGGTACCGACATTTATCGTAAGGAGACTTATGTTGAATTTGATAAAGGTGGATATCTTTACTGATTTGACTTCAGCATATGATGGCTCTTTGAGTAGCCTGTTTTGGCTACCAGGGCTAGACGAGCTTGTTGAGGCAGCATTCGACCCTACCATGGCCCTAAATGACGAGGTCCGACTCATTCCAACAAATGCGAGGGTTACCGTGGAGATTTCAATGATGAGGACGGCAAATTTGGGGATGATGGACGCAAGCGTCGCTCTTGGGGAAGTAGCGACGATGAAGGCCGATTGACCCATGACAACCTACACAATGAGGACCTTCGTGTCGGTGGAGGGGGCATATTTGTGCTCCATTCCTACAGCGAACATATCGGATCTTGGAGCAGCTTTTCGAAGAGGGCAAAGTCCCTGTATCGAAAACATCAGGGACCAGTGGAATGGCTCGTGAATAACATGATTGAAGTTGCCAATGACCCGGGTTGCAACCCAGGTTGTTGCCCAGGAAGATACTATGAGACCTTGGGATCCTCGACTACCTTTCACCAGTACGACAACAATACCCAGGCATACGGGCTACCTAGGTGAAGGCCACTGGGCCAAGACCTTCGTCTTGATTCCGCACCAGCAAGACACACTCCTCACACCCGATCTGTATGGTTCTTGACGGCCACACCCGTGGAACAAGCCCCTTGACTTTTGTGGATATCTCTCTCTGATGTGGGCCGATGTCATGCAGACGGACTCTTTCCTCGAGGAAGCCTTTGGCCGCCAAAATTTGCTGCAGTCCGGTATCACCACAGAGTTTCAAGATTACAGCGTCAATACGCTTGAAGTCGTTCCGTTGGCTTCCCAACATATGATATATCCCTGCTTGATCATGAGAAATGGCACCTAGGTGATTGGTGTGACGGGGACGAAGTTGTAAAGTTTGGGTTCGACTCATATCCCAACTTCTCCGAGCCTGGGTTCGATATCCGACTCGCAATCAAATGGAACGAGAAAACTTGCGCAGTCTACGTCCGCAGTCGGATCCGAGCATCTCCGTCGACTCCCGATCTTGAACATGTCCATCATTCTGGCATGCTTTGAGCGGCTAGAAGGGCGATCAGAACACTTTTGTTGCCGATCTGAGCAAGTGGTGCTCACTCGGCACTCAGCCTGAGGGGTTCCCAAAGCCCCGAATGTCCCACAAGTGTGACATTTGGGATCTTCAACGATAGCTACTCGTCGTTTCCCACGTAAGTTCAATTTGCCTTTCTTCCCTTATCTATAAATGTTTTGACGAGCATTACTGACTTCACCTATTCTAGGGACCCTACTAAGGGGCCTCCGTCATTTGAAGATGCCATCCAAGCCGTTATCCCACACCTTCTATCTGTTCCCGGTTGCTTCTGGTCTGTGCGGCGACTCGAGGCAACTAGGACCCACGATCACATCGAAATTCCTATCATCCGCAGCTTAAGGTTTCTTCGCTGAGTCGCATCGTTGATGCAGGACTTGGAGTAGGTCAGCTCAACGTACAGCGTCGATTGACCGGGCAGATCCATAAACTGGTCAATACAATCTTTACAATAAGCAACTGAGATCGGACTGCCCCAGATTACGGACCCATACCGGGAGTCGAAGCAATTGCAGACCACAACAATCAAGAGTACAATGTCCATTCGAATGTCGTATTCCTCCAAGTCGAAGGAATTCTGAGTACGGGCAGACCACGTACTTAGCATTCCTTCCACGTTTCAACCACAAGACCAAGGAGTGGCACCGTGCCGGACCATGTCCCATCATACTAGCCCCAGTAGCGGCCCGGCACACCAGACTATACCCGGGTCAAGGTCACGCTCCACCACCCGTTCCGGCATGAAAGTGAACTTCTCAAGCTTGACAGCCTTGGGTTTGGCCCCCGGCTCGACGCGTATCAGCACTGCCGGGCCTCCCACAGCCACCCCGATGATCGGTACGGCCAGGAGGTTAAAGATACCCCAGAAGACCTGTTGGAGGATTCCGCCCAAAAGGACGACGAGGGCCCTCCATGCCTTCTTTATCGTTGGCCTAACTTTCTCCGTTTTGTGGAAACATATATCCAAGGACAAAGATGGAGCAACAGGTTGACGCGCTCTCCCTTTTGGACGAAGATCTGAACCGGGTCATCAAGTACACAAAGAGATCAGGCGACCCTAAGCTGAATCACAACTCATTGGAGATGAGATAGCTCTTCAAGGTGTTTTCAATCACTCGGTGGGATTTATCGTTGGACAAGTCTTGAACGCCCAGGCGACTGGCCTGGAGTTTGCGGAGGCACTTGAAAACAGTTATACCGACACGACTGATCACATTCTAATGACCCAGAATGCCTGACACCAGTGAGTCTCGGGTGTCTATTATTATGGTGTTGAATTTAAGATACTAATAGTAGTATAGTATATATAAGGCGGATAAAGCCAGCTACATCTCAGCCGTCATCGGTTGGCCGTTCTTACTGGGTCCTTCTAACAGAAGCGCTCACCCACGCATCCTGCGTGTACGATACATCGACATAGTCTTACCAACGCCTTGAGTGGGCTTCTTTCTATGCAATTTAGCAGGTTCGAGAGCACCAAAGTGGCCATTCTGATCGAGACCGGCTTTGGGTGGTTTCCATAAACATGAAGAAATTCGATCATGACGAATCCGGAACTAACCACACACGTTTTCGCCGCCAGACAGCCAAAACGTATGCCATGCATGACTGCTTTTACAAGGAAGATCTCTCCTACTTTGTTCTTCACCTTGGAAGGGATCCAATATCGACTACCGCTGGAGACGATCTGGAGAATGGCCTTCGCATCCCCTTGAGGGAAATGACCATGGTCACCGCTGAAGGTACGCAAGATGGTCAATAGAAGCTATGAGTGTCCTCAACAATTCATTTTACCAATGTTAGCTTCTGTTTCCTACATCAGTTCACATCCAGAGACAAGAGGTTCCGAACGTGACCCGCTTAGCAGCACGAGAGATGCTGCTACAATCTCTCCCGCCCCTCAGAATAGGCCGCAATCACACACCTCGAGCGCGATACACGGGGTGGACTTTGTGGGTACACTAGTGCCGTGGCCAAATTTCGAAGGTGACACTATTGCCGCCTAGACCTCTCCAATCGTCACTTGGAGCACTCAGACTGTCGACATAGTCATGAGTGGGCTAGGTTCAGTTGACACCGTCTCCCAGGAACAGTAGTACTGGGAGACGAGACAGGCCTACAGGGACGTCTGAATGAATAGTGAACCTTCAACAGGATTGGTGAAACAACGCGAGCAACAAACACTGCAACGGACTCGCCTTCCTTCACCAACTCAAATATGGGAATGGCCATCAAGGCTACAGGCGCAGGAAGTCGAGACACAAGCCAGCAGGCCAATTTCCGTAGCACTATGATCCAAGTGTACGGGGCCAACATCCAACTGAACCATGGCTGTGGGATCCTATCATTGGGGATTATATAGAGGAGGAGTTGTCTCATCCTGGTAACATATCTCTGCTTCGTACACTGTTCAAGACTCCGCCCAGAACAACCCGTGAAGCTTTGCCTGGGCATTGTTCCGCAACTCGAAGCCCAGTTCATGGGTTACAGAAGCTCAGGATCCACCTAGGACCACTTTACTATTCTCGCACATTTACGGGATGTATCGTCCAGGCCGGCTTCTGGTTATTGGATGAGGAATTTCTTCGAGCTCCAAGAGATATGCGGAGAGTGAGATTCATCTCCTTCTCTACATCGAGAGTAGCGCTCTTCAAACCTATTGACATTAGACGAATGCTAACCTCCACTATAGGAAGGATGCTAAGTGCCGTAACTGCAGCCGCACAATGCCCCGAACCCAACCTGGTGGAAACACAAACATCTAATGCATCTGCTATGGGATTCGGACACCGAAGATGTAGGTGCTGTCGACTTGGATCTCTGATGCTGAGCCTTGTGAGAATGAGGCCCAGTTGCCGAAGGAGTGTATAAGGAAGGAGCGCACACCCTCACACCCTACTCTACAGAGAGTGAAACCTCCACCTCCATACAACACAATTCGCAAATTCGCAATGTATTCCCACGATAACATTGGCGGAATCCCTAAGAACTTCGATCGCTGGATAGACCGGGCCCTACAACTTAAAGTGGCACACGTCAACCCGAGCGACCCTTCGACAATAAATTCAGCATCAAAGATAACCGAGGAAGAGTTCATCTCAATGAGAGCAATTGAGTCAAGGTGCTCCGCCCGCCAATACATTCCCAAAAAAGGACCAGGTCCCCGGTCCTCGATACTGGAAGGATTAGGAAGCTTCATAGGGTTGTTCGTTAATGACCAGATGCTCCAGCTGTCATTGTTTTGGGTTCGGTGTTGGCAGCATGCGGGCCCCTTGAGTACCACGATCATATCGACCGCGAAGGTATCTCTCTCCTCCCGCCAGCCGACCTCCAGAGGGCAATCACGATAGAGTCGCTGGCGAAGATCGACCGCGACTTCAGCCTAACCGGGTCCATAACGAACTACAAGTCCTTGAGCAACAGAAGGCTCGGATCATAACCTCGGGCTGACTTAAAAATGACTTTTACTTCCAAATAATTAACGGATGAATAAAAAGTACCATATGTTGCGACAGATAAGACCCGATGTGCTTTGCTTTCAACACATGTAAGCCATCCATGAATATGTACACAGGTAGTTATCAGGTAGAGACTGCATGTACCCGACCCTTGACAAGGGACCCTACGATAGCCCTTTCGGGTGTGAATCCTTAGGGTCTTTTACCTATCAGTTAAGCACCACTAGGTAATCACGTAGTTAAGAAAGGCGTTTATATCGTTGTATTAGCGGAGGAGCAACTGCCCCCAATCTCACTTCAGGATCTTCTGAATAATCATATCCTGAGTTTTGAGGCTATGAGCGCGGATCCGGACCTTTATGGTTTCCAGCTCCTTCAGTACTTCATGAAGGACGAACAAGAAATACTGCATAAAGATTCACCCAGTTTCCTGCCGTAACAAAACTGACTCCGCCAAGACTTACTTACCATTTGATGATGCTGATATTCGGGCCGTGAGATCATGTCGCCCGATCCGGCCGAGGGAGAAATGCAAGAGGCTCTACACGGCTCGGCTCGCTCTCTCCTCTCTCCAAAATTGTCTGCAGATCGTCTCCGATGACCGGGCGAAATTAATGAATAAGACTATCCCGTAAAGGGATGCTTGAGATGAGGAACTCATTGGCATAAACGTGCATCTTCTGTAGCAGAAGAAATTACCTGCATGGCCCCAGTTCAAGATCAACCGGATGAAAATATCTCATGGCGTATCCTGGTTGGCACAATTGTCAGCATTGTCCCGGCTACTATTTGTGTGATCTTGCGGTTTATTGCCCGCCATGTCGCCTGTGCTGGCCTATGGTGGGATGACTATACCATTGCAGTATCCCTAGTAAGTGGTACCTTGAGCTCCGATGTTTCAATCCTACAACGAAGACACGAGTTAAGAAGGCCAGGTAGTCAATTGGGCCATGGCTGCTTTACGATGGGCACAGATCCCGCTGTATGATTATGGTCGTCACGCTCAGTACGTGTCAGCTGAAAAGGTCAAGGGATTTGGAAAGGTATTCTATCAGATCCCTCTAACTATCGGTACATTTTCTAACAAGTATGCAGAGTTTTATGGCGGTCCAACTTGTATACTTCACCAATGCCGTCATTACCAAGGCATCGCTGCTGCTTCTCTTCCACCGCATTTTCGGTGTCGTCAGAGGCTTTCGTTGGATCCTCTGGGTCTCTGCCTTTCTGGTCGTTGCCTACTTTATCGTATGCTCAATTGTTTCAATCGTGGGATGTTCTCCCGTGTCTAAGTCATGGGATAAAAGCCAGCCGGGCCACTGCATTGACGAAGTAGCATTCTTCCGCTGGAATGGCGTGGGGAACATGCTCCTCGATTTCCTGGTGCTCTGTCTTCCATTTCCGATGGCCTGGCGGGTAAACACAACAATCCGACAAAAATGCATTCTAACCGGGATCTTCCTACTTGGTGGCTTGTGGGTTTCTTTCGACTCTCAGAGTGAAATGTATTACTAACTACGCACCAGTGTCTGCGTCGTCTCAATTCTCCGCATTGTCAGTTTCGAATCAGCAGCCCTTAATGATCCTACTTTTACTAGTGTCGGTCCGGAAACTTGGTCCTCGGTTGAGCAATCTGTCGGGATAATGTGTGCCTGTCTTCCAACGCTTCGACCTCTCTTCCGACGGCTCTATGGCCCACCAAGAACACCCTCGGAGAGAGTCAGCTCTGCTCCTGATTCCCAGAATAAGACTTCACGATCTAGCCGAATGTCGACTGTTGATGGAGAAAGCAGCATTGTTGGCTTTGCTCCATCGTCTTCGCGGCAACAGCACGAGCGTCGTTCTTCCTCGCTCCAGCTAGACGAATTCCAAGGTACTTATCGTAGCCCAACGTCTGATGAAACTCGTGACCGTCCTATTTCGCAGTCTACACAGATAAGTGGAATAAACAAACCTGTTTCTACAGCAGGGTCGTTTGCTTAAGGTGCCTCTCGTGGGGCTATTGGTGTAATAGCGATGGTTTTTACTGTGTGATACCCGTGCCTGAGCATAAATCATTGGCTCATCTTATTTCTTATATCCAAAAGTTTCTTAGGAACATTCATTTTGATTCGTTCTTCGAAGACCCCTCCGTGTGCTGGCTCAGTGATCGGCATTCGAGTCAGATGCTTTTCAGCCTACGGAGTGCACAACATGAATTTTTCTCCTTCACGACAAACTCTGAATCATACCACCTGCTGAAGTGATGCATGCTACCAATATTGTGCCTTCTCTACTCATATCATCCCTGCCGGGATTTGTATCGGCGACTTCGCCGAACTTGAATCTCTTTGCCTACGGCAATCCCGGCCCTTTGCTTGGCACATCTTTCGGCATTCCAAGCGCGAATGCGACTTTCGACTATGTCGTCGTTGGCGGAGGCAACGCCGGACTCACCATCGCAAGCCGTCTGGCACAGAATCAAACAGTGAGCGTTGCAGTCGTTGAGGCGGGCGGCTTCTATGAAACTGATAACGGAAATTACTCCGTTGTCCCTGGGTATTCCAGCTATTACACCGGCTCAGACCCAACAGACTATCAGCCGCTCGTCGACTGGGGATTCAGTACGCAACCTCAGCCTGGATCGGGAGGCCGGGTCTTGCATTATGCCCGAGGCAAGACCTTGGGAGGTTCCTCGGCTAGGAACTATATGCTCTATCAGCGGCCGACGGTTGACAGCATGCAGCGCTGGGCGGATGAGGTAGATGACCAGAGCTACACTTTCGAAAATTTATTGCCTTACTTCAAAAAGTCTGTTCACTATACCCCTCCTAACCAGGCGCTATACAGCAATTCCACGAACAGCCAGACTCCAAATGCGTTCAGTCCCACAGGCGGGCCGCTAGAGGTCTCGTTTAGCAATGCTGTGCATGCACTTGGATCGTGGTGCCAGAAGGCATTTATAGCCCTTGGTATGAAGCAGATCGATGGATTCAACAGTGGTGAATTGCTTGGCTCTGCCTTCGCAACCTTCACCATTGACCCGCGAAATGCGCATCGCTCCAGCTCCGAGTCCAGCTTTCTTCAGGCCGCGTTAAACAAAAGCGTCGCGCCCACAGTATACAAGAATACTATGGCGCAAAAGATCTTATTCGACCGGAATAATAAGCGTGCTACAGGAGTCCAAGTATCGACTGAAGGCACGTTTGGTACTCAGTCGGTCAACTTTACGCTCCATGCTCGCAACCAAGTTATTCTATCAGCTGGTGCCTTCCAGTCTCCTCAGTTACTGATGGTCTCGGGCATTGGACCCTGCGACGATCTGCGTAGCTTTGACATTCCCTGCATCAAAAACCTCCCAGGCGTAGGCCAAAACATGCAAGATCACCCAGTCTTCGGGACTTCACACCGCGTGAACGTCCTCACGGCCTCGGCGTCAGCCAATAACACAACGCTAGCAGCACTTAGTTCAAAGCAGTACATACAAAATGCCACAGGGCCCCTTTCTATTACTGGGGCAGGCTACTACGGCTGGGAGAAACTGCCCAACCCGTTCCGCTCAAACCTGACTCGCAAATCTCGTCTCACGTTATCAAGCTTCCCATCCGACTGGCCAGAACTGGAATGGTTACCGATCATTGCGTTCAACGGCTATAATCTCAACAAAGTCACGGCCGATCCGAAGGACGGACATCAATATGCAACGCTCAGTGGAGCATTGATTGCTCCTCTATCTCGCGGTTCGGTTCGTCTCGCTGGTCCCAGTATGAACACCCCGCCCTTGATCGATCCTCGATGGCTTGCAGATCCAACCGATACGGATCTTGTTATTCAGGCTTTCAAGCGGCAGCGGCAGATTTGGGCGGAGTTGGCTAAGCTAGGCGTCGCCGAGCAGGAGGAGTATTTCCCGGGCTTCAATGTTTCCACTGACGAGCAGATTCTTGAGTTTATTCAACAGAGTATGACTACTGTGTACCATGCTTCAGCCACGTGCAAGATGGGACGCAAGAATGATAAGATGGCTGTGGTTGACAGTCATGCCAATGTGTATGGTGTGCAGGGGCTGAGAGTTGTCGATGCCAGCAGTTTCCCATTTCTCCCGCCAGGTCATCCCCAATCTATTGTGTATGCATTTGCTGAGAAGACTGCGGATGAGATATTAGACATTGTTGAATGAAACTCAGTGTTGATGAGATGGTGCCTCGAGCTGACCCAAGCACTGAGAGCCTATGCCTATTCGATGACGTCCCTACACTATTGCAACAGTAAGATTTTCTGAAAGAATCCAATAGATATAGAATACAATGCATACAGAGAACAGCCCAAATCGATCTATCTGTACAATATGCCGCAAAGATATCAATGCATGGCGGCAAGACAATTACCAACAGCCCAAAGACCAGACCATATCTCAAGTACTGTCAGTACCTCGAACCACAGCCGAATCATGGTCCGACATCACATTTTCGCCTCAAAAAACAGCTTCACCCAAACACCGAACAACCCAATCATGACCGGGGTTCAATTACTGAGCTGTCCGCTGATTCTTCCACGACCACCGCACCTTCCGCCAACAACTCCTCCGGCGTCTTCACCCGCACATCCATAACACGCATAAGCGTATAGCGGTGCTTGCTCTTGGCCTGCTTAACGTGCCTTTGTCTCCGCTTCGTCTTCTCCTTGATGCGCAGCGGCTCAGAGTCCACACCCGTCACACGAACCCGGCACTCGTAGATCCGCTCGTCGATAGTCGGCGAGCCCTTCATTGTGAAGTCGCGGGATCCAAGCGCCGAAGCACGGTTGAATCGCAGAATATCGCCTGCCTTAACCTTAGGCATGAGGAAGGGCAACCGAATGTGATCACCTTCTGTCAAGAGGTATGGTCGTGCGTGCAGCTGAGCAACGACGTAGTGCGGCTTCTGGCCGACTAGATGGGGGAGCTGTGACATGAGGGATTTCGTCACTTTGAGAGGGGAGGTGAAGGTCGGGGCAACGGGTTGTTTGGCAATGGGGACGTGTGCGCGTGTTTGGGGTGTCATGGTGTTTTCGTCGAAAGTGGAGGCCTTGACGTTCTTCGGTTGGGTATCTTGCGCCCGGGGAGTGGCGCTGAGAGGTGATTCGGGGTGACTGGATGTCGATTGGCTCTGAGGTTGTTGCAAATTCATCAAAGATGCACTTTGGTGAAGGCATGCTCGTTGCTGAAGGGGAGCTGCGGATGAGATTGTAGACGGCGCAGTCCAGCGCAGTTCGGAGGCGAGGCTCCGGAGAGCGGATCGTGAGAACATATTGACTGACCGCTTGCCAATGCTCAATCGAGAGTGGAAGTGGTTCGCGGTTGGTTGATATTCGAGATAGAAGAGCGGCTTCCCCGTAACTAGAGAAATTCACTACTTGCGCAAATGGCCGCTTTGTCACCCGTAGTATCACGTGATGGTATATATCTTTCTTGGGGATGTAGATTTGTAGCAAGAAGAGTAGTAAGCTATAAATGTGAGCCTCATATTATTGTAATTTTAAAGGTATATATCCAATTATTTATCATTCTGGAGCGTTTCTTCTTCTAACCTGTACAAGCTGAGCTGAGGAAGTCGAGAAACGACCTGACCGATAAGCAGCATCACGTGCCTCGCTATCTTTTCCCGCATCACAACTTTTTCGGTCTCGATTAGATCTTCAAGGCAAGAATCTCATCACCCATTCACCTCGTGTTGTTCATTCGTCGTTCATCATGGTAAGCTCCCAATGATTTTCCGGTCTCTCAATGTCCAATTTCATGAATTTACTAACCTTTCTTCCACCTACAGCCTCAGAACGAGTTCGTCTCTCCCCGCCAGCCACCGCCCGATCCCCAACTGACATTTTCCCAGGTATATCGAGCGCTGGCAGAAGCAGCACGGCAAGCGCCTCGATCATGAGGAGCGCACGCGCAAGCGCCAGGCTCGTGAGGGACACAAGGCGTCGCACGATGCCCAGAACCTGCGTGGTCTGCGGGCCAAGCTGTACCAGCAGAACCGCCACAAGGAGAAGATTCAAATGAAGAAGCGCATCAAGGCCCAGGAAGAGAAGAACGTCAAGTCCGCCGCACCCGACGAGCCTTCCAAGACTCCTCTGCCCCAGTACCTGCTCGATCGCTCGCAGGAGACCAACGCCAAGGCCCTCTCCAGTGCTATCAAGAACAAGCGTAATGAGAAGGCTGCTAAGTTTGCTGTGCCCCTGCCTAAGGTCAAGGGTATTAGCGAGGAGGAGATGTTCAAGGTTATCAACACCGGAAAGAAGACCCACAAGAAGGCCTGGAAGCGTATGATCACCAAGCCTACTTTTGTTGGTAACGACTTCACCCGTCGTCCCGTCAAGTACGAGCGGTTCATTCGTCCCATGGGTCTCCGTTACAAGAAGTGTAATGTCACACAGTATGTTTTATCGCCGGGGAGAATTTCCCCCCCCCTCGGTTTATTTTGGTTGGATATGGTATACTGACTTTTTCTTCAGTCCCGAGCTGGCTGTCACTGTGCAACTCCCCATCCTGTCCGTCAAGAAGAACCCCCAGAACCCTCTCTATACCCAGCTGGGTGTTTTGACTAAGGGAACAATCATCGAGGTCAACGTCTCCGAGTTGGGTCTTGTTACCACTTCCGGTAAGGTTGTCTGGGGTAAATGGGCCCAGGTGACCAACACCCCTGAGAACGACGGCTGTGTCAATGCGTGAGTTGCTTCGATCATTCCTATTGTTTATGTCGTATCTCAAACTAACCCGCAACAGTGTCCTCCTTGTCTAAATTGACCACCAAGCACTTCCTCTACATTCCCGGCAGGCACCCGCCTGTCTTCGATACCTCCATGCTCAGGCAGTTCTATATTTCCCTTTCTTGATACATACAGTCTATCAAGACTGTTCTATTCTTGGGCGGTGTTAATGGCGCAATGTCAAGTCCATTGATTTCAAACGAAAAGTATTCCGCATGTTTGGCTGAATGGACATAGCTAGTTTTTAGATAGTCAGGCATTTATCAGCTATGATTTTATGAAGACAACCAGCATCTCCACTGTAAAATATCATATGATGGATCAAACACGCAGTATCAAGTAACGAAGATAGACAAAGGTTGTCAATTAGACATCTTAACCAAATGGGGAGTTATTGCTCTAAGAACGCTGATACTCAAACAGCACCCATGCAGATGCAAGAGAAAAGATGAAAAAGCTAATGAAATCATATACAGGAATGAAAATCCACACGCTGCGCTGAAACCGAGATTCGTCAATGAATACCCACCAGAAGGCAACATGGTTGGGTCGGACAAACACCCCAAAGGATGATGCAAAGAAAAAGAATGAGACAATGCAAAGAAACACAGACAGTCAGATATCCCGCAAATTAACCAAGCAGACCAAGACAAAAAAGAAAATTAACACATCCAACACCAGTCATTAAGTCGTTCTAACCAAAAGGGAAAATGAGAAATGCCGATAGGCCAGTCGAGACAAAGGAAATAAAGTAAAAGGAGTGCTTGGGTGTTGTCATGGGTTTTCTTCTTCGAGAGCTGCTTTTATTTTTGCAAAGAAGCCTGCAGGCCACGCAGCCAGCTCCTCTTCTCTGGGTACACCGCGGGCCTTGCAGTGGTTGACGACGTTGGCTAGAATACGGCCAAGCATATCCTGGGTGACGGGGACAGCACCCTCAAGCTGGGCGTCGGGGTGCAAGAACGGATCGCGTGGGCCAAGCATCTCCTCAATGGTTGGTCGGAGAGTCTGGTCACGCTGCAGACAGCGCTTGAGAGTCCGAACAAGGCCAGGGGGCACTGGGACGCCACCGACGCCGAAGGCCGGGAATTCGATTTGCACACGGGGGTTGGGGATGGCCATGATGCGTTCATAATATTTGGCGATCTTGGCGAATGGTGGTTGTCCGTAGACCATCTTGTACAGAATACAACCCAAACTCCAGACATCGCTGGGCTTTCCTAATTTCATAACTTTCCCGACACTGGAAGGCAGACCAAGGGATACGTTGGAATCGACCAATGCTTCAGGGGACATGTAATTCGGTGTGCCGACTTGCTGTTCACGGTGAACGTTGACCGTATTATCTTGGATCGCATTTGCGATTCCGAAATCGATGAGCTTCAGCCGGCCTTGTACCATGAGGAAATTGGCGGGTTTCAAATCCGAGTGGACGATGTTGTGCTCGTGGACAGCTTGAACACATTCGAGCATCTCCTTCCAATAAAATCGGGTAAAGTTGATATCGAAAACAGCATCTTCGGCGTTTAAACGGAATGTGAGGATCTTTTCAAGATCAGACTCTCCAATCTCCATAAGCACACTAAGAGCATGTTTGTCATTGTTCAGCTCCCAGTCAAACAAGCGCACCACACGGTCCACGTTCTCCAACTTTTTCAATAAGTCGATTTCACCCTTGTATCCAGTCAAAGTCACTGGATCGACATCTTCAATATTGACCCGCTTGAGAGCGAATATCTTGTAATTCTCTGCCATCACTCGATAGACACGCGAGCTGCCGCCTCGACCAATGCAATCGAGTCGAGTGAAATGCTTGCCGTTAATCGAAACTTGGCTTTTCTTTTTACGTGATTGTGATGTCGATGCGCCTCCTGTGGAAGTAGCAGTCTCAAGAACTGACATCTTCGGAGGAGGGGAGCGGCCCTATGAGGGGTGTTGCTGCTCCGCGTGGCAAGTATCTTCCGTGCAGAGTTGGTTGCTGGGGTCTCCGCTGCATCTTTCTTCTCGGTATCGTAAACAACATTATACTTATCGGGTTTATCCAGCACATTCAACCCTTGGGGCCTTGTGCGACGGAAAGTTGGCGGTGGTTCATTCTCTTGGTCACGGACCGATGGCAAAGCCGGTATTGAAGGAACCTTGAATACGGGTTGTGGTTGTTCCTTCGACGATTTGTCGGACATTTCTGATGAAGCGGGAGTGGACTTTGAGCCGTATGATTTTGGCGAAGATGACCTTGAAAACGGTCCTTCAACCTCAGCGGGGCGGAGAGGATATTCTCGTCGATTGGATTCACGAGAAAGAGGCGGGCTTGGGTCCGCCCATGACACCTTAGGTGACGAGGGTTTCGCTGGATTGCGAGATCCATATTCGGCATTTTCCTCCTCTCCGACGTCCTCCCGGACGCCATCAGCCGAGAGATACTGGTGGTTTTCCTCGTTGCTTTCCTCGCTCTGGCGTCGTAGCACACCCCTCCGGGCTGGACCGTTTAAGAAAGTTCCAGCCAGTCGACCAACCCGCTTCACACGCAGCGAACTGTGTGGAGCGTTTTCTTCGCCGCCGCGACCCCGCAATGCGGAAGAAAGGCCATATCGTAACGCTGGATCATCGTCATATTGCGATTTCCGATCACTATCCGAGCGCTCCGCACTGCCATACTCTTCGCCCGAATTGCGTTCTGACGATCGCTTTCCTGAAGGCGAGACAGATGCCGGGGATCGCGTGTTGCTGCGCGAAACATTGATGCGGACACTCCGTTGGCGTGGGGCGGGAGTGATAAAATCATTGGGGTGGCTGTGGTGTTCTGGTTCTGCACTCTGACTATTTGATAGTGGGGAGCTTTCACGTAAGAATCGAGAACCCGACGAGATGGCGCCTATACGAACGACTCTCGGAGCTGGGCTACCATTAGATGAGTCGTGTGGGGACGAATTCCGAGGTGAGCGGCTTTGCTCTCTTGATGTTGCAATTCGAGGTTCGTGCGATATGTGTGCCTTTTGCAAATGAGGCGAAGAACCTAATCCATCTCCATGCAACAATGCTTTTACAGAAGCGCTGAATTTAGGTTCGGGTACCTCTTCGTCGGAGCTGTCGCCGGAGTAATGTTTGGGCAGAGCCTGTGATGGAGATACCCGTCTGGAACCCGAACGTGAAACCGCGGATCGGGACATCGGTCGGGCTGGCTGTCGGTACAGCTCGTTGTATGCTGGGAGGGAATTCGGGGACGCCATAGCGATAATACCTACATTGAAGTCGTGGATCAATGCGGCCCCTCCAAAGTTGTCGATTGTTTTGTTGATCCTGGAGAAAGCCCAGCCTCCAGGTTTCGTCGCGGGCGCGCTATATAGTCACGTGTTTGTTGTTGCTATGGCGACGTCTACACCACAACATACCAGAGAAGATTAAGAGAATCGATTCTTGAAAATAACATTGCAGGGGATGAAAGATGGACACAAGTCTAGTCTGATAATACTCCAGTTTACTCGTGATGGTGCTCTGGCAAAGCCCTGGAGTGTTCCAGTACCTGAAGTAATAGGCCGCAGTCCCTTATGTTACCCGATATGGAATCTGATAACCTCCACTTATACTACTTAGTTATGTTGTACTTGTTATACATCTATAGACTACCAGACTAAGAGCAATGCTGACATATTGCTCAACCTAGGGAATATATTCTTGTCTGAATTTATATTCCCATTCAGTTTCAGGTGATGTAAATGTGGAGGTGCTACCATCAATCTAAATGGCCATCACTACATACCTTCCACTATTCAGTATGGTTTATATATTGCTAGCAGAGTCTGAAGCTGAAACTAAACATAGATTCCAATATATTCGAGATTTACAATATATAAATCATCGATTCCCCACTTGGGACTGGGCTATTATAGTAACCCTGGAAGAAAATCACACCAAAGTATGGCTTTGAGGAGTCTGAAGTATAAGCCCATATAATGATAGGGAATGCAATTGCTATCCAACGATACGTTCTGAGTCTGCGTGGCCTTGGTAGTGCAATTAAATCACAATTTTATAAATGGGTGGCTATAAGATTCCAAAGAACAACGTACACATGTACAACATATATACTACAAGCGCTTAGGGCATGCACATATATACTTCCGGAGATTTAATAGATACAACCACCTTACCATGTCATCTTATTTTCTTCTCTCATTTTATTTTTATTTTTTGTAGGACATGTAATAGTAAAAGACAAATAACCCATTTACAAGTATACATCTACAGATTAGCCACACAAAATTTATATGTACTGGCGTAGGCCGCCCTGGACGCGAGCGGCCTCGATATAGTAACGAGTTCAAGGCGGCGAAGCATCTACGGCACCCGCGAGCGACCACAAGTGCAGTTCGACACCGCGGACTTCAGTTATCTCGCGTTTGCTCGTCATGGACTCTTTTACCCTCACCTCACTCGCTCGCAAAGATGGCGTCCAGCGTGGATGCAAAATTGATTAGGCGAACTAAGTTCCCTCCTGAGTTCAATAAGAAAGTGGACATGACCAAGGTCAATGTTGAGGTCATGAAGAAGTAAGTGACTTTCCCCGGTTTTGCGATATCTCCGGTTTACTGACATTGCTTTTTTCCCCACCATTGCAGATGGATCGCAAGCCAAATCTCCAAGATATTGGGGAACGAGGACGACGTCGTCATCGAGCTCTGTTTCGCACATCTTGAGGGATCACGCTTCGTAAGTTGGCCGTCGGATATTTAGCGTCTCGACCTTAGTTTGCTAACATCCGTTTCTGTTTCTAGCCCGATATCAAGCTTCTCCAAATCCAACTCACCGGATTCCTTGACAAAGATACACCCAAGTTCTGCCAAGAGCTGTGGTCGTTGTGTCTAAGCGGTCAGGAAAATCCACAGGGCGTCCCGAAGGAGCTCCTAGAAGCCAAGAAGCTTGAGCTCATACAAGAGAAGGTGATTGTAAGCGTGCCGTCGACCTTGGATTGTTTGCTAACAATACTACAATTTAGCTCGAAGCTGAGAAAGCTAGTGAAGCACTTCGACGCCAGCGGGAACAAGACCAAACCCGCGAACGAGAGCTGGATGATGTGAGACGCCGCGAGCGATCAGACCGCGGCCGTGGGGAAGAGGCGGTGACCGCGGTGGCCGTGGAGGTCGGGGACGAGACTTCAACAGAAGATCTTCGCCCCCCCGAGACCGAGACCGCAGCCGAGACCGCTTCCGCGAACCTCCATCTCGACGTGACTTTGACTCTTACGTGCCAGCTGGCAATCGTCGCGGCCGCCGTTCATCCAGATCTCCACACGGCACCCGTTCTCCATCCCGATCCCCAAAGCCATCGTCACCATCTCGCCGAAACCGCGATGAACCACGCCACAGACGACGCGAACGTCGCTCCCGTTCCCCAAGCAACTCAGTATCTCCCGAGCGACGCAACCGCGGAGGAGCGAGAAGGCGAAGCAGTCCGGATTACGGTGATCGTGTTAAAGAAAGACCCATCTCCCGCAGCCGTTCCCCGCGCTCACGTTCCCCCAGAGGATACCGCCGCCGACAAAGCTCCGTCTCCCGCAGTAGTGTATCTCGCTCGCGATCCCGCCGCTCATCTGCACGCTATGCCCGCCGCGATTCTCGTCGCTTGAGCCGCAGCCGCAGTCGAAGCCCTGACCGTACCGGTACACGTGATCGTGGTGAGAACCGTCGCCGCCGCAGCCCCAGCGGTGGTCGCAGCCGTAGCCGCAGCCGCAGCGTCAAGAAGGACACTGACGGCAAGCGGCGCCGCTCTATTGAAAGATACAACCCTGATGAGAAACGACGCAAGATGGCTGATGAGAATGAGGATTCCACCCGAACCCCCTCGAAATCTGATGAACCGTCCAAAACTGATGACAATGAGACAAAAGTTGCCGAGCAGGTTGGTCATAGAGAATAGAGATTCCCGGTCCAACCTCCACCTTGTATCCTCTACCACCCAGATTCAATTCCTACTTAATGTTCGTTTAAAAATTTCACATCTCATGTTGTTTCTCAAGTTGCTGTGTTCAATCTGTTACTAACGAACTTGCCACACCTAGACCAAGAAACCACTTTCTGCATGGGTAAACTCTACTGGGTTCCGTGAGAAATTACTCCGTGAGAGATGTATTGCTATGCGTCGCCGATCTGGCGAGAAGCCGAGCAGTGCTTCGCCGCCAAAGCAGGACTAAACGACAAGCAGCAAGAACCAGCCGGAGGGATTGATAGTGGCCATGTGTGACTTGAACTTTGAGATTTACGCCAACCAAATGTGTGCGTTTTAGCGCTGTACATGTACATCTACTTTGTAAGAATTCCAATAACTGTTTTTAATCATGATTGATGTGCTCTGTTACATTTCAAGACAGAATCGTAGCTAGCTAGTTGGTGACATGCTCAGGTTACGAGCTTTTAAGATACGAAATATATCACTACATTGTATCAAAAAAAGAGCCAACACAATAACAAAGAAAGGAATGTACTCCATTAAAGGGAAAGAATATATATGTGCTCAAGTCATTAGTAAACAAGGGATCTTCAGACTGCCAAAACCGAGAAAAGACCAGAACATGAAATATACATGTGATATACATGACAAACAGGATCTTTCAATCACCACACAAGCCGATTAGAATTAGAATTAGATATCTACAGAGACACGCCAGAGGGGGAGGGACGGCCGATCACAGGGTGGGAAAGAGGCACGAGACCTTCTCGGGTCGTGGCATCAGAATATGTCCAGGTAAGGTGTCCGCTTTACTCGCAGTTGCAGACAGTGGAAGTCACGGTCTTGGTGACGGTGATGTCAGAGCCGGAGTCACCACCGGCGGAGGGCACGGCGGGAGGGCTGGTAGGGGCGGGAGCGGAGGTAGCGGGGACACCGGGGATGACGGTTGAGCTGACGATGGCGGAGGTCTCGGTCTCACAGGGGACGCTGGCGGCGGGACCGCTGGGGACGGGGACGCCGGTGGGAGAAACGCCAGTGGGGGTCTCAGCAGGGACGGAGACGGTCTGGGAGGCAGACTCGTTGGGGCCGCCGGGGATCACGGTGGAGGAGACGATGGCGGAGGTCTCGGTCTCGCAGGGGACGCTGGCGGCGGGACCGCTGGGGACGGGGACACCGGTGGGAGAAACGCCGGTGGGAGTCTCAGCAGGGGCGGTACCGGTAGGCACGGCAGGGACGGAGACGGTCTGGGAGGCAGACTCGTCAGGGCTGCCGGGGATCACGGTGGAAGAGATGATCTGCGAGGTCTCGGTGTCACATGGGGTGGAGGTGGCATCGGGGCCGCTGGGGACAGGGCCAGAGGGGGCAGGTCCGGAAGGAGCAGGGCCGCTGGGGATGGGAGTGCCGGTAGCAGAGACGTCGGTGGGAGTCTCAGCAGGGGCGGTTCCGGTGGGCACGGCAGGGACGGGGACAGTGACGGAACCAGAGCCGTTGGGGCCGGGGATCACAGTGGAGCGGACAATCTCAGAGGTCTCGGTGTCACAGGGGGTGCTGGTGGCACCGGGGCCGGGAGGGAGTAGGGGTGCCGGCGGGAACGGAGACAGAGACGGAGTCAGCGGGACCAGAAGGCACGGCGGAGGTGCTGGGCACGTAGGGGGTGCTGGAGGGCAGGCTGGGAACGGAAGACGAGGCAGGGGCGGAGGGAGCACCAGGGATGCTGCAGCCGGTGAACCACTCGATGATGATGATCTGGATGCTGGCACCGATGTCAATGGAAGTGCAGCCACCGAGGAAGGCAGCGAGCTCAGCACGGGCGGCGAAGGTCAGGTCGAGGAGGCTACCGCCGGCAGCGCAGACGGAAAGGGCACCACGGAGGTCAACGCTGAGATCGGTGAGGGTGTCGGTCAGAAGACCGGTGACACCACCGAGGAGACCACCAACCAGGTCGACAGCAACGGAGGCATCTGCCTCGACACCGAAGGACAGCCAAAGGAGGACGACAGCCTTGAGCTCAACGCCAAGAGAGCAGTCGGCGCTGGCGAGCCAGATGGCGAGCTTGGTGCGGATCTCAAGGTCGATGGAGGTGGCGAGCTCGCCCTTGGCGCATGCCTCGAGAGCGAGCTTGACATCGGCAGCGAGACCAGCGGCGAGATCAATGTCCAGGAAGGCCGCGAGGGAGGCCTGGCCGCCAACAGACAGAATGCCAGACTCCAGAACGTGCGCGCCGACGGAAGCACCAACGGAGATGGTGGAGAGAGCAGTGTCAGCAATAGCACCAATCTCAACAAGGTCACCACCAGCATGGCCATTGATCCAGGCAAGGACCGAAACCTTGAGGTCAGCGCTGAGGTCACACTCCTTGCTGTTGATCCAGGCGAGGAGGGAAGCCTTGACGTCAGCCGACAAGCTGGCGACAACACCACCAGCAGCGCAGACATTCAGACCGAGCTTGACACCCGCATCAAGATCAAGCTTAGCCTCGATCCAGGAGGAAAGAGAAGCCTGAGCACCAACACTCAGGACGAGAGCAGACTCGAGGCTGGCGGCCTCGAAGATACCGTCGACAGTCACGTAAAGCTGGCCCTTGGCAGCAATGTCGGCACATCCGGGGATGTACACGGAGAGAGCAGCCAGGACGTCCTGGGAGAGGACGAGCTCGTCGTTACCCTCACACCACGAGATCAGGGACTTCTTGAGGGAGACGTCGAGGTCGGCGTGGAAGAGCAACCAAACCTTGAGGGCGGCCTTAGCCTTGTGGTCGATGACACCAGACTTGCAGCCGAGAGCACCACCCTGGAGAGCGGCAGCACCCTCCGCACCCAGACCAGCTAGGAGTTCAACGGAGGAGTGGCCGCCGAGGACGAAACCAAGGACTTGAGTCACGTCGACAGTGATGTCGCCAAGGAGCTCACCGAGGAGACCCAAGGTACGGCGCTCAACAGCCATGTCGGTAGGGTAGGCGAGAGCCGAGCCCGCCAGACCGGCGAGCAGAACGAGAGAAGAACGCATATCGAGATTTTGCGTTGTATCAACGAGCGTATAGATCGAAAACGATTGGAAGTTCTAAAAGACTTCTGAACAAGGATACACAGAAGCGAAAGACTGGATAGGCAGGCAAAAAGCCGCCAAAGGAATTAACGATAGACTGGTGAAAAAACGTGAGAAGAGAAAAAGACAGTTGAATGAAGATCGGAAGAGGTGATCGCCATGGTTGTTTATATACCCCTGATCAACTGTGAGCCGGGAGGCTTCCGGACATCGATTCAATCGGAACAGACTCATATTGGCTCTACCCCGGTCTCCAATTCCACATTTGGAGCTATCGACCCCTTAGGCTTCAGGAGTAATGGAGACTTGGATCTTTCACGGGCAAGTGGATCATGACTCCTGAGGCTAACAACAGGTGCAACGAGTGCATTACCGCATTGTGGACCTTGCCATCCGAGCTATTTTTGGAGAGTTGCAAAAGGTAGTCCGTATAAAGGTATCACATTATTATACTATCTGGATCTCAACTATCTGACCTATTTCCATCCGGGTCGAGGTAACTTCATTTAAGAGCCTTGGGAGAAGTGCCGAGAACATCCAAATGGGAAATAAAGAACTAAAAGAACTAAAAAAAAAGAAAACATAAAAAAGAAAAGAAAACTGCCAAGTCCTAAGGGGAAATAGATCAACAAGATCAACCTTGGAACGGTTGAAACGTTTAACAGCCCATTTTTTTGTACAGAGTACGGAATATCAACTCGGCAACCCCTATCCCCACAGTGTTGAACTATATTCTGTATTCCACTCTACTGACATACTTATGTTGTATTTATCGAATAATTACAGCCATCCAAGTCCAAGTATCCAAATCTCACAAAACTAAGAAGTATATGCGGCATTCCGAGTGGCCTGTTGAGACTCCTATGTCCCACCCGGGGAATTAGTCCAAGCACAGCATGCACGTTTTAACCATTTCAGGTAACGATGGACAGGTCCGATTCCATTAAACTCGCAAAACCTGTCAATTCCAGTTGCAAGATATCAGGGATTAAAGGCTATTTACGGAGTGGCTGGGCACCTTTCAGCCACCAACTGAATTTTTAGTCGATTCTTTGTGAGGTACGGAGTACAGGGTACAAGCCCATCAGACCATACTTACATAGCTACAATAGTACCCCGTACTATGCGAGAGACCGTCCAAAGTATACGGTCGCCAACAATGGATATAGTCATTATATTTGACTAGCTATGGAGAGTACGGAGTACATGGACCAAATATAGCAGATCATACTACAACACTGAGCTGATACCAATTGAACCCGCCCCAACAAACCGTTTGCTTGAAACAGAGCTACGGAGTACTGCACTCAAAACCAAGGATAGCAGGAGGTAGCAGCATCTAGGCCTTTCTAGTGTCACTTCCTGCACTAGTCAAGACGCTACTTAGTCGGGCTTGAAATGTGAAGGGAATAGGAAGTTATGCACTTCACGCATGGGAATATCCCCACTTTTGTGGATTGAAAGACAAATAAGAATAATCTATTAAAGACAGATTAATATCAAAAATAGGCCAAAAAGGCCTTAGCTTCTAGAGTGGAGAAAGAACTATTCTATCCCTTGAAACCGGAGCCAACCTCTGAACTACTCTGTATTTGTTAACTCTCGAGTATGTATATGGTGCAGGATGTTCAATGTATGTTATATGGGTCAAAATCCTCCATCGCGAAACAGTACTAAGTTAATAAGGGGCTGTTGAATGGATTCCAAGAACACAACAGCCATTAAGCTTCTCTTCTCCTGCTCCACAAACTACCTGCTCTCAAACAACACTAAAAGCGCCCTAACCACCTAACCCCATCCACCTCGGGAACCGGTTCGTTTTTTGACACCTTTACCATGGGTCATAAGGCTAGATTTTACGGCGATCAACTTTTCAGAGACATAATGAAACAATGCACTAAAATAGTAAGTTGGAGAATAACACAATGGATACTCCGTAGTCCGTATGCTGTACTTCGTAGTCCTTTTGGAATGGTGTGCTGATCTGCACCAGTCCAATCTGTCTCACTCCACGAGGAGCCCCACGAGCACTGCAGACAGTGCACGTGATGGCATCTCAACTCCCCTCTTTGGAAATTGCGCTCGGCCTGATTTTCAAGAGGGCGATGCAAAAGATGTGGAACTGCACTGCAGTTTCTCATTAGCTGCAGCTGTCCGGCTGTCAGGATCGGTCCAATGCAGGAGCGTATCTTTGCGACGGGTATCTCGGGAAAAATGACCAAATCAACAAATCATGGAACAGATCTAGGACAGAAAGATTCTTCGGGATTCGAAGGACAAACACGTACAAAAAGTACGTGTTTTCATCCCTGATTCGATGCCCCCCCTGACTCTCCACTGAACAATTATTCCAACTTTCGCCAACAAAATGCTTAATAATTCACCCACAAGGCCGGGGGATATCTGAGATACGAGTACGGAGTACGATGTACGATGTACGAAATACAGTCTAGAACAAAGAATACTGTACTATTTCAATATATAAAGCTCTAAAACCGTCAACTTCAACTAGTCCAACGCCTCTCTCTCCTTGGCTGCAATTGCCTCTCCATCGGGATACTTGGCCGAGAATAGTCGCAGTACTATAGCTACGATGCACTATTGGTTTCTTATCAGAGCAGGGTTGTTGATATTGAAACTGCAAAACATGGAAAAATGTTAACCCCGACATCCGAGGCCTTATTTTTCAGACCTCTCATACCGAGGTGGTATATTCCCCACACCCCTTTGCTTCGGATGGCATCGGATGTTTTACCTTATAAGAAATCAGAAGGACGAATTTTCAACATGTTCGAACCTTAGCCCAATGCTCAAATCCACGGCCCACCAGGATCAAACACCTCCTTGAAACAGTTACTATTTTCGTCTCCCGATCGCACAGATAATCAGTGATCCACAAGTTGCCGGCAAGATCGGCCGGTAAAATGCCCCAAAGCTTCAGAAGCTATCGCAGATAATTCGATAAGCACTACCCGAGTTTTTCAAGTGGGGATGGGTTGCATTGGGCTGAAAGCAAGACATCCTCAAACCGATGGGCCCCCAATTCTCATCTTGAAACATGAGCTTACCAAGGTCGGCCATCGGGAACTCCCGATCTAGAAAGAACTATACACTCTTTTGGAAAAGAATTGCACTGGTGAATAAAATCTCTCATACTACCAGCCCGCTTGGAAGTTGCCGGCTATCCATGGTCACATCGCTGGTAGGGCAATGACCCCAACAATCACTAATGGAAACGCTGGATCGTATGACTCGAAACGACGGCTTGATTTTGTTGAGATGGAAGAAACAGGACTCGAATCTTCTTCCTGCTGTTCTGACCGAGTCTTTTCAATCGATCGCCACATTCATATCTAGATACGGAAAAACAAACCCTTCTACTATACGGTGTATACGGTGAGCTCCTGCATCATCCAAGGTCCTCTCAACCCCATATCACACTTTGACTAGCGGTACCGAATTGAGACCAAGATCGGGCGATTCCCGAATGCACTCTTGAAGAGAAGATGGAATGTCCCATGTCACATGTGAAGAGCAGTAAACTTGGAAGAGTACCATGGTACGCACTACGACGTAGACTGGTTGCTGGGAATTTGGCGTCTTCCAAGGTTTCTAGAATGTTCCCGTTCCAAGGTTCTCGATCAAATTTAGTATGAACCCTAATTCTCCCATAGTTGGAGTAATCCTGAATTTGTGAAAGACAATCTATGTGCATACATCCAAAACCCTACCATTAGATTCTATCATCAGCATGGCAAAGGAAGGAGCAGCATACATGTACTGACCAAAGACTCAAGTCGAGTCGTTGATCTGCCCTAGCCTACTTCGCATCCAAGTAGCAAACGGGCCAAAGAAATGTGTATCACTATTTCCCGGCCGTTCACAAAAAGCCAGAAGAGCCCGATATCGCCGAGACGCAGACGTAGAAGTGGCACAAAGAACCTTCGCCAGACCAACTGGACAGAGATAAGGCGGCTGTCTTGCGTCCTCGCAGATAGAAGCAGTGCCTTGCATCGAGCACGCGTAGTACACGCAATGGGCAATACCAAAGCAGTGACCCAGCTCATGACTCGCCGTCCGACAAACACGACCCAACCAGAGCGCCGACAGTAACGAGGACGATGAATGCACCTCTGGCAGGGAGCGGTAGACCGATACTGCATCTTTCACAGGACCATTTAGCCCCAAAGTCGAATTTTGCGATTCTCGGCTATTGACCTGAGATCTTTTCTGTCTTTTCGCACTTGGTTCTGTGGAAGCACATGCAGATATGTACTTCTCACAATGCGACGCGGGCCATGCGTGCAGACGCTCGACATTTTGGGTCGTATCCAACTTGGGATTGTATCTTGCACTGGATACCACTGCAACGCGACTTCCTCCGTATGCACGACCACATACAAACTCGTCTTCGTCGTCCTCGTATAGATCGAAGTCTACAAGTATCAAGAGGGCATATGCGTCCTTTGGTAAAATGCTAATGGCGACATCGAGAAGATCATCTAGATTGACTTGGCCCCCATAGACCGCGTTGGACATGGTACGCGAGCGAATCCGGACGCATTCATCGCCGGATTGTAACCCCAGGTATTGTGGACCTGTCTTTTTTCGAGGTTTCCTTTTGGCTTCTTCCCATGGAATAAACCGCAGTGTAGATGGCGGCATCATCTTAACAGGAAGACCGTGATAGAAACCAGACAGATAGTCCTGGACGTCCTTCGTACTTGGAGGCTTTGTGGGAATCTCATGGTTTCGAACATCTTGGTGTCGTCCATGTCCGCATGAAGTCAACATCTGGGTCGATTTGAGGAGAAGAGACGACATAGATAGCTTTTTGTTTTGCAGTTACTGGATTGCGGTGTTCTTCATCAAGCCATTCTTGAAAACTCTGAGGGTCTTCCGGATCTCCGGCAAGATCATCACCAGGCAGCAACAATGGGGCGGGGAAAGCCCTCTCGTCTTCTTCAAGGAAGTGTTTGTCTTCTCGTGGGAAGCCTCGGTTGTCTGCTTTGACGGCGGCGAGACGTTGCCGTTGACCTTGTCTTCTGAAACCTGCTATGGCAGCATGAGGAGAAGAGGACAGACAGATAGACGTATGCTCACACTTGGAGATGGATCTTTGTGGCATATTGAGAATTTCATTCTAAATGTGGAGAGAATGATATGTGGAAGAAACCCTCGGAGGAGGACGACAAGCGGCTCAGGCGCACGAGCCCTTACGAAGTAATCATCAGGGAATTGAATCATTTTCTCGGGAAATTATATCTTCAACAATTATAGTGCGGCGTAACACTCAGAATTTGACTTTTGACAATATTGCCAATTTGGCAAAAGAAAAATGCAAGTTGGTAAGCGGCCAGTCTAGTAATTACCTTCTACCTCTCTGATCTTCTAGCGTGTTTGCCTTTCCCCCTTTCCTAATTCCCCATCTCCCAAATATATATTTCCTGGTTATACATCATCCAAAAAACTAAGCTTGGAAGCATGGATAAACCAGCGGAAGGTCTAGAACGGCATGACCCGAGACGCGCCTATCAACACCCGATGCCTTAAAACGCCCAGGTATACCCCAGGACAAACATAACGCGCCAAGAAGATTCCCCTCTTCCAAACCCCACCCTCACCCCTCTGAGCATGGCTCGGATGTCTTCATTCAGAAATGGAAACCGACACTGCAATATAGCGAGGGGTCAGGACGTGATAGGAACCAGAGGTTGTCCAAATCCTAAGCCATGGAGCCAGGAAACGTGAGTTTATATCTTCCTCGGCTCGAACAGATGGCATGGTCCTAGACCCGACCAGGAAACTGAAACGTTTACAACATTGAAATTTTGGTATAAAAAGAAACGCTAAAGGCTGTCCTCGAATCGCATATCAAATGGTACTCAACACTGTTTGCAGCCCTTGAATGAAGCGTTGAACATCATCCTCACTGATCAACTGGCGATTACCCTCAAATTCGAGATCTAATTCCCACTCCGTGGGGTAGCATAGATTTCCGGTCTGTTTCGAGGCAGCAGATCCGGCTCGTAGAATGATATCCGACCTTCGGACCCAAGGAAAGTGAAGTTACGATCATCTTCTTGCTGGAAAGACGTCCGGCTGGAAAGACGTCCGCCAGACAAAGACCTTTATGTCATCTGGCCAGCGAGTGCAGTTCCGGATAATCTCTTCCATCCCGGCAGTCTCGTAGCGGGCATCCTCAATGAGCTGACGCTGTAATTGCAAGGCAATGCTCGGAAGAGTAGCATGATCATCAATGTGCACGCTGATAGGTATCTCGGTCATAGATGGTCCGACTACATTTTGCAGATTGCTCGGTAGCGTCGACCGGCCAGTGACTGAGACAACCAAAAACAACATGAGCTTGTTTGTACTGGCGGGACACTATTATGGCACAGGCGGCATGGAATAAAGTTGCGGGCGACATCCCCTCGACCAACCGGCCTTCGGGAATTGAGATGATTGCCTTCGTGGTGAACCGGTCACTGGTAGTGTACACTCGGTTGGTACACTCGGTTGGAGTAATTAACACTACTCCATTTGGGTTTCGCAGCATGTGAGAGTCGTGAAGCCCAGTAAGCAAAGGCGCTTGCCTTCTGGTCCTCCCTGTAGGTGATATATTGGGTAAAACTCGGTGGGTTGGGGATACTATCGCCGCAGTAGAGTGAAGAGAGACTGCGGAGGACTGTCCAACGAAGGCCGTGATCTCACCGTCATTATTTGCCTGGAAGTTATCATACGCGGGATTTGAATGTTCGAGTACTGGCACAAGGACATTTGATCAAGCCTTTTCAGAGAGTGTTATGGGCTCTTTCGACCTCGATCAATCCACGACAGGGTCCGAGGACGGTGGGCAGTCAAATTGTATTCTGTGGACGGCGGCTCTTCCGTGGTGATTGAGCGAATGTGCCATCGGATCAATAAAAGCAGCACTGTCGAGCTCGGGAAACAAGTTCGTCGCATTTCCATAAACCGTAGTGGGATCTGTGCGGGCGAGGAAGTAACCTGCGATTGGTATGGGACGGTGTTCAGTACTACCACGTTGGCATGCCTGCAGCGGATCGTCACCGAGCCACTTCACCTTGATCCTGTCCAAGAAAAAGCTATCCGGTGTCTGCGGTATGAAGACTCTACTAAAGTGGGTATCAAGTTTGCATATCCATGGTGGATAGTAGACTGCGGAATTCGAGGGGGCGGCAGTGCCTCATCGACCCTACCTTCACGGACGTGCGGTCGAATTGCCGAAGAAGACTGGGACCAACCAGCCGTGTTGTTGGCCTCGTACAGCTGGGGCCAAGATGCCACGCGAATGGGGGCTCTGATCAGATCTTCCGCCGCCACCTCTCATGGGGCCCGGGACGAGGGAAATGATCTGCTGGATCTTGTCCTCCGCGACCTCGCTCAGCAACATCGGCAATATGGAATAACGTACGAAAAGCTGCAATCCATCTACCGAGATCATCATGCCTTCTGCTGGGGCAATTCCCGCTTTTCGTCGGGAGCCTTCGCACTTTTTGGCCCGGGACAATTCACCAATCTCTATCCTTCTTTTGTCCCTCCCAGCAGCAGACGGAAAGTTTCACATTGTAGGGAAGGCCGCTAGTGTTCACCATGGGTGGGTGGTTGGCTCATTGAACAGTGCATATGTGGCCGTCTATCGATTCTTGCTTCGGTATGGACAACAATGGGCAGTCCAGAAGCTGGAGCAGAACTGGGGAAACCGTGCATGAGTTGGATCTTGCGGGTGTTGCTCGCCTTGACGAGCCGATTTGATGGTCTTATCCGTCTCGGGTGATAAAAAGCGATATTGGCTTTCAGAAATCGGAAACATGACGCCCCAGGTAGAGAGCTCGTTGGGGGTCATTAGCCAAGACCAAAAATTTTTTCATTTGCTGGGTAGAATCGAATAATTTGTCGCATGTAGAGCTGGCGGAGATGTAAGCAATCTGTTTCCACCCATGGACCGTTGTCGACGCTGGTGCCTCAGGCGGGTAGGACCGATGTCTTCTCTCTTTCCCTCCCTCAATGCGGCATTACTCAGACTATGATCTTTCCAAGGTTTCTTCTGTGCTTGGCCGTATTGACAGTGGAGTACAGCACCTTCAGGTCCCCAACTTCTCCTTGTTCTGATGCGGATACTTTTGTGTCTCATAGCTCAGCTTCAAACACGACTGCAATGCCAACTCCACTACCCATAGTGATACCTATGAGCGGCTGGAAGCCAATATATTTTGCCACACTGAAAGGAATCACCCGCATATCATCATTCGTGGATTGAATCATCGGAGTGAAGTACCATGTCGACGTGACCCCAAGCCATAGCATGACCCATACCATCCCAGCAGCTCGCTTCCAAAGCGGCACAGTGTCTGATAATTGTTTTCCCTTGTTTTGACCGTTGTCTGGTGTTTGCAGACATTTCCAAAGGCTTTGAACTCCATCCTCCAGCATTATGCCCAGGACAAATGCTAAATAGAACGGCATCGAGCCGGACCTTTCCATCGGAATGCTTTGCAGTATATCGACAATAACATGGAATATGGCCGAGATAAGAAAGACAATGGAAAGATTGGTGTATCGCTCCAGTGTTGACGATCTGGGAAGATGCAAAACATCTCGTCCGATGAAGCCGCTAATAGACGTGAAGGGCTGGCGCATGAACTGATGCCAGAACTTCCTGTAAAATGTGTCAACATAATGACCCATCTTAGTAGACTAAATGTTGCTTACCCCCAAAAGTTGCGCAAAGTAAATGCATCGGCCATTCTCCCAAAGGCGGGCGGCCAATCTGCAGGTGAGTCTAACCCGATCCCGACGAAGAATATGGACAATACTCGATAAGCAAGATCACTGATTAGACGATTTACCACAAACCAAATAGACAGATGAGTGGCTATTCGCTCAGCCCATTGTCCCACAGGCACGATCCATTCGATTTCCGACGACGCAGGCTCCTGAATACCACGCTCCGCAGCCTGCTGAAGCGAGATGGTCTGCACAATGTCCAGCACCAAGCACTGCCATGCGACGATTGCTAGCTGTCGCAGCAAAAATCGACCGCGGGTCGGAACCCGCATTCCCCGGCGCAGGTAATACCTCGGATGAGAGGGCACATTCTTCACCTGCCATTGTGTATTAACAGCGCGGGTTTGAGCAAGCAAACGAAATGCAGCGATCAACTTTGATCCGAAGTTCCGAATGGTTGTTGTGCCGCCCGGGATATCTGAGTCGGCTAGAGGATTGAGAAATAACAGGTTTGTTGCCTGCAAAGTCGCAATGACAAGTTGTGTTATGGCCTGGCACCATGTTGGACTGCCAGACGAGCCAAAGGGACGGATGAAGCGGCTGGCGATCCATATCATCCCCGGGATGCACAAGTAGCGTAGGGGGGGAGTTCTTCCGCGCGGTGATGATGAGGGTGGCAGGGACCACATTTTGGACTAGATAGAAGCAGAGAAATTCTAATATATTTGCAGTTGTCGAGTTATACAGTCCATACATCATGGGGTGTGAGAGATGGGAGTCAACGAGTTCTCTCGGTTTACGATTTGAACCGGACCCACTCATGATCCGAATGGATTTATTGACCAGTTGGTTAGATCCCAATTGATTCCCCCAACCCGTCCGATGTTCTTGTGACTCTATAGGTTTGTGGTGAAATTTCAGGAGGGTTATTGTTGTTTTTCGTCCTTCTAGAAACGATGGGCGTTGTGTTAAGACGGAGGGCAATTTTGTACAGCTTATGGATTCGGTGATTTTGGATACATCTTTAGCTATGGAACTGCCCAAAAGGTTCGCATAAAAGGTCGGTTCATTGGTTAAAAAGCAAGGAAAGCTTAGGAGTCACATGTAAGAGATTCCTTGTATGCTCATGTCAAAAGTTATGATTTCTAGTTGGCTATGATTAGCTATTGAATCGGCCGTTCAGCAAAATATGGGCCATATTTTTTGTTCTCTCAAAATGTCAACCCAAGTGGGGAGATGACTTCCCAAGTTAGATGCTTGCTGTTCATCCTGTAACCTCCACTGCTTAGACATGATGTCTTTAGCGGTCCAGAAAGGCATCAACCCACTCCTTGCTCCAGCCTGATCAATTATATCTAAGATCGCGGAGCGCTGGGCTTGTGTGGTAGCTTCACACCCGGAAATAAATATAGGCCATAAGGTCCCGAGACCTACAGGACATCCCTCTTTCACGAAAGATAGCCAAATCCGCAATGTGGAAATGACGTGGTCAACATGGCCACCGAGGATCGCTGGGTGGACCTGTTTCACCCTCCTATAGAAGAAAATCACAAGAGAGGAGTTCAAAGCCTGCACCATGAGCTCATGAGGTGAGGTTTGTTCTTTGCAAATATCCAGCTTCAAGTCTCGGTTTCTGAAACAGTTTATCACGTTTTCGAGACGTGTACTGCGCCGGCATAAAGCCTTCCAAACATGACTGCTGATTGGAATATCTAAGGCTTGTGCGTTCCGCAGGGTCTCCATGACATTTGCCAGCCGAGTGGTCTGTGAGACTAAACTGAGCATTGTCTCTGGCATCCCGTATACCTGCTGGCATAGACTCCCAGTCGACTTTCGTGAGTCATGGAGATGAATGTCAGGAACGTCCATTCTGTGGTCTTTTGGTTCATCGATGTTCAGATCGCCTTCGGAGTTCTCGAGATGGAGAAAGTCATCTATTCGACGCCCACGCTCGGCAATGTATGCTGTGAATTTCTCACCGGCATTGGGTGTTTGAACTTCGCAATGCATATTGAGGTTGTTAATGAATGATTCTGTTGGGGTGTAGCTATGCAAAACGTATGTGCTTTCTCCGATCAGGCGAAGCCATACGTAGACATTGATCAGAAGACGGAGCTTCTGAGATATCCTCTGTTTGGATAGTGCTCTAAAGCGCAAAAGCCGTTCGGCTTCAACCAGGTAACGTCGTGCATCCATATATTGGCCAGAGAATATCTAAGCTTGGTTAGCCTGCAGCTGCCGTACTAGGCGAGGGCTAAAGCTTACCGCAAATTCCGTGAGTCCGTATATTGCCATCAACTGATCCTTCAGTTTGGCCTTTTTAGCGCCACCTGCTTCCTCGCTTAAGGAAATCTTCAAATGGGTATTCGCATCTTGATAAGCTTGCTCTGAAACTTCCTTCCAATGGTTCCTCGGAAACGAGCCAATCGTTTCTGTCGACGAATCCATAGCCAGGTGAACGGCAGAACAGGCTAGCAAACTGTAAAGATTTGCCTGCCGGGCATGGCTGACACTTTCAGATTCCATAATCGTCAATTCACCCAAAGTGACCAACGCCGCAGGTACATTCAAAATGTTCCACGGGCTTTTAGCAAGGGGGACAACAGTCATCTGAGGAACAATATTCTTTTGGAAATTCTTTAGCAAAAAGGAAGCATGGTCCAGTATGTTGACGGGGGTAGGTGTGTGCGCAAAGGGAAGGGGCTGGAGTGATGCATCCTCAAGTGGCAAAACTGGTTCAGGATATGTATCATCCAATTGAGAGAAGTCAAAGTAATTTCCAGGGTAGGAAGAGTCGGAAAGCATGCCATAGCAGTCTTCACCAAAGAGGTCTGACCATTGTAGCAGGTCGTCTGCATAACCTGAGATGTCAACAGTATATGAGGAAGGATCGGATACTCCAATCCCATGATCTGAAGGTGGTGTATGGGTAGGATTCATTGGCCTTTCCAGAGCAAGACCTGTATGTTCGCCACCGGAAGAGGATGGTTTTGTAAAATCGAGGACAGCAAAAGGACCAACCCGCATCTCATTTTTGAATAGAAGGCTGGGCTCCTGCGATCTCTGGTCGATTTCCTCCAAAGAAGCATCGATGGAGCCAGATACGAGACCTCTACTGATAGCAGTTCCCATAGAACGCCTATACTGCTCTAAAAGATGGTCAGTGGCTTTCACATACATTATCACCTCATACGCAACCTAGAGTGAAAATGCATACCGGAATATAAATGACGTCTTATTCCGAGGCTAGTCAGATAACCTCGTTTCTCATTTGACGACCTTTTGGAAGTCTGGCTTTTCTTTGCTGGCATCCACAACATCTCGTGGGAAAAGCCCTCACAGGCTAGTCCTAACCCTGAGCATGTCTGGCAAATCGGACGGTTCTGGTCGCATTTTACATGTCTGCGTTTACACGTCTTGCATCCACCAAGCGATCGAGTCCGCCGCGGCTTAGTCTGAGGCATCGTATGATAAGCGTCCCGAGATGTGCTGGTAGTTGGTCAAAATGAAAGAGGCAAGAGAGAGATGCTTGCAATATGAAAGTTGGGGTAAGTGTTCCCCGCTAAACGCCTGCAGGTTTCCGATGCCGGAACGACTTGCATTCTGAGGAGGCGAAGTGGGTCATAGTGGGTCCGTTACCAGACATCTAATTGGTGCAGAAACAGGAGGATATCTATGGATCCATGGGTGGTTCAGACCATTTGTAGAAGAGACTTCGACTATAATTACCTAGGTAACCAATATAGTATTTGCTACAGCGCCAAGCTGAGAGAAAAGCAGGTAAATCACTTTATAAAGTTAGTCTGCATTTAGCAACATAACCACTTTCATCACCAAAGCTGAACATAAGTGAGGAATCTCCTCCACGCAGGCTGCTTGTAGTAACTGTCCAACAGAGTTATCTCCTCACTGCCCAAGGTTCGCCGGCCAGTTCTGCAATCTGCCGTTTTTGGGTCCCGCCAAGGCGTTTTAAAAATGATCTTGTACCCGACTGTAAAGATGACAATAATCAAGAGTCCAATGATGTATTGGAAGAAATTCTCTGCTGTGAATCCAGAGCCGCCCTAATAACCAACCATTAGCTGCATGTCTCTCAGCGGTGTTAATGTATGCTAGTTTCCAGAAGCGACAGTGACTCTGAGGACTTCTTGCTGAAACGCATTGGGAACTTACAGCTGGTACAATACCACTGGTAATACAGCAGACTAACAAAAGTAGAGAAACCAGCATGAGCCACGCTGGCGCAAGCGGCCAGAGTGAGGACTTCCAGGCATATATCTCCGTAAATAGCGGGTCATTCTGTGCCTTGAGGGCACAATGAAAGCGCCAGTTGGTAAAGGCGATGATGATCCAATTGCTGAAAAAGGAAGCGCTGGTAATCGAGATCAACCAATTCAACACGGTCAAGCCACCAGCTGTGATGAGTCAGTGTGCATACCATAAGAGAACTTCCGTGACAAATTTTGACTCACAAGCTAGTTGGATGTATGCCAGGATAACGGCAACAACTGATGTAATTATCAAGGCCAGTCTGGGTCTTCCTTTATCATCCACTCTGGCAAGCCGTTCTGGGATCAGGCGCTGATGAGACATGCTCCTTAACACTCTCGAGGAAATATAGATGGACTCCGCAGCAAGCCCAAGAATGCCACACATCATGCCTGCATTCAGAAGCGATGCGATTCCAGGAATGCCCGAATCCTGAATCGCAATGACAAAGGGCGAAGCTGCAACTCCGCTTCCGCCTAACAGACGGTCGTCGTCGGAGGGAACTAATATCGTGATAAACACAACACTGAGAATGTAGATAACATTCACGCGGAATGGGACGAGCTTTGTCGCGTGGGCCATTGAGAACCGAGGACTCTCGGCTTCGCCGCCCATAATTCCGATGAATACCTGGTCTCCGACAGCCCATGTAGCAAGTAAGGCACAGTTGGCAAAGCCCTGCTGCTGTTAGCCCTGGGTAGGTTTGACTGGTTGATATTACTTACCGAAAAGCCATTCAAAAATGGGGGAGTGATGTCCATGTCTCACCATGGTGTATATAGCCATTCGGTCCGGCTCCCAGAACTAGAGCTAATGAAAGAATGATGATGATCAAGAAAATCACGATTTTGATGAGCGACGTCACGTATTCGAACCAAGCAAAAACCTTGTTCGGGAGAACGAAGATGAACAGGCAGGCGGCAAGGAAGAGAGTGACTGAATCGCATGTTAGAGAAGTCACATCAATAGGCGCCATACTTACTTGTGGCTGCCTGAGGGAATGACCCCCCGGCCCAGTACTGGACAAGCACGTCGAAAAAGCCAGCTTCAGCGGCAACAATGGCAGTCCATCCTGAAAGAGTTAGCAGAGTACAACTCTCGAGGCCTTTTTTTCAAGACGAACCCAGCCACTCGGCAAAGCCTGCGCCAAATGCTAGAGCGGGATCGACCCAGCGATCCGCAAAATCAATGTAATTCCCAGAAACGGGGAATGCAATGGTCATTTCAGATAGGGACTGGAGGACTCCCCACACACAACTGCAAACCATAGCGTAGGCAATAAGCATATTCCCTGGACCACCGGTTGCTAGGGCTTTTCCGGTGGCGATGAAGACACCACTGCCGATGTTAGACCCCAGGGAAATGATCTACGGAATGGTCAACGTTTTGCACAGGTCTACCGTCATGGTGGCCACAACTCACATGGACTTGGCGAGGAGAAAAGGAACGGTGGAATTGGCCATTCCTACACTCTTGTGTCTGCCCTACGTGGTCGTCATCAATACTACCAGTAGGTTTCAGCAGGCTTGCTTCTTTCTTTGATGTCTCCTTCTCGGGATGGCTCCCATGAGAACAGACTTCAGGATCAGCCATTTTGAGTTAGGGATTCTTATAAGAATTAATAGGATTGTAAAGAGAACTTGTTGAAAGAACAGGCAATTGACCTTGGGGGAACCTGGGAGTTATGTAGAGCGAGAAGAATGCAAAAGACCAATCAGTAGGCCCAGGACGTCATGAACTAAGCCATCGTGGCGAGGCAGGCATATCCGCTGAGCAGATAGCAATGATAATACCCAAATCCACCCAAGCACCCTCATCTGCGATAACCAACGATACCAGGAATCCACTTCCCCGCATTCCGGGGCATCTGACTTTCAGCGGCGTGTCGTTTTCCAAGGTTATCTCCTTATCTCCTTTGTGTGTAGTCTTGGATACATAGCGGCGACTAAAGGCTGCGCCGTATTAGTTTGTAAGCGCGATGCAATAGGTCCCCTATTTCCTTACCTATCCCTCCGTATAACACTGGTTATCAGGCGAGACTAGGTTTTGCCACCTGCAGTCAACGTTTTATGCTCTCCTCGACTTGGAGGAGGGTTTCCTTATCATGAGAAAAATCCCAGAAAGAAGGTTTTGGGTCATCACCAGCCGGCAAGTCGATCCGTGACACAAACTGTAATTCTTTCCTTGGAGAAAAGCGCAGTCTTGGCAGGTAGCAATGGTTAGAAGGTAGTGAAGGGCATTTCCATGATGTGGAGTATGTTGCAAACCTTAGCTTCTTTAAAACCCTAAGAGTGGAGATCTGTTGCAAGCACGGAAGTGTCGCTGATAGTCAACGGATGGTCTTACCCGCAAAAGTCGAAAGACAAGTCGTTCCGGACCTTCCAAGGTTCCAATCAGCTGCCGTCTTAGTTCGTCCAGCATATCAGCACGCCAAAGCAATACGTCAACTACAAGGGGCATTTTTCAGTTTTTTGATAGGCTTGGACTGATAACGAGTCTTAACAATCGATCCAATAGGAAGGGCGTTCCGCACAACAAGGATATATACTTTCAGTCAATTCAGCTAGGAAACTGAGCACACGAAGATAAATAATTCTGTTTTTGACATTCGCGCCATATTCGGGAACCGGGAATAATCTTTTCGAGAACTGCAACTTTCCCAAAAGAATATGGAAGTGGCAATAATTGGTGCTGGTGTCATCGGCCTCTTATCAGCCCTGACTTTGACCGATGCTGGCTATAGAGTGACCATCATTGCTCGCGACTTGCCAGGCGACGAATCCCAAGACTGGGCAAGCCCTTGGTATGAAACCTGTTGCTCTTTGGAGTAACTAGAAGATTCTGACCGGTGCTGTGCAGGGCTGGGGCGGCAATCTTTCCGCATCCAGATGCCAAGGGTCATTCACTTCAAGTCGAAAGCTTCAAATATTTCTGGGCTGTCGCACATAGAGACCCTACAAGTGGGGTTCAGGTAAGGACTTGTATCTTCATTCAAAGGTTGATGAGCATAAAGCCATGAGTTAATCTGACTGACATAAATAAAAGGTGGTCAAAGCAACCGAATACTATGATGATCGAGACGACGACTCCACAATTTGGTACAAGTCCCTCGTACCCCAATATCGCCGGATTCCCACCAAAGACCTCCCTGATGGTGTCAAAATGGGCTTTACGTTCAAGACCATGACTGTCAATCCCGCGATCTTTCTCCCGTGGATCAAAAAGGAGTTGGAAGCCCGAGGTGTCCGTTTCATTCGAAAAGAAGTCACAGACATCGAAGAAGCCAAGGATATAACTGGATGTGGAGCGGTTGTTCATGCACCGGGGCTAGGTGCTTCGGAATTGGCCAATGACAAGGACGTGGTACCAGTTCGCGGGCAAACCATGTTCGTGGAAACCGATTTCGATGAACTGATTATGCTCCAAGGATCGCAGTACACCTATATAATTCCGCGGATGTATACTGGTGGTGCGATCATTGGGGGAGTGAGCCAGGAAGGCAATCTAGATCGGGGGGTAGACGAGAGTTTGCGGTCTAACATCCTTAGCCGGGTGAGGAATCTTTCTAAAAGACGTCTTGACTCTGTGGATTTGGAAAAGTGTTCGACCAGGAACATCGTCGCGTTCCGTCCGGCGAGAAAGGGAGGTTATCGTCTCGAGACCGAGGGGAACGTTGTCCACGCATATGGATTTGGCAGCCTGGGATACACCTACGGATATGGAGCAGCCTTGAAGGTTCGGGAATTAATAGAGTCCGTGAGCAAAGGCCGGGATATCTTGAAAAGTCGACTATAATATTACCTAGACTTACGGCGCAAGGGCAGTACTGAATTACATCGTTTACCTCCAGCCAAGTCTCGGAACAAGTCCAAAGGCAGGTTGGCTGTCGCTTCGCGTAGGTTCTTTGTCCACTGTACAAAGCATCCATGGATACCATATCAAAGTGCATAATACGTTCATCGATGTCCGCACAAATTGTTGAAATGGCGGGTTTTGTCATTTTTAGTTAGAGTTATACATAACTCATTGAGCCATACCGTACATTGTCGTGCCGCCAGATTTCTGTCATAAACTAAGGGAATAATTGTGAGATGAAGAGGGGGTAAGTGCCAAGTAATGCCGTTTGGAGGCGGAGCCCGTAGGTAATCTCCCGGAGTACCTCCAGGTACCTCCAGGGCTAAACTACTCCGACTTGCGTCGGCCGATTCCCACTCTTTCCTACGGTCACATTTTCGCCATGCAAGGCCGAAAACGTCGTGTCAGGACGTGTTATTCTTGCTATACGCGTAAACAGAAAGCGAGTATGATCGGGCTCGATTGTGAGGCAATGCTGATTTTTTTTATTGTTTGTAGTGTGACCGCCAATATCCATGCAACCACTGTACCCGCCGTCGCCGACCTGAAGAGTGTGTCTACGGTTCTCCGCCGGTGAACGTGCCCTTCCGTCTATCAGTTCCTGCAGATCAGCTGGAGACCCAACCACCTCGACCGGTAGAGAGTGCACGGCCCATGCGAGAGCCAGCCGTGGATGACTCCGAAGCTCATTGGTCCAGAGAGCATTCTACCCTAGCTCGATCCTTTGGTTACTTTGAGGATAGCAATTCCAACACAATGGCTTTGCTCCGAAGGGTGAGTCTTGTAGTATTGTTGTCCTTATGGTATTATTTAGACTGATTCAACCTCATAGCTGGAATTGCCTGATCAAACTGATACAGAGCTAAAGAATGCCTCGCCCTCTACTTGGGACACCATTCACCATGAGCTTGATATCATGCCTGAGCGCCAAATCCTCGACTTTCTTGTGCAATATTTCATCCATGAATTGAATTGGTAAGCATATCTGTCAGTTTTACTTGGCAAGATTGCTTGGCTCTCTTGTTCTAACCTCTATTATGGGCTCAGGATGAAGCAAGTCATTCACGCCCCCAGCTTCTTGGCAAAATACCAGCTGTGGTGGGCAAAGGATAAAATAGCGGAGATTTCCGACGTCGAGTTTGCAGTTCTAATTGCTCGCATTTGTTCTTATGCGACACAATTTCTGCCCTCACCGTCTCATACCGTTGATCAAATTTGTGGTCGGTCTCTAGCCGATATTCGTGACACCTGCAGTAATATTGGAAATAATCTTGCTACAGCGTGCGAGATCCTCGACTGGAAAGGCACTTTGGTCCGTGTTCAACACATTATTTTTGCTGCATTGAAAGTTTCATGTGAAGGGAGGACTAGCCAATTTTGGGAGGGCATAGGTTCTGCATGTCGAGCTGCTCAAAAAGCTGGCATTCACACTGATGCTACCAGTTTCATGGAATCCCAGCTTACCAAAGATAGTGCCCAAGAGTTAGAAGGAGATGTTCAGCGGAGGACGCTTTGCAGCCTTTATGTTTTGGACAGGTACGTTTGGTATCATTCTGATACTAAAATCTTACTGACGCATCCGGATCACAGTCATTTGTCCAGACAACTAGATCGGATCCCATTCTTACCCAATCACTTGATCGACGAAACGCTACCCCGGCTGCGCTTGATTCCAGACATTGGCAATCTACCGGCAGAAACTGCTACCAGAGCGCCCGACATATTCACCGAACGTCTCATGCAAGTTCGGCTTGGCTCTTTTTGGCGAGGCCTTGGATTACAGCGTACCTCCGAGTTTGATCCGACCGAGAGTGAGCGGAGATATGAGAAGCTCGAATCCGAGTATCTCAACAACTTACACCCGGCCTTCGCTATAGCCCACCCAGACACATCTTTGGATAAGGCTCTTCCAAAGCTACCCATGCAAAGACAACTTCTATATATCGCGATCTTCGACTCAATTTGTTGGAACTTCCGACCTCTCCTGCTGCTCAAACCAAACCAAGTCGCAAGCTTAGCCCCCTACAAGAAAGTTCTTCTCCGGTCGCAGAAGCAGAGGCTTGGTATGGCTGCACTGAAAGTGCTCGAAGCTGTTGCAACCCTTCATACGATGTTTGGGGGCTCCTATACGCGCTTTTCTGCAATCATCTTTAACTCTTTTGAGCCTGTCATTCTCCTGCTTAATCTTTGTTCCCATGCAGATTTCCCATTTGATCAAGACGATAATAGCACAAACCTTATGGGAAACCAAGGTTAGAATGACATACCAAATAGCAATGCAGGCTGTACAGCAGGCTATTCGTCGTCTTCAAATGTTAGCCGGGCTAAGTGACATGGCTGCGTCCGGAGCCCGCGTGGCTACTCAGCTTTTTGCCAAAACTGTGCAGCCCAAGCAGTCATCTAGTCCAATCGCTCCCAAGTCGTCTGTTTCTGGCTCTTTAGGATCACCCCAGTTCCCGACTCCGATAGGGGTTTATGGTGAACAGGAAAAGTGGCCGTCTTTGGAAGCAGGGGATCCTTATTCAATGCCCGGTGATTTTTCCTCAATGGCACAAGAAGACTCTTTCCCAAGCCCCCAACTTTCCTCGTTGGGATTCCCCATGCTCTGGGGAGAGTCGTTCTTCTAGCGTTGTCTTCAACGAGCCATAACGATTTGCTGGGCTATAGATTCTTGACGTTGGATAGTTTTACTTTTGATAAATAGAAATGGAAGGGGTTCAAACTGGGAGATGTGTCCATCCTGTCTGGAGATCTAGTACATACATACATAGTACATAGTAGAAATCGAGGTTTCACTATTACACGTTTACACGTTTACCACGGTAGGCTCCGCAAAATACTTCGCTTGATGAACACGGCGATAGCCATAGGGGATATATAATGACATCTACTAGTTTGGGGCTCCCTTGAATGCACAGTGCAGGACTGCAAGTTTTCATATCTTTGGTTACAAGGTATTATTGTGAGACCTCACCAAGGCGCAGATAATTTCTACCTGGCTATAAACCCTCGGGGATACCAAATATGCTATAATCGACTACAATCCCAGCTAAGACCGACTATATCCGCTAACCCCTGGAGCTACAATATGTAGCATGATCAAAATTAACCCTGAATTCGAGATTGATTGGCAACTAGGGTGTATAGGGTGTACCAATCGAATTGAAGCCTTTCGGGTTGCGAGAGGGTCCCGATAACTTCGGCCGACAAGCATCGGCTTTGTTTAGTCTAACATATACCAACACCTCAAATTCATCGGCGTTAATATCATGCAGTTCCTTAACTCCTATTCCCGTAAAATGTCCTTTCTTTTCTCTTCTTGCTTTCTTCTGCTATTAATGCTGCGGCATTCTTCATTGTGTGTACCCAGATATAACTACAAGGTCACTCAACCTAGCACCTAATAGCTCGGCACGCTATCAGCTTTATACCATGACCGCAATATCGTCTACTCCTGCCTCAGACTCCGAAACCCAAAATGTGAGCCCAGAAAGCGAAGACTACCTCCATCAACCCAACGAAAAGGATCACTCGAGTGATCCGGGTGCGAGCAACGACGTACGCACAATCACGGGCTATCGATGGTTTCTAATTTGCGCTGCTCTTTACCTCTCAGCATTGATGTACGGACTGGATACAACAATCGCTGCAGACGTCCAAGGGCGGTAATTCAGAGGTTTGGCCAAGTCGACCAACTCGCCTGGATTGGGGCCGGGTTCCCTCTTGGATCGGTCGCTGTTATTCTGCCCTACGGATTTCTTTTCACCACCTTCAATATGAAATGGCTCTACATTGCTGGAATCGTCTTCTTTCAGGGCGGATCTGCTCTCTGTGGTGGAGCTCCGAACATGGGTGCCCTGATTGTCGGACGTGTGATTGCCGGTGCGGGAGGAACTGGCATCTATCTCGGCGGACTGAACCACTTCTCCGCCATGACGACTCGAAATGAGCGTGGGGCGTATCTCGCTGGCACTGGGTTTGTCTGGGGCTTGGGAGCGATTCTGGGCCCTGTGGTTGGTGGCGGGTTTTCGGATTCAACTGCCACTTGGCGATGGGGATTCTACATCAATCTTATCATCGGCGCTATCACAGCTCCTGTCTACCTGTTCTACCTTCCAGCCATTCATCCAGCTCCTGGAAGACCACTCAAAGATCGACTTCTTAGTCTGGACTATGTTGGATTCGTGCTCAGCGCAGCGATGTGGGCGACCTTTGCGATGGGCTTCATCTTTGCCGGTGGTATCTGGCAGTGGAATAATGGTCGTACTATTGCAATGCTTGCAGTATGGGGAGTTATGCTTGCCCTTTACACATTACAGCAGACCTTCTGCATCTTTACCACCACCGAGCATAGATCATTCCCCGGACATCTGCTCAAGTCTCGAACCCAAATCTTGTTCTATGTCACTACCACCTGCGCCAACACCTGCATGTTCTTCACCACATTCTACATACCGATCTACTTCCAGTTCACTCGGAACGACTCATCCCTCATGGCCGCAGTCCGACTTCTTCCTTACCTCCTGTTTACCATCGCGTTCAACCTTGCTTCCGGCTCGGCCCTTCCCAAAATAAAGTACTACATGCCTATGTGTCTGGTGTCCGGTATCTTCATGACTATAGCTGGTGCGTTGTTCGTGGGATATCTTTCCCCTTCGACGCCAACGGGCCAGATCTACGGTTTCAGTATCTTGATGGGAGTCGGAACCGGAATCACCATGCAACTGGGATACTCCGTGGGCAGCTTGAAAGTCAAACCAACCGACGCCCTCAGCGCTATAAACCTGCAGAATGTTGCACAGATTGGAGCCACAGTCATCTGTCTTGTCATTGCCGGCCAAGCGTTCCAATCAAACGCCATCAGAAACTTGGATCATGTTTTGGCAGGCCAGGGATTCAGTCAATCGGAAATCCAAAGTGCTGTTGCTGGATCCCAGAGCACGCTCTTTGAGCAGCTCAGTGGTGACTTACGGACTGCCGCTATTGAAGCAATCACCTCCGCGATGGCAAGGGCCTTTATCATTCCACTTGTAGCTGGCGCATTAGGACTTATTTGCTCTCTGTTGATGAGTCGGGAGAGATTGTTTGGGTAAATGGTGGCCCAAAGTTCAAACTGAACAATACTGTATGTCTGTGTTTGAAGTATGATGGTTGTCTAGTAATATAGTGTTGGGATCGAATAACTTCTGACTTGCTTCTCGAGGGGAGGTGACAATCCCTTCATAAATTGGTTCACCCCACTTCTCTCTCTGTCACTCTACATCACCCTTTTGTATCGGTACAAGCTCTGAATTCATCTATTTTATTATGATTTTAGCCGTTAGAGATAGGTACGACCTGTATATATCGGAACTTATGGATCCTGTTGGATGCCTGAGGCCACAACCGTGACAGATAGTTAATCTATCTCTCTCTCTTCCTTTCTCTCTTCTTCTCTCTCTCCATGAGGGCTTCGCTTGGAATGCACCACTGTCTTTTTCCACTTCCTTGCATAGCCTTTTCATCACACCCTCGTATCCCTGATCGCCGGCTCGTGTCCTATTTCGTGACAGCGGGAATGGAGAGCCCTACTAGCGTGAGGCTGTGTGCAGCCAAGGTCGCTGAGTGGCAGTTCCCCACGGGTCAAAGCGCAAGGCAGGTCCCTGGTCCCCGGAGGCGCACGAGGCTGAAATAAGCAGATGTCACCTGTGGATACTGTTAAAACCTCAAATGCGCATCTTTCGTGGGTTGTACCAACTTTGCGAATACCCTCATATCATTGATCATGTCTCCCAAAACTACGCGCCGTGGCATTGCAAACTGGAGGCTGTGGAAATTCGAGTTGTGGGCTCTTGTCGGCTCTGTGCTTTCCTTCGCGATCATGGTCATTGTACTTGCGATTTTCGATGGTCGTCCGATATTCGAGTGGAAGAGCGTCACACTCAACGCTATCATCTCGGTGCTCTCGGTCGCCATGAAAGCGAGTCTGACGTTTGCAGTAGCGGAGCTGATTGGTCAATGGAAATGGATATTATTTTCGCGAGGTGAACGGCCGTTGATGGACTTCGAACGGATTGACATGGCCAGCCGTGGTCCATGGGGTAGTTTGAGGGTTCTTTCGCGGATGCGTGGCCTCCAAGTGTAAGACCGGGTTTAGTATATCCTGTCGCGTGAGTACCAAGCTGACCTGGAGAAGACTGCCCCTGCAACTCGGCGCCCTGTTGATCATACTTGCAATCGGCCTCGATCCATTCTCGCAGCAGCTTCTTCAATTAGAGCGGAGACCCAGATTCGCAAATGGCTGGCACACCGATTCAGAGGCTGCGTTTACCACGCTGGCGACGAGCTTCGACCGGGGCAAAACACTCTATGCGCACGATTGGTCGCGGGCCGAAAATTCAACCCGCAATCCAGTTATCAGGATGACGACGGAGCTGGAACTGTCCATGCAAGCGGCGATCCTGAACGGGCTCTCTCGCACCCGAAATGTAGTCGATCAACAGGGCACCGTGCAGTGTCCGACCGGAATCTGCTCCTGGGACCAGTTCCAGACCCTCGGTGTGTGCAACCGGTGCCAGGATCTAACGTCAGATCTGAAGAGGATTGATGATTTTGGGGAGGTATACAACGCCCTCTATAATGACGGCTATGGAGACGTATATCAGAAGAAAAACGGGACTGCCTTTACTTTGCCTAATGGCCACTTCCTTATGAATATAAACGACTGCTCACTCACCCGCGGCGGTTGCGACTACCTCAGCCCAACGATCGGGCATGCGCCGCCGGCGCAATTGATGATGTCGTCGTTTGGGACTGGGGATCCGAACAAGACAAACAGCATGCAGGAGGTCAATACCCTGATATGGTCCATGAGCATAATCCACCTAGACAAGGAAAAAATCAACAACTCCTCCAAGCCAGACTTTGAATACAAATGGCCTGAGATTCCGCTTCTGGCAACGGAGTGCGGGATATACTACTGTGTCAAGACCATCGACTCAACTATGGAAGGAAACATCATCCGCGAAAACGTGAGTGAAGCAATCGACGCAGTTCGCGACCCGAATTCTTTCCTCCTCCCTTCCTGGAGCCAAGACTACATGGCGCCAGAGAATATGCCACCGGTCAACGAGTCTGCACCGCTGGAGTTTAATGAGCTTTACGCATACGCTGACCGGGACGACCTCGTCCTGCATTTCCCGGATAACTCCAGCAAGCCCTCGTACTCAGTCACTGCGAATGCAGTCTGGGCACTGAGCCAGTACATGCAGAATTTGTTCTCCAAAAATATTACAGCGGGAGCCAACATGACTACCGCGATGTCAAACGTCCTGCCGAAGGACGCAGTCGGATATAACGGGGTGATAGAGAACGAACAAAGCAGCCCTGCAGCAGTTGACTCTCTTTGGAATACAGATAAGCCCAATATAACAGATACTTTTGGTACACTTGCTGCGAGTATGACGAACGGGATGCGGGAGGAATACGATGGCTACACTGTTGACTATGTATATGGACGTACGGGGACACCTACGCAGTATTACAAGACGCAGTGGGGATGGATCGCGCTACATGGTGTGGTGTTGATTGGTGGAGCGGTGTTCTCGTTCATGACAATGATCGATTCAGCAAGCCCTTCAAAGGCAGTTCCGGTCTGGAAAAACAGCCCTCTTGCGACTATTAATAGCGGGTCGTCGGCGGTGGACGTCCTTAAGGGCGCGGACACTGTGAGCGAAATGGAGAAGAAAGCGCGAGGTGGAAGTGTGATGATGCAAGGCACGGCATCTACGTCATACCAGCAAATCAATCAAAATGAAGACGGTAGTATACGGTCAATGCAGCAGCTACGTGGGGAATAGAGGACCTACAGTTCCCGAGGGTGTACTATATAGCTCTGGGGAACCAGAAATGGGTTCCTTGAGCTTAGCACTTGGAAAATGAGTGCAGTGGGCGATCGGTTGATATTTTCCGACGGAAGCTCACTAAAGACTGTTCGTCAGCTTCTTGGATCAAGAAGGCGAGCCAGGCTCAGCTACCAAACGCCACTGGTCTATAAGGCGTACGAAAACACGAACCTCCTCTTGGGTCTTACCTGGAAATGTGAAGTCTGACGTGTAGTCCACAAACATGGGCTATGTAGTTTACAAGACACATGTCTCAGGACGAACTCGGACAGCCTGCCATCCGAGAGGGATTTCTTGTTTCTGCACATGGAGTGTATTGAGGGTTTTGTGTGTTGCCACAAGCAGGCGATCACTGATCCGGTGCCGATTAAGCATGGTCTTCAATGCTCATATTCTCCGCAAGCGACATGAACCTAATGGTCCTAAGGATCCGCAAATCAACTGTGGCAATTGGTATGTGATGCATAGGCGGCGATGATGAAGCAGTACGATGCCGGCGCAGCCAAAGACCGACGCGGCCTAATGCCCCTACTATTCTCGCTTTTGGCCATGAGATAATCTCTTTCTCATTCGATGAAGGGTTGAGGTTCTTTTGCATATAATTACCCCCCCAACATCGATTTCCAAGTCTCTTCGACTCTGTCAGATTACTTGGAATGAAGATGGCGGCCTAGGTCCGAACCTGACTCTGGGCGTCCTTATAAGAGCGGCTAATATGCGAAACCCTAGCAGAGGACGTATAGCTATGTATAGCTACCTATGTTGTAGGTACCTGGAGCACTCGAGCTAGCGCAGACCTCGGGATCTTTTAGCGTCTGAATGTGATCAGGGGATATGACACCCAGTATAAAAATCATCCCTAATTATGAGCTGGTCTTGAATAGAGGCACATTTCATGTCAGACAATTCTGTGTCCTAACCTTGACTAATTAGCGGGGAATTGGCATGTGCTGAGAACATCCATTCTCCATTAGCCGAGCAAGAGCGGATCCTTATCTGTATGATCTACTTTGCCCATTCTAGTTATGGTGTTATGAAGGGACACGTATGCGGGGACTCTCGTAAATTTAAAGCCAATAAGAGACCCTTGAAATTTCCCGAAGTCAGCACGGTCTTATTCATATGCAGCCTACTTTTTTTTTTCGCGGGCTAGCGAGAAGTGCAAGGCACTAAATTGGAGTGTTATATTGTGTTACTACTATTTTTCTTTTCCCATCTTCGTTTCGCAATCCTCACTACTCACCTCGATGTCGTTTACCATTCCTTTTAGTTTATTTCTAGGAGCCCTCGTCCTCTATGTCGCCAAAACCCTATGGAGCCGGCAGAGGCTTCTTGGCCCGCTGCCACCGGGCCCAAGGCCAACGCCATTGCTTGGCAACGTATCCGATCTACCTCCGTCGGGGACACAAGAATGGATGCATTGGCTTAAATACAAAGAGACTTACGGTTCGCTTTTAGACCTATTGTTCTCCAAAACACACGCTGACAATGAATCTCCAGGGCCGGTCAGCTCTATCACGGTGCTGGGACAAACCATCGTAATATTGAATGACGCAAAATCGGCAATGGAACTGCTGGTAAAGCGCTCTTCAAAAATACTCTTCGAGGCCGAATCTAGTCTTTGCGTCTGAAATGTCCGTACACCTGCTTGTTGCTTGTATGGATCTGGACACCGAGCTGACGTACTGATAATCAACATAGGGTCAGGATGGGAGCATTTTTTGGCAATGCAAAAATACTCTCCTCGGTTTCGCTCCTATCGCAAGGCCATGCATCCGTACATTGGATCAGAGTCGGCTGCGGCTCAGTTTAATCCTCTGCAAGAGATGGAAACCCACCGTTTTCTGTTCCGCGTTCTTGAAGACCAGACGAAGCTTATAGAGCACATTCAGACGTGAGTAGATACCCCGAATATCTCATTCAATTCCAAGATATTGAATCTATGCTTTTGCAGAGAGGCTGGTGCAGTCATTCTTAAAATTGCATACGGGTATACCATCGAATCGCACAAGCGTGATCCGTTGGTGCACATTGCAAATCTGGCCCTCGATCATTTTTCTAAGGCCAGTACACCGGGTACCTGGCTGGTTGATATTATTCCAGCTCGTATGTCTCTATCCTCGTCTTGCACTAGTTACTGAGGTGGTATTAACGGAAAATAGTAAAACACGTCCCGTCCTGGCTTCCCGGAGCAAGTTTCAAGCGCACTGCTCAGGAATGGAGGAAGAACGTGACGGCTGTCGCAGAAAAGCCATATGCATTCACACGTCGGCAGACAGAAAAGGGTCACTTCCAGCCGTCTTATCTCTCTAACCTGTTTAGGACAACAGGGTGTCCTGCACCCGGTTCGGAAGATGAGTTTGTTGCCAAACTGACCGCTGCATCACTTTACACAGGTGGTGCTGATACCGTAAGATCATTGACCTTCCTTTTCTGGTCCCTAACTAACTTTCTCTAGACCGTTTGTGCTATAGAAATCTTTTTCCTTGCGATGACGCTGCATCCCGAGGTCCAAGTTAAAGCTCAAGAAGAGATCGATCGGGTTTTGGGGCCCTGTCAGCTCCCAACAGTCGCCGATCGCTCTCGCTTGCCGTATATCGACGCTGTGGTGAAAGAGGTTCTGCGATGGCATCCGGTCGGACCTATGGGTATTCCCCACGCATCGAGTGAAGATGATACCTGGGGAGAATATTTTATTCCAAAGGGGTCGTTGGTTCTGCCTAACATGTGGTGAGTCCGGGTCCCAACTAATATCCTGACACACATTTATCAAGCTCTACTGACATCTATCAAAGGGCTATGACGCATGATCCTACCGTTTACCATGATCCTATGGTATTCAAACCAGAGCGCTTTCTGGGGATTGATGGACGTGAGCCCGAGTTCGATCCTCATGATCTTGTCTTTGGATTTGGGCGTCGCATCTGTCCGGCGCGTATCTTGGCAGATACTACATTGTATCTGAGTGCAGCGCAATCTCTTGCTGTCTTTAATATAAGGAAAGCCGTCGAGGATGGGAAGGAAGTTGATGTTCAACCAGAATTCCAGCCTGGGGTCATCAGTCATCCTGTGCCTTGGAAGTTCCATATCGAACCTCGCAGTGTGGCTCATGAATCTGTTATTCGTTCGGTAGAGAAGAAACATCCATGGGAGGCAAGCAATGCACCAGACCTGGAAGGCATTTAATCAATATCTTCAGTTGAGGACCGCATAATGGCCTTGCTGGCTGCCTGTTTGGTATAGGGCGTTTTCCTATCGACTATCTTGGGCTCTTTGATTTGGGAATCAGGATGTCACGTTCTTCGCTGTGATCTTCCTTGTAATAACGAATTATCTTTATAGCTCGGGATCTTGTCAGGTGTTGGGACTCACGGCTGTGACCAGATGATCAATGTCCCCTTCAGAAACCCCGCATGTGCCTGTGAAACATTGGTGATTCCAACAAGTCTCATGGCGTTTGTATGTACCCAGCACCATTATGAATAGAGAAGTCTTGGAAGATATTACTCTAATTCCAGGAATCTGCACTTAATTCTTTCATAGCTAATAAACAGATCAACCTGGTCTGGTGAGTATCACACTTTGAGCTGTAATCTCGCGATCATTGGTAGATGTAGTTATTGCTCTCCAAATATATATTGTAGAGTACAAAGGATACTGAAAAATACCAAAAATAAAAACTGAAAACTGAAAAATGACCAGAGAAATGCAAACAAAGCCGTCCAATGAGATGACAAGCCCAGGTAAGGGGCTGAGTGGGCCATGTGATTGAAATTGCAATACTTCAGCTCGACTTCAATGTTTATTTTCTTTTCCTTTTTGTCCCTTTCAGCATGTTAGAAACACTTCCCATTCAATGATGCAAAAAGGTAGACTCGATCTGTCGGAATATGAATGTTTAGAAGATGATCTCCGTCAGGTCCCTGAAGATCAGCCGCTTCTCGGGTCCCCTCCCACCCACTCAACCAACCCGCAACATGGACTTGCCATCATAACCTGCACTGCCACGGTATTATTTATCTCCAGTGCGGTCAACGGCCTAGTCACCCTTAACATCACCCAATTTTCATCCGAATTCGGTTTGGACCCCAAAGTTGAATTATGGTGAGAGACATCTCCAGTGCCCCAGTTTTCCATCTGGTTACACAGAAAAAGCAAAGGCTCACCACCCGACAGGCCAATGTCAATGTACTATCTTGCTCAAGGCTGCACATTCCTGCTGGCCGGATCTTTAGCAGACATCCTAGGCAGTAGGAGAACATTTTTGTCCGGATGCTTTCTACAGACCGTTTGCCATCTGGCTAGCGGACTGGCCCAGACTGCCTCGCAGCTTATTGCTGTCAGATTTGTGTCCGGCATGGCTTACCCAATGTGCTTCGTTTCTGCAATGAGCATTCACAGGGAGAATCTTCCAGTTGGGAAGTGGCGCAATTTGGCATTTTCCTGCACAAGTGCAAGTCAGTATATTGGCTCCGGGGTGGGTATCGTCCTTAGTGGGGTACTCTCAGACACTGCTGGTTGGCGATGGGGCTTTCATTGTGCCGCAATTTTGAGCCTATTTGGCTTTCTCCTTTCAATTTGGACGGTTCCCCGTCAAGCGCAAGACCCAAAATATATCCCATGGGCGGAACTAGTTGAAGATATCGATTGGTCTGGAACTCTACTCGCTAGTACATTGATGGCGCTTCTATTCTCCGCATTGGCGTACGTATCCTCATCTCAACGATGGTTTATATTTTCAGAACACTGATCAAATAACAACTAGTGTCATCACAAACAACGTGGCAAATATTGGCAAATCGGGCCTCTTCGTTCCTCTTGCTCTTGGTTGGATCCTCCTGGTTGCTTTCCTATTCTGGCAGGATTGCTGTGAAAGAGACACAACACAGCGCATCCAAAATTCTCTTTGGACAAACCGCCATTTTCTTTCCATTGGGCTGGTTATTTTCTTCGTCTACGCGTCTTCTCACTCTACTTCGCAGCTTATGATCTTCGTATTCCAAAGAGCACAAGCCCTCTCGGTTATACAATCATCATGGCAATATCTAGCATTCCCAATTGCCAGCGCGCTGAGTAGTAGGCTCACCGGACATTTCCTATCCCGCGTTGACGCAAGCCAAATCCTCGTCATTGCGATAGCCCTCTCTAGTCTCTCCCCACTCTTGATGGCTATATTAAACCCAGTTTGGCCTTACTGGAAATGTGCAATGCCTGCCGTTTTATTAAACTCGGTGGCATCAAATTCAGTCATCCCAATTGCCACAATGATAGTCGCTGGGTCTTTCCCTCCGGAGACTCAAGGGCTTGCAATGGGAGTGCTATGCACAGTGGCACTGATTGGAGCCTCTGTCGGCATGGCACTGACTGCACTTATTTCAAATGATGTCAGCACACAGCTACAGCAAACCCCCAACCAGAGGACTTCCTTGCTCAAATCTCCCGAGATATGGATGATCGGATATCGGACTGCATTCTGGTTCTTGTTCTTACTGAGCTTGGTCGGCTTGGGTGTTGCTTTTGGCTGCTTGCGAAAGCTTGGATACTTGGGTCGAAAACTAAATATAGGCCGTTAATTCATTCATTTTCTCTTATTTATCCGAGCTGCATGTTCCCGTTACTATAGGAGTATATATTATCACAACTTTAAGCACGGCTAATGGTACACAGGCCAGTTTTATATTCTTAACGATTGAATCCGGGCCTTTATGACAATCGGCTACTACCTTGTCTTTCAAATCAAAATCAAAGAGCCCAGGGCATTAATACCTCCTTTTGTTCACTTCACTCATCCTGAGTAACCATACATCGGCTAGTATTCGTGGAATGCGACAACGCAATCATATAATGGTGGGAAGCGTGTTCGGACACTTAAATAAAATCCGCGACCAGGAACAACCTATTTGATTTAGACACAAGGAAATCCTGGACGGAAAATAGAACATCATGTCACCTACAAAACAGAACATCCTCTTCCTCACGAGCCCAGAACACGGACAGTCCAACGTCGCACTCGCAGTGGCCGAGGAATTTCTACACCGCGGCGAGTTCGAAGTCCACATCGCCTCCTTCAAGCAATTATCGACTCGCGTGCAAGCAATAAATGACAAAGCAGAGTACGACCAGGTTATCCATTTCCATCCAATTGCAGGCCTGTCAGTGGCCGAGATCGTGGCACGTACAAAATCGGGTACGATATGTCATCCACCAGGACTTGCCGGAACGCGCGAGGCATGTAACATATTGAACAACTGCGTCCTGGGCTGGACGCCTGACGAATATATACAATCCTACCAAAGCTGTTTGGAGATCTTGAAAGATATCCGTCCCGTCGTCGTGGTCGCGGATCCAATATTGCATCTCAGGACTGGATGCCGCTCGTAGTACTGACGCGCGAATCGTGATCCTCTGGCCTGTGACTTTGAAAGATGTGGTCGCAACCGTCCAGCCCAAAGCTGGCATGTTGTGGAAATACCCGATGTGAGAAATTCATCCCGCGTGAGTTCGAGGTTGTCGCTGACTTTCCATATTCAGTACCGGTTCGGGATATCCGTATCCCCTGCCATGGAGACTGATCCTTGCAAATATATACATGGTATTTTGTTTCGTGTTTATCGTTCACTTGGGCAAACCCATGCGCCGTCTTCTGGATATTCGGAAGAAAGCTGGTATCCGGACGGCTTTTCCACACGTCGCGCCTTACTGCGAAGACCATCTGCATCTCTCGCCTGCATTCCGAGAGATGGATTTTCCGTTATACGTCCCGGATAATGTGGTCAGCTGCGGTCCGATACTCCGCACATATTCGTCACTTGCAGATAGCGATCCGACACTGGATTCATGGTTGAAGGAGCCAACGATTCTGATATGTCTTGGGTCACACGTTCAAGCTCCGGAAAACGATGCAATGGAGATGACGGTGGCCATCCAGGCTGTTTTGCGCGAGTTTCCTAATATGCAGGTCTTGTGGAAGCTCGCTTATGACTGGGAAAGCTCACCGACTGTCAAGAATATTCTCGAGCCTCTTGTCAAGTCTGATAAAGTGAGGACCTTTCCATGGATCAAGCCAGAGATTATATCTGTTTTGGAAGGTGGTAATATAGTTGCATATGCCCACCATGGAGGAGCAAACTCATTCTTCGAGGCGTGCAAGTAAGTTTTCCTTGGGTCACACATCGATGTAAGGTGCTGATGGCTCTTGCCAGGGCTGGTGTTCCGCAGGTCATTCTGCCCCAGTGGTTTGACACATACGATTGTCCGGTCCGAGTAGAGTGGTTAGGCATTGGCCTGCACGGGAGTCGCAATGTAGCACCGAAAATAAACGGATTGGAGCTATCTTTGGCTCTGCTTCGTGTACTAAAGGATAAAGGGATTCAGAAGCGGGCCAGGGCCATTGGAGATTTGTGCAAGACGACGGAAGGACGCGTAGTTGCTCATGATCAGATCGTACAGTACGCCCAGAAGGGATTGAAGTGTTTGTAGATGCAGTAAATTCATTGAGTCATAGGCTTCACGGTTTCCTTTCCGAGGGCCCAGGTGTGTGGCGTGCATTGGGAGAATGACATATGTAAAGACCAAGTCGACAGGAATCCGATAAGATATTTCGGCCAAACTAGTCAACCAAAATCCATGCACTCGGTCACATAAATCGTGAATGAAGGGAGTAAAAAAAAAAAAAGTAACCGCGATCCTCAACGCCTGTGTCCATATTCAAAAGAAAGGTCCCAGCGAGTGAATCAGACAGTTGACAACTCTGCCAAAACGCGCTGGACATCTTTTCCGAGCTTTACTCAGCTCTTCATCAACAGTTCCGTCGACATGTCTCGCTTTCACCTCATAGTGCAGTTCAACTAGTTCCTTTGCACGACGAAGATCAGCCTTGTCGTCTGCCGGGCTCTTATCTTCCAATGCGCCACCAGACTCGGTTGAATCCGCGCTGAGGTTTTTGTGCACATTCACCAGTGCCAGGGCCTCGCTATGGCCCTGTGTCATGTTGTTAGCATGGTCATATCGTCTGGTGGGGTACTGTCCTTGTCCAAAGACGCGGCTTGGGCGCGTTTATCGTAGTGGGGCAGTCTTCTGGAAGCGTGATACTTACACAGACGCGGAGAGAATTTATGTCCGAGAGGATCTCTGCGACTTGCATGTTGATGGATCTACCTAGGTAGTGTAGTGATGTTTAAGTTGAGTGAAGCTTTTGGTGGAAGTCAGAGCCAAACATTGCAATGTCTTGGCGGGGAACACGGCTTTTACAGACTTCCCTATTCACAGTCCCGGTAGATATTGGGGTATAGATGCTCGGATTTTTCAAATAATACATGTCCTGCATTTGTTTATCGTCTCTTGAATGTATTCTCAGTACAGTAGATCATAGAAGAATGCCACTGGTTCGGATGCCAAATGATCATTTCACCATATATACTTCTATTCTTTATAGTCAAAATATACAATCAAAAGACAAATCAAGTCTCCTTAAACTCATACCGCCCCTCACGGTCCTGCACCTCAACATCAATGCGCCCCTCCTCAATCTCCTTCCCATCAACCTCAATCGACGCCCTCATAACATCACCCGCCTTAACCTGTCCAACACCCTTAGGCGTACCCGTAAGGACAATATCACCCTCCTCCAGCGTCATCACGCGCGAGATTTGCGCCAGCTGCTGCGGAATGCGGTACAGCATCAGACTAGTCGAGTCAGCCTGACGCTCAGTCTGTCCAACACGCAGGCGCAGGAATGCATCGTGCGGGTTCGGGATGCGCGACTTGGCGATCTGCTGCGAGATGGGGAGGAAGGTATCGAAGCCCTTGGCGATGGACCAGGGGAGGCCCTTCTTCTTTGCCTCGTCTTGTACGTTGCGGGCTGTCATATCAATGGCGAGGACGTAGCCTGTTTACCGCAATGGGTTTGTTTATTAGCGACATCCTGCTTGCGCCTTGTCCTTGGCCCACCGCTGTACTGTGACAATGCGGTATGCCTCGGATTCGGATTGCATGTTCTACTCACTATTTATCGCGTCCAGTGCGGCCTTCTCATCGTTGGGATCGAGATCGCGCAGCGTCTTGCCGATCACCAGACCCAGTTCGACCTCGTAGTGTAGGCTGACGCCCTTGGGGCGGAGGACGGGACCCGAGCCGGGGAGGAGGATGGATGATGGGGGCTTGAGGAAGAAGAAGGGCTGCTTCGGGGCTGTGTTGTTGAGCTCGGTAATGTGATCGCTGGGTCAATCCATGCAGTTAGCAATTGTGGCCGAGGGAGAGAGAAAGCGACGCCTCTGTCGGAAGTCCCGAGGGAACAAGGCGCGGGGAGACAGAGACTCACGCATAGTTACGGCCGATGCACATAATCTTGCGGCAGTTGGCGCGGATGGAAGCCATTTTGGAGGGAATTGAAGCTATGCGATTGAGAAAGAAGAGGAATTGAGGAAAGATGTCGTGGGGGAGGGTCGAAGGGTCGGAGGGTCGGGTGTTCTCCGAAAGATGCGGAGAACTCCAGAACGGTCATGGCTTTCTGCGCCGCTTGTATCTTTATCCACCTCTTTAACTAACATGAATTAGGAAGATATAGAAGAAGATACGTGTCTATCCATGGACCTGTTTGATACTAGATAAATCCAATGGTAATTATTTAGAGCCAGTCTCCACCACTACTACATATATGTATGGCTTGCGGTATATATTATGTTCGGTTTGATCAAGGAACTGTATACTTCTGATTTCGAAGTCAATGGCTTACTATTCGCACGAGAAGTCCGAATATTACTAGTCGGCCAATTTACCTCTTTTTTTATTCGGGAATTGATGTACCAACAGTTTTCCTATCAAGTCACCTTCGGCTTGCTCGCCCGAGCGTCGGAACATGCTCCGAGCAATTCGATATCAATAGAACATTGAAGACAAAAAAAGTGACAGAAACACAGTCGGTCAAGGCACTGAAAATGCTTGAAACTAGAGTCGATTTGTTTTTCTTTTATTTTTTTCCTTCTATCTTGTTCTAACGCGTAGCCTAAGGGGACCAGTTAGTCGGCTAATACCTCACCAACTGTACCTAGGAGGCTCGAAACTATTCATAAATTCCTCGGTGCTTTAGCATTGGAAGGTTTAGGGTGTAGGTAGACAGGCCTTGTCCATTTAAGGTGGTGACTTCATCTGGATGGGCATGGCACATGTGGCAAAAAGTGAAACAGCCTCGAAGGTATACCGGGTCCTAGAAACCATGAGGAAATTGCCGGCGCCTCCTAAAGACAGACACCCCGGTATTATGAATATGGAATTCAATGTACAATTAATTGTAAACACTGTGAGTGCAAAAAAGATAATCCAGGAATATAGACCTGGAGTGCAAAAGGAACAAAAATGCTCACACTCGGAGTCGAACCGAGGATCTCATGATTACTAGTCATGCGCTTTACCACTAAGCCATGCGAGCTTCGATGAAAGAGGTTTTCCCAACAAGATATATGAGCCTGAGACTAGCGAGCTGGTTATTCCGCACAAGGCCTAGATGACGACCTCTTTCTTTTTGGCAAGGTTGGATGCGGTTCTTGGTCGTGGCGAAGGGGAGAGTTCCCAAGGGGATAGTTCTGTTTTACGGGAGTATATGAGTTTGAGGAGGCTCAGAAACTAGGGCTTCATTCTCCAAATCGCGATGAAGGTCTGGGTTAAAGGGATTTACAAATCCCCAGGCTTCAAGACGGAGGCTCAACAGCTGTGGAGGCTCGGCAGCTGTCATAGGGACCCTAATTGCTTGTGTGCCACTCTAGCCTTGCCACACCTGCCAGAGTAAAGAATAATACCAACTTAATTTGGACAGTTATCGAACAGATTGGGAGAGATTGAAGGTCAAACTAGGTACATCTATTCAATGAACAGAATACGAAGTTAAATATCATTTCAAGGACGACGCCCTGAGGAACAAGTCACATTTTGGCCCGGTCTATTGATTAAGTACGAGAAGAGGCAGCATCCTTAACCAACAAGAGCGAGCTAGATACAGACAAGGGGAAAGCAGAGGGAAATGCATAAAAAAGAAATAAGAGAAAACGGAGCAGCAAGAGGTGAACGCAAACATGTCTCATCTCCGTTAGTGCAAGACATAGGAACCATAGCAAGGGCCAGGAAAACTCCCGGGGCGTCGACTTGTCGACTCAATATGCGGAAGCATAGCCCCGTTCACTCACCCGGCACAATGCAGGCGGAAACGCAGAAAGCCACTTTTAACGCAGATTCTGCGATCGTAAACCGCATCAAGACGTCAAGAGTTAGGGTGTTTAGATGAGGTCAGCCACGTTCATGGGCATCTCCTCAACCTGGGTGGAGTAGAATTGCTCGATCTCGCGGAGCATGCGAACATCGTCGGCGGTGACGAAGTTAATGGCAACACCCTTACGACCGAAACGACCACCACGACCGATACGGTGAATGTAGTTCTCACGGTTGGCGGGGAGATCATAGTTGATGACCAGGGAAACCTGCTGGACATCGATACCACGGGCCAGAAGGTCAGTGGCGATCAGGACACGGGAAGAACCGGAACGGAACTCCTTCATGATAACATCACGCTGGCCCTGCTCCATGTCACCGTGCATGGCGGAGACGGTGAAATCACGGGCAGTGAGCTTGTCGGTGAGCCAGTCGACCTTTCGGCGGGTGTTGCAGAAGATGACAGCTTGAGTAATGGTGACGGTCTCGTAGAGATCGGAGAGGGTGTCGAGCTTCCACTCCTCCTTCTCAACAGCAATGTAGAACTGCTTAATACCCTCAAGGGTAAGTTCCTGCTTCTTGACAAGGATACGGACGGGGTCGCGCATGAACTTGGTGGTGACCTCGAGGACATCCTGGGGCATGGTGGCGGAGAGCAGGGTAACCTGGGTAGACTGGGGAAGCAGCTGGAAGATGTCGTAAATCTGCTCGGTGAAACCACGCTAAAAAAAAGAAGAGTTAGAATCGGTTGATATAGATGGATATCAATTACAGTAACTTACGGACAGCATCTCATCAGCCTCGTCGAGGATGAAGAGCTTCATGGCGGTGGTGGACAGGACACGGCGCTGGATCATGTCGTGGACACGGCCGGGGGTACCGACAACGACCTGGGGACCGGCACGGAGGGCGTTCATGTCCTCACGGACGTTGGTACCACCGATACAGGCGTGGCAGTCGAGGGACATGAAGTCACCGATGGCAACAACGACCTTCTGGATCTGCTGAGCCAACTCACGGGTGGGAGCAAGGATCAGAGCCTGGCAGGCCTTGACCTCGGGGTCGATCTTCTGCAGGGCGGAGATGGAGAAGGTAGCGGTCTTACCGGTACCGGACTGAGCCTGGGCGATAACATCGTTGCCTGACCTCAGAGGTTAGGCGCAAATTTCAAAAAGCGGACTCGAAATGGAACAAAACTCACCCTTGATGATGGGCATGATGGCACGCTGCTGGATAGCGGAGGGGCGCTCGAAACCGTAAGCGTAGACACCTGGAATCCCACCGTCAGTAATTTTTTTTTTCAACCCCACCTGATAAGACGAAGGGGGGACTTACCGCGAAGCAGCTCGGGCTTCAAGTCCATAGAGTCGAAGGAGTCGGTGACCTCATCGTAGTTAGACTCGATCTGCCCTGTTAATGAAAAATGAAATATTAGCCTCCATCTTCACAACGCCTTCTATATCTGACGCCACCCGATATTAAATGCGATCGCGGTTGCGATTTCCAACGAAAGCAAAGTAAAGGAATGAGTTTTTAATCGAAAGTAATAGGGGTTTAGTACATACCCTCGGCGAGATCCTCAAGACCCTTGTCAGCCATATTTGCGGTTTTGATAGAAAGGATCACAGGCAGTGATCGATGTGGTGGGGTAGATTTAGCGAACTTGTGTAGGTCGCTGTGAGAAAGTTGACTTCTAGTACCTGAGACTCTTTATGTAAAGAGTCTTTTTATAGGATACTAGGAAAGGTTGCAAAGTGGGATGTGAAATTCACAAATGGGGTGGGAGGAGAAAAGAGAAGAAAAGCGAAAAAATCGAATGGCCACAACTGCGGCGCCATTTGCTACGCTTTTTTTTTTTACGGGGCATTATCCCACCGCTTTCCCGGTTGGGAGTGTGGCCAAGCCCAAGCGAGTTCAAAGTGGGCGAGATGGACTTGAAACCCATCTGATGCATTATATTTAAATTTTTTGGGAATTGGTTTCGTGGATATTGTTGCTCTATTCACTGTCATTCATTCTATCAATTCACTTTCTCTTGTTCCCATTGACTTGGTGAACTACCTTTCAGTTGGGGTCGCCACTAACCAATCTTTGAAGCCCTAAGCCTCAGATCATGCCTGACATCACATCGTTGCCGAGTCATCCACACGATGCAGAGATTATAAGGGAGGCCATTCCCTCCCACCCATTAGGCGTCAAACCAAGTGGGAATGCTTTATTGGCTACATGGAGTCTTCGAAGTGCTATAGGGACTTTTCAGCACCTGCCAGATGAACTAATCTTGTTGTTGTTGGAGGGCTTCGACGGGCCAAGTCTGTTGAGCATCGGGCGGACATGCAAGGCCTTCTATGCATTTACCCGGGCTGAAGAACTGTGGAAGGCGCTGTTTGTTCGGTAAGGAATTATGTAGATCCAAATCATGTTTTGGTCCTGAGCCCTACACTTATCCATAATATAATAATGTCCAAATGACTACAAATGATATCCATACTAAACCTGGTTGCAGTGACCCAAGAGAAGATTTCACATGGCGAGGAACATGGCGGTCAACATATCTCAATATCCCCGCCTCTAAGGTGCCCATGGTGGACTGTTCTCAGCTATTCTCCGATGCTCTATACCGGCCATTCAACTGCGCACACATTTCACTCGACCCATATGTCTCCAAGATCCCGGCGCGGAACCAGATCGCACGATTTCCAGACCTGTCACCAGAGGAATTCCAAGCAAATTGGACCGACCGACCGTTCATCTTGACCGAACCTGTCAAGGCCTGGCCAGCATACAAGAACTGGACCGTCGGGTCACTACTCGCCCGATACGGGAAGACCAAGTTCCGCGCCGAAGCCGTGGACTGGGCCATGCGCACTTACGGCGACTACATGGCAGACAACTCCGACGAGAGCCCACTGTACCTCTTCGACCGCTCCTTCGTCTCCAAGATGGGACTGTCCGTCGGATCTCCAGAAACCACTCCCGACGCATCATACTGGCCCCCAGCATGCTTCGCCGAAGACTTCTTCTCCGTGCTCGGTGACGACCGCCCTGATCATCAGTGGTTGATTATCGGACCCGAGCGATCCGGCAGCAAGTTCCACAAAGATCCCAATGCCACCAGCGCATGGAACGCCGTGCTACGCGGTCCCAAATATTGGATTATGTTCCCATCTGGCACGAAACAGCCCCCGCCTCCAGGTGTATTTGTGTCGGATGACCAGAGCGAGGTTACTTCGCCACTCAGTATTGCAGAATGGCTACTGGGATTCCATGCCGAGGCACGCCGGGCTCCGGGCTGTGTGGAAGGGATCTGCGGCGAGGGTGAGATTCTACACGTTCCATCTGGATGGTGGCATTTGGTCGTGAACCTGGAACCGTCGATCGCTATTACGCAGAACTTTGTTCCTCGAGGTCATCTCGGCGCTGCCTTGGATTTCTTGTCTAACAAGCCGGACCAGGTGTCTGGGTTCCGGAAGAACGTGGCTAATCCATGTGAACGGTTTATGAGCGGTATGCGCGAGGCATATCCCGACTTGTTGGAGCACGCTTGGAATGAACTGCAGAAGAAGAGCGAAGGCAAGAAGCGCAAGTGGGAGGATATTGTCCATGGGAAAACAGAGGACACCCCTGGGCAAGACACCGAAGGAGGTGGATTCAGTTTTGGATTTGGCGATGATAGTGATGTGGAAGTTCCATGAACTATAACTGCATTATGGAGAGACCGATGGAACCACGAAAACATGAGGTTGCCACCACAAGCCAGGACCACTCTCCGCCGGAAAGGGCTTCCAAACCCATCAATTCCAATCCGCAACCAGTCTAAATTTGACATACTGGTCATTATACTACGCCTCCCACTAAGTCTGCAAATTCGTCAACGCCCCGGATTCCAACCTTCAATGACACGCGATCGTCTTTGTGGCTGGCGTCCCTTCGGAGAAAACCAAGTACCCAACGAATGCGCCCACTGCAACCGCAATCATGACCTGCCCATTATACGTCATGAAGAGAAGCCTAACCACCAAATCAGCGGGCTAAATCGAGGCCAGAGGTCGCTAGGAGACACTTACATGATGAAGAAGCTATAGAACACCTGGACGGCATACAGAGCCGCCAGGGCAAGCTTGCCCTTGCGTGCCAATGCCGCTCTGTTCTCCCTTCCTGCAAGTAGTGGTGAGCTTTCGTGGTGAGTGTTACGGGTTGCATCCGCCAGGCCGTTGGCAATGATAGGGTCGGCGGTCTCAGCGTCTGCAGAGAGCCAAGACATCAATAAGAAGCTTGCTGAGAATACCATCTCCCTATCATGACTCCAATATCAAACGAAAACATAGCAGGTACTATTGGGAATGTAGTGTCCTTGACATTGTACCTTGACCGACGGAAAGAGCAAATCACTTACCCCCAGTAGTGGCAGACGTGTTCAACACGCTTAACCGCTGTGCATGGGCAGACTCGTATTTCCGAGTCGCTGATCGTACTCCCTCGTAGCCCGCAGTAAGGATAACGATAGCGATGAGGGACACGAGGAAGGAGAAGGGACCGGTGATACGCCAGCTGCGGAAGATAATGCACAAGTTCTCGGAGGACCAGGTAAACAGCATCTACGATTCAAATATTCGAGATTAGCATGAGATCAAAGTGAAAGCGAAGGCTATATCTCACATTCATATTGCATTTCCCACCCATATCCATATCACCATGGCCCATATCACCATGACCCATGCCCATATGCATCGAGTGGTCCATATTGAATAGTAGTAAATGAATAGTAACAAGAGACCTCTTCCGTCTCAAAATATAAGCAGACGACAATATACTCGTAAGATTGCAGGTGGCACGAGGAGGGACAACAAACAAAGCACCTGATCTCACAATCAAGAGAGGGGAATGCAAACAAGACAAACATCGATAAGACCTCCAAAGATCTCCAGCTATAACTCTCCCGAACCCAAACGCGGTCATTGACTACGCACTGACACAACTTCCCAATCTCAGCTCCATTCCGCCCACTCTGCGCATGCAATACGTCCCTTCGACATAAAACAAATATACTTTCCATTGTGTTTGACTCCACCAAAAATGGCAGACACAGCGCCGGCTCCAACACCCGCGCCCGCGACGACCGGAGCTGCGGCGCCCACAGCCGGCGCAACAGCAGGGACCCCGAATGCGCCTGTAGACCAGAATGCCGCAAGTCGCGGACTACCATACTACGAGAAACTGCGCCGCGAGCTGAGGGATACACTACAGAAAAAGCGATTAATGGATAAGAGCATGGTGAGTGCAGTCTCGCGTTCTCGTCCCCAGGAATTGGACGTTGTTACCTCTGCAAACTTGTTCTCTCGCTGCGCGGATGTTCTCCAATCTCGCAATCGCATTATGGTGTCCTTGGATGCGTAAATCGTTCTACCCTGATATGTTGCTAACACCTTTCCCCAGGCTCAACTCGAAGACCAAATCTTCCGCTTCGAACAATCATACCTGGAAGAAACCACCGCTGGAAATATCATCAAGGGCTTCGACAATTACATCAAAGGCTCTGCGAACGGATCGAGTCTCGGCGCCGCGGGACTGGGTCTGGGCGGTAGCATGGCCGGGAGGCGAAAGGCGCAGGTGACGGATTCGGATCGAGTTTTCTCGCGGAGTTCGGCGAGTTACATGCTGGTATGTAAACACCCGAACAGGAAGTGCTCGTGGAAGCTGAGTATGGTGTTTTTGGTTTGAATTGGGAACTGACGGTTATTGTTGTGTCTGCAGGATTCGCCAGGTCCCTCGTCTGCACAAACAACGCCTTCCCACGCCGCAACGCCGACGTCTACGACTGGCGGAAACGGCATGTCTATGAAGATTGACCCGCTGTCTGTTTCTGGTAGTGGGATGAAGAGCTCGAGTGGTTCGTCAAAAAACAAGAAGAAGGCGACTGGCGGGTCGAAGAATACGAAGGGCAAGAATCAGACTGATGATTTCTCCGATGAGGACAAGCCTTCTGTTAAGCGGTTGAAGATCAGCTATGGGAGAGATTGAGCCTTGAGAGATTCAGTCTTCTTTATGTTCTGCGCCCGTCTTGCATCTGCTTGGCTTTTTCTCGAGTTCGGAGTTGGTTGGTTTGTCTTTTCGCATGGCTCCTGGGAGGAGTCGTGTTGCAGGCGCGGGAAACGGGAATGGGATTTCTGTCTTATTACACCTACGATGCGATATCACGTAAATCACGAACTTATACAGAACAGACTACAGCGTTTGTTGGATACATCATTTGTTTCATTGCTTCCTAATGAATGCGACGCGAGCTAAGTACATACGATGGGTGTCGATATTCCATGTGCTTGGGTAAAGCCCGCCACTCCCGTTACGATCATAGCTGCAGTCGGTACGTAGCGACCTCAAACGCCCTCAACTCAATCTTGATCGCGGAGCGACCATCTTGAGTCTCAATATCCAGTCCATCATTCTCATTATCCTCAAGAATATTGCACTTGAAGGCATTCTTCACAGGCAGTGTAGTCTCGATAGTACCACGAGCCTTACCACCAAGCGATTCATAGACACGCAGAATAACACTCTTTCCAGGACGGGTAGGAGTACCATCCCACGAAACATCTGCATCATCTTCGCCGCGCTTGACAACGTCCAGGATCAAAGATGGGGCGCCCTTTATAGACAGAGATTCAAACAGGGCATTGGAAGCAGATGCTTTAGGGCCGGCCTTTTCAACGATGAGTGGGCTATTGAAATTGAAGCCCGCTCGGATCGTTCGGGCATCAAGAGCACCAGCGTGGGGAAGGATTGCGTAGCGGATGTGGTGGCGGCCCATGTCAGCATGGGCATCTGGTGCCTTGGGGGCACGGAGCAGCGAAAGGCGCATCAGGTTACCGCATGTCGCGAAGCCGTATTTAGAGTCGTTTAGGATGGAGACTCCGTAGCCGTTCTCAGAGAGGTCGGCCCATTTGTGACAGCAGACTTCGAATTTGGCCATGTCCCAACTGCAGAGTAATTAGTATAGTTGTGAAGTATGTGGACGGTCGGTGCATACCTTGTGTTATAATGGGTTGGGCGTCTAACGATGCCATACTGGGTCTCGTACGATGCCTCGGTGTTGGTGATGTCAACGGGGAACTCGACCTTGAGGAATTTCATCGTCTCTTGCCATTCCACCTCGCTTTCCATTTCCACGTATGAGGGCTCATCAGATGTGGATGCCGACAGGCTGATTGTGGTTTTGATCCAGCTCTTGTCGCTGATCTGCGTCTCAGTCATGACGCTCACCCGGTGAGGGTCATTCTCTACAATGCTCGTCTTACCCCCGGGCAACTCCTTTCTTGACTCAAGATGGAACACCTCGACATCCCATGCTTGCCAGTAAAGAGGCTTGTCGTCGAAGATAACCAGCTGCCCAGCCTTGCGATTCTTTGCGACGATCTCTCTATCGGCTTCCACATCGTACAAGGATGTGATAACCCCGTCCTGGACATCAACCCTGAGCTTAGCGTTCTCCAGGCGGAAGACACCTGCTTTGACCTCGGTCACGGTCACCGAAGTGGTTGTGTTGAAGTCAGCCGGCTGCACTTGCATCACCCCAGCTGTACCATCAGCCACGGCGTATTTGTATCCATTGTATGCGGACAATGCTGGAGGAACTGCAACGACTTCTGAACGGGGCCATGGCAAGGTATTGAGGGCCATGAAGTTTGCATTGGTGACATTGCCAGTGACTCCCAAAGCCTCGAGGGCATTCTTCCGCAGCTTGGTCCCCGTCTCGAAGATTTCGGCATACAATTTGTCTGAGTCGTCATAGCACATCTCAATGGAGCTACCCGGCAAGCAATCATGGAACTGGCAAAGGAGGGTTCCTTCCCACATCTCGTCAATCTCCTTCTTGGGATACCGATATCCGTCATCGGAAGCATTGATGGTGGCGAGGGTTGCAAGAAGCTCGATCTCACGCAGCAGGAACTCGGACTTGCGGTTATTGCGCTTGTTATTTGCTTGAGTGGTGTATGTTCCACGGTGCAACTCAAAGTAAAGCTCGCCATACCAGGTAGCAAAATCAGTGCCAGAGGCAGCCTTGGCCTCCAAATTTGCAAAGAAGTCATCCACTGACTGACCCATTATTACTCGGGGTAATGAGCCGACCTGGTCGCTGAGACCACGGCAGCGTCGCAGCTTTTCGAGGTGCTCGAATGTCGGGCCACCACCCCCGTCGCCTTTTCCAAATACGAGTAGCGATGTCTTGTCCGTATCTAGCGACTTGTGCTGAGTGACACTGCGCTTGACATCACCGAAATGTGCTTCGGCCGTGTAGGTCTCGGAAGGAGCCATATGGCACAGGACTTGGCTGCCATCAAGTGCAACCCACTGGAAAGTAGTGTGAGGGAAATTATTGATGTTGTTCCAGCTGAGCTTCTGAGTAAAGAAGCGGCTCATCCCAGCCAGGCGGCATATCTGAGGGATCTGGGTAGAGTAGCCGAAGGTATCTGGCAACCAAAAAGTTGTGCTTCGTTTACCGAAGTTTGCCTCGAAGAATCGCTGTCCATACAAAAACTGTCTGACCAGCGACTCTCCACTTGGCATGTTGGTATCGTGCTCGACCCAGCTCCCACCAATGGGTTGGAAGTTGCCCTTCTTTACCCAGCGCTTCACGCGATCAAAGACGGATGGGTAGTACTGCTTAAGCCATTTGAACTGTTGAGCCTGAGAACAAGCAAAACGGTGCTCGGGGTACCGTTCCATCAGGTCGCATTGGTTAGACCATGACCGTGCTACCTTTCGCTTAGTCTCAGCCCAAGGCCATAGCCAGCAAGTATCAATGTGGCAATGGCCAATAGCATAGACTATTGGCTGCGTATCTGTGTCGTAAACATCGGACGAATCCACTTTGTTGCCGAGGTACTTCCTAGCAATCTTCCGTGCCTTATGGATAGATTCATTGCTTCCATTGCCGGCAATGAAGGCATCCATCATGGAATTGGCCACCACATTGGCTTCATGCGCCTCCCATGAGTCACCTGGGAATTCCCGGGCGGCATCTCCAATGATCCAGAAATCATAGTAAAGTGCCCGAGCAGCTAGATTTACCGCGGTGATTCGCGCTGTGCTGAGCGTGAAGTACTTATTGGGATTCGGTGGCTGAATGGAATCGCCACCAGGAGCATTGCCAAACATGCCATTGCAGGCCATTTCAATATAGAAGGTATGCTCCTTCCCATCGCACCAGGCTTTAGGGAGAATAAACTCGGTCCGTTCTCCGCCACCAGTCAAGCCCTGCAGCGGGTGACCATCCTCTGTCCAGATTAGACCTTCGTTGTTGGCATCCCAGTGGAACTCCAGATGCTCCCGTTGGAGCATGTTGTCGGGCACGGTAAGATGAACCCGGAACCAATGTGTTGACCAACTGGGGCCGAAAGAGGCGCCTATGTGAGTTGGCTTGAATTCCTGAGAGGTCGCCTCTTTGAAGGTCGGTCGCTGCAGGTCCGGGACCGAGTAAACAGAGAGCTTGACATGATCTTCGTCCGAATTTGTGGCTTCGTGGTACTTTGAGACGAGATTTTGGCCTTCATACTGGCCGTTTGATGTGAACTGCCTCAGTCGATCGGTGTAGATCTTCTTGATACGTTGGCCGACCGGATGTTCAGCTAACTGGGGTAAAGCGGGAGGAGCGGGGCGAAAGGGAGCTTCCCCACCCATGATGAAGGCTTTAGATAAGGAGAAATAGTAACTGAGGTGATAATATGATTGAAAACAAACCTAAGCAATCGTACGAGGAGTATCAAGGATCGAGTAAAAGAGCAGAAAGTGAGAGAGAGATGAAGGTGAGAGAGATGAAGGAAGGAGACTCCCAAATGCGGAGACACGGAATGCGGAGACGATCGACGGTTGACCCTCAACTCTGTATCCACGCACATACTGTAGAGTGTGATATTTATCCACATCGTTTCTTATATATACTATTATCCAATATACTTGGCATACTTCGTAAACTCCTCATCTACCTTTAACCGTTCCCAGTCTTCATCTCTCAGACAGATGCCAACAGCCATCTCACCCGCAGCCGATCGAGGCATCAAATATCCCAAACCCTCGACGGGAGTAAACTGTGGTCTCCGCACGGCTTCGGGTTTTCCCAATCCTAGATTGAAATCGAGATCATAAGAGCTAATCCTCGACCACGAACTAAGCATGAAATCCGATGAAACATTGACCGTGGCAGTAAAAGACGCCTTGGTCCTGTCAGCCGAGCGGCTGAGAACTGTAGCGAGGGCACGGGTGTTGAATACAAGATCATTCTTCTTCGGGTCGAGCTGGGACCGAAGCTCGGCGGCAACGATTCCCAAAGGCTCCTCGGATAATTTCTGGATAGTGTTGGTGTTGTATGTCAAAGTTTGCATGAGACCCGGATAGCCCTGGGGAATACCGAAGCGCTGCCTCATGTCAACTGCGCGTGTAAGCATCGACTCAGAAGTCGCTTCTAGACGAGAATCCCGGGCGCGGGCGATGGATTTCCAGATAAAAGCGCTGACAGCATCGTCCGTCGAGATAAAGTCTGTAGAGGCAGGCAAAGTATTCGTCGCGAGCGCTTTGAGGGAGCCAAGCTGTGCCGCGGAGAATTCAATGTAAGCCCATGTAGATTTTGGAGGTGTAACAGGATCCGAGACATCTTTGACGCTTGGCGGGGGTTTCACAAACTGGCGAGCGAGTTCAGGGCCCGGGGTGTACGAATCATCCAGTAGTGGAATGAGATGACTCCGATCCATGTTACCGATTGCAAGTTCGTCGCTTGTGAAAGGTTCATTGTGGCAAGCCTTGGACAATAATCTGATGATGAAGTCTTGGCCAGTCATGTCCATGACATTATGTTGAGCGACCAGCGTGAGCATCAAGCCGCCCTCGATGAAATTCGCCTGGACACAAAAAACCAGTGCTGACTCGGCCGTGATACTTGGCAAATTACTCGGTAGGTTTAGTGTCGTGCAAGGAGCAATGGTGTTCTCGTCGAGCATGGTGAAAGGGTACTTGGCCTGGCGAAGCCCATCGATTGTCGGTGCAGAGGGGTCATGTCGTAGGTCTTTCACCACGAGCTGGATTTTCTCGAGGGGAACTATTTTGAAGACGCCTGTATTACCATCCCCTGCGCCTTCGTTGACAACCTGGCCAGTAAGCCATGGGAAATTTGTTGCCAATCGGTCAAGTCCGTTTGTTAAAGTATCGATGATGCCGTCATGAGAAGATGAATCGGGTACGCGGTAAATGGAACATATTTGTGTGTACAGTTTGTACAGGCTCGGAGTTTGACCTAGTATGTCGAGAATGTCTGTCATCGTTTACAAGATAGGAAATAGGTAAAAGAACAGTTTTGGCCTCTTCTGTTCCTGTCGAGTGGATATATATAGCCCACATTTGCCCCCACCTCATGAGTCAACATGGCTCACTATGAATCAGAAATCAATTCGATTTGATTAACTCCTAGTGTAAAAGTTCCAAAGCTAGAATTTAGATACATTCTCTGTTTATCCATTTCTTTTTCACAGAACCAGGCCGCCTATTGACAGCACCATCGGCCAAACGGAGAGGGCAGTGCGATATTGCACCAAATACTGGAGCCATATCTGATCTGCATGCCACTTCTGCAACCTTGTACAGGGGTAATGAGATATTATCCGATATATCTGAACAAGACCTATATATCCACATGTGTGAATTGATGCAACATAATCTAATTGGGTATATAATCACGCAGCCTCTAAATAACTACCTAGGTTGATATATCTACAGCAGTAGATGTACTTTGACAGAATAATCTCAATCTTTCAACGCCAGTTGCTTTAACTTCCGCCTTGTGAATATATACTCGGAGAATCGCTCACATCCTTATGGGAAGATGAAGCCCTAGAAGAATCGGGCCCTTCTTAAAAGGCCTCATAGTTGATCGTTCGCACGTTGTCATTTTCGCGCAGACTCTTTTGACTATCCACGCGCTCGATGTCGAGCGAGTCTTTTCGAATTGGGGAGCGGGACGCCGACCCTGATCCTGATCCTTGTCCAACGGCATTATCAGACTTGGACGCTGATCGATCTCCCGAGTTGGTGTGACCTGAGACAGACTGCTCGAAAAAGTCTGAAACTACACCGGCCATCATGCCTGTCTGGAGCTCGGCGAGTACCCGTTTGAGGGTTGGGATGCATGTGCAGATAATTGAGGAGCTGAGGATTAATTGTAGCCAGATGGCTGGCATGAGGGCATTCCATGTTTCATCTATGGGGTTGGAGTTATAGAGTGGTCGGAGGGAGCGTAGACCAGCGATAGTCAGGGCAAGGACTCTGCGTGGGATTAGAGGGGGATTTACTTATATTTGAGAGATTCACTCACAGGATCCGCATCGCAAATAGGGCAGAGATTTGGTGGCGCTTCCACCGCAATATCTGGACTTGATGTAGTAGAGTCACTGGCAGCCCTATAATTACCACATCTAATAACATATGGACACCTCCCAGCGCGATATATAACACTTCTTGATCTACACATCGCTCGGGGCTGGAGTTCCACGGTTGCGGCTGATCACACTGGTTTCCGAGCGCTACTAGTGAGGCTAGGGTCCAGGCGCTGACCAAGCCCAAAACAATCTTGCATGCGAGCGTTGTTTTCTCAAAAGGTTGCAATGATAGGACGAGAAGTGCAACGGCGGCCTTGGAACACCCCAAGACGAGAATGGCGAGAAGTTGACTAACGAAGAGCGTCTGACTATGTTAGAATATGGCATTTCGGGGAAGGTGCCTGAATTCCTACCTTGCTGTATTTCTCAAAGGAGGCATTACTCAGTGCATCTCGGTGCTTGCCAATGCCATTGGAGCTGGCTATATTCACGCACACAGTCTGAGGAATGAATATGATCTAGTGTATCGAATTAGAAAAAACAACTATTGAAGGCAAAGGCACTCACACAGCTGAGAAATAAAGTAGAATCGCTCCAGGAAACTCCGCGTAAAACGCGGATGCGAGATATCACGGTCACTGTTGTCGCGAGGATAGTAATAATAAGTAGAATAGTGCTCACAGTGATAACCCAAGCACCATGATCATTTTCGGTGACAGGCAGGAGTGGCGGAAGAAGAACCGTTATGCTGGATGACATGGTAGTCGAATGATTCCCGAGCATAATTGAACAGGATCATGTTTATGTCGTAGATTAGCAGAGACATTACATGATATATGGAGGAGACAACCACTGTCCGACTGTCCTCATATCGGGTTCTTTATTGGATCTTCAACACCACCGAAGACACACGAGCGCGATCATTCTTGGCTTGCGACTGATCGGTTTATCCCAAGTTCCACAACCATGCATCTTCTGGTCCCACCTCGAAAGCAGGCCGGATACTGGTGCTGCAGCATACGCCGATCCCATCCAGGCAAGACAAGGAAAATTCACCGTAAGACAAGGATTCTGCATGATCCTTGCTTTTTTGAATCATGGCCTCCATGCCAGTTTTGCTTTTTCTTTCTCCGGTATTCCTTCGGGACTTGTCAAACTTTTTGCTTCCCACCATCAACTGCCTTTTTTGCACTGCCGAGAACAAATGGAGCGCCATGAGATGCTCCCTTTGGAGAGGGGAAGTGTAGTCATTGGAAAAGAGGCGCCAGGTCAAGATGCAAATGTCTCCAATGCCTATGACAGCCCGCGTAAAAGGAATGGACTCACGGAGCAGGCTTCGCCTAAGGTACGTTTTGTTAACTCGATACCGCTTGCCGAGCTGAGACAGTATACAGCGACTTTTCAATTTCACCCAAATATTCTTCTTCTCACTTACTTACTTGTCGAGCTGGGAGACTCAGGCCTTGTATGAGAGTCTTGTCCTTTGTTGTGCTTCAGCACTACTAACACAGCCACTATTTAGGAACTTGAGCACGGTACTATCAAATGGTGGCCCTGAAGCCCTAGCTTGGGGGATAGTAATTGTGGTGCTTGGTGCAATGGCACAATCTGCCTCGCTAGCCGAGATGGCATCAATGCAACCAATTGCTGGGGCCCAGTATCACTGGACACATTACCTAGCACCGACAAATCAAAAGAAGTTCATCACTTGGATGCAGGGTATGTCACTAATCGAGTACTTGCTGACTCAATGCTGACATTACGCAGGTTGGGTGACTTGGTTTGCGTGGATTTCCACACTCGCTGGTGTTGCTAACACCACTGCTGCGATGATCCAGGGCCTAGCGAGTGTAAACTACCCAGAATACGAGCCTAAGCAATGGCACATCACCCTCATCATTGTCGGCATGCTTATCGTCCAGGCATTGATGAACATGTATACATTTTGGCTGATTCCATGGATTGAAATGCTGGCGGGTATTCTACATATCTGTCTGTTGATTGTGTTTCTGGTTGTATTGGCAGCTCTAGCACCCCGCCACACACCAGAATTTGTCTTTCTACACACCCAAAGCACCTCGGGCTGGGCAAACTTCCCCGCATGGAATATAGGTCTGCTCACCCCTGTCTGGGGGTTTGTCGGTACGTATACACTATATAAGCGGAAGAAGTAAAAGACAGCAAGCTAAGCATCGCAGGCTTTGACGGCGCAGTACACATGAGTGAAGAAGTCCGTCGAGCAAAACAAGCAATTCCGAGATCTATCTTTTATACTGTTGTTGCTAACGGTATTCTGGCATACGCAATGGTCGTCTGTATGCTCTTCACGATGGGCTCGGTGGAGGAAGCGCAGAAATCAAGCTTCCCGATAATCGAGATCTGCCGGCAGGCAACTGGGTCCGTGAAAGCCGCCACTGCGATGGTCAGCGGGTTACTCGTAATCTCGCTATCGGTCAATCTGGCGAGTATTGCGTCTGTCTCGAGATTGACGTGGGCATGGGCTCGTGATGGAGCCCTTCCCCAGTGGTTTAGTCATGTATGTATGACCTGCGCCAGACAGTGCCATATAGAACGACGCAGGAGGTATTTGCTGACAACAGCAGATTGACCGCAAGCACAATGTGCCAATTCGTGCCGTCTGGCTCCCAGTAGTTATTGTCATGATGCTAGCATGTTTGAACATCGCCGACGGTGCTGCCTTTGGGGCGTTCGTTGCACTGGGGTCCATTGGCCTCTTTATGTCATATTTTATTGCAATTAGTTGCATGGTGCATAATCGGTTCCAGAAGCATGTAGCGCCTCTTGGAAACTGGAATATGGGAATTTGGGGACTTCCGGTTAATGTCTTCGCTTTGGTGTATACTGCCTGGGTTACAGTGTGGCTGGCATTCCCATCAACGTTACCGGTTACTGGTGAAAACATGAACTATGCGGCACCAATTTTTGGTGCCAGTACGTTATTTGCCTTTGTATACTGGTTTCTCAAGGGACGGACGCGCTGGGAGGGATTGAATAAGGAGGTTATTCGACTGGCTGTCGAAGGGGAGCACTTCAGTTGAAATGACTTGCTTTTATTGCTTGCGTTACACCATATGCGAACTTATAGATGAGACACCCATTATATTATCTGCCATGGATCATAACTAAGCAGTTAATTAAACGGAGATGGAGACTTTCCAAGTTAGTTGGATTTTCTATACGACAGACAGGCACTGGTTTATACTAGAAGGATCGTTCTATGAGTGATAGTATACAATAAACGTTTACCACATGTACAATAGAGAAAGATCTTATCAGAATAGTTAAAGACTTTATTCACAGACTGCAAGCCAAAATAACCAAACTCGAAAATAATCGAAGGGTATCTCTAATGCTCACGACCGAACAGAAGATCCATGTCAATCTCCACAAACCCTTGCTGAATCTCATTCAAGCGCGTCTGTGCAACTTCTCTAGCGGTTGCAAGAACGACAGCACTCGGGGCATCATATGGTCCATAGACCGGCATTGAGATGCACCGCGGAGTGTGACGATGGAGAGGCTTAAGGCTGACCTCGGCCTCACCGTTTTTAATTCGGCGAATCATAATTTGCATGAGCTTTTTGCTGGAATACGTTCTGTGTTTCTCGTGGAAATGCACTGTCACAAAGTAGACGCATTCATAGTCACTCATCTCCCAATCGGGAAGACCCGGACCCCCGAACCTATACCTGAACATAGCTGGTTGCATCATACTGAGGGTTTATTGGTACTCTCTGACCGTTGGTTGAACGTATATGTGGTTAAAGCTTGTTTAAATAGAAGACTAGAGACAGTCGTGATGAGATTTTAACCATGTTCTTTGATCACGGGCATTTAGAAGAAATACTGGTCTTTCATTTGAACAATAGCTTTGTCAAATTTTCGAATGCATTCTCTATGACAAAAACGGGTCCACTTTGTCTTTGTCTCTAAAATGCATCTACACATGTTCTACAATGGCCAAAGAAAGACGGAAAGTGTAAGTGTGGAAAAAAAAGAGTTCGCTGGTGTCATTCATCGTAAAAAGACCATGGGCGGGTGCCAGCATCACCCATAGCCAATTTTTGCAGAGCAAGCTCATGCTATGTACAAAGAAGGCACCGCCTTAAAGAGAGGAAGAAGGTAAAAAGTAGATCCAAAAGATCCTGGGAATCAGTAAAAGGCAAAAAATCCAAAAGTAGATCAGAGGCTCGAACTTAAGCCTTGATACAGTACTGATATCCGAGCCACAGATCCGAACACTTCTCATTGAGGCCAGGGTTCAAACTGCGGAGATCAGGGAAGGAGATTCCGACAGTTTCGGTCAACTTTTCGCAGAAATCACCGTCCATAACGGTGTAGTATTTCTGGCATGACGAGCTGGCATAGGGGTAGAGAGGGGCTGTTCCGGATGAGCTGGGGACTGCTGGTGCAGTTGTTGCGGCTGGCGCGGACTTGGTTGTCCAGGATGGGGTGGGGGTTGAGCTCTGCGCGGCCATGTGCACGTTCACGTTGGGGGTCCAGGTGGGGACAGGTGCCACGGAGGTGGTCTCAGATGCGGCGGACGATGTCTCGGCTGGCTGGGCGGCTTCGACAGGAGCGGAGGAGGCCTGGGTAGGTTCAGCAGCAACCGAGGAAGAGCTCTCGACAGGCTCAGCAGTCTCCGTAGGCTGCTCAGCAGCGGTTGAGGAAGAGGAGCTGCTCGAGTCGTCGTCGGCACTACCGAGGGCCGATCCCACGGCGCTAGTAAGGGTTCCAATGGTAGATTCGACACACTCGGTCACGTCACCAGCCCAACCGCGGACGCGGTTAGCGATGTCGGAGGCGTAGCAGTGGGTTGCGATGCCCTGACCGAGGTTGCCGGACGAGTCGATGGAGCCAGAGTTGTAGGTACGTGCGGCCTTGTAGTACTTGGCCGCTTCGCCGCCGGACTGGGCCTCGTAGCACTGCTTGAGACCGTCGCCCTGGCTGGTTCCAGCGGTGCCGTCTTGGATCATTTGCTTAATCATGGAGGACGGGCAGGGTGTTGTCTTGCTGCCGTCCTTGTTGCAGGAGCCCTCGCCAGCGTGGCTCTGCATGAGACCAGTGTTCTGGACACCGTTGTTGGTGGTGTGAACGCGAACGCAGCCCTTGCTTTCTTGCATAACAACTGCAAGAATGAATCGAGGATCAACGCCAGTTTCGCTGGCGACCGACTTGATGCTAGTGTTAATGTCGCTTGTTTCGTCATCAGAGTTGTCGCATGATGCGGCAATGAGAATTTGGTTGAGACCCCAGCTAATAATGTTTAGTTCGACGCTCTGCTTTTCTTTTCGGGTTGATCTACTCACAGAGTCTCGTACTCCGACCATTGGCTCATGGAAGGCCATCCGTCAGAGACCTCGCCAGTACCACCCATGACAGCATAGGTGGCAGCGGCGCGCCGGTGCAAAGAGTGATGGGGCTTCGCGCCATGAGGAATGGCTTGAATGAGGGTAGGCAGGCTGCCAGCAGCCAGGATCTATGTGTGCAATTAGCGATGGTTGCACGATTATGTCGCACTCGACCTGTGGTTCATGCGAAGTATAGACATACCAATGAAGGAAAGAACATTCTGATGGAGGGAATGAGGACGACGAAATCGAAGCGACAAAGAAACGATAAGGAACTGTGGAAGAAGCCCTGCTTGCACGGTCGAGGGAAAGAAAAAAGGAGACGGGGAACGAAAGTATATGTACTCACGGCTAGCTGTGTGCCCTTTGCCCTTCCTTTCTCGTTTGGTAAAGTGATCAGTCGAGGCCCGCAGCGGAATCGAATTACGTTCAGAGGTGGCTGTAAAAGTGGTCCAATAGCGGGCTCTGGGCCTTGCGCAGGAGGGTATAGTACCTGTAAGGGCTGAAACACCGCCCGAGAGGGGACCCGGCCGCCTGGTTATTGAGCCATTGGTCGGTTTCAGATGGCATTGAGCAGTGTGGGCGAACCTAGTTGGTCCTTCGAGTCAATGATAGCGTTCATCGGCGTTCATCACCCCGTTCGTGGGCTGGTGATTGGCCCTATGTGGGGAGGCTAGGATCATCCATGTGGAACTCCGGCGGAGTTCGTCCTTTTTTGCCTCCTCTTCTGGCCCTTCCGGGTGGCTGATCAAAGACAAGAGACTTTGAACATTGGGTTCCGGTTGGTTCTGCGTTGTGTGTTCCTGGATTTCTCCCCTGGTACCTGGATGATTCACCCGTCTCGGGTCCAGGGTTTCATTGCATGTGACGGGTATTCATGCATCTTGCACTTTATCACTTTATCACATTCGGGGTTGAACTCGACCGGGAAATAGATTGTTTTGGAGCTAAGGATGTGGGACCCCGTTTGTTCCACAAAATAAGACAAAGAGGCGAGGGAACATGGAGGGTTGCATTGAAATGGAATACCCGAGGCGCTGGTGGCTGATTGTGGCCTGCTTTCTCAGGCACTCCTACTCCGGAGGTCTCACTCGAACAAAGACCAATTTTCATTTTCATTTTCATTTTCATTTTCATTTTCATTTTTGTTGTACTGAGTAAATGATTATGGAATAGATTATCTCAATTGATTCTTCCAGCTTTATTAGGACCACTATATCGTTCATTATAGTTCTACCCGAGCTACAGCGTTCCGGCCCCATTAGCTTCACCTTTTTACGCTTGCAATGGCCACGTCCAACCCTGTAATTATTAATATACGAGTCACACTAAACGCGAACACGATGTCATAGTCAAGGTTATTCATAGCAGTGGGGACGCTCAGGCTCACCGGCAAAACAAAGTTCTTTTAACTGTGAACGCGTCCTTCTCCGCTTTGCCTAACCCACAGTAGAAGGTGAAAGAAGATCACCGTTATTCATTTCTTGATCTCTTTCACTTTTATCTCGGAAAGTTGATGTTGTACACCGCCGTAGGAGTACAACATACGTACTATTCGGCTAGTCATGGATCGACGAAGTATTAAAGAATGATTTTAGTCAGATGGACCGCCTCCGGTGCCCAGCCTTCATCGCAAATGTACCTTCGGACTTCCGAGGCTGGATCATGCAATTCGATGCAACATCTTGTGCAGAAGCTTGACAGTGATCGACAGACCGAGGACCTACCTAACCAGGAATCTAGGATATGAGGCCACCGGCCATCAGTGGTCTATGATCACTTTGTAGCACCTTCAGATTGGAACTACGATTGATCTCTTTGAAATCCCCTCCTATTAGTGGTGGTTGCTAACATGTCCAAATGTATGCCTTGGGTCGCTGACCAAGGCATCGCTGATAATGTAAACCTCAAAGGGCCCGCAATAGCCTGCAAGAAAGCCGTCAATACTTGTTTGGTCGGACTCACAAAAAGTACTCCTTAGTAATTTATATCCGAAAAATGTATTTGGCTAAGATATATTGACAAACAGCCACCTGATCTCCGAAATGAGTGCTGCCAGCTCTTGGCTTAGTCCGTTGTAGAAGATGTAAACGCCAAGACATGGCGAATACAGCTGGCATCCGACGCTGTTGGACAGCAATTGGAATGTTTGCATCCCAATGACTATTCTGTCCACGTGGTCACTCGTTGTACAAGAAGCTAATTGGCACTTTCGTTTTATTGCCCAATACGCTACGTGTTTATATCAAAACAGTCATATTGTGGGCTAATATTATCAAAGGATTAATCGATACGGGGTACTCCGTACATCGGAAGTATATGATACAATAGTGGCTTCAATCAAAGACTGTGGCTGAGATTGAGGCTGAGCAAGGTTGGGGCCCTTGCGCGCACTAAGAAGGCATTTGACCGAACGCCTATTAATAGTGACTAAATCACCGTTTTGAGGGCAGAGTACCATATATGCATCATATTTCTAAACCTGACATGAGGATTTCGGTAGATTCTATGTTGCCTGAAGTCTAACTGTGTCTCAAACGGGTGAAACAACCTTGTCGAGAGCCCTCGGATTAGTCCGAAATGATTAAAGCAGACCATGATTGATATGCAGAATATCAACAATAGTTTGCCCATGGACAATTTGGTCCACAAATCCCATCTATACTACTCCATACACGCAGCCGAAAACAATATATAAGCGAATATATATCTCAGGGGTGTCTTGTACCTCGTAGTCTCTCCTGAAGATCCAGGATCGTCACTTACACATTGTTAGACTTTACAGCCATCTTTCTCGATTCAAATAACGATCAGCCTGGACGGCCTTCTACTAACCAGCCCCTGAGAATCCAGCCCCTTTCACCCGTCTGCGATGGACGACGTAGAAAGGAGCGAGAAGCCTGGCATTATAAATACCTATAGAGATTGTCTCCGTACGGAGTACATATGTAGAGATTAGAATTCACTTGGTCCAATGATCGATTAGTATGCCATCTTTGTTAGGCAGTAGTCTGAGCCCTCTTCGGTTATAGCGATCTACTTCGGGTAGCGCAGGGCTCGCGCCCGTAGAGTTTGTACTTCATGCTGATATGAGTAGTATTTATCGGCATCGCACATGATATACAGGTCTATCCCGGCCTGTTCGCTATGTAGTCCAATGGTCAGAATTTACGTTAGAAAGACCTGCTGCATCACGATACAGTGGAACGTCTACTCCATACTTAATATTGAATCCCGTGCAGTACAATGACCTCCCCAAGTCGTATGACACCTACATATGTATTGTATTGCTTGGATTGAAGTGAATTTTGCGTTGACTGAGTAGATGATATATCCATGGGTAGCAAAATAAGGATCCAAGGCTCAGTGACGTATCCACCCGTGGACCTGCAGGTGCCCGCTTCCAACCAGAAGGGTTCGCCGACATACAAATTCGCAGCCGAGAGCTTAGCTATATACGGGAATCAGAATAAATATTGGAATGTAAGACGTTTCTTCTCCAACCCATAAGCCTGATCGCGAGCTTCCTGTCGTGATGTATGTTTTGTGGAAAGCTGTAGTTATCTGTGGGGCAACTTGGGTACATACTCTACAACACAAATGTACCATCTTGCACACCCAACGAACAAAACGTGCCTAAATTTTCTTCCCACAATAATACTGATTTTGAGTAGTGGTATCTCGAAGATTCCATGTTAGTTAAATCTCTGCGGCCTGTATCCAAAGGAATTGATCGGGAGCCACGGGATGTTGAATAATCTCAGTATCTGCTCGGCATCGGGGAGATAGTTAACCCGTTACTGTGGGTCCGAGATGAACTATGAGACGGATCCGGCATCCTGACGGTCTTTTCAGTTCAGCCATCAAGCAGTTTAAATAGTGTGGTTACGACGTTGATTTCTTTACTTTGACATCTCACAGAAAGTCCAAGCCGGATATGTTGTCCTTGAACATTCCGTCATACTCAAAGCCTTCGGGCTACCAGGTTTCTGAATTGCCTAAACCGGAGATCAGCGATCCAAAAGATGTGATCATCAAGGTTCACGCGGCGAGCATCAATCCAATCGACGTGAAGAAGGCTGACGGGATGTTGAAGCTGGCGTTAAAAGACACGTATGTGGGCCCATGTACATTGCGAGAAGCGTACCTGACATCAATAGCTTTCCATATAAGATCGGCTATGACTGTGCCGGTATAGTCACAGAGATTGGATCAGATGTGAACAAGTTTCAAGTCGGAGATGAAGTCTATACTAGACTACCGGAGATTTCTCGAGGTACGTATGTGCTGGCCCGACGATCATAGGATCCCACTGACATTCGAGTACTAGGGTCTTGCAGTGAATTTGTCCTATGTACAGAGAAATACATTGCCCTGAAGCCCCCGTCATTGTCGTTCGAGGATGCAGCTTCCATCCCTCTGGCAGCAATGACTGCACTTCAAGCACTCAGAAAATACAAAGGGGATCTAGCTGGAAAGACTGTCTTTGTGCCCGCTGGCCGTATGTTGCTTTTGTCCTACAAACTGTTGTGTATGAATCTAACATAATAAAAGTGAGTGGAACAGGTTTATTTGCATGCCAATTGGCAAAGAATGTCTTCCATGCAGGCAAGGTCATCACCACAGTCTCGACTTCAAAGGTGGAAAAAGTCAAGGAGCTCCTGGGCGAAGGAACGGTCGATGAGAGTAAGAACTCAAATTCCGCATGGACAACCACTTACTTACCCATTGATAGTAATTGACTACACAAAATCCGACCCAAGGAAGGTCATTGAGTCTCGCTCGGTGGACTTCCTCTTCGACACAGTTGGTTCTGCAATGGAGTATCTCTGCCTCATGAAACCACAATCTGGATGTATCGTGTCGGTTGCGACCATGCCATCAGGCAACCAGCTCCAGGAATCTTCAATTATGGATCTTCCCCAAAATCGTGGCATTCCGATCGCTCTACGAATGGGACTCAATGCTTTCGATTGTGTCCGTAAACTAAGGGCATGGCGGTATGGTGTTGAGTATTCCTATATGTTTCTGGAATCGAGCGGTCAAGATCTGGACAAATTGAGAAGTCATGTTGAAGAACACAGATTGCGAACGGTGGTTGGAAACACTGTTGAGCTTTCCGACATTGAAGCGGTGCGATCTGCGTGTCAAATTGTTTACAGTGGGAAGGGAGGTCTCGGGAAGGTGGTTGTCAAAGTTGCCCATTCGTAGTTTTTTCCAACTGATATAACTCAGAATGTACCTCTATCTGATATATAGCAAGTTCTATCACACTTAAGCAAGTATATACCACGCTACAAAAGAAATCGAATTCATTATCAACTAAATAGATGGCAGTCTTGGCTGAAATCATATGCAAGCCTATGAACAGATAAATACGCAAATCTTATCAGAGATTGGCCTTGGTGAGTTCCAACTCAGTCCATTCCCACAAGCGCTTCCTCATATCCTCATTGCATGCCCATTCGTTTCGACGCTTCAAAATTCCAACAGGCACATAATATCCTCCATTGCTGAGCTCTTCCTTCTTCGCCCCAACAGCAGCCCACAGCGAGTTACACGCGCCCTGCTGCACTGTCGAGCCAGATAAACGCAAAAGCTTAGAGCCCAAAGCAGCAAACAGAGACTGTGAATTCAAAGAGTCATACAAATTCGTTACAATAATACCTGGATGAACAGCCACCGACGTGATTGACGGGTATCGCCTGCTAAGTTCCGCGGCGAAGAGAATATTGGCAGCCTTCGACGCTCCATACCGAGCAGTCGTGCTAACCTTCTTAAGCTTCTCTTGATCCAAGATTTTCTCAAATGCCGGCGCGAAATTATGCCCCACAGAAGCGAGCGACACGACGCGGACATCCGAGTCAGGCTCCTCGGCCGTCTTGAGCAGTGTCGGCAACAGCAATTTGGTGAGATAAAAGTGCCCGGTATGGTTTGTGCCGAGCTGAATCTCGTGGCCCATTTCAGTTTCACCAGGGGGCAGAGCCATCACACCCGCATTGAGGATTAGGACGTCGAGACGGGACGACTGGGCGTTTACTTGCTCCGCTGCGTTCTTGATCGATTTGCCTGACATCAAGTCCAACGGTATCCATACAACTTCGACATCATTTGAAACGGATGATTTCACCGACTTGATGGCTTCCTCTGCCTTTACTTCTGACCGCGCGGCGAGGAAGATCTTCTTCGGATTGTGCTTGGCCAACTGGAGGACTGTTTCTCTGCCTAATCCTGCATTCCTGTGGGATTATATAGCGTTAGATGAGGAGTTAAAACACCGTTGGTATATGATTCAACCCACCGCCGGTTACCAAGATGACCTTCCCGCTCAGGGCTGGGATATCGGTTTCTGGCGTGAAGCTTACTGCACCCGCATAGTTGAGTGCGTCCATAGCAGCTACCACCCATCCGGACATATCCATGAGGGGTGAGAATTATTGGACCTTAGGTTGCGTTCGGCGTTGAATTGGTTAATAGCCGATGCTCGCACTAACAAATGTACCGGAGTGCGAAGCGGCATAAGGGGTTGGAAGCCTGACTTTTCGGGTTTGATGCCTGAATTAACGAAATATGCCCTAACTCAACTATCTGAGACCAGAGATATTAGAACGCTTGAATTGCTATGACAGAGACGTACTATACATGCATCCCCCGACTGACGAAGTACTCAAAATCTGAGCAAAGTATGAGCAGGATGTAAGTGACATCCGAAAGTTGAACCCAATGCACCTCCAAGGTTGAGGTTCAGATGTCTATCTTTGATCTTTCTCTTTTCGACACCTCACCAACGTCTGACCTTTCGCTCCTTTCCCTCTCTCAAATACCAACCGTCAACATCCTCACTATCATTCATCGCATCCTGACCTCCTCCCAGCAATGGGGGGTTATCAGCGTCAACCGAATGACGCTACTGAGTGAGACGCTGCAAAGGTACGTCTACATTTGGAGCACTTGGATAGTATGTGCATTCTCTTTATTTAGGCTTATGCCTCTCATGTCTCTTTGTTTTTGCTTCTGTTGTCGTGCATCTTGGGCTTGGAACTGCCTGCCTAATAGCATTCATAATGCTATACCACTCCACAATATTTCTTTGATATATGACCACCGGCTACGACTTCCACCACCGCCACTAACCTACGTCCCTCAGTCCTGCCCTTGCCTTACAGTTTACACAGAATGGTCAAATTCGGTGACAGCCGCAGCAGAAGCCCAGAACAAGGTCCCGCATTAGGACTTCGATAGCGCTGACCTCCCAATGAGATTCTTTGCGCAGCCACCGGTATCCATGTTCCTACACCACCACCAAAGGCTAGGGAAGCTGCAAACTTCGTGGAGGCGATCCGACGCTCGAAGGGCTAGGGGGTCTTGCAGCTCTATCGTCGCAGGGAATTCCTCCCTGCGCCTTTTTTTCCTTCTAATTGGACTCCGGCGGTGTTCGAATGGGCTGCGTGCAAGCGCCGCACTGGAGATTTCGAGCGCAAGCGGCTTATCCTCGAGTCTCTCCAGGAGGTTGAAATGTTCCTCCGCGGCTGCCCTGTGGATAAAGTGTTCTCTGGCCACACTGTTGTCCTGTCATCCTACAACAACTGGGTGAAGATGTCAGTGCGGAATGCTATGACTGCGAACCCTGTCACAAAGGGAAGTCCAAAAAGATCGTCTCTCGTGAAAAACAGGCCAGGGTTACAAGAGTAGGCCAGCTGGTGAAGCCTACACCTGGGCCGCACGTACCACTACCGAGATTGACGAAGATGGCAACGCTACGAACCGCTCCCGTAAAACCGTGCAGAAGGCGATCGACCCGGTGGCTATCGACCTCACACTTTCGACCATATGTGGTCGCAGATTCTACGATTTTACTTTCCGCTTGAAAGCATCCCGAATTCCCGTACTACGGTGTGATTAAGTTCCAGGACGATGATCGACTGATCATCCCTCCATCCGATAGACGTTTGTCGGACGCCCTAGCTTTTCTCATCGCAGGACACGACGTTGTCCCCCAGCGGAGCCGGTACGGGAAGTGGCCGGCCGATTTCAACTCAGACGGAGACATACATCCAGACCGATGGCCCATGGGGGCCCCAGTCGTCGTGTGGGCGTTTGGTTTGCCATTTACCGCCGTTTACCGCGATTACTACGCCATGGTTGGATCCCGCTTGCGCAAATACATTTGGCTTGTGACAAAGAAAACTAGTGGCGACGCTCTGAGACACATAGGATTTCACTTCGGAGAGATCGTGGCCCCACGCGACAAGTTGCCAGCCGTCATCGATCAGAAAACAACGCTACACATCAACGCCGAGAACTACGACTGGACACACTTCAAGGAAATTCCAAGCATATGCTGCGTTTCCCAGGACCTGACTGAAGCGGAAGGTCATAGCCTGCAGCGAGAGCCGTACACCGCTGAGGACACCCAAGCTCGCACTAATATCGAGGTCACCAACATCCGTGACGACAAGATCGTCAAAGCCTTAATCGTTGAACGCAAGGCTCCGAGGTCTGCTACTGCAACTATGACGCAGTGGAAGAAGCAAATGATCACCATAATCGCCATCTTTATGGCGTGGCAGCCATTGGGCGTGAAACCCGTTTCTTCGAATTGCCTGCAGGGTCTGAGGAGCTAAAAGACTTTGTTGGAGATCCGTGAATTCCGAAGCGAAAATGAACAAGTACGGCCTGTTTTCGTTCATCTGGCAGAGTCCATCAGGAGCTCCTCGGCCGACGTTCAACATTGCTGCATTTTGTGGGTGTGATGGAAGACAAATACACGTCTGGGATGATTACTATGGAATCCAAGCTGGGCGGCATTACACGTGCATATATTTAGAAGAGTGTCTGAAACGCAAAATATGCTATCGCAGCAATGATTGATGTGGAATACCCATTTCTTGTCTCATCAGCAACCTCTCGAATCAGCTCCACATCTTCGCTAGCCGTCAGTTCCAAAGACGCTTCGGCAAAGAATGACGTTGTAACAGGAACATATTCCAGTGTCGCGGTTTCGGAAGGCACCAAGAGGGTTGATGAAATTACTAAATCTCGGACATGGGATGGTGACCTTCCTGGTAAGATGCAAACTCTTAGTTATGTTCGTACTAAAAGAAATTTCAGAGTACAGTTACTAACAAAGACGGAGTAGGGCGAGTTCGACCTAGTTGATCAGCCGTGTTGTGACAACCACTTCATATGTACGGGCTATTCTTCTGTCCATGGCCCCCCAAATGGCGCTTTTGTGTGCTTGTGCAGCACCATAGGTATCCACCACTGACACCTCCCACTATATGATATATCTTGAAGCTGACTCGTTTAATAGGCCGTGTACACCGCCAACGTAAGGAGCTGAAAAAGAAGAAGGATTTCACCATTTACGGCATAGCATCAAATGGGTATACCTTCGTCCTCCTAAAGATCGACAATGATTCGAAGCCAAGCAGCCATGCGGAAAGCAACAAACCTCAGATGAGTCCGCAATCTAGAGACACAGGCATCATTGTCGGCTCTGATATCCCGCGAAGCTCTGCTTCCCTTACTCAGCAGAGACAAAACAGCAGTTGCTTGACCGGTGATGGAGTAGGTCAAGGGCCAATCAAACAAAGACTATCCCTGACCTTGAGTTCTGCCCAACTATCCAATCTCTTTCACCATTCTTCCCCTACGAGAGTCAACAACTTTTCCTACGACGCCCACAATAACGACGCAAGCCAGCAATGGTCAAAAAGGACTGTTGATTACGAACTTGTACCCCGAAACCTACATCGGGACGAGTCTACGTAGGTGATGAGAACGGCATAGCCGCTTCCAACGATCGGCGGGGCTGGTTGTTGGAGCGGTGCTAGAGGCCCAGTCAAATACACGCATAAGCTCAGGGCTAGGGGGGAAAGTGGAAGTTCCCTGGGTAACCTCACCGGATTTATAGGCCCAAGGTGGATCGACAGTTGTCGTACTGTCTGCGTGAAATCGAAGGCAAACTCGTTCTGCTCCTTCCCGTTCTCGTTCTGTGCTTTCCCTCTTTTCCCCTCCTCTTTTCCCTTTTTTCGTTTCCTTCTCTCTTTTCCCTCGTCAGAATAACCACGAAGAAGCTATCAAGATGTCCACCACGACAGCAATAAGCCCGACAACATCAACCGCCTGTAATAGCAGCACTACCACTACTAGTACAAGTGGTGGCAGCTCAACCTCGAACTGGCTGACTGACCATGAGAACGACAAAGGCCACCCCAGCCGAATCCGCGTCCAGGTGACGCTACAACCGCGTTGTCCAGTTGCTGCGTGATAACGTCTACGGGCTGGCCAGCTTGCTCTACGGAGGGGCGACGGAGGCCCAGACACCTCTTCAGCACGCAGGATGGCGAGATGCGGTCGATGGATTAGGCGACGTACTGGCAACTCTGCCACATTGTATTCCACCCGCTGTTCGGCCCATTGCTCTAGCGCTTCACGTTGAATGTGAGAGACGACTAGCGCACTTTGACGTTAGTTTGCCGTTAATCATACTTGTGCTTTAAGTCAAATTTCTTCCATGTCTACAACTCGTAGACTGTCTCTCTTTTTTCCCACAGGCTGTCTAGAGCAATGAGCAATGAGAAAGTCTGACTAAATTACTCCAAGTGAGTAAAGTCTGAGAATATGTGGTGCTGAGAGGATGCTGATGGCCACCCCAGACCAGACTCAAGTCAATTTGAGATTGTCTTCGCTCTTTCTTTTCTCTTACCTTTTTCAAAGTCAGCTACGTCTGAGATCTTACTTCTCTTCTTTTCCCTCCTTCATCCCCCATCCTTTCTTTTAATCTCTTCCCCAACTCCTATTAAACCTCACTCATCTCTTCACTTACCATCTCTTCACCATCTCAACTTAACCTCCTCAACTTCACCCTCCCAACTTCACCCACCACAAACATTACCTAACACATACATCAATATGGCAACCTCAGTTGCCCTCGGCCTTGGAGGTTGGAGCCTCCGTAAACTGTGGGACTCTTACGACCAAAACAGTCCAAAGGTGAGTCTGCATTGGAATACTGTGGGCATTTTGCTTAGCCAGGTTCACGCCTCCTATGTGTTTTTGTTTGGCTTCAGTTGCTGTGCATCTTGGGACTCGAGCTGCCTGTATCTGGTGGCACACACAATGCTATGCCACCTATACACAATATCTCTGTGAGACTCGACCGGTGACTAACATGATATATGGATATCTCTAGGAAGCACCAGTCTATTGCTACACTGGCGGAGGTACCAGCCATGGTACTTTGAGATACCCATTCACTGTCCTTTTTGGGCTCAGGAATGGCACAATGACTTTCCAGGTAGGATGCACATCCTTGGCCATGTTTACAGGAAGATACGGACTTTCCTATGAGCGAGTGCTAAAGATCGAGTGAGTAGAGACGGGATGTCCCAATGGAGAACGCCCAGCCGCATACCCGGCACTCCTACCCACAACCCGGGGATTCCCCGGTCTACCGTCCACCTGTGCCCCACGCACCCCGTGCCCTAAGAGCAACGAGCCCGGCACTTCCACTGCTTGTTCCCCCGAGTGAAGCGTCTCGATCAACTACTCCGTCACATGAATTGAAGCTGAAGATCCACGTGACTAGCAGCAAATTGGTGGCCCCTTCGACCTTCCTGTGCGACCACTGAGCACAGTTGGTAAGTTTAAGTACTTCCAAGCTAGTGCAATAGAACTTGAATGCTAATATAGAGCGAGCTTTAATAGTGGAAAGAGAAAGAGTCCAAAGAATGGGGATGGACAAGTATCTTGTCATACAAATCTTACTTTTTATTGCGGCCATTGATACCCGTTGTGAGAGTAGTAACTGATATTGCTCAGTGAAATCTGATTGAAAGATGAAAGGGAACTGAGATCCCATTAGCTCACTCTGTAGTTTCGCCTACCTTGCGTCCTGGATTCCCAAACTATAAACGAGAAGCAACGCCGGATGGGCAACGAACGAATCACCAGGTGACTATCCCAATGTCATGAACATTATATCCGTTCCCGGAGCCTCAAGTCCGGATTTTGGCCTTCATTCCCTTGCCCTGACGGTAGCGGCAATCTCATTTTCGCAATCGAGGACGGCATATACAGAGCACATGGGAGGCGCAGAAGACTCTAGCAGAATTCCTACGCGAGCCGCGATCTCGGCCCAAAATGCACGGGGCCATTGTTGGACGGGTCCTGTGTTGTTCTAAACGGCCAGGCCGGCAGCCATGGTATCGGCGGCGGTGTTTTCGTTGCTGCGTGGATGGCAAGGCGTCTGGATTGTCCTATGTTCATTGTTTGTGATGGCTGTGGTTGTTGAGGAGGGAGAAGAGTACAAAAAAGATGGGACTGACTTCGCTGCTGTTAAGACTCCGATAGACGGCCAGAGCGAACTACATCAGAGTTGCCGGAAAAATGCTCTTGGCCTGTTCTACGTGTTCTGCAACAATTCATTGCCTGGTCAAAGGATCTGAAGAAGGATCGAATCTTCGTTATCCTCGAGCAGAATTCCAAGCTCGATGACGACGACGAAAAGCTTTTGAACATCGCAGATCCTGTCAGCAAGTTTCCTATAGCCTAGATACAATTTTCCGGGCCTAGAGCCGAGTCAGAGTATATCGAGAATACTCAACAATTCCTGGACAGGTTTATCCCCTGACGCTACAGCAAGATCGTCAAAATTTTGGATTGCGAAGCTGGAGCACATTGGAACTCCATATTGGAGTCCAGTAGACCTCCTTGGGTTATTCTTATCCAAGATGGGTCCCGCACCTCAAGGCACAACGAATATTTCTTTTTTTCTCCCCTTGACGGCAATGTATGGGAGATGGGCGAGTAAACTGGTAGACGGAAAAGATGCCTTTATGTACAACTGTTTATGGCTAGAGATCCAAAATCAGCAATCCAGATTTTTCTTGGGCGTCTCAATGACAGGAGACAATGTCAAACCAGAGTTAACTGGCCGCTGGGGGCTGATTCTGAGACAAGCGAGATACAGACTCGTTCCAGGGTGGATACCTCTCGCTACACGGATGGTCATAGCAGAAAACCCCGGCGAGTGAGCGATGACTCCCTGGAAGGGCTTGAGGTTTCCTCTGGGGAAAGCAAGGATAATGGGAACTACAGGGTTGCCTGGGCTCTCCGCCAGCTAGTGCAGCAATTCGACGCTTTCAACAAGCCCGGTGCCGAAGACCACGGTACCTCAGTTTGCATATCATCGATCATGATTCTCACGGCGCTCAAAAGTGGGCTTGGAAACTTCCGTGGCTAGAGCTACAAAGCCTGAGCTAGCGAACATGAGCCTATCGACAGCAGTGCGAGCAAGAAGTCGAAGAACGGGATATGAAGAGGCGCAAGGCCCAAAAAAGGCCCATATCGCGGCGCCGAGGACAGCGGTCCCTCAGAATTCCAGCCGCAAGAACGCACGTCGACGAGGTGGAGGAAAGGTTGATCAGAACACACCACCTGGCTCTCGGACAACCCTACTCCTTTCTCATCACGGTGTAATCCCCAGGAAGTTTCTCAAACCGCGACTCTTGTTTTCCGTGTTCTATGGGTGTTGAAGTGCTGGTAGTGGGTTATGTTATCGTTCTCTTTGACCAAATGGCATATGTCGAGGATGCATATTACACGACATAGCCACTACAGTCAAAGCCAGCCGGCGAGGAGAGTCGCCCACAAACCTTTCCCGCCAGTGAAGAGGAAACCAGATAGGCTCACGCCAGTCGATTGGCCTAGAGTTTGGCAAAACGCCGAGCAAACAGAACGAAGGCTTGGTACAAAGACGCGGTCGACAATCTAAACCCCTCCGACTTAGCATATGACCCTGCTGACGAACCCAATTACGCTGAAATTATCGTCAAGTACACCGTCGACGCCCGGGCCAAGATAGCCCACGAGAGAGAAAATGGGAAGACATTGGGATCGACAACCGTCCCATATGGGACATCAACAGCTTGGAGGATACCGCGAACCCGCCGGAGGAAGTCAAATCGAATCCTTCCACCTATACGATAGCCAAAGCACCACTTTGTGTCCATTCATCCAACCACCACACTGCCTGGGTCGAACCCCCGAACGGAGCCAGGCTGTCTGATGAAGACGTCTATCTTGCCTCTAAACATGTCACAGCTGCCGAACGCGGCCGGATGTATCCTGTCGATTTTGACTGGAACGGCCATATAAGAGCGGCACGGACCCCCTAGGACCCTGCACCTTTGGCATGGGCACATGGCCTCCCCTTTATCTATATCACCAGAGGCGGTATCCCCCTCGTTGGTAGGACACACGCAGCCAAGCTTGGACAGCTAACCATAAAGAATGACACCGCGGTCAAGAAAGATTCACCACAATTCTCTATCGGGGCCGTCGTGTCAGATGAGCAGCGCGTATGAGGAAGTTATGATTCGCTATTTGCTCGCACAACCGATTCAATACATGAAAGACCTCAGTTGTATGTGTGGATTCATCATCAACTACCCTGAGACGACATTCCTTGGACAGGTGTCCATTGGAGGCAGATGGGCCGTCGATTATTCTCCAGTGGCCTCCACCTCCAATATCAAGACGGACATTAATGTCGCAGTCAAATGGGCCTCAATCTACACCCCGTTTAACCGTTCATCGGCGCATATTGCCCGCGTTGAGGTTTATGAACTCTGCGCTTCTGCTTGTCTCGCGGTTGTAGGGTCTTCATTGAGTGTCCTATCAGAGAACCCAAAGAAAAAGGCTTTCGCGACTAGCCACACATAGGTGATCCTGAAGGAAGGACTTCAAGTGGATGTCGAGGTTAAGAGCGAGTTTACTCGCAAGCGAAAGCGCCATTCAACTAATAGTCAACCCTCCTGTCATCCCCAATCCAAGGTGGCAAACAACGCGATCGGTGGGTTATACCGTGGCTACTACCTACAAAATTCCCTCTATGGCGGCATTTTATCTCTCGATCAGCTTAGAGCTCTTGCTACCCCTAAGCCATGACACGGACATCCACTAGGTGCAATTCGACGAGGGATCGCCGTGTTGGGAAGTTCCCGCTGTCTTACACTCGACCGTGCCACAATCAATAACTTGGCCAAGCTACGTGATTTGTACCTCGATGATGAAAGCCTTATCCATCCAAACCTCGTTTAACTCTACCGTAATCCTCCAGCAGGTGGTAAGAGAAAGAGGACAGACGAAGAAACGGACCATGAGGCTGACCATCATGACGAGAAAAAGCCCAAGATCGCCACCGACGCAGACAATAACAGAACCGTTCAGGTCGTCGACAAATTCTCGGGATACTCGTCACTTTCACGCTCAACCTATGATTTCGGACACCGTTCAGAGTTTTGTACTCAAGTACAGAATGGGAAAAAAGGGCAAGAAGAAATCGGCAGTAAGAGAGACGATAGTGGCCAACCTGACAACCTCCTCAGTCCATGGAGAAATGGAGGAAGAAGAAGAAGAGTATAGGCAGTTGGAGCGGCAACAAGTTCTCTTGGGAATTAGGCCATGAATTATGGGACATCGGGACTGCCGAGATGCAAGGATAACTGGGATGGGATGACGCTAACAAACGAAGGAACGAGCGGGTGGGTGCTTGCATACAGAACAGGGGATTGAGCAATTGCCTAGTCGGACTCATTTGTTATGCCAGCTCCCGCTGGCAAACGGGAAGAAGAGATATATCTATTAGCTAGTTGCCAGGCCTAACCTCTCTTCTCCATTAATGGTATTTCACTTACTTCTCGCCAACTCCCAAGTTTGAGTAGGTACGACATCTCGTGCGGTAAATCCCTTCACTTGTCATCCACGGGCTCAGTTTGTCGTCTTTGATATGCTTGTGTGGCGCGCGGCCATGTCCCGGGCCGATTTCTTTGTCAAGAATCACGGTGATCGTGATATCTCATCCGACGAGCTCCCCGCCGCTTCTGAACGAAATTGCCCACTGACAGAAAACTTCTTAAGGATGTTGCTCGGCACTTTACCCACCTCCGTGGCACCAGTCAGTCCGTATTGGAACGTCCAGCAGAACCTCGGTATGCGCACTTCTTCATAACCCTTTCGGCTGCCAATCTCTACTCAAATGACCTTATGCGTATCTCAGACCCAACTCTTATTGCCATCTCAGGACAACTGATGTGCCGAGTGGTGGTGTACGCAATATCTATAGAGTTGGCTATGCTGTACTGAAAGTCTCATGCATAATTGCCAATTCAAGAGGGTTGCTCCACGTTGAATTGGCAGTTCATGCATGAGCCTTTGAGTACAATATGGCCCACTCTATGGGTATTGCGAGACACTGCCACTCGGTGCCTGCGCACTGGACCTATATCAGACTTATAATCCCAATTTTCAGTCGGATCCCACACTCATCCCTTCCCACGAGGAGAAGGATTATGGGGCCGCTTTGAAACACTCATAGGAGATCGGGATGGACGACCAGTCTCCTGCCACTCTTACTCCTCCCACGAGTCAGCAGCCTGGTCGTCTATCCCGATCTTCTGTGAGCGTCCGGAAGCTCCCCATAATCCTTCTCCTTCTGACAGTACTGTCCCCACTCCTCTTCGTAGGAGGTCCAATTCTGGTGGTATTCTACCTATTACTTCTCCGTCCTCCCTGGCTGCTGATAGTTCGCAACCATTCACCCCAGCGTGCATCCTCCCAAGCGCATGCCTCGCAGCCCTCCGGATGTTAGTCAAGTGATGACTTTCTAGGTAGAATGCGCAACCTTGACCATGTTTACAGGAATATACAGTCTTTCCTATGGGCGAGTGCTAAAGATCGAGTGGCGACGGACTACCACCATCGAAGAAAGCAAGCGACGTTTGCGACTCCTATCCGCAACCAGGGGACTCCCTTGTTTACCGTCCACCGGCGCCTCTCACACCGCGCGCGCCAATCACGCAGTCACCAGAGACTGCTATGCCCTTGTACCTTCCTGCCTGGTCTCAGAAATGGACCCATGATCGAAGCTCGTCTCATTGCTTACGACGAGGGAGATAACTACGTTCTTTACAATGTGCGAACCAAAAAGATCGCTCGTTCTCGCAATGTCATTTTCAACAAGAACCCAGCTCCAAAGGATCTACCGGATCCTACTTACGATCTCAACATTGCTGGTTTGAATCCACAAACTGAAGCTGCTCAGCAGCCTCTCTCTGATCGTCATGTCCCCGTTGATTTTCTCAATGAATACAACTAGGTAGGATACACATCCTTTGTTATGTCTAGAGGAAGATACAGTCTTTCCTACGAGCGAGTGCTAAAGATTGAGTAGCGACGGGCTGCGGCCATCGAAGGCCAGCCGGATTCCCGCCATACCTATCCACAACCTAGGGACTCCCCATTCTACCGCCCACCGGTGCCACTTGCACCCCGCGCCCTAAGAGCTACGAGCTCGGCAGTTCTGCTGCTCGTTCCCTCGCGCGAATCGTCTCTATCGACTCCTCCATTGCAGAAGCCGAAGCTGGAAATTCACGCGACTAACGACTCATCGGTGGCCCCGTTCACCTTCCTATTTGACCACGGCTATTCATCATGCGAATCGCAGCTCCGCTGGACATGGTGAACCTCAATTGCGTACCCCAATGTCGGCTCAACCACCCAATAACAACCTGATTGAGATATCTCCCACTTTGGAGTCGTTTTCCTCCTGTTTTCAAGTGAGCTTTCGCAGCAGATTCAGTGCTGTTTTTTTGCGGTATCTCTTTGTTAGAGTACCGTACTTTATTGAGCTATATCTAGCTCTCAGCTGTCTCTCACTTTTTGTCTACAAAATGAGCTTTTTGCAGTATCTCTTTGTTGGAGTGCTGTAATTTGTTGTTATTCGGACTCTCGGTAGTCATGATTTGCAATTTCTTACTTTTCGATCCGCCCTACCGCTATGAACAACCGCCTGCGGTTGCAAACACGGCTGCCGCTGCGAATATCAACGCAAATGTCGACACCGAGCCACTTGGGCCCACCTCTGCGCCGGATACTGGCTCAATGCATCCGTGGTTATCCAGCCTCGATACTCCAGGTAATCTAGACGACGATGCTGAATCGTTTGGATCCGATATTCCTTACGAGGGCAAATCCCAGGAGCTATCGCAATCGACTGGTACCGTACAAAATGGACCTGGAATGACTTCCCAAGCCCCAAAGAGACACCGAGATGAGTCCGTTTCCAGCAAACCTGGAAACAAGCGCACAACAATATCCATAACGGGCTTCTACTCTTCCAGGCCAACATCTCTGCGATGGTCACCTTCCAACGTTGAATTTCAACTTCCGACTGTGGACCAAGCTTGCGAACAACCATGAGATGCCGCAACCAAAATGCCTGCTAGACTTATGTTGCGTGACGCTCACCACCTGCCTATGGCAATTTATACCGATAAGGATTCGACCAAGACGAAGCCATCATATTCGAACAGTTTTCCCTCCGAAGGAAGATGCAATTCGGATGCGATGAGATTGTACACGACAATCCATCTAACCCGGGAAATCAAACGGGGCAAGTTCTCACCATTGCGGAGATGGCAGAGAAGCAACAACGATATCTCAATCGCACAATATTCAACGTCGCACATGAATCCGCTAATTCGGAGAATGAAATCGACCACGGGGTACATCCGAACAGTCTCTCATGGTGGTTTGCAGAGCCATACGATTTATGAGCCAAACCTCCCACACCTCCTCGACGTAGGCAACCCTCCGAAAAAGCCCAGTCAAAGAAAGATCGACCGGATTCCGACCGATAGCTGAAAACCGTGCTACCTGTTTCCGGATGAGGCGTTCTCGACGCCGTGCAAAACGGGCGAAGGACTACGTTACCGGAGAGACTGAGCGCACCTAGCACAGCAGAGTTCACATAGGAGCTCAAGATCTGTGACAAGCCATGGACCGCCAAGACATACTCTTGATACTCTCGATTGGAAGAGGATCAAGCGCCCGGACTCCCTGTTTACCGTCCACCGTGGACGGTATCGAGGAAGTGCGCGGCCAAGCCCGGAAGCGGGCCATTATTGAGCAACATGTATGATCCGAGAGTCCTAGGAGAACATTATCACTAGCGATTTGATTAACAATATAATTGAACTAAGTAAATGACGGAGACGAATTCCCTACAATGTCCACTTGACAAGTAAGCAAGCTCCCCTTCCACTGCACTGCCATTCTATACTGCCTTACAGACTTAAAGAATACGTTTGCTGGTATCGCAGGATGCAGGAGAGATCTACTTGACGTTGGCCGAATATACACAGGCATACATTGAGTATCTCTAAGCAACAGAGAGCGGGGACCAGGAGCCCACTTCGTTTCTTAAAATACGAGAAAACGGGCCCTAGTGTATTAATAAGGCCCGGGATATAAGCCATTTTACTAGAAGTCAGAGACCAGATTATCTAGGAGCGTAGAAGAGCCTATATACTATAAGAAGTAAGGTAGATTCTATCTCGCTATGTTCTTCCAAAGCCACGCAAGTGACTGATTCACCTCGATTTGTGCTCCACCTCAGCGTGATCTATAACTGTGACCTGACAGGTCGATATACTTCTCATGACATCAGGGTCGAACGAATGGGTCCGTCCACGGGTGGATTGCTTTATTATATGATTATGCGGCGACTTCATTGCCGTGTCAGATCAACACCATGAAGAAGTCGTTTGATTTTCCAGAGAGATATCATCGCATCAATACCAAGCTTATCCTCTGGTCTGAAGAACAGTGCAGTGTGTTGGAACTGAGCGTGGGATTCACGGAGTCTGTTGATATCAGATTCAGAAAAGAGCACTGGCAGATCAAACACAGGCACCTTCGATCCAGTTTGCGGGAGAAGCACCGAGTCCAAAGAGACACTCGATGAAGACGCAGAACCAGCAGCCGCAGAATTCTTCGCGCCAAGAAGCAGGACTCCGCCACATTCCATCCGATCGAATGACTCCAGACTTCCTAGAGCCTCCTTTAGCGCATCATCCGAGTACTCGGGTAGATCCAGAGCCCTCCAGACACCGTTGGAGGTGCCAACGCGCTTGTACTTCTCCAGTACTGCACCCAGCTTCTTGACAACGAAACCCCTCATACTCCGCAAGGTAAGTTCCGGCATATCCTCCGACCAGATGATCTTTTTCTCTTCGTGCGCTGTCACAGGGCCCTGGGGATGCTTCCAACGGAACGGCAACAACCGCATAATCGATGACTTTTTCCCGCCCTTCTTTGATACGGATAGTGGCACTGAAATAGATCGAAGAAGTGGAAGAAGCTCAGCAATGCGAAGCACGAGCTGGCGTCCAGTCTGTTTATTTGGGGATGTTGGAATTGGTGATTCGTCCAAGGGATCCTCTTCTTGGCCTTGTATCCCCGTCGCTAAACTTTCATGTTGGCTTGGAATCGTTGGCTTTGATGTTGAGCCGAGGTTCTTGGTCTTATCGCTTTGCAGCGAGTCTTGCAGCAGACCGACAGGCATCATATAGAGCTTGTCTGAATCTGGTTGCCTAACAAGGCCCCAAGTCCCCAGTAGGGCTGACGGCAGTCGAGCACCAGTTACAGAGCACATGCGTGGCGGCGAAGCCAGCATTAGGGCCCACGGGTTCTTGAGCAGGTCGGCTTCCTCCTGTTTCGTGGGGCGTCTCTTGCGATTCTTTTCAGCCCCAGGGCGAGAACGCGTGAGGAGAGGAGACTGTGGAAGTCGCTGCGAAGGAGGTACGGTGTCCGGACTCGAATTGCCTTTGTTTGTCTCCAACATGGCTTCATTGGGCTGGTCTGTTTGTCGCGAGGTCGAGATACCCCGACTGACAGCCTGGGCATGTGAAGTCGCTAGCAATTGTCGGAACGCATTCAGGCGCCATTTTGCGTACGGGATGCGCGTGCCCACGCACTCCATTGCTTGGACGGTTGGGGGAATAGAGCTGATGGTGAGTTGAGTTCAGTTCAGGGCGGAAAAGATGATCTTGGAGCAGTTGCAGGAGCCAATCGGAGCCCCTTATTTGCGGAGCAGTTGTTGATAGAACAGTAATTGCCGAATAGCGGTACAGGGGATGAGAAGACCTAATTGAGTCCTCAGGTAATATGTATACCAAAGTTTTCTCCCAGAAGCGTCCTACTCCCCAAAGAGAGTTGGTCCTGGAAGATCTTCACTGGCATTGCCGCCGCGTTCACCTGAGCTCCTTATCTTAGCGCCGTTCTTATCGTATCAGACCGTTCACCGTCCATCTCCCGACTCTGCAGGTCCAACTCCATACAACTACAAATCGCTTTTGCATAATTTTGAAGATGCTTTCAAGAGCTCCTATACGCCAGTTAGGGCGGTCTATCCAAAATTCCCCTGTTGCCGTCGCCCGGCCCTCCGCCAGAGTCGCACGATGCTTCTCGAGCCAAGGACCCTCGCTTGCGCAGCCCCCGCGGAGTTGGACACCGACGCCATTCGTCACAGAGACAGTGGTATGTCTTATGCCACCTGTGCTCAAGAAAATACTCAATGCGCATATGCTAATTACATCGAACAGGGAGGCAGCTGGCACACTTGTATGTTGCGCAATTGCATCCGTCGACGAAGCCTGAATATGACCCGAAATATGATCAACATGCTAACCGGTACCGCGCACTGCAGATGACATATTCTCTCGATTAATGAAGGTAACAAGAACACAAGATGATACTCTCTCCGCAACCAATCCGTGCTAATCAAACCCCAGGAACGCATCATCTGCCTAAACGGCCAAGTCGACGACACCCTCTCCGCATCGATAGTCGCGCAACTCCTCTTCCTCGAAGCCGATAACCCTTCCAAACCAATCCATCTCTACATCAACTCCCCAGGAGGCTCAGTAACAGCAGGTACGTGACCCCGCTCCAATGGATATCCCGTCCTACCTAACAACCAATCCCACAGGCCTCGCGATCTACGACACAATGACATATATCGCCTCGCCCGTGAGCACGATCTGCGTTGGCCAAGCCGCCTCGATGGGCTCTCTCCTTCTTGCCGGCGGCGAAGCAGGCAAGCGCTACTGTCTCCCGCACTCCTCGATCATGGTGCACCAGCCTTCGGGCGGTTACTTCGGACAGGCGTCCGACATTGCTATCCATGCGAAAGAGATTCTGCGCGTGCGCACTCAGCTCAATGAGATCTACCAACGCCACCTTACTAGCAAGAAGAAGTTGTCCCTCGATGATATTGAGAAGCTTATGGAGCGCGATTACTTTATGGGTGCTACGGAGGCGCTCGAGCTGGGTGTTGTTGATGAGATTCTGGACCGTAGAGTCCAGGGGAAGGAGGGCACTGGGGAAGAGTCTAAGCCTCCTACTGCGTAAACTGCATACCCAATGTGTTCATGGTGCTTTGGTATATACTAGGGGTTCTCGGAGTCTCCTGGTTAGTCCATAGGACTTTATCATCTGCTTTGTAGGATTAGTGTTAATAAAATCTGTCATAATCATCTTCCTTCCCCTAGTTGGGGTGGTTTTCCCAAGTGAGTTTGGTTCTGGATACTGTTTGAATATATATCTCTTAGGTTCTTCTAACACCAAATAAGGCACTTTCTATGAATGTGACGCGACTCCAAGAGACGGAAGCTAAACGCTGGTCCACCCGTGTTTCCGAAATCCATGTGTAAAGGGGTTGCGTTGATTTATATAAACCCAATGAAACAACCTATGAACATGGTAGTAGCTTTTGTTCATGAGAATCTACTAGCACATATATACAGTTTACTACCGGACCTGAAATATAGATTTGTATCATGTTGCATTTGCACGCTCAATGCGACCGTTAGTCCCAACCTGGAGACCAAAGCGCTGTCGGAGGAACGTTGCCGTCTCAGGAGACGGCACAAAGCCCGACGTTGGCCGTGCCGTCGCATTTGAGTGGCGCCACTGATCACGGATAGTACCTAGGAAGCTCATATTGAGAATAATAGCCTCGCCAGCCGCGAATGTATCCATCGGATGCTCGCCCCGCGCAGCACTGCCAGATTCAGCGTCGGCTGGGTCGGCCAATAGCGTCGTGCGCTCTTCTTCAACCTCTTCGTCGATGCCGCTACTGTGAGGTGCATCGGAACTACGACGAGCGGGGGACATTGTTTCATCGTCATCCTCTTGTCGTAGAACGCCACGCTCTTCGGCATCATGGTCTTGTGGCTGGGACTCTTCCGTGTCTGGGGCTGCCTCTGTGCTTGTATTTGTGGCTGGATTTGGATTTGGTGATGTAGGCGATGGCGCGGGGGTTCCATTAGTCTTAACCCGCTCGATAATTAAGCCCAGCATAATAAAATCGATTAGAAAGATCAAAAGGTCGAACAAGAGAAGCCGGTAAACAGAGACGGGAGCCTGCCCGACGAAATCGATGAACAGTCCCCCATGTAGGTAGCCGCGTGTTTCCTCGCCAGCTTCGGGACGAATCAGGAAGGCATGGAAGAGCATGCAGACCAGGTTACTGACGATGATGGCGCCGACAAACGGCTGACTGCGTGTGGGCTCAAACGGAGGCGCTTTTGGCGTGAAGAAGATCAATTCCACGATAGCACGCATTGCAAATAGGATGATTGAGCAGCTAGACCAAGAGACAGATGTTAGGGGCATGTCGTGGTGGAAAGAGGGGTGGGGAGCATCGCCGGCGTTCTGGGTTGAACTTACTCCATGTAATACAGGGCGGAGAGTTGACAATAAATTAATATGTCAAGATCGCGCAGCAATCGATCAATGAAGGCGACTTTGGCGGTCGACTTGACTTTCTTCACTCGCGCATTTTGGCTGCTGAGCGTGTCTGTTGGCCTCGGGGGCTCCGCATCGTCATAGGATAGGCCGGACACGTCAGCGATGTATTCCGCATCCCGATAGGCATCAACGTCTGTCATAGAGGGTCATGAGGGCTTGGACGGTATCTAACAAGCGAATGTATAAGGATTCGAGGTGGAGACTCCCCGTGATTTGGTGAGCTGGGGTAACTATGGATGGGTTGGAGACGGAGATGTGTCGAGGCGGACTTTCCTCGGTCCGGAACACGTGCTTCTCCCAAGGTGTATGCGCTGGACAGTACGTTTCTGTTTAATTTTAAGATGTCCTGGTGTTATATACAATCAATTCAACAATTGAACGCTTGAAAATGGAATACTACGCTGTTTGAATGTAGTTTATTGTTTGTGCTACTTCATATACTTATTGACAGTGAGCTTAATCCACAAGGATCGTCTTCGACAGCTCTGAGTAATGCTTGAAGAAGCCAGTGAACAGACGAATGGCATGGGCAACATCGTGGGTACCACCTGTTTCACGGATACTGTGCATACTGAGCTGGGGATTGCCCAGATCCAGTGTCCGCGCCCCCAGCGCAGCAGATAGCATAGGGCCAATGGTGCTGCCACAGCTCGAGTCATTACGAACCACAAAGAGCTGGAGAGGAACGTGCTCGCCAGTCTCCTTGGCGGTCTTGCGCGCAATCTCCTCCAGGAGAACAATTCCAGGGGAGTTCGTTGCATAGCGAGCGTTGGCGTTGATCTTAATCACCGGGCCCTTGTTCATCTCCGGCTTGTGGTCCGACTCGTACTTCCCCGCATAGTTGGGGTTGATCGAGTGGGCCATATCAGCAGAGACAAGGAAGGAGGTGGACAGAGTCTGCTCATAGGCAGTTGACAGGTCGGTGTTCTTAGAGGAGGAGGACGGGAGGACGGATAGACGGCGAATGATCGAAGGAAGAATGTTCGAGTCGGCACCCTGTGCTGTGCGGCTTCCGATTTCCTCGTGGTCAAACAAGGCAATCAGGCGGATCGCGTCTTCGTTTTCGAGCGCTGATTCGTCGGCCACCGAGTCAATCAGACCAATTGTAGCACAGAAAGTGCTGTTCAGGTTGTCTAGCCGAGGGGAAAAGATGAATTCCTCCAGCATACCGCCGAGGCAGGACTTGTGAGTGTCAAACAGGATCATTTCAAAGTCCAGAATATCGCCAGGATTGACGCCAGCCTCAGCAGCAATAAGCTCAACAAAGTGAGAGTGGTGACGTTCTGTGACAGATTTCAATGGTGATGGCTCCCCACCCTTGTCTGTGTCAGAGGTGTCGGTACCTCCATTGCGGTTGAGCTCTGCAGCAATAAGGCCGGCGATAGGGAACAGCTGTGTTTCCTTGTTGAATGCAAAGTTCTCCTGGCGGTCCAAATGGATAGCCAGTGTTGGAATACGGAGGACTACGATATTAGCCAGGCACGTTTACCGTGTCAACATAAAAACATACTGGGACGGTCAATCTTGACCAGTTTCTGCACGATGGATCCATCGCTTTCACGAGTCATAACCCGGCCAGCGACTCCCAGATCACGATCAAACCCTACATGAAATTAGCGAGGGTAATAGTTTGGGGGTAATCAATGGCACGTACAAGTGTGCCAGATGCCTCCGCCGTAGGTCTCAACACCGACCTGGACAAAGCCTTCCCCGCTCTTCTTGCTAACGGGCTTGACCCTCAACACCGGAGAGTCGGTGTGGGCACCGATCATAGAGATGGAATTGCCCGGCTATATCCAGGATCAATACGCATGATTAGTTGAAGAATCATTTACGCAGTTCTGCAATTGATACTTACCTGCCATTGCTTGCCGATCGCAAAAGCCACAAGGGTAGTAGTATTGCGAGTCAAGTAGTACTTGCCTCCCGGTTGGCAGGTCGACGCCCAAGAGTCTCTCTCCTATTGATGGATGAGCTGCAGTTGTCTTATTCGGTATTCAGTTTGGACGGACCTTGATTTCTTGGAACCCAGCCTTAGCCAGAAGCTGTTTGGCTTCGTGGACGGCATGGAAAGCTAGAGATAAGATATATCAGCGACATTCCGCATCATCGGATGGGGACTACATACGGGTAGGAGCAGAGTTCACAAAGGACAAGAAGTCCAGAGCAGACTGCTTGGCAGCCATTGTAGAATAACGTTGAGAACGACCAATAATATCAGGACAAAGACGCCTGAGGACCATTGCAGGGGTGAACAAAGGAAGGTTTTGGGCTTTTGCCGCCGGAGGTTTTATTAGTTTGGCGGTGACTGCAGATGGCAACGTCACGTAACAAAGCCACCAGTGAAAACTAGAGGGTAGTCTTGGAACAATTGATATTCAGCTTAGATAGACCGGACATTGTAAGTTTAAATCATTACTATTACTACTGCATACACGGATATTGTTGGTTCTTCGGTCGACCCCACTATATAAGTTCTTGGGAACTCAGTACTGTCGTTGCCATGGCCCAAGCTCTGTCGCGTCGCGTCGAAGCAAGCGCGTATACCAAATCAATCTGTGGATTTCGCGTTAGTAAAACAGCCCATACGGAGTATCCCGTACAGGTCCCTCACATCACCCCCCCACTTCAGTGTCCAGTCTGACCAGTTTGGGCGCGTTCCAGTAAACAACAGGACTAACAGTGTGGCATCAGTCTCAATTGTAACAAAGCCATGCTGACACAGAACGTTTCCAAGAATCTCGGCAACCAGCATGAGACTGCTTGTGTGAGAGTAAACCAAAGAGCTAGACCCCACTTTTGAAATACATAGTCAATAGAATATCAATGTGGTCAAAGCCAGAAGAACAACACTGATTTGACCTGGTTGATGGGGCCCGATTGCCTTCGCTAAATCGGGTTAGCTTACCCGACGCGTGACCCAGAGAGTCGCCCTGCGCAACTCCGTCACTCCCTTGAAGACATTCATTCACATGCCCTTCAGACACTTCTTTGTTGATCTGCCTGGTGAAAACAGGGTCTGCTTGTGATTTATCCTGGAACATCTCCCATTTTCAGGCGTCAACGACTAAGGCCATCATCCCGCCTCTGGATCAACAACAACAGACCCTCTGCGAATCGCCCTTCAAATACCCTTGACCCTGCACCCGAATCTCTGAACGTTCGACATCCTCGATTGACAGACACTTTACTTGCATCTTATGCAACACTTTATCCCTGTCGTGATCGGCTGCACTTTGTTTCCGGGGCTCGGACAGACAACCAGGCGTCGCCATGGCGGACAAAGCTCAGAATTCAGAGAAGGCCGGGAATAGGTCGGCAACAAGACCTCAAGTATCGCAAATCTCAAACATCGTATCACCACCCGGATCGAAGACACCGCCAAGCATGCCGTCCAAGCGCACGATGTATTTCCCAGATAATTCAAATTCAAATTCGGACAGCCGCCAACGGCAAGATGGAGCAGATCCAATCGACCCTAGTGCGCTTGCAAAAGCATTGAAGGATTATGAGACTGTTGGGAGCCGGCGGGACAGGACCCCGGCCTCCAGCCCATGTCGCAAGAGACAGCGGGTGTATGGGGACCGGTAAGCCACACTTTTGGTTGTCTTCAATCATAAAGCCTGCGACAGCACGAAGTCATTCATCTGTGACTCAGCTACTGACCATAATCTAGATTCATTCCCAATCGCGACGGCCAAGATCTGCAAGCGACTTACAGTTTGTTGCATGAAGATGGTTGCCCATCTACTCCTTCCAGGACCAAGAAACGCCCTCCTCACTCCGAGCTTCACTTCCAAAAGAGTGTGTTACATACCGGAACTCAGTGACTTAGTTGTGCATATGAATTGACTTATAACCACAGCCGAGGAAGCCAACCGTACATTTTCCCGAGTTTTGCGCAGCGAGCTGTTTGGAAACACGGTGCCACAACCCGACCTGAACTCTGCGCCATCCGACCCATTGCTCGGATTCAACAGTGGAATCAATGATAAGACTCGATCCCATACGCCTCCCGCTCATATCTCTGCCAACCTCCCTCCCGCTAGCATCACCCCCACCACCCCACACAAGAACCTCTTCAACTATGGACCTTCACGGCCCGGATCGGGACATCCAACCCCCCTCTAAAACCCCTCGAAGTGTGCATGGCCCCAACTTGGACGTGCGCTCTGAGCTCTACAGTCTTTCTCCTATTCGGTACGACAGTCAGCGCATTCTTGAAACACCTCGAAAACAGGCTCGGTATGTAAACAAGGTGCCCTACAAGGTCTTGGATGCGCCGGATCTTCAAGATGATTTCTATTTGAACCTGGTGGACTGGGGTAGTAGCAATGTTCTTGGCGTTGGATTGGCCAACTCGGTCTACATGTGGAACTCCCACACCGGTGGAGTTACGAGGTTATGCGAGCTGAAAGATGATACTGTGACCAGCGTGAGCTGGATTCAAAGGGTAAGCGAGGAATCTTGATGTCAACGCTCCATACCTAATACTCACACTATGGACTACAGGGTACACATCTTGCAATTGGCACAGGTAAAGGTCTGGTGCAAATATGGGATGCTGAGCATTGCCGCCGGCTACGAACCATGATTGGACATACCAACAGAGTTGGTGCCTTGGCATGGAACGATCACATCCTCACATCGGGATCTCGAGACCGTCTCATTTATCACCGTGATGTTCGATCTCCCGACCAGTATGTTCGAAAGCTTTCTGGCCACAAACAAGAAGTCTGTGGTTTGAAGTGGAACACCGAAGATGGCCAATTGGCATCGGGCGGCAACGACAACAAACTGATGGTTTGGGATAAGCTTAACGAGACACCTCTCTACCGTTTCTCCGACCACAATGCTGCAGTCAAGGCCATTGCATGGTCTCCTCATCAACACCATCTCCTCGCTTCTGGGGGCGGTACCGCTGACCGCACGATCAAGTTTTGGAACACACAAACTGGCTCAATGATCAAAGAGGTCGACACTGGCAGCCAGGTCTGCAACCTCTCGTGGTCCAAAAACTCAGACGAGATCATCAGCACGCACGGTTACAGCCAAAACCAAATTGTCATTTGGAAATACCCTCGTATGGAACAAATTGTCTCATTGACCGGCCACACTTTCCGCGTTCTTTACCTCGCCATGAGCCCTGACGGACAGACTGTCGTAACAGGGGCAGGCGATGAAACTCTCAGATTCTGGAAAATATTTGATAGACGAGCTACAAGAGACGCTCGTCGGGAAGGCAGCAGACTGGCCGAATGGGGCACTATCCGGTAGTCCGGTCAATCCACTCTACTTTCTAATTCGTCTCTTCATCTGCATTCGACATGGCGTTTTTCGTTCACTTCGATTTGGTCACTAGGGGAAATCATTGCATGGCCTGAGGGGATCTTACTTTTCGTCCTTTTATGCGTCGGCATCTATTGCGTCTTTCTTTCCATCGGTGGTTCAAAGCATTTGCAGGTGGAGGTCCGGCGCTGGTTCATTCGGAATGGGCATTTTCCTTGTTTTTCTTTCTTTTTTCTTTACTTTATTGTTTCTTCTTGCTTTGTTTGATCTCTGCCATTGGTTCGTCCCTACCCTGGCTTTGATCTAGGCTGGCCATACCGCCTTGGAGTCGAGCGAACATTTCTGCATTCACGTTTCTTCAAGGCTTTGAGCGGCGGCGCTTGGTGTTGTTTCCTGGTTGCCGGCATACGGCGTTTCGTGGCGGGTGTTCTCATTGCAATCTCTCTTTTGCGAGGTTGATTTTGATGATGACATGACCCTTTTTGTTTCGGGCACGAGTTTGTGCCTATGTTCCCATTTCAGATGATTTAGCTATGCCAACCGGCCTTCATGAGATCTAAACCATGCCGGAAATGAAATGAAATCGAAATTGACACACCACTATATCTTCCTTAAAGGTGCAAGTGCTTATTCAACTTGCCCAAGACCAACCATGGGTGTTTTTAGTATCTACGGATTGCGATCTAAATTTTTTTTCCCTCGAGTGTAGTAACCCAATCAAGGAGATATCTGATTAACTATGCTATACTGTATACATTCATGAATGAGCTTCGCCTGCCCAGTTTTTGGCTCAGATTACCAGGAACAAAGAAAAGAAAAAGCGCGAAGAAGGGAGATTCGAAACACCAAGGGAAATCTAAAGCACCAAGCGCGCCGGCTCTACCGAGAGAAGAGTCTTGATCCGCTCCAGGAATGCCTTAGCGCGGACCTCCTCACCAGCAGGGACAGTCAAGCTGAAAACATTGGAAGCAACACCAGCCGAGCTCTCAACCTCAGCCGCAGGCGCAGACTTCTTAGACGACTTCGCACTAAGGAAATCGATCAAGTCCTCGGTGACAGGCTTAGAGCGGACAGTCTTGGGAGCCTCGAAAGCGTTCAGCTCGGGAACGTAATCACCGCGAGATGTGTTGATGGGCTTGGCGCCGAGAACCTCATCGAAGAGCTCATCGGCGGAGGGCTTGGAGCTAGCCAAGCGGGGCAGATCGTCATTGGCAAGGTCTGTAGCCACGGCAAGGAAGCGGGACAGCGGGACCGTCACACCCAGGTTATCCTGGAGCTTCTTCTGGGCGGAGAGCACGGCAGCCAAGGAAATGGAGATGGCGACGGAAGCCATGGGCACGGGCTTGGGGGGCAATCTTCTCTTTAACCGCAGCTGGCGCAGCTGGGGCCGGAGCCGGGGCGATCTTGATGTTGCTCAGATCGAGGTGGGCGAGCTTGGCCAGAGTGGCGGCCTGGGTTGACGGGTAGTCCGCGGGGATCTGACCGATGTATGCAAGGACGTCGCCCTTCAAGAGACGACCCTTGGGGCCCGAGGCTGGGATCTTGGAGACGTCGGACTTGGGGATGCCCTTCTCACGGAGGAGCTGGGCGACGGAGGGGTAGAGCGGATAGGCGGGGTTCTGGGTTGCGGAAGAGGTGGATTGCAGGCCTAGAAGGGATTACAGCTTCAGCGCATGTTCAATAATGCTTGTTATATCGCAAGTAACTTCCGCCGTAGAATTGAGCTCAGAGGAGCGGCTTTCCGTTGCGGAGATATTGTTCGCCATGATCATGAAAGGGAAACTTACGTCTGCCGACACCAAACACCTTCTGTTGACGCCGAGCAAACATGGCCGGAACCTGGCCGACTGTGATCTTGGCTGCCATTGCTATGTAATTCTGGAGTTTTGGAAATTGGGAGTGCTGCGGTGCCGATTGGGATCTTCGGCCGGTGTCGCAACTCGCCGCGGACGCTGGATTCGAAAGGAACGAGCAGGATAAACGAAGAGCCCACCACCAGGTCGAAGCGCACAAATCTCCGAGGTCAATTTGTTTGATGTCGTGTGTTTGGAAAGGGTAATCTAAAGCAACCGTTGGAGGTGTTGAGGGCGTTGGGAGCTTTCACCGGCGGCCGGGACGGGAACATTTTTCTGCCGCGCGCTGTTTTGGCCATTATCGGCGATTTCCGATGAGAACGACGGTCAATTGATTCTCGTCCTGGTAAGTTACCGAGCGAACCTATCTAGTCGTTCATTCTTTGTCAATTTCCCTCCAGATTCATGGGAGTCAATTGACTACGTGTCATGGCCATGATCACTTTACTAACTCGAGCATCCATAGGCTCGGTGCAACCATGTCCGTCAGACCACCCACCTTCTCAATATTCTGGCGCCAATGCCTACAAAGCCCAATGCGACATGGCTTTCGGATGAACTCGAAGTCATGCTTGCGCTACTTCAATTCTAGTGCGCCACAATACAAGGCCAAGGGTGTGGCCAGAACCGTCGATTCCGCGTGGCAGGCCACAAGTCCTTATGGGAACAAGAACCCCCGCGCCCTTGCGAAGCTACAAGCGAAAGTATTACAAGTCGGACAAGTGCTTTTGTTCCAGGCACCTTCTCATCGCCCATATATCTTAACTGCATATGGTCTGTCCGCGTTTTGCTTCGCCTATTCCATCTACAACTCAAACGCGGTACTCCGGGATCCTCTGGTTCCCCTTCCAATGTGGCAGAAATCTCTATTTGGTGGTATCTGTATCATGATGAGCGTTGGAGGCACCTTGTTCATCTCCCGCACTGGCTCCCTAGTCAGAAATATCAGAGCGATCAACTCTAATGGCCGTATGCGCGTCCTCTTCACAGTCCGAAGCATGGTCCCTTTCAAGAAGCCTTACCAGGTCGAAGTGGCACCGGGTGATCTCTCGTTCAAGCGCAGAATCTCGGTCTCTCCGGAAACCATGAAGCGTTACGAGGAAAGCACCAAACTCGGCCGTGGATTGGAACAATGAGCCAAGCTTCTTCAGAACACTGAGATCCATGCCTCGCCGTGTTTTCCAGAGCATGCGGCAGCTTTTCACGAATGAGGACTTCATCATTGTGCAGTTGGCCGGTCACAAGGCCCATTTCCGACTGGACTCCAATGGATACATCTCGGATGATCTCCTTCACTTTGGGCGCATGGTGAATGTGAAGATGCCGTTCAGAGATTGATTGGTGATCATTATCCAAGCATCACCAAGGTCTTTTCGTGGTGTGTCGCATCTAGTTAAGTTTTGTACATCATTTTGGCTTTGTCTCTTAAACAGCGACACAGCACTTGTAATACTAGTCAAGAGAAAAGCGCAATTTCAAGTGGGAATCACAATAGATTATATTATAAGAGTCCTCGTGCTTGGCAGAAGAAATAGTATGTAATGTTCTACGGGTCTTCACAATGCTCCTCTAAATTGGGGAACCACGTGATGGCCCCGGCGCGTCTTGGGGTGGACGCGGTTCAACCGTTATCGCGCCCCTCCCACGCCTTGCCCACAACTCAATCTCTAGTTTTATAACAGGGTACTTGAATTTCTCGGCGCGTTGCTCCCTCAGGGAAGCCGCTGGCAAGATGGGGAAACTCATTCGTTTGGAGCTTTTCAGTATGTGCGACCGGAAGATACACCGCAGGCTGTCGCTAACTTTGTTACTAGACTTCAAGTCCTACAAGGGACATCATGTCCTCCTATTCGGAGATGCCTATTTCACGTCGATTATTGGCCCGAACGGGTCTGGCAAGTCAAACTCGTGAGTGACATCCTGGTCTTAGCCCAAAGGGCCTTAGGCTAATGCGCATTAGGATGGATGCCATATCTTTCGTTCTAGGAATCAAGACTTCTCACCTACGATCAACCAATCTCCGTGACCTGGTGTACCGAGGCCGTGTTTTGCGAACATCCAAAGTTGACGGAGAGTCTGCTGCTGATGGGCAGGATCGCGAGCAACAGGAGGAACCCGAGAGCATGGATGTCGAGCAAGATGCCGGTGGAAACGACCCGAACTCCGCTTGGGTGATGGCGGTCTACGAGGATGATGCAGGCGAGGAGCAGCAATGGCGCCGATCTATCACTAGCCAGGGTGTTAGCGAATACCGCATCAACAACCGAATCGTATCCGCCCACCAATACAACGAGGCCTTGGAGGAGGAGAACATCCTGATCAAAGCGCGAAATTTCCTAGTGTTCCAGGGTGACGTGGAGGCGATCGCATCCCAGTCGCCCAAAGACCTTACCCGCTTAATCGAGCAGATCTCTGGCAGTCTGGAGCACAAGGCCAACTATGAAAAGTTCAAGGCAGAAGCGGAGGAGGCTGCAGAACAGCAAACCGTCCAGCTCAACCGCCGACGAGGCATCAATTCCGAGGTCAAGCAATACCAGGAACAGAAGCGAGAGGCTGAGAACTACGCGAAGAAGGCCGAAGAACGCGACCAGGCCATTATCACTCATATCTTGTGGAAGCTATTCCACTTCCAGCGCCTGATCGATGACTCTAGTGCTGATATCCAGAAATACCAAGATGAGCTTAAGGAGTACCGCCGTGGCGTCGAGAAATACGAGAAGAACGTCGAAGACTCCAAGAAGGACCATGCTCGAGTTGGCAGAGATGTCGGCAAGGCCGAGAAAAACATCACGAAAAAGGAGAGGGAAATTGAAGAACTCAACAACTCGCTTGTACCCGTGGACGAGAAGATTGACATCACCCAGAAGAAGGTTGAGAGATACTCTTCGAAGATTACCGAGATCGAAAAGGAGCGCACATTACAAACCAACAATGGCAAGCAACTAGAAAAGGACCTCAAGCTTGTCGAGAAAGCTCAGGCTCAATGGGAAGTCGAGTGGCAGAAGGCGATGAGCAAGAAGGGTGGCCAGTTGAGCGAAGCTGATCAGCAGGAGTACCGCAAGCTCAGAGAAGAAGTCAACCGACGTTCATCGGCGGATTCCTTAAACCTTGACAATCTGCGCCGGCAGAGAAAGACAGAAGCTGAAGCGGTCAACAGCTTGAAGGGCAAGTTCGAGAACACTGAATGGCAACTGAAATCTGTTGAATCCGATGCCCAGAAAATGAACGAACGCAAGTCGTCCCTCAATGATGCCATCAAGTCTACCTCCAAAGACATCGACCGTAAGAAGAAGGAGCTAAACGCATTGACTTCGGAGCGTTTGAAGGTCTCGCAAATGCGGACCGAGCTGGAGGAAAAGCTCCAGGTCGTGTTAAGGAAGCTTCTTGAGGCCGATGACGGTAAGAAGCAGACCGAACGCGAACTCCGGGCCAAGGAGTTGATCTCAGCCTTGAAGCGCATCTTCCCCGGTGTCAAAGGTCGCGTCAGTGATCTTTGCCGGCCGAAGCAGAAGAAATACTCCGATGCAGTTAGCACCGTACTGGGTCGACATTTCGACGCCATTGTTGTGGACAATGAGAAGACCGCAAAGGAGTGCATCCAGCACCTACGCGACCAACGAGCAGGTCAGGCCACGTTCATCCCTCTGGAAACCATCCAAGTCAAGGCGTTCAACTCGAACCTGAAGGGCATGCATCGGGGCATGCGCCCTGCGATTGAGACTGTTGACTATGACGACTCCGTTGCGCGAGCAATCAGCTATGCGTGCGGCAACTCTATTGTTTGTGACGATCTGGCGACAGCGAAGTATCTTTGCTACGAACGAAATGTGGATGCGAAGGCTGTCACCCTTGATGGAACTGTCATCCACAAGGGTGGTCTCATGACTGGTGGACGTGGTCCTCAACAGAACTCCAAGCGTTGGGAAGATTCCGAGGTCGAGAACCTGTATAAATTAAAGGAGAAGCTCATGAACGATCTCGCCACCCTCCCCAAGAGTCACCGCCGAGGCTCTGAAGAAGAGACACTGCAGGGCGAGCTCGTCGGTCTCGAGCAGCGCCTCACTTACTCTCGTGATGAGTTGAAGGCCCTCGAGAGGAACCTTGAGAGCAAACGTAGCGAGCTTGACTTCGTCAAGCGCCAGATGGAAGAATTGCGACCCAAATACACCGAGCGTAAGGAAAACCTTGATGAGCTAGACGAGACAATCGAAACGTCACAAGCTTCGGTCAGCAACGTCGAGGACGAGGTCTACCGCAAGTTCTGCAAGCGCTTAGGGTATGATGACATCCGAGAATATGAGGCCCAGCAGGGCTCTATGCAGGAAGAGGCCGCGCAAAAGAAGCTCGAGTTCACGACTCAAAAGAGCCGAATCGAGAACCAGCTCAGCTTCGAGAAACAGCGTATCCAAGCAACCGATGACCGAATCAACGGTCTTAAGGCCCAATACGAGCGCGACCAGAGCCTGATTGAAGAGCTGCAAAGTCAGCAAGAAGAAATCCGCAACCAGCTCGATGAATACGAAGCGGAACTTGAGCTCCTCCGAGAGGCTCTCGAGAAGCAGAAGGAAATCTATGGCCAGTCAGCAGAAAACTTGGCAGAGCAGCGTCGTGAACTACAGAAGCGTAGCAAGCATGTTGAAGCAGCGTTAAAGAATGTCAATGCACTTGAGGCAGAGATCCAGAGGAACTCTTCCAGTCGTTATGCTCTTCTACGCCGCTGCAAGCTTGAAGACATTGATGTTCCTTTGACCGAGTCTTCCAATTCCCTTGACAAGCTTCCAATCGATGATCTTGTGCAAGCAGCAGACCCGGACGCCATGGAGGTGGATGAAGGTGATGGTTTGGACGAGACTGCTCCGGTGCACGATTACGGTATTGAGGTCGACTTCGATTCTCTGGGAGAGACACTGAAAGAGGTTAGTGTTTGCTCTCATCGCTTTTATGTCTCGCATGCTAATTCAATTACAGGAGGCCGATGACAAGCTCGAGGATGAACTTCTCGAGAAGGTTCGTGTTCTCAACAGTGACCTCGACAAGATGGCACCGAATGCTCGCGCCATGGAGCGCCTGGAGAGTGTTGAGAACAAACTTCGCAGCACCGAAAAGGACTTCGAGGATGCCCGGAAATCTGCACGAAAGGCCAAGGAAGAGTTTGAGTCCGTCATGAAGAAGCGATCGGACCTCTTCAATAAGGCATTCACCCACATTTCTGAGCAGATCGGCCCGATTTACCGTGAACTCACGCGCAGCGCCAATTACCCCCTGGGTGGTCAAGCGTAGGTTTCTTTTTTACATCCGACTCTGAACGATCACTAACATTTCAAAAGCTACCTCGATATTGAGGACTCGGACGAGCCCTACTTGGACGGCATCAAATACCACGCCATGCCTCCTCTCAAGCGTTTCCGTGACATGGAGCATCTTTCAGGTGGCGAGAAGACCATGGCCGCACTCGCTTTGCTGTTCGCTATCCACTCATACCAGCCATCTCCATTCTTCGTGCTGGACGAGGTTGACGCAGCCCTGGACAACACCAACGTCGCCCGCATTGCCAACTATATCCATGACCACGCCGCGCCTGGCATGCAGTTCATCGTGATTAGTTTGAAGACCGGACTGTTCCAGAACAGTGAGGCTCTGGTCGGTATTTACAGAGACCAAGTCGAGAACAGCAGCAAATCTTTGACGCTTGATGTGAGTTTTGAAGATGTGTTTCGTATACGCCGATATGGAAATATGCTGACGATGATCGTTCACAGCTTCGGAAGTACACGTAAATCCTCCAAGCGGGGTTTATGCGGATTGTGTGACGACCCTTTGCTTTTGCTTTGCTTCCTATTTCTTCATCTTTGTAGATTATTGAGTCTTGCTTTGTTTTCTTCTTCTACCGGAGTCGATTATAGGAGTAGGAAGCCCAGTGTCTATCCCGGGCGATTATTCCTATCGGCAAGGCCGTTAATTGATACCAGTTTCTGTGCTGTGTTTTTTTAAGTTCCGACCCTTCTCATACCTCGTAGCTGCGGGTAACCCTAAAATCTCCGGTTCCGAACGACTCACATGCCGAGTGTTCAGACTTTGGACAGTACTTGGAGAATCGAAAGTAGATATGAATAGATTCAATTCAGTTCATCTCACTAGATGTTTTTTAAGGATGTGAAAACCCCCCTAGAGAATGCACCACTTCATGGCAAAAGACAAGAGATACCAAGGCCTGGCGAAAAAGATAGCAAAGGAACGTCCACCTGTAAACCCCCGAACCAACCGACTTCAAGTTCTTTTTTGATGCATCTTTCGTGATAAAAGACTCAAGAACCTGACTTCCATCATGCAGAAGCTTGGCGCTTGTTGAAAGCACCGGTGTGGGACGAGACATAACGATGTGTCACATGAAGAATAAACGAGAAAAGCAGAAGAAGTACCGAACACCGTGAACCGTGAACCGAAAGCTGAGAGCTGAGCACCGAAGAAACCGTCATCCATGGGAGACTTGCGACCTTGTTGGAGGTACCACCATAGCGTGAGGTGGGTAGTTGTCGAAGCCCGAAAAGTCAGATACCAACTACTCTGTGGCTGTCTGTCCCAGACCCTCAACACCAGTCGCAGGCTTTGGCTTGGGAGTGGGCTTCATTCCAGAAACGCCCTTGGCTAGAAGAGAAGCCTTGTTTTGAGTACCACTCTTGACTCCAGCAGCAGGCTTAACCTGAGAAGAAACGTTGGTTGGAGTGCCACTCTTAAGCCCAGCAGCAGCCTTGGCTAGGAGAGCAGCCTTGGCTTGAGGAGTAATCGCAGCCTGAGGAGTGGTCTTGGCCGGGGTTCCATTGACCTCAGGAGTACGCTTGGTCTGAGAAGTAGTGGTATCGACCTGGGTTGCTGCCTTGGTCTGAGCAGCGGCCTCAGGCTCACTGACAGGCTCGGATTGGGTAGGAGTCTTTTCCTCGCTGGCCTCAGTGGGAGGATCCTCAGAGGATGACTCGACACACGCGCCAGAGGCAGGGGTGTTCTCGAGAGTGGGGGGAAGGGAAAACTTCGACTCGTCTGTGTCGTCGGTGGTAGAGTCATTCGGAGTCATGCTGCCATGTTCGTACTCATCAAGTGGCTGGGGGACCTGATTAGGGATGCCGGTGAGAATGTTGTTGACTGCGTCGGCATTTTTGCGAATGTGGACGGTTTGCTTCGTCTTGTCTTTGACCTTGAAGTCGCAAGGAACGAGACGGTGCTCGGCATCCTGGTCGCGGTGGTACTCGTAAAGGCGAACTTTCAGGCCGCGGATGAGGATGGCCCAGCATCGTTCATTTGGAAGTGGAGCACTGAGCAAGCGGGGAACGGATTGATCCCAGTCGTCCTGGATTGGAGCGGATTTGTCGTGAATAACCTTCACAATGGTGTGCAGGCTTCTGTCTTCGCCAGCAACCCTCACGATGAAGCAGTTTGACTGGTTGTTCTCCTCATCCTCTTGCCATTTGAGGACCCAGCCATCGTTCGAATCGAAGGCGTAAGTAAGGATACCGCTCACCATGATCTTGACATTCTCGGCGGTTGGCTTATCCTCGTAGGCGTTGATAAACTCGGCAATAGCGGGAAGCGAGAGATAGTTGGTCGTTTCCATGATGACGATGTCAGAGGAAAGAGTTGATGGTGAGAATGAATTGATCTGTGAAATTGTGGAAGAGAAAGGAAGTGACGGTGGGGGAAGTGAGGAAGTGACAGGAAAGAAGTACTGAGGTGGGAAGGCTTGAGGTCCTGGGGTAATGAGATCAGCAAACCTCATGTAATATGACCATGTGAGCAAATTCAAGCAAACATTTGTACTGGTAGGCTTCTTCCTACCTCATATAGGAGCTTCATGGAAAAAGCCGAATTGTTAAGGCAAACATCTGTTGTTACTTGCCATCTCTATGCATCTATAGACCTGGTCTCTATATGTACTATAAGTAATGCGAAAGTGCGAGTTAAGTGAACAATCTCATAAATATTGTACTTATTACGAGACTTTTATCTATTACCTTGTATAGGAGCTTAATGGCAAAGCTAAATTACTAGTCCTGGAGGGCAAATATGTGCCATTACTTGGTATTGTAGGCATTTATAGATCTAGTTCTTTATATATACCATCGTAAGTAACGCGAAAGTGCGAGTTAAGTGATTAATCTAGTATATATTGTACTTATTATGAGACTCTTACCTAATACCTTGTATAGGAGCTTAATGGCAAAACCCGAACTACCAGGGCAAACTTGTGTCGTTACTCGTTGTTGGCATCTATGCATTCATGGATACATGTATATACTCCAGGCATCTGTAAATCTAGGTCTCTGCATGTACCATCTTTACATGAAATATCTCGAGTAACGCCAAAGTCCGAGTTAAGTGCGATCTAAGTGAAAAAGCTGGCATATACATCTGCATCTACTCTAGATATGTTGCGTTATAGCCTAAACAGTATCTCTAAAGATCTATGACTCCTTCCTACTATATTACATAGGAGCCTAATAGAAAAAGCTAAATTATTAGGGCAAACATGTGCTGTTACTTGGTATCCTATAGATATCTATGGATCTTAATAGAAAAAGCCAATTTTTTAGGGTAAATATATATCGTTAGTCGTCATTAGCATCTAATACCATCGGCATCCATAAATCTAGATTTCTATATGTACCATATTTACTTGAAATGCCTTAAGTAACGCCAAAGTGCGAGTCAAGTGCGAGTTAAGTGAAGAAGCAGACATATACATCTCTATCTACTCTAGATATGTTACTCCATAGCCTAAACATCTGTGTCTGTAAATCTGCAATGTCGGGGCACGGGAATATCGAAAAAGGCAAAGCATGAACCACAGAAATAAGCTATAAGTATAGTCTTTGTTCCAGAGTTCCTAAAATAGTCATCACTAGGGTTCTTTTACCTGTAAGCCGCACATACTGACCAGAAGGTGCGAGCAAAATGAAAGAAGATAGTCTCTAAAGTGGTAAAATTATGAGCATGGTGAAGAGAATACAGGAATATGCACATATATAGACACAATGATATCTGGGCCGCTTTTATGAGCCCAGGGTTTAAGTAGACGTGGACTTGGGCAGGGCTTAATGAGTGAGTGCACTAACAATAAATCTAAGTGAATGTGAACCACTGTCTCCTGTTTTCCAAAGTGTACATATGTACTCATTGTACGGCAGTGTATAGCCGCCAGTGCGCCATATCGTATGTTTCTACATTAAACTTTGACTGTGATACCGCCAATTTACTATTACCTACAAATTCTAGTGGTTAATTCCTATGATATCAACTTCTATAGGGTCAATTTCTATAATATCTCAATTTCTATAACAAGAATAGCGGGCGGCTTATACAGCCGTAGTCTTTATAGTGGTCCTTTTTAGTAGACTTCTTAGGTAGGCTATTTAATATCTAGTCATATAGATATTTTCTCCCCTTAATTTATTACGTAGATAGTAGAAAAGAGCCAGAAAATGCTTAATTTATAAAGTGAGCTTTTCTATATATGACCTTAGATATCTCAAATTTCTATAGTGTCAATTCCTACGCCATCAATTTTTATCAATTTTTATTTCTATAGTCAATAGAATGCACGAATACTAGTTTTATGAAATGTTCTGCTAGAAAAATACGACATGGCGCACTGGCGGCTATACACTGCCATACTCATTGACTCATTCTCTCGCCAGACCATAACAAGCAGAATCGACTCCCACTACCAGCTGCAAGCTCCGCTGGCCATCCCAAAATAAGTTACATGAGCATCATTCACCCCCCTGTCCTCCCTGAGCCTCACAGCACTGGATCTCATTTCCAGTGCATATACTCGTGCTACCAGGGCCATGGGGATCGACGCTCCAGTATTCAACGCCAGAATGAACATATCCCTGTTCAGCCGGCGGCAGGTTTGGGATCCCATCGTTGCCATGGGTGACGCGGAAGAACCGAGTTGTTTCAGGGCTCGTCGCTTCGAAATTCTCATTCATATACGATGCGTATGCCAGGTTGCCAGTCCGCGGTTCGCCGAATGTGTACAATGTGACATGCTCGTATGTGGCGGACAGCTGGCTGGCAGTTATTGCTGCCATCGAGGCACCAAGACTGGATCATGTATGTCAGTCAAGTCGAGAAAGGACATGGATGAAAAGAGGGTATGGTTGTGAAAATGTAGATCAGGAGAAAGTATCATACCTGTGACCCGTGACCGTCAATGCATACTCCGGATACTGGCCGGCCTGCTGCTGAACAAGTGACTCGACCTGATCTTGGACAGAGGTCCATCCAAGATAGTATCCGCCATGCACGGCACAACCGATGCATTTCGGCAAGGTGTCAAATGGAGCGAGAGTGTAGTTGGTATCGAGCTGCAAGTTCGTGTCACCGGCAGTGCCGCGAAAGACAACGATGATTTCCCGACGACTATCGTCGCGGAGAACCCATCCATTGATATCGGTTTGGGCGTTGTATATCTTCTCCACCGTAGTGATACTCGCCGGAATCTTGCACAAGTCTGCATAAGCAGCTTGGGAGATGGTGGCCATCTTAACCAGACGGTTGTAGATGTTGTCAGAGACGCCCTGCGTAACGGCGGCTAGAGCATGTCCTACAGCCACAGAAAGGGCGAGAGCGCGTGGTGCGGAGATTTTCATGTCGACAAATTCGTGCCTGAAAATATTCGATGGACGATGGTTCAACGAAGGGAGGTTGAATCCAGTGCTTGGGTGTGTCTCTTAAGAAGACATCTCTTCTCCTGGGTAATATGCTGGAAACCCACCTTCAGGATAAAGGTGATATATTGAAGATGATCGTACCCCGTTAAGGTCATGAAACCTCATCAAATTCTGCCGTCCATGGATGCCTCTCCCGTGAGAATAACCCCTGTCATGAACAATTGCCTGATCCCGCGGTCCATGAGGCAGGAAAGAGCCCCTGTGCATGAGGCCAGACTCGGTCGATTGAAAGATCTCGTAAGCATCGCATAAGGTGAGACAATCGGGAGAATCCCTATTTTAGTTCAGGAGCTCTTTTTCTAAAATGTGACCATTCTATGATTGGTCTAGCTTGAGACACTTTACAACTATGGGGCAAGGACCCTGAATATCACTCTGAATATCACGGCAAGGTTGAGATAGAGGACCTTACACTTCGGCAGATGTCGATATTCAAACTACCGTACTATTTGCCAAATGGGGAAATTCCCCCGAGTGTAGCAGCCTAATCGAGTGGCGTTAATGTCCAGGGTCCAAAGGAAGCGGAGCATGTCTCCATCACGTCTCCATCCTTTAATATCGATGCAGCTAGCCCTATCGGAATATTCTTCACCGTATGTGCTCCACCCTAGATAGACCCTGAAAGATCTACCATTCCGCAAGACATCAAATGCCTCTATTCAATTTCTATTACTTAACCAAATAGATATATATACTTCTCTAAACCGTTGTTTCGACTACAGAGTAATGCCATTCACGGTCCACCTGAATAGAGCGTAACATGATATCTGTGGACCCCAAGGACACAAAGGTACAGGATCACTCTTCCTCTGTGAATTTCAACGTCGATCCAGAATACATGTATCACTATGACCAGTGCCAAGAGCCGTAGATAAATACTCTAGTCATGCTTGTTGAGCTATAGGCTACTGAGGAAATGAAGGAAGAAGGAACTATTGCTACGTAGCAATTCTACCCGGTAAAGTAAAGGCCAAGGCCTCTTTAAGAGGCCTAGATCGGCAAACAAGCGCTCAGTCTGCCACCATAACCAGGCATCCTGGGATGGTTTCAAGAATGTTCGCCTCCATCTTCTTCTTGGCATAAATTACAGTAAGAAAGCAAGTTCTGTCCAACTAGAAGAGACCTTCCGATTGATTTAGTAAAGCGAGATTATCCATCTCAAATACAGAATTCTTCAATGACAATGACAACATTCTTTCCTAGCCCTTCTTTACCACCATTCTTCTCTCCCAAAGGTTCCGCATCGGTTGTACACTTCAATCTGAAATATAGCCTGCTCAGTAGCAGACTTCACAGCTTCAGATAAAAATCGAAAGCATCTTGCCTAGAGGGCATCTGCGATAGCGCTGTAGGCCTCCTTGGGGTTATAGCTGGCGTCGAAAAGCAATGGGCTCTCGTCGGCACGCCACGAATCCTAACAAAGACATTAGTATACAGTCATTTTGACCTGGGAGAAATTGGCATTTACCGGGTCAGCAACTCCCCAAACGGTGATTCCGACACACTTTGGCTGGTCCAGGCAAGCCTTGACAACCTGTAAGATAAGAATAGAGATTTAGCGAGGAGTCAATCATATCAGGCATCGTGGAAACTCACGTTTACGTAGTCGGTAGAGCTGGCGCCAGCAATATCAAGCTCGGTGACAGCGACCTCCTTCGTTCCTGCACTGGCAAGAGCATTAAGAGCTGTGAGAGGCTGTTAGCTAGTTTTCGGTCAAGGAGTAAGAGGGTACTTATCCTGAAGCTGCGGCACCGGCACCAGCACTTAGGTGGGTTTGAGAGCCTAGAAAGGAGTGAGTAATTAGTAATTGTACACCGCGAACTGCAATGGTAGGTATCTTACCGATTCCGTCGATTGGGATACCGGCAGCAATCCACTTCTTGACGTGGCTGACCATACCCTGCAATTTAGCGCTGGTGGCGGAGTCCAGGCTGCTTAAGGTTAGAATTGCAAATTGAAAAAAAAAAGCAGAGGGCTACGACTCACTTGTAGTCGTTGATGTAGAGCTTTGCCTCTGGGTCTGCGGCACGAGCTGTTTCGAAGGCGATCCGAACAAAGTCTTCGCCAAGGACTCTGGAGAAGACACTGTCACGAAGGGTACCATCCTCGTTGAAGATTTCATTCACGACGTCCTTAGATTGATCAGTAATGTAGCTTTGTGGAACTCGTATTATGGGCACAACATACCCAGGCGTAGACTTTGCCCTTGTACTGCTTCATCACCGTGGTGATGTGGTTCTTCATGACATCCGTTAGGGTTGTCTTGTCCGTGATGGAATCGACCCAAGATGGGAGCTGGGAGTGCCACACTTGACGAGTTTAGCTTCTCTTTCTGTGATATGTCTGAATCTTAGGGCCTCGGGCACTTACCGAGAGTATGGCCACGGATCAGCTTCCCGTTTGTCACGGCAAAGTCGACCTAGAATGTGTAAGGACCAGGCAAAGAATCAATTGCGGTGAAAGAATCTGGGTACGTACCAGATAGTCCGATCCTGCGAAGGAGAACTGTCCCTGGCTTGCTGTTTTGCAAATCAGCTTCTGATTCTCTAGTTATCCCGGGACATTTGTACTCACGCTCAGTAGCATCCCACTTCATGCTGTTCTCGGGAGTCAGTTGACCGAAGTTAGCCTTGATGATTGCCGGGGTCTTGGGGTTCTTGTTCAAGGTGCCCTGATCAGCAATGTTTCCCAGGTATTTCTTCCCGTGGGCTTTGAATTTGGCATCAATGCTCTCAGAGGCTTGTCGGGATTCAACGGTTCCGGACAGCGCTTGGCCAGCGAAAAGCATAACCAGAGCAGCTGTCTTGAGTTGAATCATATTGGGAATCATGTTGGTTCTCCGAGTCGATGAATGAAAATGAGTGTGGTAGAAGACATCGTCGGGGAGGGATGGAGACGATACTTATATAGAACAGGAGCCAGCATGTCTTAGGGAAGAGAAGTTCATAGTTGAGATATTAGCTAAAAGGGGAAATCCTTCCCTGATACAAAACGGGGCTACATCATCTATCTCGTTCACCAATGGAGAACGGATGTTATGTGTTTTATCCAAAATTCCAATAAATAGCTCGGATGAAATTATATTCGACCTCTTTTTAGCCTAAATTTTCACAGAGAGGACTTTATTCTGGGGCACGTAGTAACTTGCACTTTGGATACTATCAAACCACCAGCCTCCTTTCGGGTACATGGGCCTATTACACAGTTCTAGCCCTGACATGTAACAAGGGGTCCACAACTCTTAGCTTTTGATTCAGGCAAGAACAGCCCGTGTAGTTAAAATGAAAAAGGGGTCCTAGTTGTGGAGATGACGTCTATCACCTCCAACAGGGTCTCTCGAATATCCAAATCCTCCGAGCCACCCCCGAGCAGGAGTATATCTTGACATTCTTCAAAGAGGTTTTTTTTTTTTTTCAAGGCCCGCTTCTTTTACTATAACGGGGAAGGGGTGCTTGCCTATTTTATCCAGGATTCTAGTAAATACTTAGGATGGAATGATATTCCATCATTTTTTAGCCTAAATGCTCCTGTAGAAGACTTTAGTCTGAAAGATATGTGGAGTAGTAACTTAGTCTGAATCCTATCAGATCACCAAAGTCCTTTTATATATATAGACTAGGCCTATTGTGAGTTCTCGCTCCGATATGTAACAAGGACCCACAAGTGTCGGCTTATACTTAAGGGTAGAATAATCTGTTTAGTTGAAACGAAGAGGGGGTCCTCCCGTGTGGAGACCTCTATCAGTTATACCTCGGAGACCATCCGAAATAGCGAGCTCCTCCTTCGCCAAGTAGGGGTTGCCTCGGTTTCAAAATAAGCTCAGCCTTTTTTCGATTTCCCCGCTAAATCCTCCGAGGCACTTCCGAGCAGGGTCACGTCTGACGTTCTTCAAAGGGCTTTGGGCAAGGCCCAAGCCACACCGACAAGATAGCAAGCATTGCTTAGACTAGTGAGTTATTTTGTGAAACAACAGTATAATGACAAGGCGTCGGTGAGGAATCAACCCGTCTAGCATCACCATCACGACCCACAGCTAGATTCATGATCTCTGCGATGCATTTACCCAGCCTCCGTGTGAAGACAGGCTTGGAATGGTTAAATTGATACGGAGTTCATGTCTGTACCTGTTTCTATCAAGGCAATAGTCCGGCGGACTAAGGCTTCTGGCTAATGTAGTTTATCCTGGACGATCCCTCTGAAGGCAGCAAATCAAAACCATTCCAAGGGTCGTTTCTTGACCGGTTGAAACATTGTGGATTTTAATATAGAAAATGAGGAATTAGTTTGATCCATTCGGCCGGGCCAAACAATTCGACTTATAAGCCGTACTGAAGTATTTATGCGAGGTTAGCCCCTGCTCCAAGTCTTCAATCAAATAAACCATCACACACTACAATCTTGACGACAATGAGATTCTTCAAGTCGAACACTGGCCTGGCGTCATCTGGTATACTGTTGCTCGCATCAGTGCCAGCTGTCTTCGCCGACTGCGCGCTCCCGTCGACTTATTCGTGGACATCAACTGGTGCTCTAGCGAATCCCAAATCCGGCTGGCTCGCACTCAAGGACTTCACCAGCGTGGTTTGGAACAACAAACACGTCGTCTACGCATCAACCGCCGATACAAATGGAAAGTACGGCTCGATGACCTTCGGCGCCTTTTCGGATTGGTCCGGCATGGCAACTGCGAGTCAAGACGCAACGAGCTTTACAGCCGTTGCGCCCACTTTGTTCTACTTCCAGCCAAAGAACATTTGGGTCCTGGCCTACCAATGGGGCTCGAGCACATTCACCTATCGAACATCAACTGATCCTACCAATGCCAATGGATGGTCAGCGGAGCAAGCCCTCTTTTCCGGAAAGCTCCCCGCCGCAGACAAAGGCACCGCCATTGATCAGACCATTATTGGTGACTCGACGCATATGTACCTTTTCTTTGCAGGAGACAATGGAAAGATCTATCGCGCCAGCATGCCGATCGACAATTTCCCTGGAAGCTTCGGAGCAAATTACGAGGAGATCCTAAGTGACACTAAGAACAACCTGTTTGAAGCAGTTCAAGTGTACACCGTCAAGGGCCAGAACAAGTACCTGATGATCGTCGAGTCAATTGGAGCACAGGGGCTGCGGTATTTCCGTTCATACACCTCCGACAGTCTCGGCGGTTCGTGGGAACCCCAGGCAACAGACGAGAGCAGTCCCTTTGCCGGAAAGGCCAATAGCGGTGCAACCTGGACCAACGACATCAGTCATGGTGATTTGGTTCGAAGCAACCCTGACCAAACAATGACCATCGATCCATGCAACCTGCAACTCCTCTACCAGGGACAAGAGCCGAACGCCGGTGGTGACAACTACGATACCCTACCGTGGAAGCCTGCCGTCCTGACTCTGAAGAATTAAAGGGGAGTTTGTTATTTGGCAGGTTGAGAGGGGAGACGAAGACGTGAAGACGAAATTGTGAAATTTGTGAGATGATGACTACGCGGATCGAGATATGAGGCAGAGGGCTCATGAATTCTCTGGGCTGATTATGTTACTATTTGCTAGCACATCCGAACATAGGTACAGAGTACAGTCTCTTTCATCCGCTACGTAGCATAGCATAGTTTCGTTGAAAGTAATCCGTACAGGTTGTCCAGTTGCCAGGGCGTGCTCGGTTTCACTCAGTGAGCAAATGGCGGCAGGGGTGAGCATTAAACCGGTAAGGCAGAAACCACCCGGTATATATAATCGTTCCTACAGTTTAGCTACCTCAAGTAACAAAAAGACGCGATTAAATCGATGGAAGAGAAAAATATTGCGGGATACAAATGGTTGTTCGTAAAGGCCTAGTGTCGCGAAACTACGACTAAAGTGGGGGGAAAAGGGCAGGCAGGAAAATACGTATGTCAAGGCAGAAGATGACCATAAATATTGTATTGGGTTCATAAGAAGTATTTCTACTGAGTATGTAGGTGGAACTTGATTAAATAAGCTCTAGGACTGAAATGAGATTGTTCCACTGTGTAGAGATATATATTGCTAGAATCCCTTCCAGCTCGAACTCTTAAGACTAGTGCTATCACACATTGACAAAAAGTATAAGAAGATTTCAGATAGGCCTGTTGTATTCGCACGCATAGAATCATGTACAGTAGTTTCAAGCTCCATATAGACCTAGGTATACCGAGTGCCCGAGTTTGATACCAAAGCTCTGAGCAACTGATGCTGTCTGCTGGAGACTTCCGACCGAACAAATTTTCAGGACTTTGGTAAACAAGTTTGGTGATCTCCGCGGCGTGAGACACCACATCCAGTTTGGAGACAATTGTCCTGTATCTGAGCACAGAGCTACGTAACTGCTTCCACTAACATGTGTACACAGACCTACTCTGTGCGAACCAGGTCCGAGGACGTCGACCATCGAAACGGTGTGCCTGGCACAAATAGCACCGTAGGTATGGATGAAATCCGTGTTATGACCTCTTGTCTGAAAAGCCCGCAAAGACTAAACAGTGGCTTATTGGAGAACCGGGCACGAACCGGTAGCCTGCTGCTCATTGACTCAAGGCGATCAGGAGTGAGGCTACCATTGGCATTACCTAGGATGGCTGGTCGTATAACCACGAACCAGAGTGAGCCCGTGCGGCAACCTTGAAAGGCAATGTCAACACGAACCGGTTCGTGCAAACAGAGGGCTTAAAATTGAGTTTCCCTAGTCAAGCTTGCAGGGAAGTTGATACGGGAAGAGACCCGCTCTCGATTTTGGGTCTGATCTCTCGGGTCCTTGGGTTCCAAGATAGTTGGAAAGCTTAAAGGGCATTCCGAGTCAGTGAGGACCCACTGGCATCTGGGGTTAAAGTCAGTTCCCGAGTGATAGTGTGCAGCAATTATTTCTCTCTGCCTTCAGGTCTACTGTGACTGGTCAGTGTGCTTGACACAAACTTTCTATATTCGGTTCGAACCTGGATAGCCAAACGCTTATTTTTAATCTGAAGTCGAATTGGTTCTGGACTCTCCCTTGACAACCACCGAAAGTGGTGATATTCAATACAACATATAGCGCTTTCCACGTATAACGACAGTGGCCGAGAAAAGCGAGAGTGACGGGACCAGTGACCACTAAGAGTAAAACCAAGCTTTGACGGAGTACTTAGCCAATGGTTCTAATCTCCTTCCTGGCGACTCGACGCCAAATACGGTGAGAAACAACAGAGTCATCAGGTGCACCCGACTTGGGTACAGTCACCGCCACCACCAAAGTAACTGTACTCCCAACGAGCTTTGCAAATCATGCCCAGCGTCAAACCCCCCGGACACTACAGAGATGGCTCAAAGCTCAAAGTCAGAATTCCAATAATGCAGGTTTCCTGCACCAGTATCCTGGTACCAGGATTTAGCCATCTGCACCCAGCTAGCAATGGAAACGGAATGTCAACAGGCGGGAGTACCGGGAGCACCACCCGCCGAGACGCACATATTCCTACGCTCAATAATACTGTGCAATATATGTGTATCATGTACAACAGGAATACTGGATGTTCTGTTACGGAGGATAAAAATAAAGCGAAATAGTATTGTCAAATATGCAATCCCTCAAGGTGCTGTGCAACAGTCGCAGTACATATAGGAGCAGTTGGCGCCCACGGGCGGATGGCGATCTGCTTATGCGCATAATGTGGTCGTGATAAGGGGAGATAGCCTGTCGATAATATACAGAATAAAGAAGTACAATAATAAAATTGACCGTAATACGGTACACCGTATGTAATCCGTTGTTGATCATTTCGTCTCTTGGGTGTTACGGCCCGCACATATACGCAAGGGACGCATGTTTTTTTCCACGCCACTTACTGATGGGGCTTTGTATCCGATTCCCCATTCACCTGTGGGGTTTGTGCAGCCTTCCGGTGTGTATTACAGAGTTTGGGGCCAATGCGGCTCAGGGGATGGTAATGTACATATTCTTGTTTTTCTGGTCGGCGTCTCAGGTGCAATGTACCCCGCCGTATTTTGTACCTCGCCCCGTGTTGTTGATTGCGTGGAATTTATATTTTTGGGTTCCTTTTCTTGCTTTTGCCAATGAATAATAAGGCTGCCTGGTAAAGAGCGTCGGCCACAGTATCCAATAGATTCCACACGTCGAGCCATAGGATATATAGGCCAAAATACATCAGGCAGATCGGAAAAAGGTATGAAATGCCGATACTTGCTAGATGCCTATTTTCGAAGTCAAGTGCTGGCTGACTGACTCAAGTCGAAAACCTATATCGGGCCCCATCGAATAGCATCAGATAAAGCGACACGGTTACATTTTCCGTGTTTGTGGCTAGGCCCAGTCCAAATAGCAATACTACCAGGCCCCCTTAAAAAAAAAGCAAAAAACCAAGACAAGACCCAAGAGACGGTAGCGGAATAATAACACTAATACAAAACGACACTCCAGCATAACATTGGGCTTTGCTACAGCTGCAGTCCCAGCCGCCGCAGGCCGAGATCCTGGTGGCGCTAGCTAATCATGACCATTTTCAAGTGTTGACTATGCCGGATACCAATGGGCCCCGAAAAAAGAAACAATGCCTAAAAACCATATGATCAATGGAGCGGTGATCAAATTCGCGGTGATCAGCTTCTTGGTCTGCTATCCGCGCTCCCCCGCTCCTAGTAGTAGACACCGTCGATCCGGGATCAGGGAATCGATCCCAATGGTAGTTCGAGTTCAATTAACCTTGGAGCCGTTCCTCCTTTTGGATATAGACTAAAACCGTCCTTCGCGTTTCGAAGAATGGTGCGACTCTAGCTCCGGGTTGCCACGTCCACTTATGCATCATGCCGTAGGAGAGCAGAATTTGGAATCACGGCTGAAGAATCCATGCTAGTGGCGATTTGATGCATATCTCAGCTGGTTTGTACTTACACCATGCTGGGGAAAAAAAGAAAGCAAGAAGCAACCGTGAGCGAAAGCAAAAGCCCCCAAAAAAAAGGAACGATGAAGATTAACCAGGATTAATTTCTTGGTTCCCGGTTTTGGTATCCGCACGTCCGGAACCATAAAGCAACTTCCGCGAACTGGAAAATAAGCTCAAGATTCGATGGTCGCGTCTGGGGCCTTGGACCTCGGGGGCCTCAGCGTTGGGACAGAGGCAAATGGAAAAGTTTCATCTCCAGGTCATCCCCGTTAGAGATTAGGTTGGCGAAGGGCCGCACGGACAGTCGTACTTGGGCCAAGCGTCCGGTGGAGATAAACACTGTGTCCATATTAGAAGCCTGACGTTACTATATTACCCACAAATTCCCGAGAAAAAAGGAAAGAAAATCAGGAAAGAAAAACCACTGAGCTGTGGACGCAGCCGCGTGTACTATGTAGTACTTGAAAAAGCCCAGTGGGGTGACGCACTGGCAACGCAAGTAAAGTATCCATACGGAGTAGATCCATAGAGGTGGGCTGAGACTATGCATTAGTCAGTGGTCCATTAGCTTCCAGGGCTCTCTTGGCTTGCAGGGGATGATCTCAGAGGCGTCGAAGATGACCGCTCTTCTTCATTATCACTTGTGGTGGCTGATTTGGCCAAGGGATCGCCAATCGGTCAATACAATTGGATAGATAAATGTTTCCATGTTGGTTATTGGGCTGTCGCTCGATCAGGTACACCTCACAACTCCTGCCATGTCTACCTTTTTTTGATAAACCGAAAGATTTGAGGGTAAATTTAGTGTATCGAAGCGGGAAATTTATTTATGGATACAACGGCTTGCTGCAGATAGCGTACAAGTAGTGCAGATAGCGGGGACGGGGTTGAGAGATTTGGAGGTATTTGGATATATCTGGATCATTTGATTTGTTGTTTTGTTCGAACATTTGACGATCTTTGTGGCTGGCCTCTAACCGAAGTTGAGACGTCCCAAGAAGTGTTCCAAGGTTTGGGCCGATCTCGGATCCCCCGACAGAACCATGGGTCGAACAAGGTTATGTGACACTCCTCCATGGATCACAGCCCTAACGTGCGTCAATGCGCAGAACGGACTCGACCCATCGACTACACATTGCAAAGGGGGAGAAGTGGATGGTCCAATCACGAGATGCAGAAAGAATTGATACGGAAGCTTTCGTATTGCCACACGCTCGGCTTTGCAGCTATTCATTTTTCCTTGCATTAGCACCAAGCCGATCCGTACTTTCAGGGGACAGACTTCTCTGTCATGTGGAGATATGCCAATACTCGGGGTCTGGCGTCGGAATTGGGAGATCATGGACCACGGTTCTGTATTATTACTCCGTGGTTGTGGTATATGTATCTCGCCTGGACCCTGTCCCTGATCGAATGGCCCCGGATTTCTTATCCATCGGCAAGCTGCGTGTACTCTTCTTTCTATCAATTCACACCTTGGGCCGATTGTTGAGCGAGTCATTTCCATCCTGTATTCTGGAATTTGTATTTGCAAATTTACTACGTTTGACAAGCGCAGTGAGCCTCGACCTTGCAGATCCGATTTTCATCCCCTGTACTATCTCAAAATATGGATATGAATCGTGGATACCCGTTTCCCGGAGAGGTGCTGGAGCGAAGGCACTCTGATACGTGCATTCCGCAGCAACCACCCGTGCACATGGTAATAGAATTTCCAATTTTGAAAAAGAAGGCAACAAGTATCAAGTTTGGCTAATAATCAGATAGCAAATTGCTCCTAAACAACCCCATACTCATAACGCCGAATATACCCACCCACACTTCGCCATGATATACCTCGACCACAACGGTCAATGGCAACTACAAGCCTCGCCCTCAATCGCAGGCTGCGAAGGCGCCATCTTCACACCAGATGTCACAAACAAATTCATAGAAATGACTGGCCAGGCCCCACAAACCAATCCGCAGTTCACAAGTGAGCCAGGTTTCTAGAGTCAAAGCCCCAGAACAAGAAGACTGACTTCCTTTGTCTTTCTGCAGACCCAACCCAAGCACCCCACTCCCCTTGGGACGAGCAACCATCTTCGGGATGGGCACAAACCGGTCAGGCGAGACCGGCCGAGATGATTCCGTTTCAATGGTCCTCACAGCAAAGCCGTAAAAAGTCAAAGCGGTCCGGCGGTATGTCCAAGGCTCGACCTAAATCTAGCTCGCCGCCGCCTACTACACCTCCACCCGGGCGGACTGTCCTTCGCGTCGGTAACCGGGCACTGCTGCGACGGTACTACGAGAAGGCATTCGAGGATTTCCAGCAGCTTAACTGCCGCGCTATTGCAAAATCATACATTAAGCTTGTCGAGCCGAGGAAGCAGGTTCATTACCCGTACAACGGACGCAGGGTTATTGCCGGCGTCTCACAGCGTGTTGACCCGGAGTTCACCAAGCCTGCGTGGTGGCCTGCTGGTGTCTTACACAAGGAGCCTGATCATCTCCTCAAGCCTGGTGAGCATACCCTTTCAAGATCACCGAATGAGACCGTGATTAATACTAACTGATAATAGACCGACTGCGACTTCTTGTTCATATCCTCTGTGAACTAAAGGATAGCCACGGAGTCACAACAGACAAACTGCGAGAGGCTGGCCAAGATGTGAGACGTCAGATTACCCTGCCCACCGGCTGCATGTTCTAGACGAGATCTACTTTGTACGACAAATGGAAGAACAGTACCTGGATGGTGAAATCGGTATGCGTCACACTACCCTCACACAAGGCCCAATCAGCAGTTCCACTAATCATGTTGCTATTCTTGTCTTATAGATGCCAGTACCTTGATTCAGGTCACACAGACACATCTACCAGAAGCAATCTTCCCAGACAGCGATGAACTATCATCCCGTGCACACGCAGCACCTGTAACAGGTCCTGTGGTTGAGGTCGAACATGACATGCACGACGCAGGTGATAACCCCGGCATTCCTGCGCTGGAAGAAGATGACTCAAAGCTACACCACTCGCATAGTCTGCCCCTCTCACCCACCACTAGCGAGTCAAGTGGTCCACAAAGCCCAACAGGCAGTTTCGGCTACCCAATTGGTATGGCACCATCAGTGCATGTAATACCCCCTCTCGAATCTGCCAATGTCGCAAAATCTATGCATCCAGACCCGAGTTATCTGTCTGGCTACTACTCGCAGCCATTTGTATCTGATAAAGGGCCCGAGTTCTGGTCACATGCCAACCCAGCATCGCAGTTTGGATATTGATACTGTCATGTTTCTTATTTTTTGTCAGTACAGACCTGGAGTTGAGCGTTTGGCTGGACACGGATACGGGGTTTCGCTGGTTCCTTTGTCTACACTAGTATATATATTTCCTTGGGAAGGGTTGCCAACTCGCTTTCGTATACGACAAGTTAGGGAGAATGTGCAACAAATTAATGGAACTCGAATGCAGCAAACTAGAACAGTGCAAGTAGCAATTCAGAGTACAACATTGGTGACCTTCCAAGGTTGGAAAAGGGACCCGACCTATAAAGTTTGCTGCCTCAGGCGACAACATCACACCTGGGCGAAGGCAAGCCCCTGATTGGTCCCGCATGACGATCCCCCCAACGCAGCTTCTCCATCCAACCACAATTCACATCACGGGCACACCTCAACTTCTCACTTTCTTGCTGGTTCCTGTTCGAGTATCTTCTCTACTCTCCCGACCTGCACCAAAAGCAGCAGCAGTCCTGTATCGCCGTTTCTGTGTCATGCGCCAGTGAGTCCAGACTTGTTTACTCTGTGGATCGCCAACCACAGTTCGCCATCCTCACCTTGTGAGTCCAATAAACGCGTGATCTACCGATAAGGTAAGCTTGCCGGGTTCTTTTAATTGCCCCTCATTTTTTTTATATAGTGGTCGTGTGTCTCGAGCACTTGCGCCTGTCTGGCACATATCTACTAAGCGGTGCTCTTTGAGCTTGTTGCAAATATGGGGATGCTAACCTTGAATCGTTTCCTCAGTCGACCATATCCCAACACACGGGACGGACCGACGATACTCTGCTTTCAGCGACAATTTTTGATGGAAAGCACCAGCTCGAGAAGAAAGTCTGATCCCGCCATGTCAGCCGAGCCGTTGGCTTCCACGCCAGGGCTGGATGAGATCGATGTGCCCTTTCCTCCAGACGACTTCACGGACAACGATGAATTTGGCTCTCCTCCCGCCTCACCAGGAAGACTGTCGCGCAACGGCTCCTTCTCAAACAGCAGCTCGTACCAGGAGGACTGGGAGTCATTTCCGCCACTGGACAAGCTGACTATTTTCGACCTACTCGACAACATCCAGCTCTCCCAGCGCTTGGAGAAATGGCAGCAGGCCATCGCCATACAAAAGGACAAGGTGCGCAAGCAGCGGGAGAAACTCAAGTCATCTTCTTTGAACGCCAAGGATCGTGTTGTGGGTGAATGGAAGCGCCGGGCACCGACCGCCGATGAGAAGCTGGAGAAATATCGTTCTCGGATGAAGCAGGGTGTAGAGCGCCTGGGCAAGCAGTGGAGCAAGACGGTGACTGTCACCCTGCAGGAGAAGGTGTCTTTTATAGCTGGTGTGCTCAATATCTTCATCAGCGGCTACCTGATCGGTGCTTGCCCGGAGTACTTTTACATCTGGTTTAGCGCGCAGCTGGCATATTTTATGCCCATCCGCTACTACAGGTACCATGCGAAGGGCTACCACTACTTCTTGGCCGATCTCTGCTACTTTGTCAATCTGCTTTGCATGCTGAGTATTTGGGTCTTCCCCAACTCGAAACGGCTTTTTATCAGCACCTTCTGCTTGACTTTCGGAAACAATGCTGCCGCAATCGCCATGTGGCGTAACTCTATGGTCTTCCACAGTATGGACAAGGTTGTCAGGTACGTTATATATCGAAAGGAACAAAGTTCGTTCGCTCATTTGTCTCTGCAGTCTCTTCATCCACATTATGCCACCGGTAACTTTGCACTGCATCGTACATTTGACTCCGGTTGAGAAACTCAAGGAACGCTTCCCTGCTGTCTACAACATCAAGTTCAGTCAGCCCGGAGACCCAGAGCATTATGGCCTTGGTGCCATGATACTCTGGTCCACGGCTCCCTATGTGGTGTGGCAGCTCATGTATCACTTCCTGATCACCGTGCGCCGCCGCGAGAAGATCGCAGCCGGTCGCCCGACCAGCTTCACCTGGCTGCGCAAGTCATACTCCAAGGCGTGGATTGGGCGATTTGTGTTGAGTCTGCCTGAGGCGCTGCAAGAGCCATGTTTCATGTTCATCCAGTACGGATTTGCTTTATCCACAATGATTCCCTGCCCGATCTGGTTTTGGTACAGATGGGCCAGCGGTCTGTACATGGCTGCGCTATTCGTCTGGAGCATCCACAATGGAGCAACTTACTACATCGACGTCTTTGGAAAGCGCTTCCAAAAGGAGTTGGAGCAGCTCAAGACAGATGTGGCACGTTGGCAGAGCTCCCCCGAAGGAATAACCAGTCCTTTCCTTGTCCCTGAGCCCAGTCCTCTCAGTGAAGCTATCAACGCGCACCACGGGGATAAGCGATCCAGTGTCGATCGAATTCCCTTGTTGGATACTGCCGAGGCGTCTTCTACTGATGTCCTGGAGCAAAGTTTGAACAAGGACTCCCTTGTTCGTGAGCGAACTTGAACCTTAGGAGACATAATCTTTGCCGTCGTTTCTGCCAGTCTTTATATACCCTGATTTTGTTGGTTTCTTTTGTCAAGATTCAACCTTGAAATTACTGAGCGAGCCTTGTTTTAATCGTATAATTGTACAGAATAGGATATCCAGATTGATATTATCCAGATTGATATTTGCAAAATGAAATACTTGGCACCTTCTTAGGTCTGTTCTAGAACTCCGTCTTTTTAACCCCGAGCAAAACCCGAGGCGGTATCGGCTGTCACGTGCAAGGTGACTGCCGCAGTACATCACAACATCTCATCGCCGGTTCCAGGACATTCCAAACTTTTTGTGACCATCAATTTATTGTGATTTTTTTTTTGGTTCATCCCGTGGACATTAGGACTAATCATTTATTTCATTATTGTTGCACCTACAAACTCCTTGGTCGTTGCTTCGAGCGCTTACTTTCTTCGCCGAACGTCTCCCGCAAATGTCCGCTACCATGAGAACGACCGGTTTGGTCCGCGGAACACCTGCTTTCCGATCTGCGCTGATCGGTAAGTGTTCAAAGACCTCAAGGAACTAAATGGCAATGACAGTCGCTGACACTTCCTCAGCAGGCCGTAATCGTTCCAGCGCACTCAGCCCAGCCTCCATTGCAGCCCGCAGCCTTCTGCGAAATGGCCGCGACCTGCCATCCCAAATGTCGGCGCTTGCTGTTCTGATCCCTCAGCGTGGATATGCGACCGAGCAATCCACCTCGAACAATTCTTCTCAGAACTTCCCTCCCCCGGGTTCAATGCCGAGCAAGCCAAGAAGCCGCTCTCCCAAGAACAGACCACGCAGTCACAATCTACAGTCGCGAAGACCCAGCCCGCCGAGACACAGTCAACTGTTAGCAAGCAAACAGATGCTGCAGTTGCCGCAAAGACAAGCACGGAGGACCAGAAGTTGGCCGAGAAGAAGGCGGCGAAAAAGTTGACGCTTGGACAAAAGATCAAGAAAGAGTTGCAGCACTACTGGGATGGCACCAAGTTGCTTTCCACCGAGGTCAAGATTAGTTCGAGACTGGCGTTGAAGATGGCCGGTGGTTATGAGCTCAGTCGCCGGGAGCACCGTCAGGTATGATTGCGCCACCAGGAATAGTTCGTTCGATATTTTGTACTGTTTGGCTAACCTAGGTTTGTTTATAGCTCCAACGTACTACGAAGGATCTTGGACGTTTGGTTCCATTCTCGATGTTCCTAATCGTTCCCTTCGCCGAACTCCTGCTCCCCGTCGCCCTAAAGGTCTTCCCAAACATGCTCCCCAGCACCTACGAGGGGCAGAAGGCCCGCGATGCCAAGGCGTTGAACCTCAGATCGACCCGCAAAGAAGTTTCTGGCTTCTTGCGCAACACCATACGGGAGAGCGGTCTGCCCTTGACCGCCGCCACCGTCAAGAACGAAGAATTCACAGACTTTTTCCGCAAGATCCGCACCACCGGTGAATCGCCCTCAACGGAGGATGTTATCAAGGTCTGCAAGATCTTCAAGGACGACCTGACCCTTGACAACCTGTCTCGCCCCCAGCTGGTCGGTATTTGCCGCTACATGAACCTGAACGCCTTTGGTACCGACGCCATGCTCCGGTACACCATCCGACACCGCATGCGCCAGATCAAGCGTGACGACCGTGCGATCTACCACGAGGGTGTTGACTCGCTCTCCGTCCCCGAACTGCAGATGGCCAGCGCCTCGCGCGGAATCCGCACACACGGTGTGTCCCCCGCGCGTTTGCGCGAGGATCTCGACATGTGGCTCGAGCTGCGTCTCAAGCAGGGCGTTCCGTCCACTCTGTTGGTGTTGAGCAACGCCTACCTGTACACGCAGGGTGGCAAGGAGTCCGAGTTCGCGTCGCAAATCGACGCGCTCAAGTCTGTGCTTTCTAGCATTCCCGAGGAGTTGTTCCACGAGATCGAGCTCGAGGTCCACAACGCCGAGGGTGCTGCTACCAACAAGCAGCGTCTGGAGGTTATCAAGGAGCAGGAGGAGCTGATCGAGGAGGAGAACGAGCAGAACAGCGAGAACGAGGGCAAGGGTGTTTCCGCGCCCAAGGATATCGATGATATCGACGAGAAGGAGGAGGCTAAGGTTGAGACTCTGCCTGATGGTGCTAAGCAGGCTGCTGAGGCTAGTGAAGCCTTGGCGGAAGGTGAGCGTGCCGAGAAGGCCCCCGAGTCCAAGGAGAAGAAGAGCGAAAGCTCGTAGTTGATATGAATATGCTGGCGATTTCTTTGTGTTTTGATTTCCTGCATGTTTTGGTTTGGGTTGCACTTGTCATATAGATGGTTGCTTTGGCTCTTTTTTTTTTTTATCTTTTTTTCTCTCCCCTTCAGTTCTCATCCTGTCTTATTTCTATGTTGATAGACCATTTGATCCCCGCCTCTCTACCTTATTTTATTGCTGTGATCTATGTATATTCTATTCCCTTGCTAATTCATACTGCATTCTAACTGTGAATAACTGTAAACAGACCCAATAACTCTTTAGAAAAGTACCTAGGTATTCCCCGATATATCATTAGTCACCTACATTCTCAACCTTCAAAGTTACCTCGGCTACACGGGAACCCCATCTTTCCCCATAACTATTCTACGGAGTATATTGTCGGAGTACACATAAGTTATAACTTGAAATGCGCAGACCACTCAACTTGAACCTTCGGACACTTCGTGCACTTCGTCTCTGTACTTACCCCCCGAACCAAAATCAATTATTCCACTCCAAGCCAACACCCAACATAATGGCCCCCCTAAATCCAACCTCCCAGGTACGTGTAACTTGTTCCTGCAACTACCCGAAATGACCGCGTGTCCACCTGTGTAATGCAAATCTGCTGTGTCCATTTTGCCATGCGTATTATCCCTGTCTCCCCCTTCCTTCAACGGGTCTTAAATTGCCCTTATTTTCTTTTTCTGTCGATCATATCTGGATGTGTATCCAAGGAGGTCTGATGGTTTGAGTTTCGGCTTCAGTCTTTGGTCTTTGGACTTGAAACCTTTTGGGGAAAGAGAGATGGAACATTCTTTTCTTTGTCTAAGACCAGTTCTTCACAGTCAAGGTTTCAAGCCGAAACCTCCATTCCTTTTTTCCCCGTGGATGTCCATCCCAATATTGAAACCCAACCCCATAAGTATATCTGACACTTATGATGTATCCATAGGAGGCAATCACCAGACTCCGAAACTATATCCCCCCCGCCAACAGTGTACGACTCGCTCCCGCTAAGCAGACGGGCGGCTGTGCTGATACTGCTCTTCGCCGACGCCAAGGGCGACCTTAAGGTGGTTGTTACGATCCGGGCTAAGACACTAAGTTCGTGTAAGTCTAAGGGGGAGGAAATACGTGGATCAGCCCTGTTTTCGGGTGCATGACATGGGTTGGTTGTTCGGGACTACGCTAATCTTGTTTTGGTAGATGCAGGAGATGCAGCTTTACCTGGAGGTAAGTTGGGAGTTCAAGGTGAAAGCAAGTTAGAAAAAAAAGGGGCGGGGAAGAGAAGAAAAACCCAATCCGAGTCGGGTTGGACGCCTTAACCTGAATTGGAAAAAGAAGGGAAAAAGGAAAAACATCGACTGATCCTGATCCCTTCCCTGTAGGCCGAGCAGAACACGCAGAAACCGCCTTTCAAACGGCGCGCCGAGAGGCAAGTGAGGAGATCGGCCTCCCCGATATTAACCAAAAGCTTCCACCCCCGTTCAGCGTGGAGCATCTCTGCGAGTTCCCGGCCAATCTTGCTAAAACGGAGGTGGTTGTACGTCCCTGCGTCGCTTTCCTCCACAGCTATGATCCGGCATTGGGGAATGCCGATCCGGAGGTGTCGCTTATTCCTATTTTGGATGCGAGAGAGGTTGAGGCTGTTTTTACTGCGCCATTCAAGGACTTTTTGTGTGGAAATGTACAGAATGGACATGAATGGTATCGTGGATCTTGGGGGATGTGGCATAATTCACACTGGAGGAGTAAGTATATTCTTTTTTATTTCCTACAACATTCTGTAGATGGATGCACCCGAGGGTGGACACGGGATGTTTATTTTTTTCCTTTCCTTTTAAGGAATCCTTCTTTTCTTCTTTTTCTTTGTTCCAAACGAGGAAATAGGGGGCCAGAGTCCATGTGGATACATATGTACTAACAACACTAGTGCACCAGTTCTTTGTTCGAGAAGATCAAGTCTATCGTATCTTTGGCATGACCGCACGAATTATTGTCGATGCAGCCCGTGTCGCATATGCACAGGAACCGGAATTCGAGCATAACAGTCACTTTGGTGATGAGGAGATGATCGCCAAACTTCGTCAGTTGGGCCGATTAGGTGAGAAGGCAGCCCTTAGTTAGGCATATACTTACATGTAAACAATCTAATAAGTTAGTATATTTACGATATAGCCAATCATATCACCTGCTAAGCGGAGTAAGGGCAATCGCCGAACTGGTCCTTGCGTCGGTTCGTTTGACGATGTTTACGTATATGATATTACCGTATATTATTTTAATAGATTATATTATTATAGTAGATTATAATAGGTTAATACCTAGGCAGGTTATAATAGGATAATATAATAAGCTACCTACTATCACCCTTTCCTCCTTACATCTGATATCATTCATATATACCCAACCCTCTCTCTTTGTCTTCAGAATTTCTGTTCTTTGATGTAATTTTATACTTCTCTTTGATTGTTCGACTCTCAGAAAATGCTTTCCCCAACCTTTTCGTATCACAGTCGAATGGCTCCCCCCGTTCGACCATCTCGCTCACTCGAAGGACTCGAGCGAGTAATCCCACCACTCTCACCCAACACTCCCTCTACTCGCTGTACTCGCTCCGAACTCTTCCTCAACAAACCTCTCCCCGCAAGACCCCTTCCCGACCAACCAGAATGTTCGGCTATGTGGAGTGACTCCAGCGACAGCGACACCGAAAGTACCCTCGATAGCCTCACCGGACCCAGTGAACCTCGCAACTCAGCAGATAGTTATCCCATCTTCGTCAGTTCTGGCTCCGACTTCGACGACCTGGTCGATCACCCGGCTCCATCCGCAGATCAGCTTCTGAGACTGTCCCCGCAACCTCCACATAAACGCACGGACTCGATCGGTATCAATATCCCATCAATTGTCGAGCCAGCATCAGTATCAGTATCATCTTCATTTTCCGACACACAATACGTGCGCCCACCGCACTGGAACCAAAACCGCACAGGCACGAACCACTACTTCCGCGAGAAGAAGTGGGATTATTTCCCCGAACTGGCACCCTCCGCGCTCCAGGCCAGCGGCCGCATCAGCCCAAACATGGTCGCGCCGAACCACAAAACCCGCAAAATAGGCAACCCGCTCGATTTCGCCAAGGGCAAGTACCGCTGGCATTCGCTCGACCGCGGCGGGTTCGGCGGAGTTCGCGACTCGATCAAGACTTACGTCCACCGCACTCTCTCGCGCGACTCGACGGAAAGTAAGAAGGAAATTCCCCGTCCGGCGACTGCGCCCATGGACCGGCACCTCAATGATGTAGGAGGTACACTCGGCAAGACAGTCCCCGCACAGCAATCATCCTTGGCCTTGGATACGAAGGTCGCGCGAGCTACATCTGTGACTACGTCGAGCAGCGAGTATGACTATACCAACCACAGGTTCCATCTTCAAACGCCCATCTCGCCGACTTCGCTTACTTCGCTCAGAACACCCACTACACCCCGCCGAAACAGCTCGCTGTTCCGCTGTCGCCATACCAGAAACATGGCCCTGTGAGCTGGGAATCGCCTAAGAAATCTAAGAAGCGGAATATTCAGTTCCCGAGATATAAGTCTTCGCCGGTATTGGATGCGGACCCGTCTTCGTCTTCATCTTCGGCTCCTGACTTGTCGTATGCAAATGCTACTTCTTCTTTGTCTCCGTCGTGGAAGCAGTCCCAACACAATACCCGAGGGGTATTTCTGGGTGCGAAGAAGAAGATTGTGGAGTCGAAGGATAATCGCCGAAGGGAGCACTTGAAGGCTCAGATCAAGTTTGTTGGGCCTGTCAATCCACATACTTACGTGCAGGCGGATCCATGGGTTTGAGGTTCCTTTGCCTTACTGAAACTACGTTGGCTTTGATTGTTTCGTTTTGGTTTTTTGTCTTCCAGCACTCATTACTCATCTCACGACATCTCACGACATATCTATACCTATACCCTCTTCGCTTTACAATCTTGTTCTTGTTTGGTGTTATGGTTTTAGCTGCATTATTTCTCTTCACCCGCATATCGATCTTTTATTTCCCTCCACTCTCCCTAACTGTTTCTCTTCTATCCAGGCATTCATGTCCTATCTCTCCTTCTATACCATTTGTCCCATTCTTTCTGTATCCTTGTTGGCCTTTTGTTTTGAACCACTGTCTGTATTATAGACTTTTGCAGCGAGGATTTCGAGCTTAACATAGTTTGAGTCAGCTCTTTAATTTGAATTACCCCTTTGATTCAATGGATATCACTTCCACTGTCAGGCTCATCCCCTCAATTATTGGTACTCAACATCCTGAAACTAAGTAATCGCAATTAAACTTACCTGCACAACACCTATATCAGACCAGGTATACAGATGCACCTAGTATGGTTTCTTACATGTAAGCACGTACATATACATACACAGACGCAGAGACAGTCGCATCTACTATCCAAAATGACCAACGTGGATCGCCATTGTCAGGCAATCATTCCAGCCATATTTATTACACACCCGCCTTCTTCGAATGTTAAGTCCACTCCGGTTCTAGTCCAGCGGAGCACTTGATAGAATTGTATGTTCTGATTGGTTTGCGTAGGGGCAAGGGTCTTATATTGCAGATCTGTCTGTCGAATATGTATGTAGATAGGACGGGAATGTCAAATTCTACTGGATTCTAAAAACAAAAGGGGTAAACAAGGAACACCAGTTGATATTCTCGATGTCAGTGTAACAGCGAAATCTTTTCCGAGTGCGTGTAACGACAACCTCGTGTCGATAAGCAGTTCTCCTCGGAACTAGCGGTGTCTGGTTCGATGTGTTGTTCGTTGTTATGGTATATTGTGCAGGAATTAAATCAGGTTTTGGGTTCTACTTTGCCGTTAGAGTAAGTAGAATAACGATAACCCCGCTTTTGGATGTCACCGACTTTTCGTGTACTTCGCTACTTGTGGTGGACTGGTATGGGGTGCGCTAATGCGGTGTCTTGCATTTGCTAGGCATTGGATCGGCGATGGTAGTAATTCTACGATGATCTGAATCTAGATCGGATGTGTTGGATTTATCTTTTTATATGGAGTATGTACATATGTGGATATGTTTGATTTGAACTTTCGGGATATGTTCATTTTGATCGAAATGTAGAGTTTTCATCTATGATTCAATTTATTCTCACTGATCTTTCAACCTAGAAGGGGTCTAGTCTGAATATACCTAGGTACCTAGGTAACTGATGAGATCACTTTGTATTTAAGGGAAGTTGCCAAAAGAGACGTACCAGCCTAGTGTGTACCTACCTCATAAGTACCTAGGTAGATCACCTCCTCGTAGAGTAAATCTCTGCAAGTCACACATCACCCAAATGGCCTCGAATACCACATTTGGTATCTGCTCTACCAAATCCTCTAAGCCCACAGAGAATCGTGACCCCTACACGAGCATTCACATCGGGGCATAGGGCCTCGGCCTCTTCGTGACCGGGGTCATCCAGGATGTGAAGTGTGCCTTGATCTCATAAATTTACCAAAAATATCGAACATAACATTACACTGCCAATGCCAACCACCACCACCACCCCAGCAAGGCAAGTGATGGTTGCCCCGACCCCGATCGGTGGCAGTTTTGGACTCCTCGGGCTAATTTTGGTCCTTGGGTTCCTTTTCTGGGTTAAAGTATGTAAATCCGCTGGATTGTCTCTGCGTCTATCGTGCTAATAGATATATGTGTAGGTTCCGTGCGCGTCAGACGCTCCTGAACCACCCACAAATGGTGACGCTGGGGAAACCCCGGCAGCAGATATGCTCGATGAAGAAGATAAGCTTGAAGATGAGAATCGTGACGCGGCTTAAATCGAGAAGCCAATACTTTCGGTGACTGAGCAACGCCTTTGGATTCCCATGGTCCACCTAACCTGATGCCCACGCTCTCCGAGAGAATTCAAGGTGATGACTGCTGGTCATCGTCGAAAAATTTGCGCCAGACCTTGCTACCTCGGAAAGTCGTGTCGTGGTCTTCGAACATCAAGAGCCTGTTGAAAGACGAAATGGTGGCATCGAATACCACTTCTCTGAACCAAGAATTGTTATCCTTGAATCACCTCCGAAAATGCATTTCAAACGGCTCAGCCATACCACATATCGGGTTGTCGATGAACTTTGGACAATGGTCAAGCTCACGCCGTCTGGGGGTGAAGAAGTGTGAATGGGAGCACCGTCTAAACAAAGTATGTCAACCAGCCAAGAGGCGAGTGCTCTGTACCCTAACGCGGACAGGAACTGATTCAATGGAGTGGGGCATACGCGAAGTGGAAGACGAGGAAGAGGCGAGATATGGATTCTCGTGATGCTGAGACTGGAAAGGCCTTTGAGCTCCCAGAACTCAAGAACTTCAACTTCATATCATTCTGAATGACGTTCTTAAACATTTCATGGCAGAGGAAGTCGACCAATGGGGCTTCACCGCGGGAGAGAGTAGTTTGGTCAGAGGGCATCCTTACGGGCTGGGCTAGAGCGAAATTCCCTCACTGCGGACTGGCTACGGGAGAGGCAGGTAAGTTATGGCTCAAGAGCCTTATCATTGCCCCTAAGCCGTAGTAGCAAATGCTGACAGTTGTGGACCATGAAGGCAACACCAGCCGCCTCAGATGCTCGAAACGCCCAAATGTCCTAACCGATGTGAAAGCGACCCTCGAGACCCCGAAGAACCCCCGAGACTCCCGAGACCCCCGCGCCCTCCACCACACCCAAGAAGAAGAAGAAGAGGCAGGGCTCCGCAAAATTGGCCACCCGGCCTGGGTCTCGTCTTGTTATCTGTAGCCTGGGTAATCTGGTATGTAAACTCTTGTCTTGTTCTCTTTGCTGTGTCTCTCATGCTAATAAATGTGCGTGTAGGTTTATCTTTCCTTGACCTACCTTTACTCAGACCCTGGCAAATGATGTCTGGGACGGCGCTCTTACGAGACCATCCACAACTATCATGCAGCCGATTATAAATCGCTCGCAGCCATGTCTTCCTTATGGGAGGAAATAGGAGATATCCTACCCTGTCGAAGCACCCGCAGCACCTGATGACGCTGGGGTACCTCGCACACAAGAAATAACAGCGTCGGCGGCGGAAATTCTGTGGCGAGTAACTCGAAAAGCGCTTGTGAGAAGTGTAGGTCTTGGAAAAGATACCTATTCTATCCAAGAGTGCTTGCGTCTGGCTCCCAAGGCCGACCCCTCGCCCCCTTCTTCAGAAGGTGGACGCCATTTCTATTCCCCTGGAGTTGTTGACCCTCCTCCAGGGCACAGTCTGTCGGCCCAAGTGGCCACAGACATTGATCTCCTGTCAGACCTCAAAGGGAAAGGCAAGGGGTAGGGGGGAAAGAAGTGGTGCCGTGGTCTGTCTAATGGGTCTTTGTGATCATGGACACAATGCTACCGTTGGGGCTTGAAGTATATGGCAAAATGCATCTGATCATCTACCAGGTCATTCCCAACTAGCTTGTTTTGCTTTGTCTGAATCCTTCAATGACCTCGACAATGGGATGGGGGTGGGTAGTTGAGAAGCCCCGAGGAGCCTCCCTGTTGTATATAGCGTAATGCCAGAGTTTTCCACTCCTTATATGCTACATATGTAGATACCGTATTTAGAAGCCAAGTAACACTTTAATTCAGCGAATCCTGAAGCAATTTAGAGCAGGAAATTTTCATGGGTCTTTCTCGTCACTAGAATGTCCAAAAATTCGCTGCCACCCGGACTTCGGTTGCTGGGGCTTCAATGGGCAAAAAAAGCAATTTGCCAAATGTAGAGTATAGGCCGAATTGAACGGTTTAAGCCTCTCTTCTAAATCTTTGGTTATCTCCTCTTTGGGCATGCGTGTCGAGTCTCAGCCTAAGGTAACGCAAACTAAGAAGGGGAGAAAATCCGTATATAACTAGATATCTAAAAAAGGATACCCTAAGGAGACTATTAAAGAGGACTACTAAAAAGAACAACTGAAACGGACTACTAAAAAAGACTTCAAAGTAGTTATAAAAAGACTATCGGAGAAGATCACCTAAGACGGCCACTGAGAAGACTATGGTCATATAAGCGGCCGACTATTCTTATTATAGGAATTAAGCTATTGTAGAAATTGACCCTATATAATTTGTAGGTTATCGAAGCCTAATTTAATATGGAAGAAAAAACAATATGGCGCACTGGCGGCTATACACTGCCGTATGTTGTGTTGATAGTTCAATGCCAAGAGAGATAAGAGATAAGAGCCCCGCGATTCACCGGAGATTCGCTTCGGGTGATCCAGACTCTTGCCCCGATCTGTTTGGAGTCCGACATCTTCCCTTCACCTTCGTGATCTTTGTTTCTACTATACTCTACCTGTACATTCCTAATCCTCTCGGTACCATGACGCAAGAATCCTCACAAGTCGTGCCCCGCTACCTGACCGGCGATAAGGCCGGCCTCCAGGAGTTCCTGGCCAAGTTCGATGTGAGTACACGTTTTGGTCGCATTGATGTACTAGAGAGGTCCTATTTACTGACTGGTCTATGTATAGGTATTCCTCTTCGACTGTGATGGTATGTCCCCCGTGCTCGCCCTACCTCGGCTGTCCCTCCGCGGAGGTCCCCCGCAGTGACTCAGTCGCGTCGCAACAACCGCTGAGACAATGATAATTTAGGTGTTTTATGGTCCGGTGACCACCTCTTCCCGGAACAGTGGAGACACTGGAGCTTCTCCGAAATAATGGTGCGCATTAAATATGAAGTCAGCAAAATCGGAGGCTGATAATCCCCGCAGGAAAGCAAGTGGTCTTCGTGACGAATAACAGCACCAAGTCGCGTGCAGACTACCGCAAGAAACTCGAAGGCTTGGGAATTCCGAGTACAGTGGTTAGTGATACCAACCATCACCACGCCAGGTCATCCAGTGTGCAGTGACTCACAACCGAATAGGAAGAAATCTTCTCCTCCTCATACAGCTCCTCCATATATATTTCTCGCATCCTCCAACTCCCCGAAAACAAGCGCAAAGTCTACGTGATTGGCGAGTCAGGCATCGAGCAAGAGCTCCGCTCCGAGAACGTCCCATTCATTGGCGGCACAGACCCCGAATACCGCCGCGACGTCACACCAGCGGACTACAAGAAGATTGCGGCGGGCGATGAATCCATTATAGACCCCGAAGTCGGCGTCGTTCTCGTCGGTCTTGACTTTCACATGAACTACCTCAAGATCGCGTTGGCATACCACTACATCAAGCGCGGAGCGGTTTTCCTCGCCACGAACATCGACTCCACCCTTCCGAACTCGGGGACTCTGTTCCCTGGCGCTGGCTCCATGAGCGCGCCGCTGATAATGATGCTGAATAAGGAGCCAGTCGCACTTGGCAAACCCAGCCAGGCGATGATGGATTCCATTGAGGGTAAGTTCAAGTTCGATCGTAGCCGGGCCTGCATGGTTGGTGATCGTGCGAATACGGATATTCGCTTTGGACTTGAGGGGAAGCTTGGTGGTACGCTGGGTGTTTTGACTGGTGTTTCTTCTAAGGAGGATTTCGTTTCTGGCGATGTTAGGCCTCATGCTTACTTGGATAAGCTTTCTGATTTGCTGGAATCGGAGTAGAATGGGCTGGAAGATGTCTATCAGATGTACTAGATGTCGCATTTAGATATAAACGCATACGAATCGATGGATCTATCATCTACGTCTGACCGTAGCACGTTTTCTGTTACCTGCAAAGGAGAATGCAAGTAAAACAGCGTGGATAGGAGGGAGGATGGATTGAAAACGAAAGGAAATCAAGTTTCCATCAAGATCAAGAGAATTGAAACGGTGAAACAGATGATCAAAATATATATCTTTTCCTATTGACCAAGATACAGGCATGGGAAAAGAAGAGAAGCAAGACTGCTCTGGGAGAAGCTAACATACCAACGATATATGCAAACAATACAAACAATCTGATCAGACATGTGATCTTGCATGTGATCGGATCGACAACCCTAACACCCTCGACCCCATCAAAGGTGATTCTTCGGCCATTCCTCGCTACTCCGCCCCGAAACTAGCTGACGCTAATCTAAGCTTATCCCATACCCCTTGGTCGTATTGTTCGTATTACTCGCATAGTATACTCGAAGCACTCGGCGTTTTTCCATTGACCTATTATAAACGTGAAACTCTATCTCAAGATAATAGAGGCAGTTGCTAAGAAGCACCGAAAAGAAAAGGAAATGATACAAAGAAGAAATAACTGCTGATTGTATCGCATATGTACAATTTGCCTCAGCACTGCGCCACTTGTACCAGAGCTGAGCAGGAATTCGTAAGGCTGCTCCACTGCTCCATTCAATTGTCCATGTTCCTGAAAATTTTCAGTTCAGAACCCGAGGACGTTCTAAAGATATATGGTACGGAACCCTAATTAACTTCCTTAAGGGGGAATTGATCTCCGCCACGTTTGTTCGGATAAGGCATCGATAAGCGGCTGAAATCCCCGCGGGCTAATTATATGATATCCAACCAGTCCACCCCTATTTCTCATATGGCAAAACGCCTAATATGCACAAATAAAGTTCGGCCCCGCCCTTAGAATTGACCAGAAATGGGCTAGTCAATACGGAAGCGGGATACGCGGAGATCTATAAACCTGATATGCTGACACAAAAGATCTTGATGGAAACCTTGGAAGTGTACGGGGTATTCCTTAAAGGAACCAACAAGCTTCGGAACATTAGGACCGTCCCGATAAAAAGGAAATCTAGAGGATTACGTACTGACTACTTCGAATTGACCCCAAGGATTCCTGTTCAATTGAGAAATACCGGTCTAGTCGGCATATTCTGGATCCTTGTCACAGAGATCTACAACCGGGGCAATCCTCCATACATGACTCGGCCATGCTGATGTCTGCTGAGACGTTAATGGACCGTTTGAAGCTCAAACCGAGGCATGTCTCAGATATGTAAAAAGCGGGCCCGAAGGTTAAAGTATATGCTCCGCTTCAAGCCGTGATTCCATTCGTGAACCGTGGAATAAAATGAAATGCCCCTTCAACTGTTAGGGGAAAAAACCATTGTGTCTGTTCTAGATTGTTAGGAGCCTCGTTGGTCGATTTTCCGATCGACACTCAGAAAATTTGATAATGAGTTCATAACCCAGATCTTCGCTGGGTTTTCCTTGCTTTGCTACCTATATCGTGTCGACTTCACGGCTGTCAGATCTCCTTGCTTTCAGGGGATGTAACGATTACCGATCTATGATCCCCCACATGATGGCTGCTCTCACTGGTGATCGGAAGTCAGTCTTAGAGGGCACATGGGCTCTTGGGGCCATCGCCATCGTCGTGGTGGCGCTCCGGATACTTGCAAAAGCCAGGCTTCGCCATCTCGGAACAGACGATGTTGCAATGATTTTATCTCTGGTAAGTTCATGTCAATAATTGGGGGGGGAAATGATGATATAAGTCCTGTATATTCTAACCCACGATATGTTTATTGCAGATTTTTGCCCTCGGCTCATCGATAAACTTCACAATCGCAATTCTTGACTACGGCTTCGCATCCGGTGGTTCTGGGATCGACGAGCCCATCGCTCTCATGTACTATACCATAACGGAGGTCTGCGGCGTTACAAGCACCTGCCTAGGCCGGATCGCGTTCATCCTCTACCTTTTACCAGTACTTTCAACGAGGAAAGTCTTCAAGATCAGCCTATGGGTACTGTTTGCGGTGCAAGTAGCGGCAAATATTGTAATGATTGTCCTCATCTTAGCTCAATGCCGCGATATCCGTGGGGTTTGGGATGCCAAATACGCCACGCACTGCATGGAAGACTATATCCAGCTCCATTTTGGCTACTTCCTCTGCTGTATGTCTATCCAATGCCAAAGGCTCAGTCGCAGCTAAGCAAAACACAAAATACTGGGTTCTTGACTAACAATATCAAATTATAGTCTGCAACTCCTCCGCAGACTTGATGCTGGCAGTCTTTCCGTGCTATATTTTCTGGGATCTCAAGTTGAAGCCAATCATCAAGTTCAGCCTTATGACACTCACGAGTTTGGGTGTTCTGTGAGTATATTCCTTCATATGGTTACAATGACACCCTTATCTACCCCAACTTACTAACAAGGACGTCTTTACCTGTATAGCGCAACAGTCGGTGCCATAATGAAGGCTGTATATCTCAAACAGATCTTAACCTGGGATGGTACAGCCAACGCAATACATCTTACCTGCTGGGCTATGATCGAATCCTATCTCGTTATTATCTCCGCCTCCGTCCCCTGCCTTCGTTCCCTGGTGGTTTCTTCCGTGCGCCAGTTGTTCGCAAGTGACAAGTCTAGCACTTTGCCTTTCACCTCATCGTACAGGAAGAGAACGACAAGCCACCAACGCACGACGAATCGCGTACAAACGAATCACGAGGCATCTGGGAGTAGGCAGAATTTCTTCTCAGGTGCACGTGGCGAGGACATTGAGATGGGGACTACTAGGACTTCGGTCAATGCCAATGAAAGTGACGATGGGCGGGAGGCAGCGCGGGATGGAATTGCAAAGACGGTGGATGTTAGTATTACTTGGGAGCAAGGACATGGCAGAGACCGTATTCCCTAGTACGTTGTACAATAGATATACATGAACAGATCTATACTCGAGAATAATCTATATAATGTTGTTATGGTCAATGATAATATACTATCAAGCTCTCTTACTCTAGAAATTGATATAGTTATGGATAAGTCTAATAATAGTAATAAGTTGACATCCCCGAGCGCAGGATCCGCACCAATCAATGCCCAGACCCTCTAAGATACAGTTTCAGATTCTGCTCCCCCAAAATATTGCAGTGGAAGGGGGTAGGTCGTATAGGACAGCTTAATGCAGACGGCTCCCTTGAGTGGATGTACGGTGGAACGGCCGAAATATTGGGCTAAACATTTGTACCTACACATTACCGCCCTATATACCGCCGAACATACTACTATAAGAATATACAGTCGGCCGCTTATCCGGCCGTAGTCATCTTAATGGATTCTTAGTTAGTCTTCTTCGGTAGTCTTCTTAAACGTCTTTTTAGTGGTCTTTTTTTAGTAGTCTCGTTAGGTACATACATTTTGACTATTAACCGTTAGTGCTGAATCACATGCCTACACGCTAACTATATTAGGAGTTTTAGACTGGCGGAACCGGCAGAGTTGGAGGGCGGTATAATCAAGGTGTACCAAGAGGTAACTATCGATTATCCGCCTAGACGTAGAACGCTAACAGTATTACACTACCTTCATGATTCCTCTATATTTAGTACAAGGCATCCGAAATCATCCCATCAATCGTGGCACCGCCTTCATCAACACCACAAACACCTACCCGGTGTTACTGAAAGGCGGTGCCACGATTAAATCAGAAATTCCATACTACCAAGGTTTTCTGGTCACATGGTGTTGGGAAGGCTACGCTGGGAAGACATGGAGAAACACTGTGCTGTATTGTGGGCGAAGCCCAAAGGGAGAGAGAAGAGAGAAAGTAAGAAGGAGAGAGAGCTAGCTAGCTGTCTGGTCCTATCGCCCATTTTGGCCTCACAGGCCAGGCACCAAACACATATTACAGAAATTTTAATACACGCGACTTCAAAAGTCTGCTTCCCCTCTGCTTCCTACTTACGAGGCTGGTATTTCGGGTGAGGAAGAACAGGCGATACCGGAATGGTCGAAGAAACTGGCACCGCCTATTCCCGTATTAGTCATGAACTCGTCCGCCAAGCGCCCTGGTTGTCGCGGAGGCACCAAGTCCAAAACCAGGTGCAACCAACACATGCAAGTCAGTTACCCCCCCCCCACCAGGAACTGGATCAGTCGCTGTGTTTGACATCCGATTTGCAGAATCCGCTGTGTAAAGCGTGACGAGGAGAAACCGCACTGCCTGAGATGCGCCAGTACAGGACGGCGGTGCGGCTATAGCACCCGTCCTATACAGACTATTGGGCGGCCCCAGCTGGACCTCACCCCTACCCATGTCAGGGATCGCAAGAGCGCCGAGCTTTTGAGTATTTTTTCCACAAGCTGGGCCATCACTTTCAGGAGTCCTGGAGCAGGCCTTCTAGGGAGGCTCGGTCCTCCAAATCTGCCGGGCAGAGCCACTTGTTTGGGATGCGATCATCCCGCTCAGCGCGCTCTACGAACGACCTCTCATTCACGAGACATCGCCCTGGTTGCTAATAAATTATGCAGCGGCGGTGCGACATCAGCACCATCGCGAAGCGGTGATCTGGTACACGCGCTCACTGGCTCTCCTGCAGCAACATATTAACCAGGGCACAGCAGATCTGATGGTGGCCTTGGTCAGCTGCATTCTCTTCATTGTCATTGAGCTCCTCACGGGAGCCGCGAAGGTGCTCAGCTCCTGCACGAATGGGGTGCCCGACTGGTTTTTGGTGCCTCGACAACAGCAACCTCGACTATCGCCGCCCTGGAGCCCATCTTCCGTCGTTTGGGAACGTGAGTCATACCTCAAGAGTATACGTGGCTCGAACGTCGACAGTGCAACTCCTCTTCTTTTAATGACATATACAGGCGTTTTCATCGAAACAGAAGCCACGCTGTATTTTGATCAAGGTGTATATGATGTCTACGAATCTGAATTCGCCCAGATGCCTGGCCCCCACCGCCCTTGCATGGACACGCAACCCGGAAGGAAAACAACCGCCGTTTATGTTTGAGATGGGCGTATTCCTCCCACCTTTTATCACAGGGCTCAAATGTCCATTCCTTGAGCTGCGTTGCCAGGCATTTCGGTACATGGCGCAGGCTCCCCCGGTACAACGAATGTTTATGTGCACTCCGGCCGCTCATATGGTGGCCATTCGCATTGGGCTAGAAGAGAACCCCAGCAACCTGCCGGGAACAGCCTCTGAAGTGTATGAACTGCTGGCCCAACCGGGGCATATCCCACTAGCTCAGTATCGCATATGTAATTTCAGTGTTTCGTCTGTTATAGATGAGGAGGGTAAGGTGTGGAACTGGTTAAATTATATACTCTACCACTTTGATGAAGAGGGGAGATACAGGTTATGGAAAAAAGGGTGCTCTTCCCTACATCAGATAATTAGCATAACAATACTTTATAGTAAAACCATCTTAACTTGTGAGCACAATCTCCTTTATGATATCTACTTGCTAATGCTACACCTGACATGTGCATACGGACGCTCTTTTGATCTATAATTCATTAATTGCTGTTACCCGGGCACAAACATGAACATTCCATCGCGAGAGAAGCCGGCGCAGAGGTGAGTCGAGGGTGGAAACAGGCTTTGCATTATTAGGTGCTGCTTAATATGTGCGACCCATCTAGTCTTTCCTCCTCCACACGAACCAACCTAGGGTAATGCAAGCCTTCAGAGCCGTGGCAAGCCACAAACCACTTGCAAGCCCTGTCTCCTTCGCCATTCCACCAGCAGTCACGGCCCCCAGAAAGTGTGAAAGCAAGGCACCTAGTCTTCGGTTTCGTTTCGGGTTCGAGCTCCAGGGACGCCGGTATAGCTCGGTGTCAACAAATAAGTCGCAGACCATGACTGTTAGAACAACTGTGGGGATCTCTGAGAAGGCCAGGAATCGCGAGGCGACAATTTGACCGGCGGCTTGAAATGCGATCAACGAGATTGCGAGAACCTGAAGCCAGTCAATTGGGATTTGACGGTCCAGGGTGGGACTAACAATCCGTTTTTGAACAAGAATGGCGGCTCCGAGGAGGAGAGCTGTCTGAATGGCAAAAGACACTATCAAGGTGAAGCGTCGGAGAGTACCCAGGTATCGCGAGCCGTAGACGAAAAAGACGTTGCCGACTATAAACACTGTAACAGCAATGAGAGCCTTAAGCCACAGCATGGGCTGGCTATCGGGCTTCCCGGACACTCCTAAAGCGATGAAGATAGTGTTCCCTGTTGACGTGCGGTCGACCATGGTTAGAGCTCGATCTTTATGGAATGCATGCTTTGGTCCTTACCTGTGTGCATATTCGAGAAATTTCCCCACGCATTGTACGACAGCGCGTCAATTAGGCCGCTCACATATCCACAGCCTATCAGAGGCAGGTCACTCCATGCGGTGTCAATTTCGGAATGGAAGTAGTCGTCGAGGGCATATCTCAAGGGTAAATCTCGGTCAAAGAGGTTGCCTTTGGTGCTGGAGAATTTGGGGCTTTTGGCGAAGGGAATAGTGTCGGGAGTCTGCCTTTCGACATCGTCAAAATTGGAAGAGGAAGACCCCCTAGACAAGCCAAGATCAGTCAATTCCATCGCTGGTGTTTTGATGGGGAGAGACCCTTGAAACATCGGCATCGTGATGGCAAACAGATCAAATGTAGGACAAACTAAAGTCAGAAAAGAAAGGGGCACGTAGGGAAGACATTAAGTATATAAAATTTGGATAAAAGAATATATCGAGCCCTGCGAGTCCCTCAACTGCAGGATTGCATCACCTGCTCCCAGAGATTTGCATCCAGTGCTGGCGTACCCTGCCACATTGTCGGAAGGGGGTGACCAGACCAAGGAGAGAGAGGGTCATCAATACATTCCTTACCCGCAGAGATCAACATGGCTGTAGATAGTGCCGCCTTATGCAGGCCATAGGGACAGGAATGATCATTGCCAAGAGCTTTGACACGCGGTCACCATGTCACAATAATGCTGCAAGCCTGGACTATGATGTGCAGGGTTGACTGCAGGTGGAAAATCTCTACAACAATGGTTGCAGGTCAGCAAGTTGCCAGGCACTTTGCATTATCTCTTCATCTTGCTCCAATAGAAAGTGGTCTTTCAGGGGGACGTACTCCGTACAGTGACTACGCATAAATCTTAAACTTATGCAGAGTCACTCTACTCGCATTGAATTCCCCTCCACCAATGTTCAGGCTGGCCAATAATGCCTGGATTCCAGAAGAAGCGATTCGAGATCCTGGTCCTCTTCCAATCACCCTGGATTGGCAAAGGGTGACGCAGCTCAGACCCCACCAGCGATTGACGCCAACGTTGACCCTCGAATAATCTTGGCATCGTCATCCTAGAGCCAAGAGCACGCCATTGCCGGATAGTTATGGCTACTTGCAGATAGCGCATAACGGTCCCTGATAATTCGATAAAACAGGGAAAGGGGACCGCGCGTCCGGGACGATCACCCGGCGTATTTCTAATCTGTGACAGTTTCAGAACATTGGTGCATGAAGCCGAAAATGGACCGAAGACCCCGGATCTATCGCAGGTCAAATCGATAGTTGCATGTAAGGAAAATATCGGCCTATGATCGGCTCATGATCGGCCCGTGATCGCCCTCATCGCCAGGGGATCTGTGTTTAGAAACTGCGAGTCCCACCCCCGTGGCCTGCTCCAGTCTGCGATTCGCTCTGATACTTATCAAAGACCAAAAACAAGGCGAGTTCGTGTCCACAAATAGAGCTTTTGAGTTTTGTCGGGCATTGAAGAAGGTGTGGATCTGATTCCGGACTACCGAGACGGTTTCAGGGACCCTGGGATTTCTAGCCTTGCAATAGTCAGGGGCAGTCAAACTCATTGTAACCTTTTCTGTCATAACTATTAGTGTGCTCGAGAATAGAAAGTGATATGGTGATAGGAGTCTCCTGCACCGATTCCAGGCGAGGGCGGAGACATTGTCCAGGTCAGGATCGTCAGGTGCTTGCCCCATCGGGCACTAGGCATCAACTTCGCCTCCATAATTTGTACTTGGCAAAGATAACTGCGTCGTGTCTTTGTGGGCTGGGCCTGATAGGTAATAATGCTAACACCGGGTTACGACCAGCCTGTTTCGTGATCGAACTACACTGCCGGCGACTCACAGGCCCGTTGACATTACAAACTTTGCGTCTGCCTCTGTCTCCTCGGTTCAAGACAAATATTCGGATCACTCCGTTTGCTTGGTTTATATCACTTCATTTCAAATTATATGGAGAGTGGCTTTCGAAAAGATTGCGTAATGTATCTTCCAATGTTTATATATTTACATGCCGACATTCAGGACATAGCTTCTTCGATATCATATGGACCCAGCGATGAAGGACTTCCAAGGTCAAGATTATTTAATTCCAACCAAATATTGAAATTCGACCCGGCCACATATTCAAGTGACTCGGGAGTCAAAGCCGAGCTTTCATCCAATGGGTTTTCAATATCCCATATATTTTCCCCAGCGTGATGACAGATAGATGACGAGTATTCCATAATTTCTTCCTTTTTTGCGTCATCATCTAATTGATTTTCGGAGGCGCAATGAATATCAGCTGACGGATGGACGACAGGGACGGAATGCCCAGCATGTGCGGAAAGAGAATTGTGCATGATGATGACTTCAGTTACGATGTCCACAGCCTGGAGCAGCTTTTCAGAGCATTTGTGATAAAACTGTTCCGAATTGAGTCCATCAATGTTGTTTCGATTGGGCCTCGAACTGCCTCTGGTAGAACAACGTAGCTCGAGTTGTTCTAGGACATTTGGCGGTAGCATCTCCATCCATAGCCCAACTTCATTGTCCACATTGTGTGATGGGCCTTGATCGGAACGTCGTCTTTGCTCTGAACAGGTACGTGGAGAATCCAGACTTCGAGGCGGGCTCTTTCTTTTCCGCGATGGTTCAACGGTGTCATTTGACTGGACGTCGTCACGCTTGGGATCTAGTGTTGCGGGATGTTGTGACACACGTGGTGACAATATTGTGCCATCTGCCCTAGCTTTGTGAGGAACATAAAGACTTGAAGCTGCTGTTTTCTTTTTCCTTCGCGGTGGAAAAACGCATTCTTTCATATCAAGTTTGCAATTGGTGCACGATGTGCCTTGATTTAGCGCGTCGCAACGAACTTTCCGTTTGTGGCAGGCATAGCAAGCCCATTTGGCTCGCCTCGACCGAAATTTCCTTTCGCTTTGTTGGAATTGCATTGTCTCGTTCCCACTCGGGGGTTCCTGGATAGGTTGAAAACGGTATTCGGTACCCATAATGTCCCTCAATCTTTGTTACGGGTCGTCCGTGTAACTCTTTGGAACCGCCTGGTTGTTATGCATTATTTATCTGCACCACGGGGTTCGATTTATATGCGGGGGCGCTTGTCCTTTTTCTTCGGCACTCGGTAGCCGATTACCGAGACTTGTTTTTAATCCCTTAGGATCGCCGAAATGCCGAGGTCTCGTCATCAGCATGAAATAGACAATGGTCTTCCTCTTTTCGGTATACCTTCAACGTTGTTAATTGTGGCGTGCCACTGTTAGGTGTTTATGGAACCAGAAACGATGCGTATGAGCCTAGTAATGCAGCATAAAACAACGTCAGCTTCGTTCATATTTGTAAAGTGGACACAGACACAGTGGCCGTCTACAACTTTGATTGAACAAGGTTACAGTAGATCTGAAGATAATCAGCAAGTGCGCGCAGTATATCTGCGGAGAATACCCATCCCTCTGTACCACCTTCCTGCCATGACACACTTCGCAGCTATGAAGGACGAGATTTTGGCCCATTCGGTCGTTCCATGACAGTACATCTTGCATATAGGTATTTGTACTCTCCAAGCAATGTCAGCCAGGTTCCATCTGTGTACTAGAAAGCGGTAGACATAGGATATATCAAATATCACCTATCGTCAATTTACCCTCAAGTGGGCCCCCCCCTCAGTTCCACGGCTCGGAGGCGGGCCTACCCGGAGCCGGCGCCTTCCATGGTTCCAAGCAGCCGCATTACGTAAGGGATCCGACGGTGGTCGGCCAGAGCCTGACGAAACTGACCATCTTTCCAAGATCCATGGATTGGTATACAGCTTACTAACAAATAGAAAGCTCGCTCGAAGCCCAACATATGCAATTGGTTCAAAGCTCATTCTACGACTCGATAAAGTCGAAGTCACTATTCATGCGCCTTTTAGGGCTTAATTGTTGCTTCCATCTGACATCCTAAAACTCGAGCCTTCGATTGACCGAAAAAGGAACTCCTTATAGAATAACTTACTGCATAGGGATGTTACCATCCCTATCAGGAAGAGCGCTAGCAAGAGCAGTAACAAGGATCCCCTGTATCGATAGGTTAGCTGTGGTGCAAGAGCTTATTCCAGAATCAATACTCGCGATATCGATTTGTTCAACAAGGCTCATTGGGTCAATAATGCGGTCCTTAAGGATATCTTATCAGTAATGAGCCAACAAGCTTTAACTGGGAGGTATTCTGTACGCGGCAAAGTGTCTCGATGACAGATCTCCAAAGGGCGAGTAGTGGGCAACTCCGCTGTAGGTGTCTGGGGTCGCGGCAGAGATAACAAGTCAAAGTTGCGCTGCTCTGTACCATATTATTTTCTTTGTCAGTAATTGGGGGAAATGGTTCGTTCTCACACTGGCATATACAATATGGGAGTGGCGCGTGGAAGAACAAGATGAGAAGGTAGAAGGTATCAAATGCAGTGGGAATATCACCAAGTACACACTCCAGAAAAATGCTGGTGGTATTGCAGCGAGGCAACACTACACAACAGTGGGGAGCACATATTTTGTGAAGTATGGCTTACCTGGTGGTGTTGGCTTTGGTGCTGGTATTGTTGGTTTCGGTAGTGATGCTGTTGTCTATCATCACGAGCAGCTCCTTGGTTAGCTCTACCAGCACGACGAGGGTCACGACTAGGTCCATGGCGTTGTCTGCCAAGGTATGTAGATTCCATATCAAGATGAGCGGAAAATGAGTCCTGGTGTAGAATCAGCAGAATATGTTGAGGGTGAAGACTTGGAAATTGTAGCCTTATATCGGGAGATGAGAGTTGGTAGAAGGTGAAAATTTAAAACCAGGCAAACTTTCAAAGAGTCTTATGGCCGATTTTAAAAGTCCGACAGCAATTTTGAAGTAAGATATGAGCTCCTCTAGCCTCATATGTTCCTTCTTGCCTGGCCTTTTGTTTAATATTGCTGTGTCTATCTCTTGCTTTATTGCTGCTAAAATGAAAGAAAGGTCAGAATATGTAGGACACAAGGACATAATTGTCGTCTATATTTTAGGGGAATTTACTTCACGTTATTTCCAAGTCTGCATTGTTATTATTGGCGCCAGCTCAAGCCCGATGTCTAAGTCTTCAGTCAAGGACACCGAATCGCAGTGACTGCCTGCTATTCGAGCAGCTAAACTCTAGGCGCAGTCTTCTAGGTGTGTGCATAAATTACACGTCAAGTCATTCAGACTCACAGTGTAGCTCTGTACTTAGTAGCTTGCGCAAAAAGAATATTAAAGGGTATCATGATCATTCCATTCGAACAAGATCTGAGTGCTAAAAAAATCCGAATATAACGCCTCTGATATGTAGGACGTCCCCGTCCCGAACGCCATCTTTTTTCGATCAAGTATTCGGTAAGTCTCACTGCTGACCATGAGGGTCTAAGCTCGAGACGAGTTTTGATAGAAATAAACCCCTCTCAATTTCCACGCAGGACTCCGGCAATGCGTAATGCCAGGTCCAACATGGAGAGATGCTCATCGGACCCGTCAACCAGCCGCTTGTCCATCTCCGAGAAGAGCATGACAATCTTATTCTTCTGGATATCGGGGATTGCCTCGTTGGACACTACACGTCGGTATAACTAGAAGAGGTCAGCGAGGTATTGAAAATACAAAGAGAAGAAGGACAAACCTGTGCAACAAGCTGCGTAGCACTCCAGCCATCAGCGACAAGGTCCGTAATCACCCCCGAGACAGCCTCGTAGACCGACCCACCACTCTTGGGCTGCATAGCCTCCACAAGAGAATCCAAAATGTTATCCGGCAGCACACCAGCGATTTCCTCAATGCTGCGCACCGTAATAACACTAGACTTGCTGCCAACATCCGTCATTTCAGCATCATCGTCAGCATCCTTCGCAGCAGGCGGCTTCGTGGCACCGACCAAGCGCGCCGCACTCTGCAGATACGTGATAGCACGACGCAAATCACCGTCACCGCACCGGATAAGCGTATCGATAACCCCATCCTCGAGCTGCAAACCCTCCTGCTCTGCAATATTCCCGATCCGCTCACCAGCGGCGCTATTATCCAGCATCTTAAAGCGGAACTTGCTGCAGCGACTAGCGAGCGGCTCGATGATGCGCGTAACATAGTTGCAAACGAGACAGAACCGCGTGATCCGACTGTATGTCTCCATCGTGCGGCGCAAAGCGGACTGGGCGTCTTGCGTCATGCTGTCTGCCTCGTCGAGGATGATAATCTTGAATGGTGGGCATGGGTACTGTGCGCGATAGGCGGCGTCCAAACCTGTTGGTTGAGTGAGCTGGGCCCGGGCGAAGTTCTTCACTTTGTCGCGGACGATGCCGATACCGCGCTCGTCGGAGGCGTTCAGTTCTAGGATTCGGGAGCGGTAAAGGGCGGGTCCGAAGAGGGATTTGGCGAGGGCGAGGATTGTGGAAGTTTTTCCTGTGCCGGGCGGTCCGTAGAAGAGCATGTGGGGGAGCTGGTTGGTGTTAGTTCATTGTTTTAATTGTTCGGGGCTGGATGGTTTACGTTTGAAGCTTGTAGGGTGCGCTGCAAGACATTGGTCGTGTGGTCTTGTGCAGCAACGTCATCCAGGGTCTTGGGGCGACTAATCAAGATCAGCCAAATGCTCAGTGAGCTCAAAATGAAGCATTGACATACTATTTCTCGACCCACGGCTGGAGTCGACTTGAGTCTTCCTTGTTGTCGCCAGCCTTAGGCTTAGAGCTGCTGGATGCGGCGGCAGCGGCACGAGCCTTGTTATTGAAAAAAGAGGCAGCCATTGTTGTCGAATAGCCCGAGGTCAGCAAAAATCAGGGTTATCTCGAGAGCTGGTCGATGTGTTGGAGATCTCTCTCTGGCGCCCACAATCAAGACGCGTCTCCACGTGACACGCGCAGCACTTAAACAAACTGACCAATGAGAGCATCTTTTACTATGTAGTGTAGAGGTATACAAGTCCACTTCTAGCTGAGCTTATGTAGATAGAAAACTTAGACTTATTCAGAACTTCTAAGACAGCGAAAACCTACAGTAAACAGGAGGGTCCCGAAATTTATAGCAGCCACCAAGTCAGAACTATCCAAGAATCATTCAATGCTTTTTCAGAGCCTGCTCCCTCCTCCAGTCTGGATCCTGAATGGTACTCAGGTATATACAAACCTCAATAGCATTTTGAACTATTAATTAGTTAGAAAGAATAGGAAGCAAACAAGATAAGCTTAATAGTATTATATCACTTACCAGTCTCAAGCCTAGAGTCAGAGTCAGGGTCTTTTGAATAGGGATATTCGAAGTTGAATTCCTTATGTATTATTAGTATCATTCCAAGGTTAGGACTTCAATGAAATAAATTACACATACCTTTTCCAGGCCCTCTAAAATGGCCTTATAATCATCTGCATCTTTAAACCCCTCAGTAGGCTTAAGTTCCCATGTACCAGAAGGAAAGGTGTACTCGTTGACAGGATCGGTGTTCTTAATCTGTATAGTAGTAAAGTCTAGAATCAGGTACTGAGAAATTTGTTTCAAATATGGGAATGTCATCATACTTGCTCTACAGGATAACCCGTGACCTTGCTTATGACTTTTTTCACTCGTGCCTCGACTTGTTCACGAGTAGGAGGCACCATATTGCAAGATACGCTCAAGGATTAGAGGTTAAGGAAAGAGATATAGTAGTGATATCAAGTTTATAAATACAAAATAGGAAGAGAAGAAGAGGGGTTTGCTGATATGGGACCAAATATATATATGCTGAGGGAATACTCCAACATGCGTATGCAGCATATAGCGGCCAAAGCGCCAGAGCTGAAAACATGCATGAATTCCATTTATTTGGCCAATCGGATAATACAGGGGATGATCATTATGCAGAAAATTCCTCTTGTGGCCCCATCTACACTTGCAGGTGGACATTCAGCCGTCTCAGCTCGTCTTGGCAGGAAACAATCTATCCCAGGAATCGTCATTTCTTCTTCTCAGGTATCTTTTATACAGAGTTTATATATACTACGAAAGACCAATGTTGCAATGATCATAATTACATGGTATCTCATTATTGCTAGGATTAATATCTATAGCTCGTCGCGCACCGGTTCCTCCATCCCGGCCTCGAACATCCTCTTTTTCGTATTCCGGGGAAGCACTGCTTGTCTTGCCCTCTCCTCCGGGGTAACATCGTCAATGTCCACACTTTTGTGTTGCTCTTGCTCAACCATGTCACCAATTTTGTCAATAACACGATCGCTGTCGATCGGTGCCGACGGTTCTTGCTCCCAGGCAGCGCTACTAGCTGACACGGTTCCTGTTGCAGCCGACGTGGCCATTTGATGAATAGCCGTAGAGACATCCGCAGAGAGGGACTGAGAAGCAGACTCCACAGCTGTAGTGGATAGCCCGGCTGCGCCTAGGGTTGAAAACGCAACACGAGCGATGAGCTTGAAAGGAAGCCATACAAGCCACCACAGAGGCCCATAGAAGATACGTCGGAATAGAAGCCAGGCAATTGTACCAAGAAGAACATAGAAAGCAGTCTCAAGGTACCATGTGTCGGACTTTTGGGAGCGGAGAAGAGAGTTAGCAAGACTGCGGGATGAAGATATAAGTGTATCAAGGCTGCTATAGGACTCGGATAGAGATGTGATCGCGGCTGTGGATTGTTCTATTTGAAAAATATTAGTGCCTGGCAGGATGAGGAAAGACGAAAGAAGTACTCACCAAGGGTTGATTGGGCAAACTGGCTGCGGGAGAGCTCCGCCTGCATGAGTTGATGGGTTCTGCGTAGCGCAGACGTCACGTCGTTCGAAGCGTTCAAAACAAGATCATCCTGAGTGAACTTTTCTGTCGGCTGCTTCTTCTCGGAGGAGTGCGATCTCGACAGCAGCAACTCTCTCTCCTTCCGCTTGGCTAGTTCGGCATTCCGCTTCGCTTGTAATTGGGCAGTTCGGAAATCACCTCGTGTTCTAGAGAGCCGATTAGCATGTACTGCATATCTAAGACTAGCCAGTGGGCCAGGGCAAGGAAATATGTCCGGCATGCGCAAGTCATTTAAGGGTACCTTACCTCTTGAGATCCTCAGCCAACCGCCCTGCCATAGAAATAACCCGCTCCTTCTCAGCCTCCTTCGGTCCATGGACAGCAGATGACTTTCGCCTGCTATCAGATCCAGTTTCCAGCGCTTCGACCTCCACACGTAGCAGCTCTAACTCTTGCTCGGCTTCCTTTAGCCGGGAATGTATCTCACTCCCGAGCTCTAGGCGGGCTTCATCGCCCTGCCCGATAGAAGCAGTAAAATCGCGCAGTCGATTCACGAGGGGCTGGATTTGTTCCAGGGAAGTCGAGAGCTCTTTCACGCGGCCCTGGAGAGCTGTTGTGGGGGACATAGTGCGATAACGGTATTACTTATTCGATGTGACGCATTCAGGTGCTGTCTGTTGGGGGATGTTATAGGCGTTGAAGTAACCTTTGTGACAATAGACAGCAGAGATTAAATTGAGAGGTTCGAAGCAATAAGTTGCTTCATCAGTGTCGAGTTGTTCGAAGTTGCCATGTAGACGGGCGTCATTTGGCATCGTGTTTGCATCCGAGTCAAACATGCCCCATTTCCCTCATCCGCAATTCGCAACGGAGACTCTGGTGTGCTTAGAACTTCCAATTGGTCTTGCCCCATTACCTGTCAGACTTGTCGCAGACCGACTGAGATCCACGCAATTTTCTCCTTGGTCCAATCTTCCACCGAGGGTCATCTGTCCAACCGTCTCGGATTCTACCCATAAACCACCACCTTAAAAAACTTCCCGACAGCCCTCATTCACTCAGGTACGCAACAACAAACCCAAGACAGAGCTACATGATATCATTGCTCTTGATGATAAAAAAACTGATCAATTTACCAGTCCGCAAAACCTCCCCGCCCTTCTCATCACCAACCCAAAACCGCAACAATGACCATCCCCCTCGCCACGATAACCAGCTTCCGGACCGCCTACAACCCCTTCTCCCGCGCCTCCCGGCCATGCCGACTCTTCCTAGGCATGCTGCGCACACCAGACACTATCCCGACAAGCAGCCCGACCCACATCGATATCCAGGTCAAGCAATTGCCGCGCACCTCCACCGAGTCACCGACCATGACTGTCGGGTTTAAGGGCGGCAAGGAGCTTACGCTGGATGTCGGCAAGCGCGGGCTGAAGATTGGCGATGTTATCGAGGAGGTGTCCCGTGTTGGCAGAGCTCTGCAGCGAGAGGCCAGCTTGAAGAATTAGTGGGAGGTTTTATTGTTCGAGCTGCGCATTCATGTATTATATTACCTATCATTTGTTTCATCTAACGATTTTGGCGCTGTTGGGCATATTGGAATACTTGAATTATTCTTACTTTGCTAGTTTATGCTTCATAGCTGGTATAGGACTTAGGAGTAGATTTGAAGATCATGCACAAGCTGGGGCAGACAGTGGTGATTGTTCATTGCTATCCAGTTACACAGATTCGTATGCCCATCAGAGACTACCATTCTCTACGCTGTCGTGGTAAAAAGTTTAAGTATTTGGAGCAATCCATTCACAATCAAAAATGCGTCTTTTCCTTGGGAAATCGAAGAACGTGGTTTCCACCAGGGAGACGATCATAGGCTTGAAAGCTTAGGTTAGTTTTATATTTCTCTTGCAAAAAAAATATCATTTATACTGCGGCACCTGAGATGAAGAACCACTTGTCAATGCTGCCATCAATGGGAGCAGGGGGCAGGTTCTCATTGCGGGGGATGGCAGCGAGCTGAGCCTGGTCAACACGGTCGGCAGAGTTCTCAACAGTGGAGTTGGCACTGGTGATAGTTAGCTTCAACATCCTCAAAAGCGAAGAGATGTGATATGGATAGAACTCACAGGCTGATATCACCACGGGGGGTCTTGCCAGTGACAAGCTTCTCCCAGGCGTCGGAGCACTCGCGGATGACATCCTCGGCGTACTTCTTGTTCTTGCACTCGCCGGAGAAGGCGAACTGGTTCTCGGGCTTTCCGTCGGGGATCTTGTAGATGCGGAACCACTCGTTGGTGGCGCGCATGAGGCCAGGAAGCTGACGCTCAACATCCTCAATGTCGTTGAGCTTAGGGGCAAGAGGATCGTTGACGTCGATGACAATGATCTTCCAGTCGGTCTCCTCCTCGTCAATCAGGGCCATGACACCAAGGACCTTGACCTGCTTGACCTGGCCGGTGTAGCCGACAAGCTCACCAATCTCGCAAACGTCGAGGGGGTCGTTGTCACCCTTGGCCTTGGTCTCGGGGTGGACGGAGTTGGGGTCTTCCCAGGTCTGGTTCATATCGTGTTAGTACTGTTTACCCCTCATCTTATCCACGGGTGTGGGAAGTCCAAAACTTACGCGAGGGAAGGCACCGTAGTTCCAGAGGTAACCCTTGTGGGGGAAGCAGTTGCGGACGAAGCGGAGCTTGCCCTTCTTGGTGTCCTGCTTGATGGGGTTGAGGAAATCATCCTTGGAGATCTGTTTATGATGCAATTAGTACATGGCGAGAGTCAATTGAGGTGTGTTGTCGTACCTCCTGCTTAGCGTTGGTCCAGCGGGGGATCTCAACGACCATGTTCAGGATGGTCTGCTGCTCGTTGGCATATAGAGGAATGTCGTGGAAGGGGGAGACGGGGACGCCATCCTTCTCAACGAACACGCGGTGCTCGAGAGTGTAAGGGGAACCGATCTTGCGGACGGAGTAAGACATATTGGGTGAAGCGGATGAAAAGTGTCTAGATACTTGGGCCGCACGGGATAAGGGAGAAGAAAGGAAGAGGGAGAGAGAGGGGCAGTAGAAGTGGGGGGGGCCAGCGTTGCTGATGTGCGCCAAACACGACGGGAGGCGGTGGAGGTAGCACTTCCCAGTCGGGCCAAGGGAGGACAAGTCATTGGCTGTGATGAAAATGTTAATGCTTTCTATTCAAATGTTTTCTTTATTTTAGTATTTCTGATACAAAAAAACTTGAAACTGTACCTTCAATCCCACCAGCTGACGGGTATATATGTTGCGATTGCGTGGTGTTACCCCCTTGTGTCGGGAGTTTGTATGGAAAAAAAAATTTGAAAAACATGGCAGTTCCGAAAGTCGGCATGTTTATGATCTCCCCGAATTACCTAGGTAGATTGATATCCCGACTGGATTGGTCAATTGTGGGTGTAGATTATATACAATTGAAGTCTCGTGCTCTCACTACATATTAAGACTACTAGTACATGTACAACATAGGTACGCTACATCTTTTACTATTTGACAGGATGTACGCTGCATGTACCTACCCGACCCCATATTGCGAAGCACGCCGATGTCGGTAGTATACGCGTGGCCTGGACGGAGTAGATCAATTGCAGTTGTATTCACTTCAACTCTAGAGCATGAAAATATTGGAATTACCAAACCCTTGGAACATTGAAGAATGGCAGACAATCACATTTAAAGGACATGTCGTGATCCTTGGCAGGGAATAGAAGCCACTCATTGGTTGATTTCATCTCACCGGCCCTTGGAAGTCGCTGCTCGAAAAACACCTCAACAAAGTAAATTACGGTAATATATGAAATCACATGACTACATATCCTGAAAAAGGTTATCGCCACTATCTTCACGTGACTTGAATTTCTATCGGGTCTCTCCGACAAGAAAAAGACCGTTCTATACACCCCTCCCCGCAGCACCTGGGAATGCTATGATCAGAACTCTCCGCAAGACAATGGCAACCCTCGCAACCGCAACCGCAACTGCCCCCGCGCCGGCCGTTGTGCCGCGCGTGCCCATCCCCGCCAACGGCGTCGACTACCGCAACAAAATCGTCCTCGCCCCATGGTCCGATCAGGCGAACTACCCTCGCGCCTCTTGGCGCTGAAATACGGCGCCGACCTCGTCTGGGGACCTGAAACAATCGACCGCTCAATGATCGGCGCCGAGCGACGCGTGAACCCGCGAAACGGCACAATCGAATTCACCCGCATGCCCAGCAACGGCGGCCGCCCCAACAAACCAACTAAAGAATCAATCATCTACCGCATCGACCCAGCACGGGAAAAGGGCCGACTAATCTACCAAATTGGCACAGCCGACCCAGAGCTGGCAGTACAAGCTGCGCGCGTCGTGGCCGGCGACGTCTCAGGCATCGACCTCAACTCCGGCTGCCCGAAGCCCTTCTCCACAAGTGGCGGCATGGGCGCCGCCCTCCTCCGCACCCCCGACCTCCTCATCTCGATTCTGGAAGCCCTTGTTAAGGAAGTAGGCGAACCCTTCCAAATCGGCATCTCGGTCAAGATCCGCATCCTCTCCAAGCCAGAAGAAACAGAGGCCCTCGTCTCCCGCCTCGTGAAAACTGGCATTACGGGCTTGACTGTGCACTGTCGCACGACTCCTATGCGGCCACGCGAACGCGCAATCCGTGACCAGCTCCCCATGGTAGCGCGCATTTGCCACGAAGCCGGCGTGGCGTGCGTAATGAACGGCGACGTGACATCGCGCGACGAGGGACTTGCGCTGATGACCGAGTACGGCGTCGATGGGGCGATGATTGCGACTTCCGCGGAGACTAACTCGTCCTGTTTCCGGGCGAAGGAGGATGGCGGCGCCGCGCCGTGGAGGGAGGTCGTCTACGAGTACTTGTGCTTCTGTATGGAGTCGGAGAATCGTCTGGGCAATACCAAGTACCTGCTCAATATTCTGATTCCCGGCAAGGACAAGGAGTTCAAGGGTGCGAAGCTGTCCAAGACGTATCTTGATATCTGCCGCGTGTTGAAATTCGATGATTTGCTTCCGGCTGCTGCGCGTGTTGATCAGATACTCGGTCTGGATGAGAAGTGGGAGACTGCACCCTGTGTGCCCGATACAGAAACGCAGTCTGAGTCCAAGTCCAAGGCTGTGCAGAATGCTATGGAGTCCGAAGCTGCTCGTGCGGCTGGCGGTGGTGCTGTCCGGACTAAGACGCCCTCGCCGGCTGTTCATGGTGGTGGTCCTATTCGGCGGTCTTCTGCTCCTCAGCCGGCTAAGGTTACTCAAGTTGATGCTGAGCAGCCAGCTGTTGAAGCTACTATTCCCGCTGCACAGCCTCAGGCTCCGTCTCAGCTGACGGCGTAAATATCTCTTTGCGCCTCATCGCATCTCTCGTCCTTCGTTGCTTCTTTCCACGCTCTGTTCCTCGGTCCCATGCATAGCCCTCGGTTTTCTCTCAGTTCATCCTTCCTTTTGTCTTGCTTATACCTGCATTCTGAGGTGTTTATGATTGCTTCCATCTGTTGTCTATAGATTATTCCCCACTTACATACATCATGCTCATTGATGACTTAGTCCCCAAATACATATCACTCTACGCTCTACAAGACTTGGATACACCATGTACTGAATCAATCGTAGTTGGATTTTTGATCCTCTAGTCTAACAAATGATATGCGATTCCCCGAATCGCCATTGGACCCCCAAACACCATGTACTAACTGTGCCATGTTCGGCACGGTATTAAATGCATTATCTGCATTGCCATGCAGATACTCACGACGCAAACTCCAGGACACCCCCTTTTTGTTTTCCTTTTTTTTTCTTCTTGTGCTTGCTCACTTCTTCTCTCCCTCTGCCTGCAGCTCTGCAATCATCATTCCCTCGACGACCTTCATGCCGGCCTCTTCGCCCTTCTTGGCTCCGGCCTCGTCGTCTCCAGCCACGGCCTGGTCAAGTGCCAGCTTGGTCTGGCCGAGTCCGTAGATCTGCTCCTCAATTGTGTGTCTGGTCACCAGACGGTAGATTTCAACCTCGCGGGTCTGGCCCACTCGGTGGGCACGGTTCTCAGCCTGCACATCTTCCTGTGGGTTGAAGGAAGAGTCAAAGATGACCACGCGGTTGGCACAGGCCAGGTTGATACCAGCACCACCGGCCTTGGTGGACAGGAGGAATACGGGGATTTCGGTGCGTTCGTGGAAGGCGTCGAGGATGGATTGGCGGTCCTCGACGTTGGTGCGGCCATCCAGCCGGACAAACTCGATTTTCAGGGTTTCCAGGACGTGCTCAAGGATGTCCATTACCATCGTGAATTGAGAGAAAATGAGGGTGCGATCACCATTCGCGATGAAACGGATGAGAAGCTCCTTGAGCTGCTCCACCTTGCCAGAGTCCATCCATTCGTCGTTCTTGAGTTTGAACTTGCCGAGGGAATTGGGATTTTCCACACACATCTGGTGGCACTCGAAGTCGTTGTATGGCATGAGTTCCTCGAGAATGATCTTGGGGTCAGA